GCGCTGGATTCCGCGCGAGTGTCAGCATGAGCTCGCCGACTTGTTGCTGAATATCGCCGCCTTCCCCAGGCTTGATCGTCGCATCCTGCCTTCCCCCATTCTCCCCCGCTTCCCCTGCCGCCGCATACTTCTTCAACGTCTTGAAGTCGACCACCTCCAACGCACTCTCATGACTCGCATGCAAATGCACCTTGGGCACCTCACTCTCCTTCAACTGCCCCTTCGCGACCGCATCAAACCCTTCCTTCCAGCGTTTTGCACACAAGCACCATTTCTGCCCTGGTTTCACGCCATGCTCTTTGAGGTTGTTGCCCTGCGAGGCGGAATAGTCGAGGAAGGCGGAGGTAAGGGTGGCGGCGACGGAGTGATTGCCCTTATCGTCAGGACCGGTGCGGCAATAGCCGTCGCGGTAGAAGCCTGTAGGAGGATCTTTCGAGAACATGTGCAGAGGGCCGCCGACCACTTTTTAGGTACGTGAGTAGGCTGGTCATGGGTATGGAGGAGAGCGAGAGGGAGCGCATACCGTTCTTATTCTCCATCGTCGGCTTAGTCGAGGTCTGCTGTTTGGTCGCCATGATTGCTAGGATTATAGTGCTGTGGTAGTAGTGGTCAAGTACGTGTTTCAAGATTCAACATTCAACACAGATACATCGCAGGTACAGGACAAGCTCTCGTCGGAAAAAGCATCCTCGTCGATTTCTTCGGACAGGTCCGTCATGGCACTGTGATGAGCTCACCATCTGACCGTGGATGTGTTTACATCACCACTATTTTGTTGCGCCGAAGGCGTGTCCACATGGACTTAATGCAGGTCCGCATCTCATCGCGTGGGCTAGAGAACATCTAGCGCCAGATCTGCGGATCTCGATCCGACAGTTCTGATCCGGTTCCATGTGCGTGAGGTTTCTGATGAACGAAGACGGGGGACGCGTGCGATGGTTTAGTGCCGTGAGCGGGCTCAGAACACTAGTAGGCACGATGGAAACTATGACGTCTTCACGATTGTGATCCCAAGTTTTCGAGTACGAGAATCGCTCTTGGCCCACGTTTCAGGTACCAGGCACTGGGATTGCAGATATCAATCCGCCGTGGCCTACTATGGATAGAGAGGCATGTAGTCCGGCTACATGGCGTGAACAAAGCGCCGGCGAGGCACTACATGTCTGCACACGTACCCAGACGCGCAGGACGTCCTACCAGCGCAAGGGCCGCGGCAGCCGTGCAGGGCTAGTCTAGATATGGATTCATTCAATCGACATGGTGATACTACTTCTGCATCGCTAGGGCAGACCACGACGCCTCGATCATACTTCGTACTTCGGCCCGTGGGGCTTTTTCGCGTCCCCCATCAGTGGAACAGCCTCGCTCCAATGATTAGGTGACGCCATGCCGACCGTCTGTTAGAGAACAAATGGGACACTCCCGGCCGACCGTCTATTATCCTGAATTAATGGGAGGTTTGGTGCTAGCATCCCCCGCCGAGGTGCCACTGGACGGTCGCTCGGTCGTTGACGCAGACGAGTTATTTCGACTCCGTCGAGACTTGTCAATGCTCGCGGACGTCTTATGAGACTTGACGACGTGGGCTCGGGAATCTGCTCGTTTTCTCTGTGGTCAAGAAGACAGACGAGATTAGAATGAAGACCACAATGTTTCACTGATGATAGAGATGTCTTAGTATTTGGACAGTGTTGATATGTGTGGCAGTGCTGAGTCGAGAGATGAGCACAAATTAACTTACCGATGTTGACTTGACTGTACTTGACTCATCGTTCAACTTCAGTGTCTCAAGCCGTGCTTGGCTATCCTGCGTTGCGTCCGCATCTGCTTTAGGCCTTGGTGGTGGTTGGCCCTGGCCTGACTTCATCTTGGCTGCTTGCTCGTTGAGCTTGTCCCATCTGGCTTTACGGGCTTCCTCTCGTTGATCGGCGCTGTTCTGGTGCTCGTTGTAGTCGTGAGAGCAGTCATCGAAGAGCTGTGGATTTATCTCCATGAACAATTTCATAGCGTTATATACCATGCCATGGATAGTCCTGATCAGTGTTAGCGGACAATCCGCAGCGTCTGAGAACGGAGCTCACCTATTCCAGTGTCCCTTGGAGTTCTCGTACAAGGGCGCGAACATGATTGGCAAAATTGTTTCAACGTTGTCGCTGACCAAATTGCAGAAGTACTCATTATTCCAGAAGTACAGCGCTCTTTCTGCGACCTGGAAATGAGGGCTTGCGACAGACTTGGCAAGTTGATTGAACAGTGGTTCCTGTACCTTTGCGAACTCGGCAGGATCCATGACTTCGAAGATGTCCTCGACCTCGTTAAGGAACATGACCTCTTTGGTGCTGTTGGTCTTTGGCCAATAGCGTAGCAAGCCAAGAACGACCTGCGGCAATTAGTATGAGTAATTTCAAGCGGTGTGGTGGCCCTAACTACCTCTTCGGTGAGTGCTGAGTCCTTCTCCAAGAATTGCACGATGCAGTATGCCAGCTGTGGATGATACATGCTCAGACTCTTGACCTTGTGCATCGGAATCAAAACGCGGGTCAGGAATAACTTGTGCTCTTCCTTCAGTGGGAGCGCAAATCCGTTGATGATCGATCCTAGGATCTCGAGCAATTCTGCAATGCCATTGAAGCGCTCGGTTTCGTAGATGAATTGAAAGAAGACGTTATTAATCGACCGTCTGATGTACGAGCGCAGGTTGAGGAATTTGCCATATATTCGATGCAGGGTAGTCTTGAGGAAATCTCTTTCTCTTGGATCCTCGGAATCGAACAGCTCGAGTAATTGCAGGACGAACTGGTGGTCGATGTGTGCTTTGGCAATGTTGGTGTTGAAGTCCTGACTTTCGATGAATCGCAAGAAGAACTCGTAGACGACTTGAATGTGAGGCCATGCAACCTCTAAGACAGGCTCATCTTCTTCCGGATCGAATGCATCGCCCTGAGGGTTGACTGGTGGCGGCACCGGCCGGAACAGATTCTTGCTGAACATGTCGACCACTTTGGGGTACATGGGTTCTGTAATGACTGATCTGTTGTTAGCGACATAGTCGAGCAGCTCGTGCAGCGCTAGTCTCTTGATCTCTTTCGACTTCATGTCCCCGGTCGGGTCATTGAAGTCAAATATGATATTGCACTGGTCAATCTTCTGCATGAATAGCTCCTGTCTTCTATTTGGAGGCACTTCATGAAATCCAGGCAGCTTCTCCAGGTCTCGTGCTTTCTGGTCTGAGACATCGAAGTGTGAAGACAGCCGCTTGGGTGTCCGGATACCCTCGGGCATGTCCTTGGGTGCGGACTGTAACCTGTCGAACAGTAACGACTTCTGCCCGGCTTTCGGAGGCGCCAAATCGTGCGGCATGGTCTCTGTTGCGCCTGGGCCGGGAATGTGAGGAGCGCTGGGACTGATGACCACACTCGGGGCCATGCGATCTCCGCCTCGACCTGGAGTGCTTGAACCACCCTGACCACCGGGCCCTACACCACCAAAGTGAGGGCCTGACGAGCCGGATCCCAGATGGGAAGGGCCGACATGGTGGTTTTGACCTGGTTCATTTGTAGGACCCTTTCCCCTTATGTCGGAGACATTCGTTGTGGAGGAGGTGGGTGTAGCGGTCTGCGAATTACTTGGGGATCGTGACTCGCCGCCTACTGTGGTAGATGACGACAGGGGCGAAGCTGTTCCGGTATTGTTGCTGTCCTTCTTCTTGGAGGATTTGTTCGAGTCCTTTGCACGCGATAGCTGGTCGTGCTTCGCGGAAGTCAGTAAGCTAGTCATGGTAGAGGTGCGACACGGCATGAACGTACCACTCTCTGTCTAAAGCCCTTCATGGTGGTGAGACGGCAGGCTGCGTGGTCACAGTCGGACGATCGACTTCACTTGATGGTGGTGTATGACTTGTGGCGCAATGTGGACAAGCATCGGCGGACAGGCTTGGGCTGGTATTGCGGGTAACGAGTGTGCTGGAAGTACGCAACTCGCGGTTTTCACGTGCTCATGTTGGCTGGAAGCCTCTCTTAGGCTCAAAGTGGACTGATCTGTATTATGTCGGGATGTCTGCGTCGAGGTAGCGACTTGGAGCCTCGAACCGGTGTAAGTGTGGAGGAGGCTCGGGAGGTGAGGAGGTCTAGGTCAATCGTCGACTGGTTGTCCAAGGCAACTTGACTCGAGTCGAATGAGGTAAGTAGGCGTTAGAGGATGCACTGTGCGTGTAGGCTTGATTTGTAGAAGAGCAGGATGATAATGCTGTTTCTAGGGCAAAGTTGATGAGCTCTCGACTTCCTCGTCCACTGAATGGCGCAGGCCACCTCCCCGCTGCCGTCTGCCAAGAATCGCTCCTTCTTCACTGCCAACCTTGAAAATTGGAGCTACGCGTTCGAGTTTATCCTTCCACATCGCCGTTGCAGTTCGATCAATCAAAGCGTGGTGTCTTGAGATTAATGTGCAGCCAGCTACAGCGTGATCGGGTAGAGTCCTCCTTGAAGAAAACGGCCTCCTGCTACATTTTCGAAGAGGAAGCTTTCACACATGGTGAGTCAGTGAAGGGAACACGTGATCATTGCCAAAAGGACATTCTCATCAACTCACGAGCAATCGCTTTCATACTTTTGTTTTTGCACTCCTGATCATCTTTCGCTGCTGTTTGTTCGTATCGATGGAAGCTTTCATGCAAGCTGTCATCTAGCGATTCCCGCGCATCACCTGGTTGCGTTGAACGACCAACATGGACTCTCACACCCCTGACACCAATGCCGGACCGCCAAACGAGGCACCTCGCTTCAGCATTCCCAACCAACGCATAGTCTCTGTCGAGCATCCATGCATCGTCCAAAATGTCGACAAAGCAGTCGCCATGCTAGGTGGGGGCGGCACTCTATCTGAAGTACTGAACAACGCCTCTCAGAAAACCTTGCCCTTGATCTTTACCCCTGGTGGTCAGTCCATCAGCTCCATCAACAATCAGGCCAACAACGTCCTCCTGCAGATATCGGTCCCCAAGCGGATCGGAAAGCGGAAACGTGGCTCTCAAGAATCTTTTCAGTCTGTCACAGAAACCGAAAACAACAATGCCCAAAGTCTGCTGAGATCTATCAAGGACAATCCAGAGCAAGTCCAAGTTGTTCCTCTTGGCATGGTCGAGAACAGCCACGTCTTCCGAACATTGCCAGACTTCATATATTCAACGAAAGACTCGAGCTTCAAGTCAGAAGTCAGCTCAAAGCTGATCGGCGGAAATCTGGACTCGATCAAGACTTTCCAGTTGCCAGGATCACGCGGTCTGCAGAACACAGAAATGTTTCCGCCACCCGTGCTGTCATTGAATACACTCCCACAAGCGTATGCCTATACCGAAAGAACCTCTTTTAAGCCGAAGCAGGGTACCGTGGTTGGCCGCAACACCTCCAAAATAGCGCACGATACTGAGCTACAGTGGCCCACAGCCTACGAAATCTCGAACTCGACACGCCTCGACACGAGACCTCAAAATATCAAGGACATGGCTGCCACGTGCAGGCAGTTGTTCGGCGAGAGACCGATTTGGTCACTGGAGGCGCTAGCCGCAAAACTTCCGCCCGGAGCACTTGAAAAAGACATCCGCATATCTGCGCTCTACATCGCATTCGAGATCATGTCCGGACCGTGGAGCAATACTTTCTGCCGCTACAAAGTAGATCCTCGAACGTCTCCAAAATACGCCAAATACCAGACCATTCCGATGGATCCGCCAAGTCCACCGCAGTCACAGCTACAAATGCCGCCCGACGACACTACCGAAGCAGGACCTCAGTCACAGCTACCAGTACCGCTCAATGATACGACCGAAGCAGAACAGCACCCAAGGCCACTTATACCGCCTGACGACGCGACCAAAGCATATCAGCCTGCTCCAAAGTCAGATTATGGACTATTCGCGTATCCCGTAGCAGATACACAACGCACAATCCAACTGGTCGACATCGTCGACCAAAAGATCAGCGACCTCACATCCCCTCCTTTCCCAGACTCCCTGCGAAACAAGTGCGAGCGCATCCACCACGGCTGGTACTTCGATGGCACGCTGGCGAAGATTCAGCTCCTGCTTCGGGTGAAGCTTAATGGAGGGCCCGGCGATGATGAATCTAGCAATAACACAACCGAGCCGGCGGAAAGCAGGGCGATGGATTTTGAAGCCATTCTCGCCCTACCTGATCATGCCGACCTTCGCGTGGGTGAAGATGATATCCCAACCCCAGGAGGGTCAATCATCAGTGCAAAGAAATACTGGAGAAGCTGCTACCGCCAGATCGTACGTGCTGGCATGGAGAAAGTGCAGAGCAGAGTGGAGGGGCTGGCAGATAGCAAAGAAGCGGAGCAAACGTAGAGCGCAGATTTCTGCCTGGTCGTCAGCGAGGCGATTGCTGTAGACCAATCTTTCTATCCATAGACTACTTAAGGCGAGAGACAAGCTATATGTCTACCCAAGCAAATATTGACAATTGAATTCTCCTCCGCCTTCCTGCACGACTATGCTTAGGCCCGTCTGCCAGCTATCAGCGCGAGCTCATCATGTCGTTGGTGTCTTCGAATCTGTTGCCTATCCAGCCTCTCAACTGCATGTGGGCGCCGTGGGTAGATTGCCGAACCTCGCCGAGCCTCCTGACGTGATACCACAAATTGTAGAGCTCCAGGCAGCAAGGAATGTATGAATCTACCTCGTCACCAGCTCAGAATCGTGGACGCACACGGTCCGTGCTGTGTAATCGTTCTCCGCTCATACCATCATGTCAGCCTTATACTTTGCGTCCAGTGAGGCTTTGAGCGCTACAAGTGCTATAGTCAGCATTTCCATCCTCGTCTCAGCAGAAGTGTTTGAATGCTTACCATCGCAAGTCGTCTTCGCATCACCAAACAGCATCTTCGTGTTCGGCATGTAGACTGTAGACACGTCAGCAAAATCCCCCTCCACCCCAGCAAGAAGATAACTTACACATCGGATTCGGCACATCCGCATACCCACTACTCATCCCCCTCTTCATGACAACCACCCCCTTACTCTTCCAAGCCTGCAACACCGGCATCCCCGCAATCGGACTCCCGGGCTCCAACGCAATCGGATTCACTGTATCATTCGCGCCAATCACCAACACAAGATCCGTATCGGCAAAATCATCATTGATCTCGTCCATCTCCAGCACAATATCATACGGCACGCTCGCCTCCGCCAGCAACACATTGCACTGGCCCGGCATCCGACCTGCCACTGGATGAATCGCGAAGCGGACGTTGACGCCTTTGCTGCGCAGCATAGCAGTCATCTCAGCAATGGCGTACTGTGCTTTCGCGACCGCCATGCCGTAGCCGACGACGATGATGACGGATTCTGCGTTGGCGAGTGCTTCGACGGTTTCGTCGACATTGGTTTTGGTCACGGTGCCCGTTATTTTTTCTTGGTCGGTCTGGGCAGGCATGGCGGGCGATGCCGCCGAAGAGGACGTTGGTGAGGGAGCGGTTCATTGCGACGCACATGATGTATGACAGAATGGAGCCGGAGACGCCGATTAGGCTGCCGACGGTGAGGAGGAGCGGGTTGTCGAGCATGAGACCCTCGGCGACGAGGGCGAAGCCGCTGTAGGCGTTGAGGACGGTGATGACGACAGGCATATCGGCGCCGCCAATTGCGGCGGTGGTGGTAAAGCCTTTTGTGAACGACAGAGCGGTGTTGGCTGTCAGTGCTATAGCGGCGACAGCAGGCGCTCCGGGAGCCATGGTCAGGAAGGCGCCCATTGTGCCGGCGTTGGCGGCAACAAGGCCGAGGTTGATGGCGTGTCTGCCTGGAAGGTTGATGGGGCGAGATGACATCCTACCGGCGAGCTTGAGGAAGGCAACGATCGAGCCTGTGAAGGTGACGCCACCGATGAGGACGCCGAGGTAGGCAGTGACCATGTGGAGCATGGTAAGATGGGCAGTGGAGGCAAGGACGGAGCCGATTGAGGTTAGGACGGCAGCGAGGCCAACGACAGAGTGCAGTGCGGCTACTGTTTGCGGTAGCTCCGTGGGTGTGATGCGGCGGCCAACGAGGGCACCGAATATTGAACCAATGCCTGCGATCATGCCGAATTGGGCTAGGACAGGTGTTGAGAAGCCGGCTGCGGCTAATGAGGCCAGCACGCCCGTAGACACGCCGAGAATGCCGAACAGGTTTCCTTGACGGGCAGTTGCTTGTGATGCTAGCCCAGAGATCGAGCTGATACAAAGCAGCGAGCTGACGAGGTAGCCAGCCTGAACGAGACCTGCCATGCCGGTAGAAGCGGCAGCTAGGTAGCCAGCACCGAACAGTGCTCCTGGAATAGCGTATAGCCATGGATACTCACTGGGATCCATGGGTCGACGGAACATGTCCAGCATGCGCTTCGTGATGACGAAACCTCCGCCGATGTTAACGAAAGCCAGAAGGACAGATGCAGCACCTAATGCTTGAGGTAGCGTCTCGGGCACATAGCCGCCTCCCATGACGAAGAAGCCACCAACACCTACAATGCCGGAGATTGCATTGGTGACGGACATCAAAGGTGAGTGAAGAGCAGGGATAACACCCCATACGGACTTGTAGCCTATGAGGCCTGCCAGACCAGCTGTGAAGATGTTGCTCATGAACAACGGCGTAGTGAATTTGCCAAGCGCAAGCGCTCCGGCCATGCCACCAGTGACGAGTGCAACTTGTTGTTGGGCTGCTTGCAAAGGAGTCACTTCCTTCTTCTCTGCCGCCAGGATCTGCGGCTTCTGAGCAGGAGCTGGTGGAGGTTGCGGCCTGGGTGCCGGAGGTAGGATCTCTCCGTTGTGGGTCACTATCGCGCCTCGGACTACCTCTCATCGAGGTCGATGCCGTAGGCCTTGTCAGCTGGCGACATGGACAGCAGCAGCTTCGTGATGTTGTTTGAGTACAGGTTCGACGACTGAGTAGGTAGTCGGGATGGGAAATCTGTGTAGCCAATGATCTTGACGCCGTTCCTGGTGGTGATGAGCTTTCCTGGCTGGGTAAGGACGCAATTGCCACCGCCCTCTGAGGCCAAGTCAACGATGACCGAGCCTGGTCTCATGGCCATTACGGCCTCTTCGAGTAGTAACTTCGGCGAAGGCTTGCCTGGTATCTGAGCAGTGGTGACAATAATGTCGACCTCTTTAGCTTGCTCGAGGAAAAGCTTCATTTCAGCGTCGATGAATTCCTTCGACATCTCCTTGGCGTATCCGCCAGCACCAGAGCCATCTTCCAGAATTTCAACCTCGAGAAATTCTGCGCCGAGCGATTGTACTTGTTCTCGGGCAGCTGGTCGTGTATCGAAACCTCGGACTATGGCACCCATACGTCTAGCCGTGGTGATAGCAGACAATCCGGCCACGCCTGCACCGATGATCAAGACCTTTGACGGCGGAATCTTGCCAGCAGCAGTGACTTGTCCAGTCAAGAAGCGGCCAAAGTGGTTCGAGGCTTCGAGGATGGCCTTGTATCCAGCAATGTTGGCCATTGAGCTGAGTGCATCAAAGGCCTGGGCACGACTGATTCTGGGAATCATCTCCATAGCAAACGTTGTCGCTTTCCGAGCCGCCAGAGCATCGACGAGGTCTTTGTTCTGTGCTGCCTGAATGAAAGAAATGATCGTGGTACCCTCCTTTACCTTCGGTATTTCGGAGTCGATCGATGGTGCTCGGACCTTGAGCACTATGTTACATTGTGACCAGATCGCATTCTGATCTACGAGAGTGGCTCCAGCACTCTCGTACGCATCATCACTATACTCTGCTTCCGCTCCAGCCCCACGTTCGATCAGGATCTGCTTGAAGCCCTTCTTGAGCAGTAGGGTGACGTTTCCCGGAGTGATAGCCACACGCTTCTCGCCAGGGTAGATCTCCTTCGGGGCGCCAACAACGAGCTCACTGTACGGCACTGGTGCATCACCAGAAGGGGCGTGTAATGAGCGTATGACGTTTGCCGTGCCTGTAGTGCCTGCGACAGGTCGTCGGAACTGATCCAGTAGAACTGTCTTTCGCCTAACAGCACTGCCGCTATCTTGGTGAAGTGATCTGGGCTGGACGTTGGCGTTAAACGGCAATTGCCTTTGCACATAATCTGGGTCAAGTCAATCGAGAGCTTCGTTGGGCTGGGCCATGAAGAGCTCACCTGTAGCTCGCAGGCATGATCTCGGGGATAACCGCGCCTGGCCGAAGACCAGACGCGTACACGGCGCCCTGAGCAGCATCTCTGATGGGCGCTGGGGTTAGTCGGTGGCACGCGCCCCTTGGAACCACCACCAACCGCGAGGATCTCGAACGTGGACCTCAGTGGCGTTACAGGCGTCCCGAGAGTCAGCCGAGTGAGGCCCAGGTCACGACGCGTAGAATCACACAAAAGTTTGTGACTGGGGACGAAGTACGCCCCGTCTGCCTCTGCAGTCGCCTGATTCAGGCGGAAGGCCAAGTCAGACGCGGCAGACAGCTGTCAGGAAGAGCTGAGAGTGGTCGAATCGAAGGAAGCAGGCTGGAATCTGTAAACGTGTCGTTAGGGATGTGTAGTGGAAGCTAGCCGAAGTAGACGCGGGTGGCCGAGGATAAATTATGATTGGTATACGTGTCAAAGTGAGACTTTGTTCATGCAGAGCGGCTACGCAAGGCAAGGTTACATTACTGTTGCCGCGCCTGCATAAGCGATTGATGAGCCTTAGAAGCAAACGTGAGGGCGTGGCGTGGGGATGTGCGCAGTAAGACGGCCGAGGTTGTGGGGGATGCTCTCCAAGCTGGGGCATCAGCTCTTGGCTTGAGGCAACCCCAGCTGTGTGGGGCACCAGGGCACCGCGGGGTACCTACCTAGGTATGAGTGAATGCCGAGTATGCGACACGCTGGAATCGCTTTGCATAAAGGTCAGAAAGTGCTGGACGCAACGCCGCATCAAATGGACTGGAGTTCGGCATGCTCAGCTCGAAGAGATCTGTGTAGTCTGCTAATTCGAACGTGTGGTTCAGAGGTCGTCGCAGCCTGACTATCTGGGGCCGGGTGACAACGATTCGAGGTGAGGTCGACATTAATATTCGTAGGGCAATGATTTTATACCTTCCAGCACTTACGCTTTGCGAATGCTCAATCATCGTTATACTTATCGCTTTTCACCCTTCACTTCATGGCCTCAGCGTCCTGCTGCACACCTGCAGGCTCTTCATCAGGACTGATCTTCAGAGTCTTCATCGTTTCCAAGAAGTCTAGACCCCACTGCAAACTCGTCCTCGACTCAACCACCTCGGCAGCCTCTTCATACCGCTTTTGTCGCTCTTCTCGTGGCATCTCTAGTGCTGTCTTGATAGTCTCTGCAAACCGCGGCGTGTCCCAAGGGTTGAAGATAAGGGATGACCCAAGCATCGTCCTCGCACCGGTATAGTGCGACAACAGCAACAGACCTGGACCAACGCCCTCCTTATCATCGGCCTTTCGCTTTTGGCACGCAATGAATTCATACGACACCAGGTTCAAGCCATCCCGAACCGAAGACACAACGCAGCCATCTGCTGCAGCATATAGGGCGCAAAGTTTCGGAAATGCCAAGCTCTGATACAGGTAGACCACAGGTGTGTAGCTTGTCGTGCTGTGTCGGCCATTGACCCGTCCGACTAGACGCTCGACTTCGTCTCTGAGCTGATTGTATTCCGGCACGCCTTCACGAGAAGGGATAGCGAGCTGTACCAGTGCGACTTTGCCAGCATACTCCGGATGCTCGGTCAGGAAATGATCAAAGGCTGTGAGTTTCTGAGGTATGCCTTTGATGTAATCGAGACGGTCCACGGAGACCAAAAGCTTCTTGCCCTTGAATGTGTTAAGAAGGTGTTGGAACTCTTCCTCGGAATCCTTCTGCTGCAATGCTCTGTGGAACTGTGTTGGGTCTATGCCGATGGGAAAGTGGTGAACGATAATTTTCCGACCCTGGTAATGAAGATCATGAGGACTTCTTTCGACGTCCGGCAATGCCTTTTCAGCCGAATCCAAGAAGCTAGCCACATACTCTGGGACATGAAATCCGATCACATCACAGTTGAAGAGCCCGTTACAGATAGCTTCTCGGAAGGGCAAGATCGAGTAGTAGTCTTCACTAGGAAAGGGCGTGTGTAGGAAGAACCCCAGCCGCACTTTCTTATTCCGTAGTCGTTCTCTGAGAGCAGTTGGGAGTAAGAGCAGATGATAGTCGTGGATCCAGACAGTGTCGCCATCTTCGAGATGAGGTAACAGGACGTCTGCAAAGGTCTCATTGACCTCTTTGTAAGCATCCGACCATTCGCTCTTGCTGGAAGCCTTTTCCGGCAGGCGATGAAGCAGTGGCCACAACGTGGAATTGGCGAATCCATTGTAATGGGCCTCAGCCAGCTGTTTGCTAAGAAAGACTGGTACTGCTCCATATTCATTCTGCATACGCTTTCGAAGCTCGTCCTTGTCATTGCGATGAACGTCGACCCCGGGCCAGCCAAACCAGAGAAACTTCACCTTCTGGCTAAGACCTGCCAAACTGGAGGCCAGGCCGCCAGACGATGTAGTGAAGTCGAAGGTTCCATCCTTCCTTTGCTTGATTGAAATAGGCAAACGATTCGCAACGATGAAGAGACGACCGGTGTCTTCGTCGTCGCCATCATTAGGATCGAAGTCCTTGGATGGAGACATGGGACCAATGATGGGTGAGAGGCCAGGAGCACGAAGCTGCGATGGGAAGACGCGAGCTCATACTCTACAAAATTTGTTATATATCCTGAGCGATGTGATGTGTGAAACGGAACTGTGTTCCTGACCATTGGCCTGGCTGACGAGAAACGCAGAGCATGGCAAATCCCTCCCGTTCTAGCGCAGGTAGGGTGTGACTGGCGGGACGCGCAGGGGAGGAATCTGGCTTCGAGCATTCCATCTGACCATTCATTGTTCCTTTTACGGTGCCCATCAGCCAGGACTGGGCATGTTACACGTGCGAAAAACCACTTGCGTGCGCAGAAGGAGAGAGCATGTGGGACCACTTACATCAGGTTATCGCGGCCGGAAGCGCTTTCCGTGCGACGCCCTTTCCAGGCTTGGCATCAGCGGTCAGAGATTCTGACCTCGAAGCAAGAAAACACTCATGCACGGTCGAACAAGTCACAATCCTTCAAATTTTGTCCCAGAATAGTCCTATCTCGAAAGGTTTATTCCAGTCTTCCCGTCCCGCCCGGGACTTGACTGCGTCATCTCGAGCTACCTCCATTCCCACTCTTCTCCTCTACACCAGGCTGCGGGTGTGGAGAACGTGCCAACCTTGCCATCTTGTTGCCTCCGCAGCAGAACCTCGCTCGCAAGCGATCCTGCCGGGTCGTGATTTCTCGCCAGCACCAGAATATATCCGTAGCCTTCTGCAATGTCGCCGTACCTCTGTTGGAACCCGTCCGACAGCCTGCGAGAGACGGTAACTTGGCTGAAGATCCAGGCTGTTAGATAAGGACGCACACAAGTGTCCGTGCTTGGAATTGTTGTGTAGACCTTGTCGACCAAGTATGACACGGACTCGCGATCGATGTCCCATGCTAGCCGCAGTTGCGCGCCAATATCCTTATCTGCAATATCTCGTAGCTCTGGAACCAGAAGACGATCGGCTAGGAGGTACACGGCAAGAACGTCTTCCAATCGTGTGGTCTTACCACATTCCTCGTATGTAAACGTGCTGGGAAACACAGCCAAGAGATCCTCCATGATAGCGTCGAACTTAGCTTCCGAACTGTGTTCACAGAGGTACAGGAAGACTATCATCACTCCCACAGCGATAGGCGTAGCTTCCTGAATTGTGATCTCGTTTTCGACGCTTTCTTTAAAGCCGCTGTCGATTGCCTTGCAGAAATACTCTGACTTCAACGCGATTATATTCTTGTGTACAGCGAAGGTCTTGTCGCCACATCTTATTGTGAAGTCGGAGTACTGTCCAGTCTTCAGCAGCTCCATGCCGTGGGCGCGACTGAGTGTTGGCATAGTGTTGACAGCCTGTCGAGGTGCGTATACTCTGTGAGGAATCGTTGCGACCTAATGGCCGTCAGCCAGAGTCAGACTACCCGAGTAGTGTTCCATGCGTACCAGTAATCGCCTGTCGACAGCACTATGCGGCGGGTGTATCGATGGCAGAACGTCGAAGGCGCTCTGAAGCCTGAGCGTTTAGGCTGGCACTTTTCAGGTGGACCGAAATCTGTCGAAATGGCGATGGGTGAAAAATGGCGCTAGTGCTAGTGGAGTTGCTATGGCAGCCTCAAGTGAAGTCGATATGAAAGGTCGACATACTATGAAGCGAAAAGGATGTTGTGAGTTTATCTCGAAGCGCCTGCATGACTATCCGGCTACGCACTCATCGGACACATCCCAGGCTCATACTCATGCCATCTAGCTCCGGCATCTGCATTGAGGGACCAAGGCGAGCCTGAAAAGGACACCGTTTCGCAGCATCCATCATATGTGCAATCGAATATGCTGCGCTCCTAGTGTGCTCTATAGTTTGGTCGAAGGTAATTGATGGACCGTCGACCAAATCGTCCTCCGGTCTGCTGCCTGGGTAAATGAGCTTCAGCTCCGATGGAATCGACTGGTTTTTGACTATTGTCCATCTATCGAAGCCAGTGCTCCAGACCTTCTCCCAATGGCGACCAAGGCTTTCTGTCCAAAAGTGCGCTTTCAGTACCCAATCCACATATGACCAGTTGCTCGACTCCGGATAGAGGCGGAACATTCTATCAAGCACCTCATGGCCGCCAGGCATCGCCATGGTCCGCAAACCCAACGCTCCACCTACAGATATGGAAATCCATATCATGGTATCCTGGGCTCTTTTCGAGTCGGGCTTCTCATGCTTACGCATCTGGTCGATGAAATGTCTTAGCGGCGGGTCGTGGAATATGTTTAGCGATCTAAGTTGTCTCAACTGAAAAGCGTATGCCAGTAGACCGCACACAAGATAGCTCTCAATCGTTGCCTTCTCAGCGAATCCTAACCGCTGGAGTGCGGCGAGCATTACTTGTATCTCGTGGTCAACCCGTTCATCCGCTTCATCCATATGAGACAAAAGGTTTGTCGTGGCCTGGGCGAAGGCGAGAAAGTTCATGATCTGCTTTGACACATTACCACAGAGACACAATTCGGCGAATGCGGGAGGTAGACGCGAGAGACTTGTGCAAAGCTCAGGCGAGAATGGCAGCCCTGGATATGAAAGTGGCTCATTAAGGCCGAGTTCATTGAATGCCTCTTTGACGTATCCAGGCGAGGTGCCTGGTATGTTCATCGGCTTTCCCGTAACGAAACATCCCAGGGACTGGTAAGCCAAGACTCCTGCTCTTACGAAGCGCTTCCATGGCGTACTGCCGTCCAGGTCTTCACGGAGTTGAAGCATCTGTTGAATGCCATCAAGATGGGCCGCAACCGCCGCAACGTTGCCAGTCAGGTACTCCAAGGTCAATACCATGGTTATGCTCAGGAGGGACGCATCACTTATGCCTTGCGGCGATGTTAGGTTGTTGGTGATTGTTTTGATGGCATGCGCTCGGCGAAGGACGAAGGGTCGGTCTTCTTTGACTTTCTTTCCCTGTGCCATGAGGATCGATGCTCTACAAAGTACGACGACAATCTCGAAGAGCATGGCATCCTTGAGCATAAATGGGAAGAGCAAGGCCATGTGCGGGTTCGGCTTGCCAACCAACCATTCGGACTGCTTATTCTCGGGCACACAAGTAGCTAGAAAGAAGTCCATTGCCGATGTGACATCCGGGGTGGCTTCGATGGGTAGGGTGACGAATGGGTCCTGACGATGCCCATTCTCTGGGAGACTCCTGTGCTGTAGCGGCGTCGGACACCTGTACGTATGGGCTGTGATCACGACAGTCTTTCGTTCCGCCTGCTGAGTTGCCGAAGAGTTCAGGCTGGCATCTGTTGCAGACCTCTTCACATGCCGGTTCAGCCTCCACTTCGTCCTTCCTCCGTTAATGTCGTGCGGATCTGATTCCGCTGTAGGCTGCCATGACTTGAATTTGATCCTCTTGTATCCCTTTGGCTTGCCTTTGGTGACGCTACCAGGCTTCTGTGTAGGCTGAGGCTCTGTTGCCGGACTCTGGCTTGTACTCAAGGCCATGGCGAGCCCGATTCGGTGACAATGACGGCTTTTCTCCTCAGACAGGGGTCCATTGATCTTTCTGCCAAGAGCTGTCTGTTTGGAATCTTCTGCGTGTGCACAGGTGATACTTGATCTTCGGAGCCTGACGCAGTCGCAGAGAAATTGTAGCAGGTCGGTCGCTGGATACCATGGAAGATATGAAAATGAGTGTGGACATGCAGGAGAACCCCTACGAGATCGGCGAAGTCTTTGAGTCGCGTCGGGCTGTGAGGGCCTAATTTGGCGGAGTAACAGAGCGTCCCAGGTGCCAAAGCCCTCTATTGGTACTTCCCGTGCTTCGCTTCGGGCTCCAGCTCTCCTTACTACCCAGGTAGGTAGGTGACAGCTCATCCTCCGCGGACTTTGATTCAGCCTTCGAGCGGCGCGCACGACATGAGGCGGCGTTCTTTCCACGAATGCCTGGCAGTCCACCCGACCGTCGAGTGATGAGCAGGACCTCGGGAGTTCAGCTGATTAGCGGAACGCAACGCCATGCCTGGTGCGCCTCATGCGTTGTCATCCGGTTAACGCCATGTGTTGTACACTTCCATCAAATCCGCGTTGCTGCCAGCAGCCAGACATCGCTAGTGTCTGACGCGGGCAAATCGTCGTAGCTGATGTGTACATGTGGACGGGATCTCAGGTGCATCAGTGCACCGACCGTTGCGACTCTAGCCGATCGACAGATGGCAAACATACCGGGCTGTTGTACTTTGCAGGCGTGTATGCTGTGCTGGACTCACCTTGCGCAGGTTTTCGCACCCTCACCCATTGAGGTCCATGGCATTCAGGTACTCATTGCTGAGGATGAGCGGAAAGCCATGCGCTGGATGTGAGACGTTACATTTGAGATCGACACTGCTTGAGTCCTCCGTATAAGCAAAGCATCCATGTGGTCAGAGAGTATGGAATTGGACGCACGAGAAGTGTGAGATTCGATGTTGAACAGGGTGGCCTCCATGGGTGAAAGCGATGCCAAGGCAACTGGAACGAGACAAACGGGGCAAACCAGGAGACCTTCATCGTTACTAGGTGAACCACCACTCGTTGCCCGAGCTTCATGCCGCCTACAACGTGCTTAGCCGATAGAGCCAGATTCGATAATTCGACATGTCCGCCACCAGCCTAAGCGTCGACGAGTCGCTAAGTCTTCTGCGAAGCGGCCGCTTCTCCGACTTCACGTGAGTCTGCCAAAATTCCCGGAACACGCGCGCGGACATCGTGCCACAAAACGTGTCCTGGTCGATCGATGCCAAGTCTTGAAGACAGCGCTGACCCAGAGTCAGCATCAAATGCAAAAGCACAGTCTTTGCCGTCCATAAGCTAATGCTGTTGACAAAAAGCGCCTACTTCGATATACTCATCGACAGTCCGTTCAAGGAGGGGGTCGAAGACGTTTACACATGCCGAGAGACTGAGCCGCGCATTGTTGCCGTCATCATCACCTTCATCTACACACAACAACTCCATACCTCGAAGAAGATCTCCGGTATCTGGCCAAACAAGTTCTCACGAGAGGTTCACTCGCTTCCCGACCATGTCGAAGTCTACTTGCTTGCAGACCGCCTGATGTTATTCGACCTCAGACGTGCCATAGGCGAAGTCTTCCTCGAGCGTGTCTCAAAGCGCGTCTATGAATATCTGGGCAAGGATATGTATGCTCACAAGACCTTAATTCACCAGTTCGTACAGATGGTATACGACAAGGTCGGCGAGCGTGACGACTTCCTTCGTCCTGGCGTGACCAAACTTCTACTGGAGATGGAAGCCAAGTACAGACCAGTCGGAATCGCCGTGATCGATAGCGAGACCTCCGACAGCGATGTCAGCAGTAGTAGCAGTGACGAGAGTGACGAGGACGAGGAAGAGGTTCGGCGTGGATCTGGCAAATCAAGAGCCACCAAGCAGCCAGCTTCCGTCAGAAGGACACAAATCACCTTTCAGAAGACACTCCAGGAGCTCATGACCTTGGCTGAAGAGAAGGATCCGTCTGCTGTACATTCTGGTCGCCTGTTGGTCCGTGCCTGCTTTGAACGAGTCACAGATTTAGAGGTGCAGCTCGCCTTTGCTCGAGATCCTGCGAATCGCAAGAAGGCACAGCCGGCGAAGCGTCAGCGCGTGGACTGACACGGCACTGGCTGAGAATCGAGAAGATACTGATCCTTACGGAGTAGAGGAATGGGATCTATTACCGCCACATTTTCGGCCACGGATGCCCGCTCCAGGTGCGAAGATAGAGTGCAGCGTGACAAGGACCCGATAGCGGCGAAGCATCCAGAAGCCCGCCGGCACACTCCGTGCTATTCACTGAACGAATTCACTTATGCCGTCCAGCTCAGAAGACTTGCCAACCCGCCACTTTTGTTTATTCATTTTCGCCTGTTTCTTCTCCCAACGAGTCCCAATTAGCTTCATAACATCCCTACAGCTTGACAGCCAGTTGCATTACCAACAGACGAGCAACCCTCAGGCAGGAAGCCCATCTCCAGTGTGATCGCGCGGGCGCTAACAATTCTCAGTTCAACACAAGCTACACACTGTCCGAATCCTGCGATCGAATATCAACGCCATGTCTGGACTCAGTCGCGACCAAACAGTTGAGCTCCTGAAGACGGGAAAGTACTCAGATTTCACGATCAAATGCGGTAACAAAAGCTTTGCTGTGCACAAGGCCATCATTGCTTCCAGGTCAGACTTCTTCCGGGTTGCAATCGACAGTGGCTTCAGGGAGACCATCGAGAATGAGATCACAATAGGAGAGGCCCCACCTTTGGCTGTTGCAATGGTCATCGTCTACTTGTACATCTTTAAAAGCTCCAAGCAATGTGATCTCGGCAAGCTCTGGGGTTTCTTCTGCCAAACGTTTCTCCGTGAGTTCACAGACGGCGAGCATGATGAAACCTTGGGATTCGAAGACACAATCAACCTCTATCTCCTGGCAGACCGCTTCATGCTTCCAGAGCTCCGCAGAGCTGCAGACAAGAACATCGGCTGGCGCCTTGTAACGCAATGGAGGATGGAAGGAGAAGATTACGACGAAGACGTTACACTGGAAGACTGTATCGAAAAGATATACACCATGGTTCCAAGCTCTGTTGACTTGATCCGTTGCTTGACAACCTGGATTCTGAGCGGTAGCGAAGTCTCTCGTTTGCTGCTCGGCCAGCGACTGGCTGACGCTATGGAAGAGGAATGGCACGGACGTATTCTCGACTTGGCAAAGACATACGATCCTGAAGGAGTTACCTCTGGCAAGCTCTGGCTGCAGCAGCTACAGTACACGATGCAGGCAGTGGGTCGCTGGAAGACGTCTTGCATCGTGTGCCCGAAGACCGGCCAACACTGGCTTTACGCCCGCCAGCTCGAACACTCATGGAGCGTGTGGAGACGGGCACCTCGGAGATGCGTTTGAGTCTGTACTTAGTTCGGATGGACGGAGCAGAAGCCAGCGCTTGGGACCATCGCTGACAGAGGGGCATGTATCGAATCAGGCCATGTGGTAGAGCGAAAGGGATTGAGGAATGGCGGTTCTCGAGAGAGTCTGGCAGTGTCGCTGAGAGCGCCCTGAGCCCCAATAACAGCAAGTCATTGGGCGCATAGTGCCAAAATTCTAGCCGCGATAGTCGTTGCCTTAAAGAGTTGCCCTTGCCAAGCAGTGCTTAGTTGCCTGAAACGCATTTCTGAGTTTCCCCGTGCTTTTCCCACCATCTCGCATTATACCAACCGTAGAATGCAACATCTACAGCGATAGTTAGATGTCGACAATACCTTCCGGCATAAGCCAGACGGCAGTCATATCTGTTATGGGAGCTTTGCAGCCATGTGTACCATCGACACTCATCCCGATGCACCATTCAACTGTTGCACCTTCCCTCTCATCGAGCCAATCTGCCTGTATCTCCGTTTTGGACATGCTAGTTGAGAATTATAGGGTAGCATCAATTCAAGTCCATGGCTTGACAGCTTCAAGTGCCTCTCAGCTAGATCACGTCTGTCATTGCGGCGTCTTCACCTGACGAGACTTCGAACGCGTGTGTGCAGCCTTGCGATCTCAGGTAAGTTCTTGGCCACCTCTAGATCTTGTTTCACACTTCCCTGCTGCGGACCACACGATAGGTCTTTCACCACACTTTTACATCGATCGCTCGCGGCTACAAATAGTCGTCCTCCCAGCCCTTCGCGATCCACCATCACGGGCGCCCCAAAGTCCGAACGCAACCATCGACATCGCTACACACCACCCAAAGGAGCAACCACCATGTCCAATGCCGGCACCGAAGTACCTGCTTCGCCCATCATTCCTAACAGTGTGGTCTTGCAGTGGCTAGAAACCGGCAAATATTCCGACTTCGTGGTACGATGCAAAGATAAGGTGTTCAATCTACACAAGTCCATCCTTGCCTCCAGATCCGAGTACTTCCGGGCTGCGATCGATGGTGGATTCAGAGAGAGCTCAGACGGAATCATGACTATTGAGGAAACCCATCCCTGCGCGCTTGCAGCCATTGTGGCTTTTCTCTACACTGGAAAAAAGAAAATATCAGAACTCATTCATCTCATCATTTCAAATTCATCCAACTTCCCGGTCCGATTCTCAGAACAAGAGAGAATGCGTGTAGGCAATATGACAGGCTTCCTGGACATCTACCAGCTCGCAGATCTCATGATGCTGAGCGAGCTCAAGATCGCGATGCAAAAGGAAATAGGTCGCTTTTTGTTCGAAAACCGTACTGGAATGCGCGACAACATTTACTTGGAAGGCCATTAAGATCTGAACATGTTCGAGTATCATGTGCGGCTCATCTATGAGACTCTGCCAGAGACCGACGGTATGGCTCGTCCTCAGCTGACCACTGCGATCGTTAGAGACCCTGCTTTGTCTTTCAATAGGTCGCTATCGGGAGCAGCCAATGTCGAAGTCGAGCACATTCTCGACATAGCACGAGAACACGACCCGGTGGGGGTGACTCAGGCGATGAATCTGCTCGCAAGCCTGCGCAGAGATGGGCATACTCCTAGACACTACCGCCTTCAAGAAGTCCACTACCACTATCAGGAGCTTCCTGCTTTCGAAGATGATGAGGACGACGACGATATGGGCTTCGGGCTGTTTGATTAGCAATCCTCTGCGAACATGCAACCTCCGGACGCTCCGCGCTGGAGTGTCTGCGATATAGTCCTGCTCTGGCTCCGGAGCTCCAGAAAATGCGCATGAAGTTCTCGAGGACTTGTAGGAGTGTGATCACGACTTGGCTTTCGGATCCATAGCGTCATCTTGTCAATCTTGCTGTCAAGCAGACCTGGAAGGCGGCGAGTGGCTGACGAATTGTTCGTCTTGTCCAGCTTTGGCGGATCAGTGCATAGAGCATCTGTCATGGTGGCGATACGCGACTGCCGGTCAGCATCAGGTTGACTTGCCGCGACTAGGCTAATGGCGCAGGATACAGCCAGCAACTCATTTGCAGACATAGTCAAGAAGTAATGGGAGAGAAACATATCAATTTTCGTGACACTGAAGCCACGACTTCATCTGAATCGTGATCTAGTCGCCTCTCGTTCCCGCCAACCCAGCGACGGCATCAATCACCCATCTCAAACTCGCATCCCTCACCAGCCCACCGAGCATACCTTTTCAACGTCACCATCGCAACCTTCGCTCTAGCTGCCTCCACACTGTCTCGTCCTTCGCTCCATTCTCCACGTTGTTGCTATGATTTATTCCGCCCTTTGTCCTCTGTGTCAATAAGTCGACACGCCGCAGCGTTCCAAAGTCCCTGGGCCGCTGAGATTTCGACGTGGAATCCTCGTCTACACAAACACATAGCTCTGCCAATGACTGAGGGTCATCTTCGAGCGGCAATTCTTGTGATGACTAGTCATCGTCATGATCACCATCATGATCAGGCAGCTTCTCGAAGCGCCAAGATGGAATATCGAATCTGGGAACACTGGTATAGGACGTATGAATGATCCTCTGATACGGCAGAAAAATCAATCCCTCCGCCCTCTGACCTTGGCTCGAACCCTGGATCGAAGATATGTCAAGATCCGGTCGACTCCATGGTGGTCCTCGTCGCCGTGATGTTGATTATTATGTGCCATCAAACCACTGAAGAGTCGATGAATACTATTCTCACAAATGAGACATCTAAAGTGGCGGTTTTCGTCGTGTTGGGTTTCGTCGTGTCGGTCTTCATCGTGTTGGTCTTCATCGTGTAGGTTTTCAGCGTGTTGGTCTTCCTCGTGTAGGTTTTCATCATGTCCGTCTTCATCGTGTTGGTTGTCATCGTGTTGGTTGTCATCGTGTTGGTTGTCATCGTGTTGGTTTTCTTCGGGCCGGTCTTCATTGTGTCGGATTTCATACCCAAGCTCATGGTGCCTGGAATATCCCTGAGCCCATGTTCGAATGTGGATATCTTTGACACCGCTGGGACATGCTCCGCTCTCCAAGTGCATGATGATCGAGAAATCGTCGCGCAAGGTGTTCTTGGTACAGCCCCAGCACCTAAAGTATCCGTTCCGGGTGCGCGCAGCAGAGGCAGTGTCGTCGACAGAGGTGCTGGTGTGTCCTCGGGTGTTGTTGGGCTGGATAGACAGGGTCTCTGTGCGCGAAGATAAGGTATCGAGGACAGCATCGGCAGTTGGTCTCGAAATCGACTGGTTGCGAATCGCCTGAACGTCTGGCACAGAACCGTCTCCTTCTGCATGTACGATTGGTCTTGGAGTCGCTGGATTCGAGCTGCGCCTGGGGCCTGGGGTGGACGTGATGCTTGCGCCGGTTGTGCCTGCGATGGCGGTGCTTGCGGTGGTGCTACTTGCGGTGGCGGTACCTGTGATGATGGTGTCTGCCGTGACTGTGCCGGTGGAGCTAGAGGTGCCTGCGATGCGGATGCCTGCGGTGCGGATGCCTGCGGTGCGGATGCCTGCGGTGCGGATGCTTGCGGTGGCGGTACCTGTGGTGTCTGCTGTGCCTGCATTGGTGGCTGCAGGGCCGGCTGCGGAATTTGAGGCACAAAGTTGCCCTGCGCAGGAGCACCGAACTGATTTGCTGATGGTGCCGGTTGTTGATTTTGCTGCATCACGTGGTTACTCTGAGGTTGAACAGGAGCATATCCTGGCTGCATTTGCCCTGACGGAGGCTGGAAGTACACCTGCGAAGGGTCAGACTGATATCCAGGGTTCTGTCCTCCAAAAGGCTGCATCGGACCAGCTGATTGTGCGCTGGTGAAGGCGGTCGAGGTTCCTGGGACCGGCTGCTGGTTGAAACCACCGTGGAACTGCTGGTATTGCTGGTCATACCCTCCTTGCATCGGCTGGGTTGGTGCTTGTGGCATCATCGGTGGGTAGAAACCGCCTTGGCCTTGTTGGTATGGCTGGTTGTACCCGCCTGGCATCTCTGGATGTTGCACCACTGGTTGCGCCGCCATCTGCCAATTGTGCCCGCCTGCCATCTGCTGAAACTGCACCTGTTGTGCCTGGTGCGGCATTGGCGGTTGGTTTTGGTGCATCCCCCATTGCATTCCACCTGGCGCTTGCTGCGCTGGTTGACCTTGCGGATAGATCTGTGTCTGCGGCTGTGGCTGCTGAGACATCGATCAAACATTTGTGGTTGTTGGAATGGCTGCTGAGATGGCTGCTGGAATGGCTGCTGGAATGGCTGCTGGAATGGCTGCTGGAACGGCTGCTGGAACGGCTGCTGGAACGGCTGCCCATGCTGATACATCTGAGTCGGTATCTGCGCCTGCTGAGGATGCTGCGGCTGCTGTGCACCATAGTTCCAGGAACTGTAGCTACCTCCTTGAGGATGGGTCATACTCCAATACGGATTGGACATGGTTCGTGTTTTGAGTAGTATTGTTGTAGCAAGGAAGAGAACGAAAGCAATTCTGCGGGGTTGTTAAATGAAACGATTTCGAAAGTGCGCTGTCTGCAACACGTTGGCAACGGCAAAAGTTCACTCCACCTTGATTTCACGTGTTGAGGTAGCGATGAGTTGAGGCAATATCCACGTTCTCCATCGTCTGCCTAGTTTCGTGCGTAGGGACGGCCAGCACGATTCTTAGACGTAAGCAATCCAGCAGTTCAGCCACTTCACCCTCGCTCCCATTCTTCGCTTTTGCAGGCTGCGAGGGTTTGCCTGCTGTATTTCCATCGTCCGAGGTACGACGTGGCAGTTCAGCAACTTCGTGGCCTGATGGGCTATGCATAAAGCTCTTCGGCCATGTCACGGTTCACAACGCTTCGCTCCTAACATTCAGACTGTCCGACATCTTCCGCTCTCAACCAGACAGGGCCACGCAACTCACTATTAGCCACATTCCCTCCGTGTAGGGACATCTTCCAGCCAGCAGCAGATTGTTCTCGTTGATCAACACTTCTTGAGCCAGCTCCTGCGCAGCAGCAGTCCGCACCATTCATCCGTATTGAAGCCGCTGCCTCACGACAGCACGACAGTCTCCGCAGCTTGCAACCAAGCCGCTATGCTGCTCATACAGTGTGCGGCACCGTCGCACCTGCGCGAGCCCTACTCATCACGCCATCCTTCAAGGATTGCAGTTATGTGTATTAAGAAGATGAGACGAGGTGGAATTTGAATGTCGTTGAGGTTGGAGATCATGGCTGTTCCATCCAGTCCCAGGGGCCAATCAGGAGCTTGCCGTACCTGAACCAAAAGCCAAGCCTACGAAGCCTGAGAAGCGGAACTATACAACTGAAGAGACACGATCATGCAACACTATGAGATCGAGATCTCGTTGACGGATGGCTAGTGAACAAGTCCTCCAGTTGTGGGACACTCCAGATCTTCCGTGGACGAGCAGGAACGTTCACGAGCCGAACACAGAAGATGAGGCTCCCCAAGAGCCATCCAACATCGAATGAAGAAAGTCTGAAATATGTATTCATGGTCTTCTTCAGACCTTACCCATCTTCATGTCGGACCCACCGTGCTGTCCAGACACCCCGTTCAAGCAACAGCATCCGTCACAGCCCCTCGACTCGCATCCTGCACCAACCTCGCATACTTGCCCAACGTGCCCCTCTCCACCCTCGGCCTCGGCCTATTCGCCTCCCAATGCTTTCTCCTCTGCTCCAGTTCGCTCTCTTCAACCTTCAAGTCCATTATCCTGTTCTCTGCATCAATAACGATCTCATCTCCATCCCTCACTAAAGCAATCGGCCCACCCTCCAGCGCTTCAGGCACCACATGCCCAATCAAGAACCCATGCGAACCGCCTGAGAATCGTCCATCCGTGATCAGCGCTACGTCCTTCCCCAATCCAGCGCCCATGATCAAGCTGGAAGGCTTAAGCATCTCCGGCATGCCTGGCCCGCCCTTGGGCCCCTCATATCGGATCACGACGACAGTCTTCTGCTGTTTCATTTTCTGGATCGTAGCCCCGTTATCAGCTTCCATGGCAGCGATGAATGCGGGCTCAGAATCAAAGACAGCTGCTTTGCCCGTGAAGCGTAGGCCTTCTTTGCCGGTGATCTTGCCGACGGCGCCACCAGGCGCGAGGCTGCCGCGGAGGACTTGAAGGTGGCCGGTCTCTTTTATTGGTTTGGAGGGCGGTAGGACGACTTTTTGGTCAGACGGAAAGTCTGGTGCCGTTGAGACGTTCTCCTTGAGTGTCTTGCCGGTAACAGTCATGTGCTCGCCCTTGACAAGGCCTTCAGCAATGAGGTATTTCAGCAGGGCTGGGATACCGCCAACGTTGTGCAGGTCCTGGAAGACGTATTTTCCCGAGGCTTCAGATCGCAGATGTATGGTGTTCGGTCGCTGACGGATTGGAAGTCGTCGATGGTGAGGGTGATGCCGCAGGCATCTGCCATGGCGATCAAGTGCAGGACGGCGTTGGTGCTGCCACCTGTAGCCATGACGACGGTCATTGCGTCCTCGAATGCGCCCCGGGTCATGATGTCCCGAGGCTTGAGGTCGAGCTTGAGGAGTTGGCGGATGGCTGCTCCCGCGGCCAGGCACTCGAGTTGTTTGGCCTTGCCGGCAGCGGGGGATGAGGAGGAGCCGGGCAGGGTCATGCCGAGGGTCTCGATCGCGGAGGCCATGGTATTGGCCGTGTACATTCCGCCGCAGGCGCCCTCGCCGGGACAGGCGTTCCGGATAACGTCGAACCGTTGCTCTTCGGTGAAGTCGCCGGAGAGGAACTGGCCGTAGGCTTGGAAGGCGCTGACGATGTCGATGTCGGCGTTGTTCTGGGTCCTGGCGCAGCCGGGAGCGATGCTGCCGCCGTAGACCATGATAGAAGGGCGATTGAGTCGACCGATGGCCATCATGACGCCCGGCATGTTCTTGTCGCAGCCGGGAATGCTGATGTTGGCATCGTACCACTGGCCTTCCATGACAGTCTCGATGCTGTCGGCGATGATCTCGCGTGATTGAAGGGAGTAGCGCATGCCGGTGGTGCCCATACTGATGCCGTCGCTGACACCGATGGTGTTGAACTGCATGGGTTGGAGACCGGCTTCGGCGACGCCGCGGCGAACGACGTTGGAGAGGTCCATTAGGTGCATGTTGCAGGGGTTGCCCGAGAACCAAACCGAGGAGATGCCGACTTGTGGCTTCTGGAGGTCTTCTTTTGTCATGCCGGTGCCGAAGAGCATGGCCTGGGAGGCACCTTGTGATTTGGGAGACGTTATGGTGGAGGAGATCTTGTTCAGGCCCATCAGGTCGGATGTCGTGTCTTTGGGAGTGGCTTGCCGGGTGGCCGGGGACGTTGCGAAGGTGCGTCTGGGGTAATGGTCAGCCATAGCCTTTCAGAATCAAGTTGCAGATGAATAACATGGTACGCACTTGTTGTAGACGCCCCGTGTGGTGCGTCTGACCGCGGTAGAGAACATGCTGCCGCTACGGAACGACAACGTAGCCGCCATATCTCAAGACGAAGGCCCAGCAGTAGGGCCCTCGAGCCAGTCTATTCACTCTCTCTTGCTCGATATTGCTGCTCGCACCTTTGCTGCAATGCTCGAAGGCCTCACAATGCGCCTCAAACCGCAGAAGTCGAGATCGAAAGTTTGAGGAAGTCCAGGACGCGATGTCCCCGCTCAAGCACTAGTTCTCACTCGCACCTGCTCGAATACCGTACCACAACACCTTGACTCACAACAGCAGCGTCGAATCTGGGGAAGTCACCGGTCAACTCAGCGCAATGTAATCGCCAGCATCGAGCAGTTCCATAAGAAATTTCCCCAAAACCGAACGCCCTCCGCATTTCGCGTTGGAGCTCACGGCTTTCTCTTACAACTCCACTCCCATTGATACTGCCCAATCAGGGTGCTGGTATTGGCAGCTACGAGTCCGGAGTCGTGCGCTGCTCCCCGGCAAGGCGGCTTGGAAAGGGGATGGACATGAATGAAATTCTGTGAAGCACGGCGTGTACAAGATCAGTGAGACAGTAAGGCTAGAGGCAGATCGCCTTGCATATGCACTGTTTGAGAATCGTGTTCTCAGGTCATTCATTCCTGTACATCACCCGTGTCGCTCCCCCAAGGCACAACCTTCAGGAGAAGATCGGTAGTGCCACCTGGGAGTACACAACAAAATAGTCTTACATAGCCTCCTCCTCGACCCACCGCAGACCGCCATCGATGTTAACCCCATCAGTGACCCAAGGCATCTGGCGAATCTCCTCCAACGGTTTCCGGCGAGTGTTGCGCTTCAACAAGCTATCAACACACTGAAAGCTCCTTGCAAGTCTTTCCCCTTCTCCGCATCCCAATCTCCATCCTCATCACCGTACCGCACCCAAGACCACTCGATGCGGGCAATCCGGTGAGGTGTCCGGGCTCGTAGGATGGCTGGGTCGCCCCTGGCTCCAGGAACAGGGTCGAAGGGCAGGCGGCCCTCCATGAGTGAGTACAACAGCACCCCAAGCGCCCACGCATCGGTCTGTCGTCCGTCGTAGGGCTGGCCCATCAGTATTTCGGGCGCCGCGTAGTCTTCGCTGCCGCAGCGAGTGGTGAGGAGTGGACTTTCCGGTGGTTCGGGTATTCGCCTTGACAAACCCAGGTCTGTCAGCGTAATCACTGCTCGATCGAGGGTTTGCCAGTCCGGAACGTCTTTGTGCACGTGAAGTGGTATGTTCAGGAGGACATCTATACAGGTTAGCATGTTCGTGGTTTGTAATACGCGAATGACCTACTCTCAAGCTTGATGTCTCGGTGAACGATGTACTTCTGATGAAGGTACCGCACGGCCGAGACTAGCTCTGCAAATATCCTCCGCACAAGGGGTGGTGTGAGAACCTCGAGCTTCGTGCTTGCGACTTCGAACAGATCGCCCCCAGGGCAGTAGTTCATGACAAGAAGAGCACGAAGAGTGCCGTCGGTGCCAAACGCCTTCAGGTGCACCAATGACGGGTGCTTGACCGCTTTCAACAGCTCCACTTCGCGCTTCAACGATGTTTCGACACGTTCCGCGTCTGCACCACCAGCAGGGCCATGCTCAACCACTTTAACTGCCACCAGCCGCCGTGATCTTGCTTTCACGCCAGCCAGATTGACGCTATCAGCTGTGTAGTCGATTGTATCTCGTCGCTCTGGCATTTTGCGCACCGCTAGCCATACTTTACTGAACGTCCCGGTGCCCAGTTCTTGGATTGCTTCATACGATCGCGGCTGATCAGAGTAGACACTGCTCGCAACGAAAACTTCCCTTTTCTGTCTTTTGGGCGACGGCTCCTCATCATGTGTCGCGTCATGCCTAATTGACGGTGGATGGTGAGGGACCGTCGGTGTGACCAGTCCTCGCGTCTCTCCTAGGTATTCCTCTCGATGCAGCGCAGTCTTGGGAGAGCTTACCTCGATCGGCGGCCCACTGCCAGACACCGATATGTTCTTGGTCTTTGGGAATGCTATGGCTTCCGGCACGTACTCACTAATGCTGCGGTTTCGCGCGTGATCGTCTCGGTCGTCTTCGTCGATCGATTGTCGAGATGTGTGCAAGCTGGGATAGCCTTTCCTACGGGGAGAGCTCGGAGAGGAGGACAGTGGTGGGAAGACTGACGGTGGCAGATCGGACCTGGAGGATATAGATGAACCTCTTGATCTTGTTCTTGCCACATGCTTCCACGACTCGAAAGCGCTCATGGTCGGCGACGGTAGCGGCGTTATGTCCAGCATGGCTGCTATCTGCGGCGAGCCGATGACGGACCCAGGCGAAAGCGAGCCTGCCGTTGAATGTAGTGCTGCTCGTATACTCGGTGCTCGACGAGGTAGACTGGCTTGCGAGGCGCTCGTTCGCAGAAGGTACTCGGAGCCCATGGACTGATCAGATCCCTGCCGACGTACGGCGCCAACATCTGTTCGGATGTGCAGTCCATTCAGCAGGGTAGCTGCATCTCTCGAGGACGTCGTGGAGGAAGCTGTATTCTCGCGCCGACTGGAATGACTCCAGTGTTGGGCCTCTTCGCTCTTGCCATTCTGATTGTTGCCGCCGATGTTGATCGGCGACGAGGCCATGGCCAACTTGTCGAGCGGATTGACGTAGTCCGGCTGTGGAGGCGGCGTGAGAAGGACATGTCCACCGAAATCGTAGTCATCCTGAACGGAGCAGCCATGCAGCTTCTGCTGGTCCGCAATTCGTTCGGAGGAAGGTGGAGACATATGTCTGAGGCTCGAAGGATGATTGTTCACCTGCAGATCTCGAAGCTGGCCTGGTCGTTGTGAGTCGGGCATGACGGGCCTTAGGGGCTGCTCGTGCTCGAGGAGCCGGACACGACAACGCGAGGGGCAAGGCCCAGACGAGGCCTCAATAGCGACAGCATGCACGGGTTCGTCGTGGGCTTTTGCCGCAGAAAGCGATAACGATGTCTATGGTGGCACAACAGAACAAGGAAAATCCGGACGCTGTGTTGTAGTACAAATGCGAGGTTATCGTCACGTTGTGTTCATGCATCGTCAATATCAACGCCGCGTTCTTCGGGGCTCGGGGCGACGAATCGCAAGGCCAATCATGTGTGCTTGCTCGAGGACGTGCCGAAACCTTGCCGGACTTGATGTCACTAGACAAGCTGTTCCTGCATTTCATGTGGAGGCACACTATCCTCACTACCAAGTATGGGCCTCTGTCTTGGAAAGTCCGCGAGGACAATGTGCTATTCAACTCGCTATCAAGTTACTAAAGTCCCAACTTTTGATTCCCTGGTGTGATATAACACGATGCAGCCAGGGTTGTCTCCTTCCGTTGTAACACACCCTACCTATGCTGTCACCGCTGTGGCGAGTTCAAATGCGGCCACGAACATGTTGCTAGATTGTCAAACCTATCTCCTCCAGGCGTGCGAAAGCTTTTGCGACGATTGATTCTAGATTCGAGTCAGCATAGAAGGTCCGGTGAAAGCGGAGAAACTGTTTCTTACCAGCAGCAGCCGCCTCAGCTGGGTTCATCTCATCGACGACGTCGAAGGTGTCCGTATGCAGCGGTTTAAGCACCCTCGCGGTTGAGCCCATGTGAGCACTGCTTCTCGTTAAATCGTGTGACCTCCTCCGGTCATCAAAACTGACCTGTGCATGTCTACAACATTGATCTTAAATAAGTACCGCCCTGGTAATGCGATCGCTAATCCAGGGAAGCTTGCGTACGCAAATGCTGAGCTCTCCTGACCTTGAACATCAGGCAGGCTACGAATGGACGCAACCGGCTGGCCCAACAGCAATTCTGGGTGAGGCGGAGCCAGGCTCGTTGACCCATCTGCACTCATGAGTGATACAAATGCCCAAACACCACCAAAGCTCTGATTCTGACGACTTAGGGCGTTGGGTGCAGCGGCCTTACTCTTGGTCGACCTGAGCAGTACAACGAGCGGCCAACGTAATTGCGACCCGGCGGCGATATGTGCCGGCGGGTCGGACGCGAGCTCCATCTCCACCTGAGGCGGCTCTTCAGAAGGTTGCTTCTCTATTGCACTGCCGGTCTGTTCGGTTTCGATGTTGCTCTCACTCGGTAGTGCGCTGGTCTCTGGCGGCGGAGATGGGTCTTGGCGTTCTATGGGCTGATCAGCTGTTGTCGCTGCCGGGCCTGTCACAGTCGGGTCTGTAATAGACAATTCTGATCGTTGAATCGATACTGTATCAAACAGCTCTGGAGTCTGAGTTGATACCGTATCAGATAAATCTGGATTTTGAGTCGGGACCGTATCGGACAATTCTGGACTTTGAGTCTGGTCGGTCTTCGTTGACTCCTCCGACATACGGGAAGCTGGCTCATTGAGGGCAATCCCACTGATGCTGGGCAAACTTCTCGGCGATACGATCACAAGAGCTCTGCTCTTAAAACTTGTTGCATGTCTAGGCCAGCTATTGCTTGGACTAAGCACCGGCGCAGAGAGACCTTAGCTTCGAAGAGGTAGGCGATCTTGGAGCCGTTGGTCTGTTGCTGTACAGTTGGTTGATTCGACTTTATCCGTAGTGAACCGTTTGCACGAATCGCTTTGTATCAATGTAACCTTAGCTTCAGGGTCTGGTGCATTCTTAAAACTGAGTGAGGCAGTCTCGACCTTGATATATCCAGGGCTTGCGAAGGGGGCCAGTACATGGCTTTCAACCGGTGAATCATAGATGGCTTTCCACGTCGCTGACAACAACATCAACACGAGTGTCTTCATCTTGTTCCCCCAAGCCAGCGGTACTCAAAGTCAAACACATCTCGTGTTTACCAAAAATTTCAAATCTCGAACAGTGGACGATCAATTCCTCGATATCACCGAATTTGAAACGGTGGTCCCCAAAACGCATATGCTGGCGTTGAATGGACAGTACTTGCTGGGATCCTTGGAAAATGTGGCGTCGAGAAGACGAAAGTGATCGCGAACGTGTTCAAGCATACTAAAAGATCGCTTGAGTAACGCGAGATCTGGCATGCGCGATCAGATCCGAACGTGATCGATGTATCTTCGCCTTGGTGTACTAAACAACGAATGGGGACGAATGGGGACGAATGCGGTACCGCCTTTGTGGATCAAGATACTTTACAAATAGTTGGAATATCCCGAGAGTAGGGCATGCAGTTAGAGACGTCGTATGTCATCCCTTGCCGTCTTGTGGCGCAGTCTGCTCATGTAGACCCTTTCTTGGGCCTTCGAGAGTGATGAAACGAAATTGATCCGGCTTTAATAGACGTCATATCAACAGTACAAGTGTGTGGTCCGAATAGCGTACCGGGTACTGTAGATGTCGGAGGGTCCGAATGTGGTAATGTCGATCATCTCTAGGCAGCCTTGCTCAAATCAGAAGCGGCAGCTGTCAACCCTGTCAGATCGACCCGCAGGGGAAAGCCTCATCTTGAAGGCAGGTTCCTTGACCTGCAACAGGCGTTGAAACGCGGGTGTTCGTAGACACACTCAAAAGCTTGCGGACCAGTTTCCGGATGCGTACATTTGCACTTGACCACCACATTATCATATCCAATAAGCATCACGATGTTGGCATAGGAGCAGACGCCGCTGCTTTTGTTAAAACGGCAGCGTAGGTCATGCAGCGTGCGGGATCGGCGTTTGAGGCGTTCGTTCGCTTGTGTGTCGATCTATCCTAGTCGAGTCGAGCATCGTGGTCAGCGCGTGCTGGAGGCGTGTGTACAGAACATGGCAACTAGGTCGCAGCGTGGCTGATGCTGGCGATCTTTGCGCTTAGGAGAGAAATTGCTACCAAGGCTTGTCGTTACTACTGTTCATTCTGGCCTTTACTATTCCAGGTGAAACAACAAGAAGGAACGCCTCGCGTAGGTGGGGCGGTTGCCTTCCTGGACCCTTTAGACCTCGCCTCACTTTGAATTTATCCTCCCTAGCACTATCTTTGATTTCCAAAACTTCTTGAGCCATACTACACTCCGCCCACGTGTTTTGTAGAGTGCGAGGGGGTCCAGTGTCCCAGGGCTGAAGCAGCTCTCAACAATGGACGCTATCTCCATCTGTCCAGGGAACAACGCGGTCATAGCCAACTGAGTCGAGCACTTCAAGCCCCCGCATCCGAATCTGCAAGACTGCATCTGCGAATAGTACCGGCGGAAATGGCGGATGTCAGAAGCAGCTTGACGCTTTTGGCAGGCACGAAGCTCGCGGCTAGCAAAGTCTCTGGCCTGTCCTACTGGGTCTCTACCGTGCCCTGGAACAGGACTTCAGCATAGCAATGTCTGTTCAGAGAATCGCGCTTCTGAGACTCGACAGAACCAAGGCGGCATCTTCCTGACAAGCAACTGCTCTACTTGGAGATTTCCGCGGTCCCAGGCATAGTCCATTCTGTCACTTTACCGAGTCCGAAAGCGGACTTCTGTCACGGCGCGGGAACGATCTCGGACAGTGCTCACACGACGCCTGAGAGCACGGACATCATACCCGCTGGTTTTGTTAAGATCGGACAAGGCTGATCCCTCGTTTCATCAGGTGAGAAAAGTACACAGCAGTTCAGGCGGAGAGTTTAGATGCAGGGGGTTGTCAATTGGCGCTTTGGCCACTGCAGACTGACGCATGCTCCTGAGCAGAGTCAACCAACGTCAATGACTGTGTATACTCAAATCAACGTCGCAGGTGGACCACAATGCGCAAATGGAGGTTGGTTCATACAAAGGTCTCAGCAACGAAGCCCATCATAATCATGGTGCAGTAGTGATGCAATGGAACACTCACATGCCCATCGCTCTCTCAGGCACGCCGCGGACAGAGCGTACAGAAATTACAAATCTCGGGATCCTGGATATGAACCGTCCGCTTGGCATTCGAAGCCCTTGTCCTTAGTCCAGCGGCTCAAAAGAACCCTGCTGCCCGTCTCGGTATGCCTGCATGCGAGCTCCTTCACTCATCTGGCAACGTCGATGCTGTCAGGTTGCGTGGCTCCAGCATAGTCAGGCCGTTTCGACTTCGAACAATAATGCATTCAAACAAAATTGCACCTTCCCTAGTCGTCCAGAATATGCAGCTAAATACCTACATGTTCAACGCCCCAACCCCTCTCCGAATGCTAATCGACGCTATAAGGACTCCTGAGGCACTCGACATCCCAGGGCTCGTCTCCTTTGCCATCGTTCTTGGATTGTTGCAATATTCGCCCAAACTCTTCTGCATTCACTCTGTTTCGTCTACTTCCCGGACCCGAGCTTCCTGGATGTGTAAGGTAGTCTATAACCATGCCTGAGGTAGAACGTTTGCTGGACGTCTGTTGTGGAGGGGTCTGCTTGGATGTTACAAATGACGCTCCATCGTCGTTGTCGTCTTGTTCGTGGATGTCATCACCGTCATCGTCCGGTCTCGGGTCCCGCTCACCTCCGCGGCGGACCTCTCCTTGAGCTTCTGGCTTTGTTGGCGTGTTCTCATCCTCCACCTGCTGGGCTGGTGCTGCCTTTGTAGGCGAGTCATCCATAGGCGTTGCGTCGTGGTATTCGTTCGGACTGTCCTCCGCGTTCTCCCTTTTGTGGTCGTTCGTTGGAGCTAGTGGAGGAGAATGGTGCTGGATCTCAGGTGGCGGCTCGATTCGGCTGTGGCCCCGGTCAGGACTACTGCTTCGAGTATTGATCCGCGTCGCTATCGGTGTGGCATTGAGGTCTTCGTCCTGCTCGTCTACATCGAGTCTGTCTTCCGCTTTTCGAGGCGGCGTGTGCGGCTCCTGCCGTGCAGGGACAGTGTTGGGATACATATCAATGCCCACACCTGGCGCAGAGTCGGACGTGGATTCATTTAAGGGTCGGCCACGTGGTCTTGACTCTTGATGAGCCTTGATGTCTGATGCGATTTCCGAAGCAGCATTTGTGGACGCTGCAGGTGGTGAATCAGAGTCTTCATGCTGGGCATCTTGCTCAAGCTGCGGACCAGTTAGCCCTGGCCAGCGATGAGGTGCGAACAGATCTCATTTCGTACTCACAGGCTTCTCGGATGACGGCGCTTCTCTGGGCTGAGTAGTAGTCTGGGCCTCATCGTCTTTGGCAAAATCCCTATTCGCGCCACCATCGCCTTCGCTCGTCAGAGGCGGCCCTTGGCTGGCTATGCGAACAGGCTTGATTGGTAGGTCCAGTTTGGTTTTCGTCCCGCTCTTTGGCGAGTCGTTGGACTCAGGTGACTTTGGGGACTTCGCTGAAGTGGCCGAACCGTTATCCGTTGTATTGACATTAGCTTTGGCGTCTGCTTCAACCTTCTTGGTGTGCTTCTGCTTTGATGCCGTTGCTTTATCGACAAAGACTACCATCCACACACCAGGTCTGTCGTCAGAGCCAAGCATGGGCGTGGCAGATATCCAGCAAGCTCTGCCCAGTTCGCCATCTTCATGCTTGTAACCAGTGGCAATCTTCGTGCCATCGTGGTTCTTGGTTGCCTCTGGGCTGAAGGATATTTTCGCAGAGACAGGCACCCCAGCAAGAAAGCTTTCCTTCAATCCTGCCAAGGTCCGAGGCGGCCCGGCTACATGTGACATAAACCGAGTCTGAACATGTTTGACGTATTTCTGTATTTTCCTTGAGACAAATATGATTCTCATCGACGGAGCAGGGCGAATCAGCATGAACGTGTCGTACACGCCAGGTAGACCGCCCGTCAGCTTTCCTGGAGGACCTTCTTGCGCCAGCTTCCAAGCATCCGCTGACGTCTGGGTCTGCGTATCGTCGTCTTCGTCTTCAGTTTCCGAAGATGAGTCGGAAACAAAGAGTCGACGTAGGGCTTTGGGCCTGTCGACGCTGGCTATACTGTCATCGTCCCTTGCGATCGAGCTGGAGCGACTATGTGTTTGCACCACTGCAGACTCTTCGAGATCAAACATTTCGCTCAATTCACGCAGCTTACTGAGCTGCTCCTCCTTACATCGATCATTTTCGTTGGTACGACCTCTGCCCCGAGGCTGCCGACTTTCGAGGTACTTTGCGAAAAAGTCCAGACCTCTCCCGTTCTCAACCAAGCCCGATATGTCCACCTGAGCTCCGATGTGGTATTTTACCTTGCCCTTGTCATCGTGCAGTGGTGCGATCATGAGCAGATTGACGAATGGTCGTCCGTCTCTTCTGTAATTTAGCAAGGCCTCGCACGTTAATTCCCCTTTCTGGATCGCCTCTTTCAGTCGCCGTGGAGACTCTCGCAAAGTCTTCGGGCCTTGCAAAAATCGGCAGTTGTGGCCAATGACATCGTCACTACCATACCCAGTGTATCGATAAAACTCTTCGGAAGCATAGATAATGGGGTTGTCTGGCTGGTTGGGGTCTGTGAGACAGAAGACCTCTGACAGTCCGCCCACCAGGTTTTGCATAACAGCACTCTGCTTGCCAGTAATTTCATTCGTCAGACACTCCGATACTACTTTGATCAGACTGTAGGTGACGAACATCGGCAAAGCTGTGCCGACTAGGGCATTGAACGCGGTGTTCGAGGCATCTTCGAACGCTTCGTCTAACTTGGCGGCAGATCTTGGAGATGTTTTCTTTGATACTTCCCCCTGACTGAGCACGGCCCCAGCAGCTACGGCGTTGGCATACTCGATGGCAGCGATAGCTTTCCGGGTCTCAAGGTATCCCAGGATCAGCGGTTGATACTCTGGCTTGTATTTGTTGAGAAACGCTGTAAAACGTGCGATCGACTGTGGATCATGCAGTATCGAGTTTAGATGACCCGCCGAGAACAGAAGCTCTGTGGTCGTTTCTAGAGACTCTCGCTTTGGCTTAGGAGCTGGCGGGCGCAAATCGAAGTCTTCGCCCTCGTTGTCGTCAGACACCTCAGGCTCGTCCTTCGGTGCCATGGGTTGCTTGGGTGGCTTCTCTCTGGTTTCTGTTCCCGAACTTTGTTGCTTGGCCGGCGGCGGTGATGCTTCGGCGACGTCTTTCGTGGTTTGAGTCGGCTGCTGATCTTTGGTCTTCTGTGGTTGCTTCGGTTCACTGTCTTCGTGCTTGCGCGTTGGCTTGCCTTTACGTTCCGGTCGAGCCTTTTCCGTTTGCGACAGCTGATCTTTGCCAGGAGCTCTGACAAGTTTCGGTCCAGGCTTTGATTCAGGTTTTGGGGCTGCCGGCGGTGCTTGGCCGAATCGACCTGATGCCACTGCCTCTTTTGGCGGTCTTTGTCGTTCGCGCAATTTTCGTGACCGACCAGATCGAAGTCGTAGGCTCTGCTTCAGTCTCTCGAAATCCATCACTGACTTAAGCGTGACTCAGGAAGCAGGCAGTATAGAACACCGGAAGATGAGCACGGGGGCCATAGCTCCATGTACGCCAATGAAGATTTAACAGAGACGAAGACTGACTGTGCATGTACTTTCCTGAGTAGCTATGGTGGAGTGAACAAGTGTCTATACTGATATCGAGGCACATCATCAAGTAGTCTCGAATCGTCATAGAGCATGATGTAGGTAGCCAGCATGGATTGGTTCATAGGAGCGGGGCAATACAAGGTTAGCATCAAGCAGGGCTGGTTCTGGCGAGACCAAGGATTGGGAAGCGGAAAAGGGCTTGATAGCATCTGCTGCGCCGCGAGTGGCGGTGCGCCTTTGTGGGTGGTAGAGTCGATGCTAATGACAGATGCTGGCAGTGGAAATGGACGATGATTTTGCGTGTTGCTGAGAGTTCGGAATTGTGGATTCTCATCACAGATCCGAGTCGATCTTCCCGATCCCTAGAGCATTTCGAACAGCAAAACTTGGAAAGCCCAGCCTGGATGCAAAGCGAGTGAAATGCATTGCTTTTTATTATTACTACTCAGGCTCATCATTCATGCAACTATGCTACAGCTACGCCTCGAGTCGATACTGGGCAGCTTCACGCAACCTTAGAATTCAAGGACCCTTCTTATGCGACATGAAGAGGCTGCCGCCTCAGACCATCACCAATATGTGTAATTGCCAGGTCTATTGCACCCTTCTGATCGGCCGTCGTATGCTCAGACCGCAGACATGCCTTCAGCGGTATGACCAGCTGCAGAGCAGCAACGACGTTGATTTCCTGGAACGTCCTTCCAGGCCACTTGCCAGATGCTGCAGAATTGAACGTGCCTCTGTTCGAAACATCACCAATTGCATAAGCTGTCATTCCAATCAATGCTGATGCCGCGCTTCGAATATGAAGCTTGTAGCTCTCGATCTGCAAACTGTCCGCCAGTTTCGTCGCTTCTGTGGCAGCAGGGCTGGTCGCATTCATCTGAGACAGCTCAATCAACGCCTCATAAAGCTTCAGCCTCCCGATATGAAATCTGATCCAGTACAGGTATACCCATGGCGAAAAGAACCAACACTGCGCGAGTGTCGGATATATTGCCCATGTCGTGCCCTTGGCTGGTGATTGAATTGGCATGCTGTCCCAATAGTCTTCGTGTTTGCTCCAGTCCACCATTTCCTTGTCGACAGATTCACCATAGCTAATGAACTCGTTGGCCTGCTTAATGAAGGCTTCGTCGTCGTCAGACTGCCGTCGAGCGAACAGAAAGGCGTTGATCTTCTCTATAAGTCGTGCGACCTTATGGAAAAAGGCTGTTGCCGTGTTGGCAGTCTTCGACGGAGTGAATTCGTGCTCTTCCTTCCAGACGTCCATCTCCATCTCATCAAATTCGCGGCTTGTGACAGAGTTGAGTATGAAAAGTCGCATCTGTATGGCTGCCTTGAATACTCGATACATCTTCTCGCCTTGAGGCGTTCTCAATTGAGATGATCCTCTCATCTTCATCAATTGCATGGCACCTCGAACGTGCGAAATATGCGATTGCCATTCCTCCTCCAGAGTCCGCGTCTGACCTATACGCCTATGGTTGAGGATGGACTGGACCGCCTCATACGTACTCAACAGCCAGACAGCTAAGAAGGTGTCATCATCGTAGGCTTTCGTTGGGTCCCTCAATCGCTTCGAGGCCATGACCAGGGCTTCCCCGTATTCATGTCCGGTCTGTAGTCTCACATCAGTGCCGCTGTACTGGTCAGCAAGCGACATTCTCGAGACAGCCAGCGCAGCTTTCGATGCAGCAGAGTCGGATCCAAAGTCTTCCATCATGCTTGGCAAGAAGTCAAGCACTGGGAAGTCGTAGCGCTTCTGTCCTTGGTAGCAAAACAAGTTGACAAAGAAGCATATTGACTGGTGATCCACGTTATACTTTGGTGCTGAATGCAACTGATCTGGCGAGTCCTTCTCACGTTTCACCTTCTCATGCTCCGCGTCGTCTGGCGTGCGCCTTTCCACACTATACTGTGACGAAAGGATGGGCACCCGCTGGGGCGCACTAGTGGCGATGGGATAGCCATACTGTGGAGGACTGATTTGAGTTGCATCGTATGTCGTAGGCCCTACTGCCGTCGTCGGTGGCAGTGGTCTGAGATTCAGTTCGATCTGAAATGGATAGCCTGGGCACACTTTCCGAGCCTGTGCGCACCGGCGGCAGCCTGGGCGGGTTTCATCGCACTGCACAGATGTGAGCAAGTCATCGTCGGGAGAAAGAAGCAGAACCTGACCTTGATCTTCCTTTTCCTACATAGGGAACATCCCGTACTGGACCTGCCGACGTTCGGCATGTGTCATCGATGGATCGATGGAGGGGTAATCCTTTTCGCGGCGCCGTGATCAGGTCGGATGCTGCCTCGTCGGCCGCGACGAGGTCAATCTCATATCCAAAGGACAACGGTATCGTTTTCGATTACGAGCAACAGATCTGCGCCAGAGACTCAAGCTCCCGAAAGTGTGATGCTTTTTTATTTTGTACCTGATCTTCCGTGTCGATCTTACGTTGGCAAAAGTACAAGCTTAAAGTCAGAAGAGGGGTTGGCCTGCCTGAATATAAGGCAGTGACCGTGTTCAGTCTCGGTGCTTGACTCTCGATTGCGAGCGCAGGCCTATCATTAACAATTCACAAGCAGTCAGGATCTGCGTTGAGATGCTGTTCTCGTCCGATGGTAGCTGAAAGAGTGTGCTTCGCCTTTTTGAACCCCGGCTTTAACCACCACTAGGGGTAATGGGGCATCCCCGATTAGGGAGGACGAGACCTGAAAAAGACCCGTGACGCCACACTGCCGAGGCATCCTGCACGACCGTTGGGACTTGAGACGCACGGACGCATCTCCAAATGTTGGCGAGACATAGGTTGCATTGGTGCATCGCACAAGTGATGTTCTTTGCATCGTAGCGAGACCTTTCCGGGCGCTTGTCGGTGCTGGCCGGATCAGTTGCGGCGATACTCCTCGGAAATGGGCTCCATGCCCCATAGTCTGGACCTGACATGTTCCTCGTGGACTCCGTGGGATCTACTCTGTGCTTGTGCACTTACGAGCGGCCCAAGAGTGCCAGTAGTGCCCTCAGAAACACGCCGATCGATTGTCAAACATGTGTATAGAGACTAAAAGCACTCCTATCTTTCCAAATGAGCAGGTCCGACTACTCGATCTGCCCAAGCGACGGACGATTTCGATCTGCTCAAGCGAAAGCGCTCGTATTTTCAGCTGATTTGTACGATGTTTTTATACGATGTTCCACCGAACATATACCAACCAGGTTCGCCGGAGAGCTCTTGCTGAAATTCTCACTTCGTTGCCATCCACCAGGAACCAGAGCAGAACGGATAGTCTGTCTGCCCGATCTCACAGAGCGCTGACAGTTCAAGCACACCTGTATCTGTGACGCCGCCGTGGTCCAGGACCTTGTCGAAAGCGGGACTCTGGGATGCCGGAGCTGAACAGGCGCTGGTGGACGGACAACTGGTCTTGAAGCTTCAGATCGCTCATCAGCATCACTATCGCTGTACGAGTCGCAATAAGTGATATTTAGGGTGCCTAATGGAGCCTCGATTCTAGCCAGTAGCGCATATATATCGGTGTTCGAAGCCAATGTGAATAGTCTCCCTGCTGGTCAGCATTAATGACGATGCTGTCGAGTATACTCTGCAGGTTGCTGAGGCTTGATCATAGCCTTGCCGAGGCGGCCTTCGCCTACGTGTTGACCACTACAGACGCATCATACACAAATGCCATCCTCGCATTCTGAATTAGCAATTCCGTCGATATAGACGGACTGCTATGACGAGCTCTCGTCCGGTAGACGATTCACATGTGGCACAGTCTGTCAGTCTCCGGCGAAGTTCTTACTCGAAGGACTTCCTGGGTGCAGTTCGCACGGCTCGTGTAGCAGTCTTGTCTGAATCGCAGAAGCGGCAACAAGTCTTACCTGTAGTACTGTGGCATACGAGGAGTATTCTGAAACAATGGCGTTAGTATAGCATTAAGGGTTGTTAGATCTGCTGGACTGTGGACACTTGACATAGTGGCTGTGTAGGCTTTCTTGAGAGAGAGAGAGAGAGAGAGAGAGAGTACTGGACTCAGTGAATGTAATGAAGGAAGTAGCTATCACTGCGTTCATGCTAAAGAATCCGCTGAACCTCTACGCACGTGACGAGGCTACGAGGCAGCCTTCTGACCTCGAATGTAACCACCTGCGAAGTATAGGTGCATTCTAAGATCGTCCATGGACCGGCGGAAACTGCAGAGGGACAACAGCGAGTCTCTAGCCATGTCGAGATAGCCTCCGAACTTGAGCGCGCGACCAAATATGGCTTCGAGGTTGATCCTAGTGATCGGAGACCTCTTCATCCCAGATCGTGCACCAGTGAGCGCCGCACACCTACTATGGCGACAAGGTTCTGACGAGTACAGGATATCCCGGCAAAGGTGCGCCCGAGCTTCTACAATGCGATAGCCTAAATTGACCAGCAGATCAGTTCCGGAAACTCCTGACGCCAGGCAAGATAGGCCAGATCATCTGTCTAGGCAACATCACAGACCGAGAAACATACGATTTCCTCCGCCAAACAGCGCCAGATCTGCACATCGTCAAGGGAGACTTCGACACCGAAGCGACGAATCTTGCGCTCTCGAAAGTTGTTCAACATGGCGGGCTAAGACTGGGCTTCACACACGGCCACACGATAATACCGCAAGGCGATGCAGAGAGCTTGCTGATTGCAGCACGGCAGATGGATGTCGACGTGCTGCTCTGGGGTGGAACACATAAGTTCGAGGCATATGAGCTTGAGGGAAAGTTCTTCGTGAATCCCGGGTCGGCGACGGGGGCATTTAGTACTTCGTGGCAGGCGATTGAGGAAGAGCCTACACCGAGCTTTTGCTTGATGGATGTAAGTCCGAGAGATGAGTGGTGCTTTACGACGAGCTGACTATCGCAGGTGCAAGGTGATAACTTGATATTATATGTCTATCAGCTACGGACAGACGAGCACGGGAATGAGAATGTGGCAGTAGAGAAAGTCTCGTTCCGGAAACCGATGCCGGAGACAACAGCAGAATGAACGCAATGACTGTGGAGGACGACTAAAGCCACGCTGGTATCGAACCAGTCAGATGCATTGACAGCATAGGGTCGGGCTGTGCATCAGATATTGATGAGCCGGGAACGACGTGCGAACCCCTCCTGACATGCCCACTAATTTGAGATCTTGTCGGGAAGCCATCACAAGTTGGAGCGTGTTATTGGTATCATGAACCGAAGACGCTTAGCGTCGGCAGCCAGGCAAAGCTGAATACATGCAGGACCATCAGTCGGTCCACCCCGTCTGTTGGCTGGGCTCTGATGTCAGGGACTACTAGCAGCCACAGTGTGGAGAAAAAGATTCCCTTGTTGGCACAATGTTCTCGCTTATCTATCTCATCTCATCTTGTTGAAGCAGAAAGTGTTCTCGGCGACAGGTACGATGGTCTCCTGACCAGGGCCACTGCTGTATGCAGTCGAGCGTCTGGTCCGATGCTTTTGGTAACAACGATGCCCGAGGGCTGGCCACCCATCCTCTCAGCATTTCTCGTGGTCGGTTGTACATGACCATAAGCAGGGACTAGGCTTACAGCATCTCGTCTGCGAGAGCCTGAGCCCTCTTGGCCAGCTCTGATCTCCTATTGCGTTCTTGTTCAAAGTCCTGTCAAGTAAGTCAGCAACATAGGCATATACAATCCAAGGAATTTCACCTTGTAGATCTCATTGATGCTCTTGTTCGTCTCCTTGGAAAGGGCTTTGATAGCATGCTCAAGCTCCGTGATGTTAGACTCTTCGTCTTGTCGAAATTGCATGTTCTGGAAATGCACTGCGTTTGCCTGGGCGAGTACGCTAGAGAGCTCTGGGCGGACATGCTTGCTGTTGATGTGTATGTTCTCGAGTCCGAAGATCTTGACAGCCAGAATTATCATCTTCTGCTGGACATCGTTCCATTCGGCCAAATGGTCGCAGAGCTCATCGTTCTTGACTTGAACGAAGTCCTCGAATGCCCGTGCACGATCTCGGATAAGCACCTCTTGCTCCCTGTACTTCTTCTGCTTGTCGTCCGAGTCCACCTTATCAGCCTTCACACGAACCTTGACTTTCTCGTCGAACAGATTGATGGTGACCTTGGACTCTACGTTCGCCAACAACTGAAGCTTCTCGCTGAATTGAGCCTGGAGAGCGTCAACAGCATCCCTCTGGCGAGTCTCGGTCTCCTTGAGGGTATTCTCGGTCTGCTGTAGGATGTTGTCGCGGTGTTCATCGAGCTGGGCTAAGAAAGATTAGTAAAAGTTCGGGTTGCCCAGCTCCGATACGCACCAGTAAGGCGTTGAGCCAGACCAGGTTTCGTAGGTTCCAGGCGGGACTTCCTTGAGTTCACGAATTTGCTAGAGTCCCGTGCTCGCGGTGTAGGCGCAGAGCGACTGATGGGCGTCTTTGTCATGCTCGTTCTTGGTGCATGACGATGGTTTGGGTCGCTGACTCGAGCCTTTGGCTTCTCTCGCGGCCGAGCTTGAGGCAGTGGCTGCATTTGCATCATGCTGGCCGAGGGAGCGCTCTGTAGGAGGATAAAGAAAGTGCATAAAGAAATGCCGTAGTCATCGAAATGTTGACCGAACAATTGTGGCCCGTGGAAATCGATATGGGACGATTGCCGCGACTGCCTCTTCCGACTACGACTCCCTCGCACACTCACACCACCACTACTGACATGGCCTGAATCCCAGCTCGACGACTACACTTACTTTTCCACATTCCCCCTGCTTCGATACAAAAGTGTACAAATGCAGCACGCGCTCTCTCGCTATCGTACCTTACTTACACCTCAAGACCCTGTAGTTGACCTCACTTGCTAATCCTAGATTCCAACGAGCACATCTTCGGTCGGCATACTAGGCACCTATTGCCAGTTTTCTGGTCCGTCCATAAGAGCGACCTGAGTCGGCGACTGTGCGAAAGACTGGGGGACGTGTACGGTTCCCTCATGCCTAGACCACCGTCTTCAAAGCAGAAGTCCTACAGGGGCGTCCAGGCACGAGCCTCAATCTCAGACATCGGACATTACCAGCCACAAAGCCCTGCATCATCCCGGAAGATAAACCCTTTCTCCCTGTGGCTGTTCGATCCTCGAGACCCAAAATGTGTGAAACAGGGATCGCACGACTGGGATCATGCCCTCATACGTATGCCAAGCCCCGACCTTTCAGCACTTCTCACTGGTCAGCGCCACACTTGCTGTCGATCAGCTTCAGGGTTTGAGACGTCAAACCTGCTTCTGGTCATGTGGGAGGCCCACTTCTATTGACTACTGGCCAAGAATCAACGACTTAGTGGTCAGGGCTGACGAGGCCGTGTCGCTTTAGACGAAGATGGCACCTGCTCGGCGGCCTCTAGCGATAAGGGTATGACGTACCGTGGCTTTATGTGTCGTGCTACACCAGATAGCAAGGCACGAGGCAGGTTCGAGGACGTCTGAATATGTGACTATATAGAACAACGCCCCGAGCCGCCCACTCCAAAGTCTTTTCATATCCCAAAAAGCACAAACAACCAACTCGAAACAAGACTTCCTTCAAGCAGTCCATCATCCGTCCAAACCATCGACACAATCCCATAACCCACATCCACCACCAATTCCATCAAAATGCTCGGAACAAGACGCAGCCCACGCACCACCAGACACACCACCACAACCACCAAGCCCAGCCTCATGTCTCGCTTGACTGGTGGTCGTAGCCGCAAGACACACACCGTGTCTACAACCTCTGGCCCACGCACGACGCACAGCCGCCGAGCAGCTCCTGTCCACCACCAACGTCGCAAGACATCGATTGGCGACAAGGTTGCCGGTGCTCTGAAGAAAGTTCAGGGCAGCCTCACACACAACCCAGCCAAGAAAGCTGCCGGTACCCGTAGAATGCACGGCACAGACGGCCGCGGCAGTCGCCGGGTCTACTAGGCAACGCCTGATGCGAAGGTGCAAGGAGCGGCCATCGATGCCACAGAAGGAGTCATTCAACCATAAGTTGATGGATTGGACAGGCAAGAAGTTGGACGCCGCCAAAGTTGCGGTAGGACATGTCGATGATCGGACGCAGTGGCATTGATGGCCGAGTGCGCTTCATATGATATGAGTGACGACCGATACCATTTGTTGCAATAGTCAGTGTAAAATAATCTGCATTATCGAAACCTCTCATCCTTTCCTGCGCACTTCGTACAGAAACACTGAGTCATGGCGATCTGAGTCGCGCCATTCGTAGTGAACCTCTTCGACTGTGAAAGTGCGTAACATATCGCGAATGAAGCGCGTATCAGCTTTCCTACGCTTCTTGAAGCAGAAGTAGCAGACTGTGTTGGGACCGATCAGGTCTTTGAGCGTCTGTAGTAGAAGGGGGAAGGCAGGCTCGAAGTACACACAATCAGCGGCAAGTATAACGTCTGCGTGACCGGATGTGGTGGGAAAGCTGGGAGCAGGCTTGCTACCCCAATCATATACCTGTGCAGTGACCCTGTGCTCGAGACTGTTGAGCCCGATGTTCTTCTGCATCAGCGCTAGCATTGGTAGCTGATCGGTGAGGAGCAACTTCGTATCCAGCTTGCAGCCAGCCGCAACCGCAAGACCGGACAGACCGCCACCAGCACCAATCTCGATGATGTGCTTGCCTACCAGTGATTTGTGATAGGTGAGCATGTATTGAGCAAGAGTCATCCCAGCTGGCCACAGCTGCCCACCACAGCCTTCGCTCAGGTCTTCATGCAGCTTCAAAGAGGGAGACAGCAGACCGTTGAAGGACAAATCGGTCTGACCTGCCGCTTTGATCTCTCGTGGAGGAACCACAAAATCCGCAACCCCGAAAATATCGTTCTCTGGCGACGGTGAGCGCGATTGCGCCGATGCAGTTGCCATTACAGATGGTTTGCGAGAATCGACGACCATGAAATAATCCTGTTTGGCAGAGAATGTCACTGTAGCACGCCTGGAGAAACCTGCTATCACACAGATCTTCCTGCTGCTGGCTCCAGGTATCGATGAAGGCGCAACTGGACTACGCGGTTGCGCGATGTACCTGCAGATTCGAAGATCCGGGTGAACGTTTTGAGTTCAGCCAAGTCCTTTCATGATTGGCTAGGCGAGAACAACCGCGGTCATCGCATTGTGATCTTCTACCACCACTGCACTGCTCTCGACTGGACGTCCTCGAGGAGAGTGTATTTAAGTATGCGTGGGAAGAGAAGTCAGACGGTAGTCGTAGACTGCAGCAGTAAGTTGAGGACAAGCGCAGGCAATAACCTATGTAATTGTGATGTAAGGACGGTCGCGCCTTCCTCGGCCGCATAAGTTGGCAGCAGGTGATCATAGCAATGACGTATTTGGCAACAGTGGCTTGACAAGGAGGTAGCTTCACTCGTTAAAGAAAACAAAGTCGTACCGAATTCTTCCTCTTCTCTTCATCCACCATCACAATACTTCGCAATCCATCGATTCAGAACCCAATAATCAAGTTCTTTGACCAGATCATCCGCAATGGCCACCCTTCACTGTAAGCACACCCTCTTGACCTCCCCAGCTGCTGTGATGGCAGCCTCGGATGAATGATGACGCCACACTTTGAGGCGCTCGGACACTCATCGACGGTCTTCATGGTGGCCTCCCGATGATGCCGAAACCGCGGTGAACAGAAGAGGCCATCGATGAGTCTGTCTGTCTGTCTACATGAAAAACAATCAGCGTCCACACCGAACGGCTCAGCCAAGGCGAGCTCGCATCATCGTTGACATCAGCTAACCTTGCTCTCCCACAGACCTCCCACCCGTCAAGCCCTCAGCCATCGCGCTAGGCATCGTCTTCACCCAGGTCTCGTCCGCAGCCGTTCTCGCACCTCTCTTCGGTGACACCTACCACCGTGCTAAGGCTGCCGACTCGAAGGAAGAGTTCTTCAAGTCGCGCGAGACTGCCACTGCTGCTGCTTCCTGGGGTTCGTCCATCGTCGGCTCTGGTCTCCAGACCTACGGTGTCGGTGCTCTGATCAACGCTACTGGTACTCTCAGCTATAAGGGCGCTGCTTATCTTGGTTCATTGATCTTCTTCGCATCTGCTGGCCCTGGTGTAAGCATACGTCATTCCGAACCACTCGAACACTACTGACCATCTTCCACAGCTCATCGCCTCAGTCGCCTACGAGAAGCGTCCTCTTGATGTCGTTGCCGTCGGTGTCCTCAGCCGCGTCTTCGAGACTGTTGGCCTGTCGCTGTTCCTCACCTGGTGGGGCACCCGCACCAACCCATTCGAGACCGGTCTATAAATGACTTGATCAATCTCACTTCGCCTCAGTATGGAATGAAGGAGCTTAAGAAGTCCGGGTGAATTAGAGGAGTAGTCTATGGTCATCACACCATTATTCGAATATCCCAACCACGAGCGAATGCTACTCAATAGCACAATGGCAAGGAGCGTGCCGCTGGAGGCTTTTGTAAACAGTGCAAGAGGTCCTCGGGGAGTTGGTCAGATAGCTTTGGCGCGAGAATGTTGATACCACTCTTCTAACTGCAACATGACCCCTTTTCCACGCCCACGCAAACTTCTTGACATCTGTCAAAGTCACCACCTGCTTCAGTCGGCTCTGCTCTGTTGGTGTAAACTGACTGAACTCGGCTGCTGTGTAGAACATTCCGTCACAGTACAGAACGCGGCTCAACACCACACTAAAAGAATCATTCTAGGACCATTCCCGGATCACGACAGACGAAAGCTATGACTGAGGCGCCGTACTTAGCAACTGCGCACTCGTCCCACCAGGCAGCAGCAGGCACTACCAAGGCATGGCAAATGGCGTCCTGTCCGTCACTCTCGATGTCGTGGGAGAGATGAGCATAAGGTCGAGGGCAAGCCAACGACTTATACCATTTGTAGAAAGCAGAGAACCGACTCAAACCGAGACTAACCACTTCACTGACTCCAGCAGAACGCAGTCACAATCCCCTGCAAAGTTCCAAAGTCACTCGATGCCTGGTCTTTTCAATCACATGTGGCCGGGTACCTGAGCTCACCCAAGCCTTGCTCCTTCTTGGTGCAGGAAACGAGGATCAAGTTCTGAAATGCATTCGTCACGACATACGAGAGCGACACCGACGGCGCCTTCCCCATTGATGATTGACGGTACACGGTCACAGTGACCATGGCCATCGACTTGCCGACATGAAACCTGTTCTTTGAGGTTCGGAGGGAGTCGACGAAGACCGCCGGGCTCATGATCAGTGGCAAGTCTCGCTAGACGTCGCTTTCCCCGTCGGCAAGTGCTTGGGAAATCCAGCATGTGTGTTGCAGGCTCCGAGCGTTGGAAATGACCTGAAGCCACACGGCGGGAACATAAAATCCTGAGTGCTCGCAACGATAGAGCCTGAAGAAGCTGTTCCTAAAGAGCACGCGAATTGCCGAATATAGTAATTCCGCTTGCGAAGTTGTCTATAATAGGATCCCTCGCCTGTCCAATTCGACCCTCAGACAACCAGGCGTCTACCTGATCCCTCACATGCTCTTATTGCAACCTCATTGACAGCCTCCTCAATGAATAGATCCTCTCACGCCCTCCCAACTAGACTTTCACGAACATAGGACACCCCCTCGGCGCATCACTGACAGGCTCTTGCACCCGCACCCTGCCTTCTAGTCGCTGCTTGGTCACTGCGAACTCTGCATTCCCCTTGCCCACAAAAGCCTTCGGCCCCGTCTCCGTCATCAACCACCCCTTCCCCTCCATCTCCGGATCCCCCGGCACTGGTACACCTAGACTCCAGCTCGCCCAGGCTGCTGGACTTATCCATCTGTTGAAGAAGGTGGGCTTCACATAATGCGGCAGCGCCTCGTACGTCGCGAAATACCTTCTTCCCGTGATGGGATCCGGTGTCTCGGTCGACATGCCGCGTTCCTCCTCGGGAACCCACCAGCCCCAGAGGGCCCGTCTTGGGTAGCAGAAGTGGCGAATGACGAAAGCGCGAATGGCGAGGAAGCGGTCGATGTTGCGCCGGTAAGAGGGTGGCGGGGATGGGAGGAGGCACGCTGCACGCATGCGGGTGTCCATCATGCTGATTGCGGTTTGGTAGACGACTTTGCCGAGGGATGAGGGAAGGGTAGAGGTGAGCAGGTGCAGGGTTTTCATGGTGATGCTGTGGGAGGGTTCGTTGGGGAGCATGACGCGGGTTTCGTAGACTTTGGACCAGGCGTCGAGGGAGTGGAAAAAGGCGAGGCCGTCGGTGCGCCAGGTGCGAGACTTATCAGCGGCATGACCGGGAAGAGGTGGAGGTGGGAAGTCGTCAAGAGGATCGAAGGAGATCTCCATTGCTTCGCCGACGAAACGGTGGAAGAGACCGATGCCGCAGATTTCGAGTTCGGTGAAGGGGCGCCATTCGTATTTGTCAATCCATTCGGGCGGTTGGAGGACGAACATCGACAGGGTGTAGAGCATGTCGTCGTTGGAGATTTTGGATTGCCGGATGTAGTGGCCGTGGAGGTAGTTGAGGCGGGCAAAGGCTTCGGCTGAGCGCGTGCTGCCTGGGGCGTTGTGGTAGAATTCGCTAATGATGACGCCTGTGTCGGCGTAGCGCTTGCCGACTGTGTTGCGAGATTGAGAGTCGAGTTGAGTGGTCTTGACAAGCAGGGTCGAGATCTGTTCGAAGAGATTAGTGATAAGCGTCCAGGACGGCGGGAGTGCTTACGCTTGGGACGGCATATGTGCGGATGAGTGCAAACTGCAAGGCTAAGTTGAAGAAGTACGGAAAGTCCTTGGATGAGAGCAGCTTGATCACATCGTGAGCCGCTGAAAGAGGCATCTCAGACAGCGGCTTCTGGCCTGGTCCAGGATTCGATGAGTACGGGTGCTTTGCTTGCAGCTGGCGACTGAACCGATTTCGAAAGATTTTGACGAGGACCAGGTGAATGGGTATCAGTGGCAGGAGATATCCAAGAATCGTCCTTGCAGGCGGAAGCGGAAGCACATAGGGGAACGTTGTCGCCGACGACGGCAGTCGTGGTAGAATTGTGGTGAGGTTTCCAGCCATTGCGACGGATGGATGTGGTGAACGGGACCCCGTGCCTGCGATTCAGAGATTTGATGTATGTATATATCCGTCGCAGCTCACAGCCTCAGTGCTGGTAGCGAGCTCGGCTGGCGCCTGTTGGTCTGTACGGAGTCGAAAAGATGTTTGGGTAGGTACACCACGAGGTTCAGAGCCCGAAGCACGATTACGAGTCAGTGATCCGTGCGTCAAAGCGATGAACAGAAGATCATCGCAGGTGCTCGTCTCCTGGCTGAAAGATCACAGGCGAACGAATGATATGTTCCAGGTTTTGTGCAACGAGTCGTGGTTATGCGGACAGCGGCCGCCTGCCAAAGAAGAAAGAAATCCAAGTTTGACAGAGCCGTAAGTCGATTAATTAGGGGCGGCAGCAGCATTGCTCCACTCACCGCATTTTGGCCTCGTAAGGCCTCTCCATCCTCGAACAGCAATCTGTCAGGTAACGACGAATGAACAGTATGCTAACATCTATGAGGTACTGTGGCACGAGGCGCGTAAACGATGGTCGCTGAGTGTATTCGGCGCGGATGAACATGACCGAGCACGGCCCAGAACGCCGGCAAGATTAGGTAAGTGATAGACAACCAGACATCTCTTGCATTCACGCTGGATCGTTCATAGGGAATCATAGCTATGCAACCATGCAGTCAAAATGCTATCTACGGGCCGGACAATGCGGGTATCGTACAGAAAGAGAAATTGTCCCCATCCCTGTGTTGCTGGCTTCCGAAAAGTGCTTCACGAACCACGCCAACATCCGAGCAATTTCAAAACCAAAAGATTGGTCAACGCCTTCTGCTCCCTCAGCTTGCGATTAGACTTAATTCTATGCCTCGATCTTCGCCTCTCCGCTTGCCAATGCAATGGCTCTCGCCGCGGCTTCATCAAAGGAATCTGGGGAACGGCCGTTAGTACTACGGACGAAGAAGATCGGGGTATGACGACGGCTTACCATAGGCGTCCAGCTTCAGCCCACTCTCTCTAATCAGCCTCTGACCCTCCGCCTCATTCGTCCCACGTATGCGCACAACAACGGGGACCTTCAAGTTCAAGTCCTTAAATGCGAGCAAGATACCGTTCGCGATCATATCTCCAAGCGTAAGCCCGCCAAATATGTTGACAAATATAGCCTTCACTCTTGGATCTGAGGTCACGATCTTGAAGCTGGCCTTGATGGTCTCCGATGTAGCCTTGCCACCTGTGTCGAGGAAGTTCGCTGGATGACCACCGCGAGCGACGAGATTGTCCACTGTGTTCATCGCTAGCCCGGCACCGTTGACGATAGTGCCAAGCGTTCCTTCGCCATCGAGCTTAATGTAAACCATACCTTCTTTTTCCGCAGCCACCTCCCCTGCATCTTCTTTTTCGATTTCGCGCAGCTTGTGAACATCTGCTTGCCGCTTCGAACTTCGGAAGGCGGCGTCGTCAAAGCCGAACTTGGCTCGTGTTACTTGCAGGTCACCAGTCTCGTCGTTGATGAGAACTTCGGTTCGAAGAACGAAGGCTTCTTTGCTCATATAGAGATCGACCAGTTGGGTGAGCAGCTTCTTCAGAGACTCTTTGCCCTTCCCGTGAACGTGCATGTGGCTGGCTACCGAGCTAAGCATGGCGTCTGACGTGGCCTCGCCTGAGCCATAAGGAAATGGAAATCGTTTTGTGTTCGAGAAAATCGAGTCTGGATCCGTCACTGGAGATGCGACTATGCATGGCTGTCTTGCAGATCGGTCGATCGAGATAGCCACCATCTTTGTGGAATTGCCATTGGGATCCTTCTCCGTGGTCTTGATGTCTCTCTGCTGAAGCATGTCGAAAGCGTCAGACTGCTTGACGTACAGATTTCGTCGCTGCTGGTATTGTGCGTTCTGTTTGTGCTTCGTCACTGGTCTTTGACGCATGGTATGCATGCCTCTCTTCTGCTGCCCCGTGAATGAACTTGCGGGCTTGGTCTTTTTCTTCTGGAGCAACTGCTTCATCCTCTCTCCAAGTTTCTCGGGATGATCGACCACTTCGATATCCGCCTTTTCCAGAATTGCAATCTTCTCGCGCGCAATTGCTTCTCCCGGAGCAGACCAGGCGCCTGCATGGCCCATGATACGTCCTGGAGGCGCCTCGACGCCACCGATGACTGCCATGAAGGGCTTGGGATCGAGGGTACGTTTCCGATAGTCCTTCACCCATTCGGCAGCATCAAGCTCAGCGCGACCTCCAAGCTCACCGATCATGATGATACCCTCGGTGTTCGGATCATCCACCAAGACTTGGAAAGCTTCGATGAAGTTGGTCCCTGCGAAGACGTCGCCACCCATGCTGATGCCGTATGTTTGACCCAGACCTGCTCGTGTGTCGATGCAACTGCTTCGTAGCTAAGAGTACCCGACTTTGCCACAATCCCAATGTTGCCCTCCTTGAAGAATGGTAGTGGTTGGAAACCAAGACGACATCGACCGTGAGTGCTGACGATACCAGGACAATTTGCTCCAACAAGCCTGGTCTTAGACTGAGTCTGCAGCATCTGATGTATTCTCATAATGTCGTGGAGAGGGATGTGCTCGGCTACAGCAACGATTAGGGGTATCTCGTTCTCAATGGCCTCCTCCATAGCTGTGACAGTACCACTTCCAGGGACGTAGATGGCACTGGCCGTCGGTTTTAATTGTTTGACGGCTTCCGCCACCGAGGGAAGTACTGGTAGTCCAAGATGCTCTCCGGTGACACCTGGTTTAGTGCCGCCGACGATGTTCGTACCATATTCCAGTGATTCCTTGGCATTCATGGTGGCTTGCCTGCCTGTGAAGCCCTGGTACAGCACTCTGGTGTGCTTGCCGATTTTGAGATTGTCAATAGTGTCAGCGTAGCCATGTTGACGGCTGGAGTTTGAGAAGCTTGCGGTAGCTCTTAGGGCATATTTGTTGTTCAAAGGCTGCGATGCTCGAGGGGATGCTCGAAGTCCCCTCGGCAAAGCACCTCGGAGCATTCTGAGTGTCTCGCAATGCGATCTGATCCTATTTATACACAGTATGGCACCAGACCTGCGTACAAAGTGAAATGTGAACAAGTAGCTTAACTCACTAACGGAAGAACAAGCTTGAGGAGCTATAGCAAGAGCGATAAGAATATGAGAAGGTTAAAGCTCCTGAAGAGACGTGACGATGCCATCTTGGAGACGGAGCATGAGCAGCGCCAGGTGGAGGCTCTGCTTGTTCCGAGGTCGGATGGCACCAAATCAGGCGCGCCGTGACGGATCATGATGCTGGGTGGTCAATCTCGAGATACGGGCACTAGCGGCTTTTGGTTTTCGAGACCCGAGAGCGATCGCACATGAGATTGCGAGATCGGTCATGTGGAGGACCTGACAAGCGTGCCGACGCTGCCCTGTCGTGTTTGCTCATGATCAGAAATAGGCACCGATCGGCGGTGATTATTATGGGCATGTTATGGGACTTTGTTGGCAATAGCATTCAACATCAACGTCGTTGCGCCATGAGGCCCATTATGTACCCTGGAGCCGAAGTCATTACAGAGCAAAAGCTGGAGCAAGACTTGACCCAGAATGCGGGGTTTCCAGCTCCAGATATTCTGAACCTCTGTCTCAGCTCGCTACTCCATGATGCTCCATCATTTCTGATTGTAGTAGGTGGTGTGAGAAATTTTCTTACTGTTGGGAATGCTCGTGCTATAAGCGCTGTTGCAGGGTGTTGGACTTGGGATTGCAGTAGCGACGCAAGAAAGAGCACGAGCATTACTATATTCAAGTAACCCAGTTGTGAACCAGGGTCAGGCTTGGCTATCTTCACAACGCCATGTCCGCGCGAGCAGGAGACCTTCACCTGGACCTGTCTTCGGCACTCAACAAGGGCAAAAGCGCCAAGTCACAGGATGTAGCCGAATCATGGGAGGACGAAGACGTCGACATGGACACACCTACTGCTTCTGATGCTATGAGCCCAACACAGCCCACGTCATCAAACGGTATGGCACCCAATCCACCTCCGCCAACGCCAATCTCGCCGGCTGGCCAGGGCTACGACTGGTCTGCAGCTGGTGTCTTAGGTGGAGGACGCCCTCAGCCGCGAGATGGGCCCGGGTTAGTTTCGCAACGTGGAGATAGTGACAGGCGGCCGGAGAAGACGACAGCGACTGCATCACGGATGATTGCTGCCGGACTGGGCGTCAGGGCGCCAAAGAAGACCGAGGAGCAGAAGCAGTATGATCGCGCTGTCAAGGAACAGGAGATTAAGCGGAAGAACCGCGAAAAGGAAGATCGAGAACGTGCACAGGCTGACGATGAACGTGCGAAGGCCGCCGTTTGGGACGGATGAAGGAGGCTGGACAATGGTTGAAGGAGCATTTCTGAGAGCAGATGTTGGAACTGTGTCACGGTGACGGGACATTTGCTGAGTCGGCTGTACAATATTCGCAACCGTGATGGGAGAAAATGTTGTGGGTATTCTTTTATCTGTCTGTTGGCGGCTGCTGTGAAAGGGCAGCCTGGTAATCTGCTAGGCTCTGTGACGCCAGAAGTATTCGTCAATCGAACTGGCAAATGGACTCACTGCCAGGATGTCTTCCTCAAAGCCGTATGCGAGCGCTGCTTTACTCCCATTGGATGCCAAACTCCATTGCGCCGCATCGATATCCCCTAGCAACTAGCCAGCCTGCGTTATCGCATCCCACAGGCGTGCATCCCGAGATGACTCACTCATGCCGCGCCTCATTGGTTTCTTCGTAGACTTCATGTAGACCAGTGATCGCGTGGAATCACAGAAGCGCGCCGCCAATCTGCTCTTGGAAGACTTCGAGAGTGTCGCCGTCGCTCATGTCGAGCTGCAGCAATGGTTAGCCTGATGTACCGTCAAACCAGGTGATGAGTTTACCTTCTCAGGAGTATCGCCTTCAAGGACCTTGTCTCCGTCAAAGAGGAATCTGACGGTCGACGGATCTTTGCCTTGACGGTCGCAGAAAGCCTTCATCAATTTGTCGAGTTTTGTGGTTCTCTTGATCTTGAAGAAGACCTCATTGTTGCCATCGGTGACCTTGATGTTGAGGTGATCGCCGCCAGCAGGGGCTTCGCCAGCGCCGTTCTGTTCGTTGTCGGACATAGTGTGTGGAGAGGTTTGTGGTGAGAATCAAGTGATTGAGCGTCTGCGTAGTATTAGTGATGCGCAGGGCCGGAGTGGGGCACCTGAACTGTTGGCGCACAACTGCCCATGGTGCAAATTTGTACTTACATGAGTGCGAGAGGATGGTCTTGTGTGGGCAGAGGGTTCAGTAAAGAGGACAAGAGTAATAGCAAGGAAAAGCAAGCAACGGAGTTTATATAGTCACGGCCTTATGAGCGCTCAGACAGTGAAGTGGCGGCAAACACCCGCAACTTCAATTCAATGTTCAGATGCGGAGAAAGAAGGGTCGACCTCACAAGTCACTGTCAACTCCTTCCAAATCTTTCTATCTGTTGCTGTTGTTGCCTATCTGCCATTCAGTCCGGCGCTTCGAGCCGCTGCTTTACCACTGGGACATTGCACAGCGAGCCTGCACGTAGAGACCTACGTGTGATCAGGCTCGCCGCTGTGTCATGGTCAGTTGAGCCGTCAATTGGCTCTGTCTCAGCTCACGATGCTGCAGGGCAAACTCGAGGACGATCTGAAAACAGATCCGCCTTGTCATCCACGAGCAGTAAGTCATCGTTTCTCATGCCTTTTTGCCGAATCATAACCAGTCAATGTCTAGTGCGCGATTCAAGGTAAGTCCACCAATCTCGCGAAGACAACTCTGGTCTGACTGTGGCCAAGACTGTTTGCAGAAGCACAACTACAAGGAAGCGAAATGCCAGGATGTAGTTGATCGCCTGTACGAATGCTGCAATGCGTTCTACAGAGACAAGGGCGACGATGCCACGACCACCAGTTGTCCAAAAAAGGACTTGCTGAGGCTGAAGATGAAGCAACGAGCCGAGAAGTGACGCCACCTGACAGAATTGCGACTTGCATCATCGTGCAGACAGTGGATGGTCCATGCTGAGAGATGTGTCAGGTCCTATGCCGTAGCGAGGAGTGTCCGAGTAAATAGAATGTAGCAGTCGATTTTTCTACCTGATCCATCAATCCGTGAGGTCTGGTCAGCTGAACAGCGAATGCAGGGCAATGCTCTTAGGCAGTCGTGAGCACGCAAAGAGACCTTGTAGGCCTGAACGGACACTGTCAGTCTGTTCCGAGACTCTAATGACCACCTGTATGACATTAGAGATCAGAAGCAGAAAGGATTGAGGTTCTCTCAAAGAATTTGTGCCGGCGAGACGCTCTGTTGAGCTAGTCCAGTCTGGGTTAGTCGTCGATCTGCCGCGCGAGTCGCGTCCGAAATTCACACTCAAGTTGACTTGGAGACTGCACTTTACGCACTGAGAGGTCACAGGTTCATCCCGTGAGCATAACTGGTGGCAGTCGGCACACAGGAGCCATTCGTCGCAAGTCGCAACCTGCCGGAGATCGTTCATGGCCCCAATAACGAGGTCATCCAGGATACGTCCCGTAAGTTCACTTGTCGTACCTGCCTCGACGCATTCCCGCTGATGCAAGGAAGGCAGCGCCCGATTTCGAGGACGGAGACTCAACCCAGGAACCCGGTTCGTTTTGAATTTTCTACGATTACTGTCTGCGCCGAAGACGACGACGATATGGCGAGCCCAGCGGAGGAAGATGTACTGATCGACTTCACAGAAAATGAAGACCATGAGCAGTCGCGTGCTAGCCTGCAGGACTTCCTTCAACCGCTCCAGGATACCGCAGAACGAGTCAGCCAACAAGTCGAGAATTTCGCGCGACGCCTGAACAAGTTTCAGCATGATCTAAGCCCAGACGATCAAAATTTGTGGGCAGAGGCATGGAACGTGCTCGGTGATTTTGGCAATATCGCGCAGGAGAGATCGCGGGACAGTCAGCGACCGTCGTCATTCGACAATGGCGATGACCAGAAAGCACAGGTTGACAAGATCCAACTCGAGGCGGATTTATGGATACTGACAAAGAACTCATTACTGTCTCGATCTCCGCAAGCCAGAGAGGACGCCGAGAACGATGGTCTCAACAGCTTGAAAGAGCTACACCGATACTCATCTCCGCCTGATCTCTGGAATGCGTTCCTTGATTGCGATGTGGTCGCTCAGGAATACGAGACACTCATGGATTGGCTACAAGACCGCGCGACTCGAGACGACATAGAGGCATCGATCGAGGAGCTGATGCTGAATTCCAATCGTGGCGAGATGAAAAGCTCTGCACCATTGTTCACTAGCTACGAGATCAAGAAGAAGAAGCGTGCCATCGCCCGAGACGGTCCTCTTGCACCCTCGGCAGTCCGTGGCTTTGTGTCACAGCTCGATCCCGACGCTGCTCACCGTCAAGAAGGCGAGCTTGACCGACAGGACTCGTACTACGAGCAGGCTGCGTGGACAACCTGCTGGGAGATGTTGAGACGTGGCATGAAGTACCCGAATGTGCAGGACTATTGGTCTGAGGCGAGCGAGCGTACCGGACAATACTGCTGACTGTCTCCGACCTGAGTATGGGCGAATCGACCGACTCATCCTTCCTCCGGATCATCAACCTCGCGCGTAATACGCAGTGGCATCGCATGTGCAAGGCGGCGGCACGAGACTCTAGCATCCCAATCGAGCAACGTGCTGTCTTCGGTCTGCTATGTGGTGATTCTAGTGTGTCGAACGAGGCCTATCATACCCTTGAAGAGATCGCTTATTCTCTCGTCAACTCGCTCATTATCGAACGATACCTCCATTTTCTATCGACTTACGAGATCAAGCTGCAACGTGATACAGAGAAAACATACCATCCCCTGCCTGCCACTGACGACAGATCGAAGCTAGAAGACCTTGTCAACATGGTACGCTCGGACATATCGTTCAGAGAAGAAATACAGTCACCGCACAAGCTCATCGAATTGGCGCTCATAGGCTCAGATGTCAATGGATTCCTCCTAGAGATGGGCAGAGCCGCTGCGCAGGTTGCTCAGAAGCACGATTGGAGATCATCATTAATCACGCCCGGCTCCGAGCCCGCCTTTGACGACTATGCCCGGCTAGCAGCATCTGATGCGGACTCAGTACGAATTATTGCGCATCTTCAGATTGTGTGGCGGGCTCTAGGCCTCCTGGAAAAGGGCTATCACGAAGATGACTACATCATGGAGAACAACATCGTCAGCTACATGGCGTACTTGATTGAAGAGAGAAAAATCGCTTTACTGCCGCTGTACGCCTCCAATCTCAGCGCCATCCGTGCCTACGACGTTCTAGGATCTGCCTTGCTAGGAGTTACAGATAACAAGGAACGTGGGTCCCTTATTCGTCTGATGAAACGGTACAACTTGGACACACACCACATCATCACGGCAATTGTCCTCAAGGCGAATCAGCGAACGATATACGCAGAGGAGAAGGCCGATCTGCCTTTGACTGCAGAGCGGATCACAGTCACAGAACCGAAACAGCAAACGCAGATCCGCGCGGGCTTCATGGGCCATCAGCTGTCTGTAGAAGACGAGGGATCCATCGCTGCTGTGGAATGGTATCGTTGGTTGATGAGACCAATTGGCTCGATGCTTGCGCGAGCATGGAAGATCTGTACCTAATTTGGTTTCTGCAAGGAAAATTCTCGGCCCTGAAGACTCTGGCTGCACGAGTGAGCCTGGAGGACGTATCTCTTGCAGCTCTGAGCATGAACCTCACCTTCGGAGCGGACGAGGATGAGGAGACCAGAGCGCCCAATGGCGATGCTGGGGGGGATGGCGACGACAGGGGCACAAGAAGTCCTCGCAAACGACGAAACGGCAAAGCGACCGTTGAGCAACCACTAGCCGAACACGAGTCTCGTGCTCAGCTCTTCGCAAAGTCCAGCCTCTGGCTGCAACTGGAACAGCTTGCGCTAGCTCTACAGATGCTCGAGACGTGGCAAGATCTCGCCAATGATGTCGAAGCGTGAGTTCTCCCTCCAGTCCTGAGATCATTGAAAGCTAATTGCAACAGCAACCGTAATAATGAGACCGTTGTCAAGGGTATGAAGCGCGAGCTACGCGACGGCCTGGCGACCATCGAAGCCGCGGTAGAGCCTATCTTCGACCCCGACTTCCTCGCCGATAGCCCAGAGCAAGAGGGCATTTTACTCAAGATCCGCACCCACTATCTCCCAGAGATCGTCCTCGCATTTAACTCGGCCCTTTACTTTGCTGGCAAGGCCATCTCACGGAACAACTTGGTCAAATGCATGGATTTAGCAAACACAGTAGCGACTACGCCGAATCTGACGAACGCGTTTGTGGCCAGTGGAAGGATGAGAGAGTTGGTCAACGCGATTGCGCTGGATAGCCAGGGGCTTCTGATGGCGAATGAGGTGGGGCTTGGTAGGAAGGGCGGGGACAAGAAGGTGAAGGGCATGGATATCTGGAATGTGAAGTGGAAGGAGATGAGGGATGGGACTTTAGAGGCTTTGGGTTGATGTGTGGGAAGGTGATGTACCACTAGTCATGTACATGGCAGTGTATTGGCGATAAAGCGCTGACTGGATGGCTTTAATCGATCAGTCATGTTGTCTTGACAGGATAACTCGAATGCTGCAATGAGCAAAAATATTCTCGTCACCCGGTTTCACTTACGCCCTTGCACTTTCGTCGTCTGTGGACTTTGCAGATGTCGTACAGAGGTAGTCACGATTTGTAGGCGTGTCGTCAACCGGTTTGTTAATTACGGCAGTAACTACATATCATCCTGCTCCATCTCGCTATCGTTAGCATGAATGCGGCATTTTACAGCGGCCCCCCGCGGCATCTCCAGGATTTTCGATCTTTGTCAGCACTTCAATTCGCAGCAGCACGTCACGGACTCGAGAGGCTTCTGACACTTATCATGCGATGACACATGCGGCGGCTGTGCTCGGCATCTGTTGCTTTCGCGGGACGTCCGCCTTGAGGATGACATGATTGGCTTTGCTTTGCTCATACTGCCTATAGGGGTATTGAGATACTCCGTGGAGTTGCGAAGGACTTTATTTGACGTGTTGCGTTCTATTTGGGCATGTGCAATGATGAAAAGTACTATTCTTCGAGAAAAATTGAAGAAATGGATTGGGTGGGAGTGTTTCCGAGTCGGGTGACGGCATGGTCGTGGTTGCTGCAAGTGAAGTCAGGCATATAACGGAAGTGGCTCGTGCCAACCGTTGATGTTGTAACCACCAAATTTGAACCCAAGAACATTTGAAACCCATCAGACCGACTACAATCAGGTCAAACTTGATCACATACACGACTAGTCGCACAAAGTTAATCCACCTACATCCCGCCTCAAAATGAGCGTCGAGAACAAGACCGCCTTATACGGCCTGACCGCCGTTCCCGCACAATTTCCATCTCCCTCCAGCCTCACCATCAAGAGCTCGCTCACAAATGACGCCACAAAACTCCGCGAGCTGGCAGCGGAAGAAGTGGCCACGATGCCGGACACTCCGCTCGCGAGGAGGATTGATAAATATGCCAAGGTGCAATTGCCGCCGCAGGTATACCGGCATTCGAGGCGGGTGTTTGCTTGGGGGAACGCGGTTGTCAGGGGCAGTACCTGGGGCGAGAAGGCTGTGTTCGAAGGGGAGAAGGGCAATATTGGGGACGAGAAGATGGCGGAAAGCTGGTTCGTGACGGCCATGCTGCACGACATTGGCACCCCAGAAGGAACTCTGAAAAGTACACGCCTATCCTACGAATTCTGGGCCGGCTTCCATGCTCTCAACATACTGCAAGATGCGAGCCTGACCGGCGACGCCGACAAGACCAACGCCGTGGCGGATCGAGAGCAGGCGGAGAGCGTGGCTGAGGCAATCCTGCGTCATCAAGACGTCCAGGACAAGGGCAAAGTGTCTCTGTTGACGAGGCTGATCCATATCGGGACTTTGCTGGACAACATTGGCAGGGGCAAGGAGTTCATTGACCAGCAGACGATAGAGAACGTGGTCAAGGAGTGGTCGCGAACGGAGGCCGACGGCGAGGGGCGAGTCGAGAGTGTCTGGACGGACTGCTTCCGTGGTACGGTTGAGCTCGAGAAGAAGTACAAGCCATATGCTATGGTAAGTAGGATCGAAGGATTCGAGGACGTAATTTCGGAGAACGGGGCCAAAGGAGGGCTGTTCGAGGGTCAGTAGAGCGTAATGAATACTCAGGGCAATGACAGTGCCATTTCTCCAGTTCGTCCGTTCATGCCATGTTCTCGTCGTTTGTTGGGCTGTTAACACACCTGGACATTGGCCGGCGCTGCACATCCCAAACGAGGCAGCCAGGCGTTCTTGCGAAGTCTATCGTCCCCATCTTTCTTGCTTCCGCTGCACAAACGCGGTCACCGGTGTGCAAGGCGGTCAAGGATGCGCTAGCATTGCTTAGGCCTGTGACAAGCCCGGACAGGTCGTTGCTTAGGCATCCAGGAATGCTTTCAGTCGCCTTGATGGACGGGCATTTCTTGGACGACAGCTTGGCAAATTCGCATTGTCCCGATGAAGCCTGTTGGTGAGCAACTTTACCTTGATTTATTGTCATCCAAAGCAAGCCTCGGTAATCAGCCAAGTCATAGGAATCAGCATGCGAATCTCGCTCTGAATGCCCTCCGAGCCATGGCTAGCTGTCAGGAAGAGAGGTTCCTTATGCTCCGGGCTCCATTGTGGCAGTGCTAAACGTCTCTCTGCTGATTGGGCCTAGACCAGGGTGCCTGGTGAGAGTCGTGGTACAAACAGCCGGCTGATGAGGATTCAACAGAAATTTAATGGCGTGGCGATGAAGTCTTTTGCCATCTGAAACTCGCAAGAGTTGAGATCCGGTTTGCTCTTCCGTCTGTGAGGAATATGATATGTGATCGAAGATGGAACGTGGATATGTCACAGCGCACCCCAGAGTCAAAGGCTCCGCTGTAGGCTTAGCCGAGATCAGGAAGCTTGGCGCTTGTTTAGGTGGAACTTACTGCAACAAGAGTGGTACCCATCGTCACCGCTTGAGGTTGACTCTTCTGTGGAAATGCACTTGTAATTGTAACGATTCAACTTGTTTCTACAGCACCGTTTTTGAGCGTGTAGTTATACTTCCTCGGCCCATTCATTCGACTGTGTCATTATTATCTGCCCTCTCTGCCGCATCTCGGTACCTTCGTACAGCCGCTTCGCGAATACGCCCTCCGTCCTCCACTGCATCACCGCGAAACCGCGAGTCTAGCGCGACTTAGGGTCAACGCGGACTAGCAACAATTCGATGGCAGGCTGTGCTATCAGAATACTTCTACCTAGACTTGATCCTTTGGAGGACTGCCGTTGAAGAGGAGGCCGAGGTTTTGTTGAAGTGTGATCTCGGAATCTTCAGATGTATGCTCGTCAGCGTGGCGAGCAAACGAACAACCGGAGGGCTGTGCAAGCATAACGCTCTTTGACTTTATATCTCACGGAAAAGTCCCGTGATAGAGCCGCACCACAGTTGTTGCTGCGCTCAGGCAAACGCTCTTGAATGCACCCACACCTGGCCAGCACAAATACCGTGGTCTTCCAGTGTCACTCCGGGAATTTCGCCAGGTAGTCAGGATGTCGACTCCAAGTCAAGCCCAGGACGGGAACGAGGAGATGCAGCCACCACCTCCGATCAGTCAGACCCGCCAGCGGGCGCCAACCATCAGCATAGAAGACACCGCCGCCTCGAGACCGAACCCAAACGACACAGTCACTTCACCAGATCGATCGAATGTACCATTACCTCGAATACAGACTGAAGGCCTCTCCTCTTCCCGACCACCTTCGCCGTTCGATCCTTCACCTACAGACACTCGCATGCACGGCGACTCGAGAGAATCACGTCCAACATCGCCTCACAACGTCTCATCGCCTCGCAGCCAATTTGCAGACAAGGGCAGTTCGTTCCTCGCAGTGCCGGGTGGAAAAAGCCGGCCAAGCACAGAATCTGATGGCGGTATATCCCCTTCGTCATACGGAGGCGATACTCAGCTAGCTTCAACCATAACGCCCGGCGAAGACGACTTGCGCAAAGCATCCATGAGCAATAATGAAGACGTCATGCATGACAAGGACGCGCTACGGCCAGACCCAGGCTCCGAAGCAGAATTCGAGGTCACAGACAATCGATTCGCCTTTTCGCCGGGTCAATTGAACAAATTGATAAACCCGAAAAGTCTTGCTGCATTCTACGCGCTAGGTGGTCTCACGGGGCTCGAGAAAGGCTTACGAACCGATCGCAACAGTGGGTTGAGTAGCGATGAGCGAGGTCTTGACGGAACGGTCGATTTCAAAGAAGCGGTCCAAGCAGGCGCCGACGCCGAGAAAGAGTACGACATGGGTACGGTCAAACGCAGTAACACCGCAGGTTCCATGGCACAAGTCACATCACAGCAGGACGACAACGCATTCCTAGACCGGAAACGCATTTACAAGGACAACCGACTGCCCGAGAAGAAGGCCAAGTCCTTCCTGCAGCTTGCCTGGATCGCATACAACGATAAAGTCTTGATTTTGCTTTCAGTGGCGGCAGTCGTCTCGTTAGCCCTTGGCATATATCAAACTTTGCGCCCAAGCGACCAGGAAGAGCACGAGGCCCGCGTCGAATGGGTCGAAGGTGTTGCTATCATGGTCGCTATTTTTGTTGTGACCTTCGTTGGAGCACTGAACGACTGGCAGAAGGAGCGCCAGTTCATCAAATTGAACCGTAAGAAGGAGGAGAGGTTCGTGAAGGTCGTCCGGTCTGGCAAGTCTCAGGAGATATCTGTCTACGATATCTTGGTCGGTGATGTGATGCATCTGGAACCTGGCGACATCATCCCTGTCGACGGAATTTTCATTGACGGCCATAACGTGAAGTGTGATGAATCCTCCGCAACTGGTGAGTCCGACATACTGCGCAAAACTCGAGCAGATGAAGTCTTCCACCGGATCGAGAACAACATGACGTTGCATAAGATGGACCCATTCATATTGTCGGGAGGCAAGGTCTCGGAAGGCGTGGGCACTTTCTTGGTCACTTCCGTGGGCGTCAATTCCAGCTACGGCAAGACTCTCATGTCGTTACAAGATGAAGGCCAAACCACACCACTGCAGTCTAAACTCAACCTTCTGGCTGAGTATATCGCTAAGCTTGGCCTCGCTGCAGGTCTGCTGCTGTTCGTCGTCTTGTTCATTAAATTTCTGGCGCAGCTGGGTTCGATTGAAGGCGGTTCTGACGAGAAAGGGCAGCGTTTCCTGCAAATCTTTATCGTTGCGGTCACAATCGTTGTCGTGGCTGTACCTGAAGGTCTTCCACTGGCAGTGACGCTCGCGCTTGCATTCGCTACAACACGTATGTTGAAAGACAATAATCTCGTACGGTTGTTGAGAGCATGCGAAACCATGGGTAATGCTACAACAATTTGTTCCGACAAAACGGGCACTCTTACGCAAAACAAAATGAGTGTAGTGGCCGGCACCGTCTCTACAGCATCTCGCTTCGGCGACAAAGATATGCCGGTGAACGAAACGGCTGCAGAGAAAGAGAAGCTCGAAGGGCCGACTACTATCACTTCGGATTCTAGTCAATCCGAGTTCACGAGCTCTCTGGCTAAAGACGTCCGCGAGCTACTCAAGGACTCCATTGTGCTCAACTCTACAGCTTTCGAAGGCGAAGAGAATGGCAAAGTCGTCTACATTGGATCGAAGACGGAGACAGCTATGCTTCAGTTCGCTGCCGATAATCTCGGCATTGGTTCTGTTGCAGAAGAGCGTGCGAATGCAAACGTGGTCCAGATGATTCCATTCGACTCTGGACGCAAATGCATGGGAGTAGTCATCAAGCTTGCGAATGGAAAGTACCGGATGTTCGTCAAAGGAGCATCTGAGATACTAATCGCCAAAAGCTCACGGATTGTTAGCGATCCAACAGACAGCCTTGCCGACACGACATTGACTCCGGAGCACAATGACACCCTCAACGGCATTGTGAACAACTATGCGTCTCGGTCCCTGCGCACTATTGCTATGCTTTTCCGGGATTTCGAGCAGTGGCCACCTCGCGGCGCTGTTTCCCCAGATGACAAGAGGCAAGCTGACTTCGACAAGATCTTCAACAGCATGACGTTCCTCGGAGTCGTTGGTATTCAAGATCCACTGCGCCCAGGTGTGACACAAGCCGTCCGTGATTGCCAGATCGCGGGAGTTTTCGTACGTATGGTGACTGGTGACAACATAACAACTGCCAAAGCCATTGCAACCGAGTGTGGTATCTTCACAGCTGGTGGTCTTGCTATGGAGGGCCCTGTGTTCCGTAAGCTCAGCAAGAAGCAGCTTAACCAGGTCATTCCACGTTTACAAGTCCTGGCGCGGTCAAGCCCCGACGACAAAAAGCTCCTAGTTAAGCACCTCAAGAAGCTTGGTGAGACTGTCGCGGTCACTGGAGACGGTACAAATGATGCTCCTGCCTTGAAGGCTGCAGACGTTGGGTTCTCCATGGGTATTGCTGGAACGGAAGTCGCGAAGGAGGCATCTGTAAGTTTGCCCAATGCACCGTCGCGTGACACATCATGACTGACAACGCACTAGGCGATCATCATCATGGATGACAACTTTGTGTCAATCGTTAAGGCTATCTCATGGGGCCGAACAGTCAACGACGCCGTCAAGAAATTCTTGCAGTTCCAGATCACGGTCAACATCACTGCTGTGTTTTTGACCTTCGTCTCTGCTGTGTCTAATGACGACGAGAACTCTGTTCTAACGGCTGTGCAGCTACTCTGGGTGAATCTGATCATGGTGAGCTCACATCCATTTTAACCTTTTTGCTGGACATACTGACAAGGGCTCAGGACACCTTTGCGGCACTGGCTCTGGCAACGGATCCTCCGACAGCATCCATCTTGCAACGACGACCTGAACCAAGATCCGCACCTCTCATCACGATCAACATGTGGAAGATGATTATTGGTCAATCTATCTACCAGCTGGTCATCACTCTCGTGCTTTACTTTGCCGGAGGGAGCATCTTCGGATGGAAAGAAGGAGATGATGTAGACCGACTGCACAGCACCATCTTCAACACTTTCGTGTGGATGCAGATTTTCAACCAGTACAATTCTCGACGGCTCGACAACAAGTTCAACATATTCGAAGGTATTCTGAAGAATTGGTGGTTCATTGGCATTCAGTTCATTATTGTTGGCGGCCAAGCTCTCATCATGTTCATCGGAGGTCAAGCATTCTCGATCGAGCGCATCACTGGTCCGCAATGGGCGATATCGCTCGTGTTGGGGGTTATCTCGATACCCGTGGCTATCATTATACGACTTGTGCCGGACGAGATGTTCGAGAGGATGATCCCACGACTTCCTCGTCGCTACCGCAAGAACAATCCAGCTGTTGTCATCGAAGACGACGAGGAGGCACCGCAATGGAACCCAGCGCTGGACGACATCCGCGAGGAACTCACATTCCTCAAGAAGATTCGAGGAGGTAGAATGACCGAGCTGTCGTTCAAATTGAGACACCCTCGACAGGCGTTCTTACCTCGTTCCCGCAGTGCATCTAGATCTGGGAATGAATCACGCTCAGATCTTCCAGAAACGCCCAATAACGAGCCATCCCACGAGAATGGCTCGTCCGCCAACCTGAGCACGCCTCAGACTCCAGAAAAGACCTCGAAGAAACGCTCCAGGTCTAATTCTACCTCCCAATTTGGTTCTGCAGCTGCTATGGCAGGCATTATCGCAGGCAGTGTCGCTGGTGGATGGTCTCCTATGGGACGACGACCAGAAGATCTAGAGACTGTCAACTTCACACGGGCTCGGTCTGCGTCTGGTGTCCAAGGCACTTCGGGAATGGAAGTGCATCCCGACACCAAAGAAGACGACCCCGTCTTTGCGAAAGACTACGAACACACGAAGGTACCCCCAAGCCAACGCGCTGAGTTGGCTCCTTACTTTGAGCATGGCCCGCCTCATAGCCCAGCACGCTCAAGACGGTCGCATTCTCGAAACTCCTCCCAAAACATTCAGGAGGAAGTTTGAAAAGCTTCTCAACCATTACTTCTACTCATATCTCATTGTCTAGCGTTCAGCGAGTGTGTTAGGTGTGCGCTAGGATGGCGTAGATAGACTATATTCTTGTGTCAAAAGGTTCTCATCTTACTGCCGCTGTGTTGTGCATTCTCAGATATCCGATGTAGATCGCATGTGTGCTTAGAACCCCGGGTGGGTATGAGCATACCACGTAGTTATGATCCCTACGCCGTACTTTTCAAGCTGTCACTCAGATTTGCCGAGGCACCAAAATCTTTGCCCTGACGGCGATCTGTCCGCTTTCCCACTCATCCACTTTTGCTATAGCGGCGCATCCGACGTGCAACTCGGTGAGCCCGGGAGCTACTCAGGCCATTACTTTCAGCAGTACCGATTGGACCCATCAGCCGTCTCGGGCGTGCTTGGTGACAAACTCGGCAGCCTTGCCGCGGGTGCTGGTTCTCTCCGATCGCTGTCCGATGTTGTCATTTTTGCGCTCAACATAAAAATATGGCTTCCCCCGTGCTATCACGCTCGTTACTCGGACTTCGAGCTTCGCCTACGTTACTCGCGTCTTCAACGGCACGGTCTACGGGTCTTGCATCGACTCAGCAGCACACTCTTTCCTTTCGGCGTCTAGCCCAGTCCCAAAGGTCTACCATACAGCGAGCTCTACCCAGCAGACTCAGCAGACGGTCGTACGCAACAGGTATGACCCCTTCTCCTCCTCCTGGCCCAGGACTCTACTGACTCATTGTACAGTCGTCGTCCATAACCGAGTCCAATCCCGCCTCCGCCGCTTCGGCTCCTTCCTCCTCATCTCCTCCCTCTCCTTCTTCGTCGGCGCCTGGTTCGCAATCCAAGCCGCCCCACCAGTATTGCTCGGACTCATCATGGGCTCAAACGTTGTCACGGACGAGGAGTCCCTCACCATGTACGAGGCGCCTGACGACTTTTCGCGGGAAGTAGACGAACACATCAAGAACTCCGCACTTGCGGTCTCATTACGCAACGATCCGACATGGCGGGAGTCGAGACCGAGTTTGAAGATTCCGGCGGCGATAAGGCAGCATAACTTGACGAGTGGGACGCTGCTGGGGCCAGGGATGATTGTTGTGCCGCCGTACTACTTCAACAAAAAGGATGGGTCGGAGATGGTGCAGATTATGTATGTTGGCACGGACGTGTCTGGGCACCCGGGGATAGTGCATGGTGGGTTCATAGCTACGATGCTGGACGAGGGGTTGGCGAGGTGTTGTTTTCCGGCGATGCAGAATAAGGTTGGCGTGACGGCGAATTTACAGATCAACTACCGCAAGCCCACGATGGCGGGCCAATTTCTGGTGCTGAGGGCGAAGACGACCAAGGTGGAGGGAAGGAAGGCGTGGGCGGAGGGTTGGATTGAGAGTTTGGAGGTTGCGGAGGGGGAGGAGCCCGTCAAGTTGGTGGAGGCGGAGGCGTTGTTTGTTGAGCCGAAGCATGCGAAGGTGAGAGCTATGTTGTTGAGGAGGGAGGATGTTGGCTGATTTGTTGTGTGTGATTGCAGATTCTGAAGAGCATTTACAGAAACGTTCAAGTTTGAGGTTTGGCGCTTGAAATGCATGATCTTTCGAGCGCAGGGCACGGATTGGTGTTAATAGACTTCCAGATGAGCGCACGCATGAGGAGGGATCGAGGATAGACAGCCGACTGCTTGAGCCGGCCATTCGCAGACTTTAAAGAAAAACCACGACGAGCCGGCGCCAATTGATTACTTCCACCACGAAATAGTTCCCTCACCTGAGCCAGCTTAGCATTGTTCGAGATAACATTAATCGGCATGTTGGTGACGCATGGATCGACACTCGTTACAACCGACTATTTCACGACTGCACAATGTGGCCACTCCAGCCACCACCGCCTCCGTGAGACAGCGGGGTCGACCCGTCCCAGCAGCACACTTGCTTCAAGATCCACATGCACTGCGGCCATCGATGACATTCTCAGGCTGCGGTCACCCGCCGGTTTCGTGCCAAACGATGAGATGCAGTGGTGCTGCTAGGCTCCACGAAGCCGCCGCCGACCGACTGCCAGGCTTAACGAAAGGTTGACCGAACTCTCGCACCGTTGCATGCGCCCAACTCACTCATATTTCAACGTAGTAGGCGTCTAGCTTGGTATCACCGCCCCGCCAACGGTCAGCTCTCGGAGCTTCGTTCAGCGTCCACTTGGTCTCGAGATGACCGTCGACACATTTTCTCACCGAGACTCTCTGTGCCAAATTAGCCAGGCTTTCGCCACATCAACAGCACGAATGGGAAACGACTTACAGCATACTCTCCAGCAGTGCAGAAGCAGCCTTGACTATTGAAGAATAGATACGAAGTAGTGCCGACTTTGATCAAGGTCTCCCACTCTGGGCTGCTGTGATTGTTCATTGGCGCATCATAACGCTGCAGCCAGTCTCGAAGCTCTTTGGCAGCTCGTGCGCTGACCCGTTCCTTGAGACCTTCCTCATCGATATCGGGAATGGCAGCGGAGACCCCGTCGAGACAGATTCCCATCTTGCCCAGATACAAGCTATCTGTCGGAAGAATCACCTTCCGAAGTGCCGGGAAGCCACAAGATAAAGGCTTACGTAGAGTCAGGGGACTGCCATCGATACGAAGCGTAATGGTCTTTACGCGAGACTTCCAAGGCTCATGGACTAGATCCGAGGCTGCTTCGATATGGGAGCAATTTCCGCAGCAGAACCCGTCGGCACCAACACCAACGACGTCCAAATTGAGATCTCTAGCCACATGGTCGATGAATTCGCGACGAAGTTTTTGGTTGATACAGAGGAGGCTGCTGTAGAAAGCATTCTGCGAGGAGGGATTTTTTCGTGACTGTGGATGCTCAAGTTTTTCGTTCTTTGGGTGGAAGATGGTGGACAGTCTGATCTCTTCCTGGATGACATACGGATCATCCGGATGATGAAGTGAGCAGGACGGCTGGATGTAGAGAACAACTGTACAAGCTAGATCCTCCATGCACCGCTCGTAGATGATGATACGAATCTCTGGCGGTACCAAGTCAAGCGATCCCATTTTGTCGGCGGCGCAATCTATAGCTGTCACTGTAAGATCAGACTTCGGTATGTACAATGGGCGAAAGCGGAAGGCGAGACGAACCAGAAGCAGGGAATTCGAGTCGGGATATTGTCGACGTCTACAGCTTGTAGAGAAGAGCGATCTCCGGATCGGCGCAAAGACCAACGTCGCGTTCTAGAGGCAAGTCTCAATCAATCTTTCGCACGATTCGAGAATGCTTGCTTCCATGTCAAGTGACGACCTGCTGGCGCTTGGTCGTGAAACTCACTGGTAGGAGACCTTCACTTGCCATCGTTCGATACATCAGGCCATCAAACCAGCAGAAGCTATATGGATCTTCGTTGCCCACGTCAACAAGTTCAGCACAGGGGATTCAGCGAGACAAGCAGGCATATCCAAAACAATAATCCTTTGCGTCGTCGTTCTTGCACAGGTGAAGTGCAGCGTCCATCGCGATTGCCACAATGTCCGTTCATGACCCGTGCAAGCTTGTCCGCACCTCGAAACGTGGTCTTCTCACATGCCTATAGCAACATTTCAAAGCCTCTCCTCGTCTATGGCGGTTCAGCATCCGCGATCAAGTACATGTGTCGCAGACACTAGCACGGATCCTGTTATTGCAGCATCAGTAATGAGTCTGCTAGCTTCCGCTGGAGAGGTGATGGCGGAAGTCTTGGCAACTCGAGGTCGATCCAACTGAGTCTTTCTTCAATCGCTTCCGCCAATCGCTTCACACGCCGCTCATATTGTCGTTCTGCAAGCCGAGGTGTGCTCGCCAAGTAGCGTCCGCTGGGCATTTCAAGACAGTCACAGCCGTGACCGAATACCAAGGCCGCCCGCGCATGCATAACGGATGGTCCACTCGGGCGTGTCACTCCTTCCTACTATCGAGGCGAGAACCTTTCTCGACAAGACGTTACATTTCTGGATCACCTGCATTGACATCACTGGTCAGCGGACTCGATTGCAAGATTCGTCGAGCACAACATGACTTGCAAGTGCCACTCGCAGACCAGTTTTCTCATCGTCACTTATCGCCACGATCTCCATGATTCGTTGATGCCGAGTGGCTGATGCGCGGCTGTGGCTGTGGTCACAAGTCAACGACTTTTCATCAATGCACGCCTTTGATGGTCAAGGCCGTACTATGCGCATCTGCTCCGTCCATACATGTTGCGCTCCATGCAAAGCCGGACATGTCAGAATGCTTCCAAGTTTGATGTTCCGGCCGAACACAAGATGACGACAAGCGACTTCCGCCGAGAGCCAAGCAACCCCGCCCAGAACATCTTTATCCAAGCAGGAAAGGTGCAATCTTGGGGACTCGTGGCCGTCTCCCTGATTTGCTGCAAGTCACCTGTACTCATCCACCTCAAGACCGTCTTAGCCTTGGCGATGCAGTGGCAGTGCTCTTGTGTCCCATCTTGCTGGTCATTGATTGTGGTTTGTACCCAGGGTTTGTTCCCCGCCCTCTTATCCAACACTCGGACCGGCCAGTGGTCTCGTGTGGCCTAGATAAACCAATGGGCCTCATTCCTGACATCCGGCCCCTTCCTTCTTACATCTTCTTCTTCAGATCCTACCAGATCTCAAGTTCAGGTTTGTAACCTAGAGACTATCTTTTGAACCAGCTCTGTTCGACTCCAGACTTCTGTGAAGCCTTCAGTCTTCCAAAGCTACTACATCCATAAGCAAGCGGCCCAAAAGGTTGTCTTGCCCCAACTTGAATGGTTATTACCCAGACTCCCTCAAATGGCAGTTCGCAGACAGCGCTTGAGCAAGTTGAGCCCGTAAAGGACGAACCACCTATAGGTGCCCAACTCCCACGCCACATTCAAGATACAACAAATGAGAAAGCCCTAAACCAAGTTGTCGGAGCCGGCACCCCGACTTCACCACGTGACGAACTCTGCAAGAACGCTCACATCTACGACGTTGTCCACCTCTCAACTGAGCTTAAGGTAGACGTTGATCATGGCCTTACCAACAGCGAGGCGGCAACTCGCCTCGAGAAGGATGGACCAAACAAGATCAAGGATAGCGAGCGGATTTCCGTGTTCCAGATTCTCTTAAGACAGGTCTCCAATTCCCTGACCCTCGTTCTCTTGATCACTATGATCCTATCCTTCAGTCTGGACGACTACATTGAAGGCTCTGTCATCCTTGCAGTCATTCTGCTCAACATCATCGTTGGCTTTATACAGGACTGGCGCGCTGAACAGACTATCTTGTCTCTCCAGGCTCTCTCCTCTCCGGAATGCAAAGTCCTCCGTGGCGGCCAGATTCAGGTTGTCAAGGCCGAAACCCTCGTCGTTGGCGATGTGGTTGTTCTGGCTGCAGGCGGCATTGTCCCGGCCGATCTTCGCCTCTTTGACTCGGTCAACCTATCGACAGACGAGGCGCTGCTTACCGGCGAATCCCTACCAATTTCCAAGTACGCCGACAAGGTCCTGACCCGTACCGATATGCCTATCGGTGATCGTACCAATATGGTCTACTCAGCTTCTATGGTTACTCGCGGTCGTGGCTCTGGTATCGTCATTGCCACAGCTATGTTGACTGAAGTTGGCAAGATTGCTGCCCTCCTGCAGGACAAGAAAGCATCTGCCACCAAGCAAAACCCCGTGGTGCGTGCGTACAAGCGCACCATTGAAGTTATGCGGCACGCACTCGGCTTGGTCGGTAGTCCGCTACAGGTCAAACTCAGCAAGTTTGCTCTTCTCCTCTTCGGTCTCGCAATCCTCTTGGCCATCATTGTCTTCTCAACTGCCAAGTGGGACGTCTCTGACGAGGTCCTCATCTACGGTATCTGTGTCGCCGTCGCCGTCATTCCGGAGTCTCTCATCGCCGTCCTGACACTGACGATTGCTGTTGGTACCAAGGCTATGGCACGAAGCAACATCATTATTCGCAAGCTCTCGTCCCTCGAAGCTGTTGGTGGTGTGTCAAACATCTGCTCTGACAAGACTGGAACACTCACCCAAGGCAAGATGATTGTCAGACGTGCTTTGATCCATGGCGCAGAGACTTTGTCTGTCCAGAACTCAACAAACCCATTTGACCCTACGAGTGGCACCGTTGAGCGTGAGGATGGCGAAATGATTTCGGGCGTCGCGTCTGGAACCCCTCTTGACCGCTACCTGGACGTCGTCTCCCTCTGCAACCTTTCCACTGTCCAGAATCTGTCTCGCACCATGACTGGATCCTCAAAGCCGGCCGGCACCATGGGTCAGGGCGGATGGTCTGCTGTGGGTGAGCCAACTGAGATTGCTCTCCAAGTCTTTGCCATGCGTTTCGATCACGGAAAAGCTCAAGCTATGGGCAAGAAGAACCGCACTATGGTCGCCGAATTTCCATTCGACTCCAGCATCAAGCGCATGACTATGGCATATACTCGTCCTGCCGACAATGTTGTCGATCTCTTCACGAAGGGTGCCACTGAAGCGGTCCTGCCAATCTCGACCTGTACTGAGGCAGAGAAAGCTCGTATCAATGCAGATGCCGAAGCCATGGCTAGCCAGGGCCTCCGCGTTCTGTGTCTTGCTCATCGCACAACTGATGCGAACGACGAGAAAGCCTTCGCTGACCGCGCTGTTGCTGAGAAGGATCTCACATTCATTGGTCTCATTGGTCTCTACGACCCGCCTCGTGCCGAGACAGCCGGTGCAGTACAGACCTGTCAACGTGCTGGCATCACCGTCCACATGCTCACTGGCGACCACATTCGCACAGCTGCTGCCATCGCCGAGGAGGTCGGAATCGTTGGTCATTACTCCGGCCAGGAAGTTGGTGAAGTCATGGCCGCGTCCGACTTCGACAAGCTCTCCGACGAGCAGATCGATCAGCTCGAGAAGCTACCGCTTGTGGTTGCTCGCTGCTCGCCTACGACCAAGGTGCGCATGGTCCAGGCGCTGCATCGTCGCAATGCTTTCTGTATCATGACTGGCGACGGCATCAATGATTCACCTGCTCTGAAGTTAGCGGATATTGGTATTGCCATGGGTCTCAATGGCAGCGATGTTGCTAAGCAGGCGGCTGATATGGTCCTTGCTGACGACAACTTTGCTTCGATTGTTCGGGCTATTCAGGAAGGAAGGAGGCTTTTCGACAACATCCAGAAGGTGAGTTCTCCCATGCTCACGCTTGTTGCCCACACTGACAACGTACACAGTTCTTGCTCCATCTTCTGACCTCCAACATCGCCCAAGTCGTCCTCCTGATCATCGCCCTCGCCTTTCAGGATAGCGAAGGCAACTCCGTCTTCCCACTGTCGCCACTGGAAATCCTCTGGGCCAACCTTGTCACCTCTTCGCCACTTGCACTTGGTCTGGGTCTCGAGCCTGCGGTCGTGGACATCATGGATCGACCACCTCGCGACATGAAAGTCGGCGTCTTCACCAAGTCCCTCATCATCGATAAGATGGTCTACGGCGTCACCATGGGCTCTTTGTGCTTGGTCGCCTTCGTCTCCACCATTTACGGCATTGGCTCCGGCAGCAGTAGTCTCGGTAACGACTGCAATCAGGACTACAACTCTTCCTGCGATCGTGTGTTCCAGGCTCGTGCAACTGTCTTCGCCGTGCTCAGCTTCACCCTGCTCATCACTGCCTGGGAGGTCAAGGACTTCAACAAGTCGCTCTTCAACATGGGTCTTGTCGGTGTTGAGCGTGATCCTGACTCTCACCGGGATAAGTGGTTCTCCGTCTTCCCGGCTGTCTATCAGAACAAGTTCTTGTTCTGGGCTGTGGTTTCCGGATTCCTGACAGCGTTCCCGTTGATCTACATTCCTAAGCTCAACACTGTCGTCTTCAAGCACGATGGTATCACTTACGAGTGGGGTATCGTCGTTGGGTGTGTGCTGTGCTATGTTGCTGTCATTGAGAGCTGGAAGGCTATCAAGCGGGCTCGCGCTCGCAAGGGCAAGAGCTTTGATGGCATCGTCCCAAGTGGAAAGAGCACGCCGGATGGCGGGTCAGTGGTTTAGTCTCCTGCGCCCGATTCAAACCTTCTCGGGGAAGGGTTGTCTTTGTCGATGCGGGTTGGTCATGCACGTTGCACATGGAGTTAGGCCGTTGCTAAAGCTCCAACCGCTATTCACTCCTTCTTGCAAACAGGATTGGCGGGCATATAACTGTAGGCAGGTTTTCCCCTCCATAGGGAGGTTTCCTGCTTGATAACCCCCTATTAGCAATATCAATCACTGAAAGCAACATAAAACTGTCCTCTTCGCCGGTCTATCATCGGAGTCGGGTACCCTCTGTCAATCTTAGATCGCTACTGCCTTTTCTGAGGTGGCGGCAGATTTCGCCATTGCTTTTATCTCTCGCAGTTCCAGGGCGGGTCAATTGCAATGGACACAGAAGTGAGGCAGCTTCTAGCTCAGATTGGTCTACCACGCTAATAACAGTGAATGCTTCCCAGCCGAGTCAGTGAAGTGATCGTATCGGTTTGCCTCGGACTGGGACTTTTCTCACAGAGGTATAAGTAGTCGTCTTGCCCTCGACTTTATCCTCTGCCCTTCCATAACACATGATCACCAACATCGAACGTTGTCATACCTTGGTAGTACATGCTGCTGCCGGGTGCGACGGAGGACTTCGAGGCATAGACGAGTCGTTTTCTGAGACTCCTTTTAAGTCATATTTCAGTCTGTCTGTGGCAACTATTGCCATTCCGAACACAACATACCCCCGCCGAATGATCTCCGCAGGCACCAGATAGACAATGCTTCAGCCCATACCCCTGATGGACCACTGGAGTCGAATGCAAGTTCAGCTTCCTCCTCCCCACTGCTCGTATAGGCAGAGGCCTATGCAGCCATGCACAAGCGTAAATCGTGACCGACGCACTGATTGCTTGCATCCTCTAGGATCAATTCATCTTCTAGGATCAATTCGTGCGTGTGCGCCGTGAAAGCTGCGTGGAGTCGCGTTGTAGAACAGATTGATTGTGAACTTGAAGGCGACATGGACTCGACGGGGTTAAACCATCCCCCGAGCGCTTGGCGTAGCGAAGCTCCAACTGCAGGTCCCCGCGGAGGTCAACGACGTCAACCACAACATATCTTCGAACACCACTACGCAGCATGCTGAGAGCACCACACCCATAGACCTACCTCCACTGTCTCCGGCCTCGTCTACAGCAGTCGTGAAGCTCACCTGAGGACTGTGGCCCATTACGGGCCAGAATAGCCCTCCACCATGTCGAAACACAGCACATACCTGCTACTCTCGCTACCATCCTCGATAACACCTTCAGGCCACCAGAAGGACGCTTTGTCACACATCGAGTCGACTGTAGGCTCCTCTGGAGACGCTGTCAAGGCCCTACCCATACCAGATTTCAAGATCGGAACATTAGATGCATGCTTGTCACAATCGGATGAGCTAGCCAAGCTCGAGGGAACATGCAAAGGCATTGTTGCGAAGGTTTCAGATACGCTCAGGAATGTAGTAGACGGCGACGACGATAAAGCGGCTGAGCATAAGGCTGTTAACGACAGTACGACAGGCGCCTTCAGCATTCGTTTCCGATGCTAACATCCATGCAGAGCCATTAGATGCGTACCTCTCAAGCTTCTCCTGGAACAAGGTCAAATACAGAGCCGACAAGCCCATCTCAGAACTCATCAGCCTCCTACAGAAAGCAAGTCCCCACCACCCACTTTGCATGACCCCAAATCTAACAGATCCGCAGGAGATCAATTCAATAGACAACGACGTTCGCTCGAAATTCAACCAGTACAACTCCCTGAGAACCAATCTTGCGACCCTCCACCGAAAGCAAAGCGGCAACCTGTCCACCAAATCCCTTCTCAGCATCGTCAACCCCAAAATCCTTGTGCAAACCAGCGGCAGCGAGCACCTAGAAACACATCTCGTAGCAGTACCCTCGTCGAACGTTAAGGACTTCAACCGCTCCTACGAGACCATCTCGCCTATGGTCGTGCCTCGATCCGCATACTTCGTCGACTCGGACTCGGAGTTTAGTCTGTACGCTGTGACTGTATTCAAGAAGCATTCACAAGAATTCCTACATAAGTCGCGAGAAAGGAAATGGGTGCCTCGAGATTTCAAGGCGCAAGAAGGTGGCAAAGAGTCGGAGCTGAAGGAGCTGCACAAGGCGGAAGCAGAAGAGAAACGTGTCTGGGGCGAAATATTACGCCTGTGCCGGACAGGGTGGGGCGAGGGCGTCATGGCCGCGGTGCATGTGGTGGTCTTGAGGATGTTCGTGGAGACTGTGCTGCGCTACGGTTTGCCGCTTGACTTTGTGGCTGCTGTGGTCAAGGTGAGTTCTTGCAGCATAGAACATCCCTGGCCGGAGGAGGCTAACCAATTCCAGACCGACACAAAGCGCTCGGAAAAGGCACGGAAAGCTCTCGACTCGGAGTTTTCTTACCTGGCCGGCAACGCGTTTGGCAGAGATTCCAAGGGCAGGGTGCAGAAGGAGGACACCTCGATGGGTGGACCTGAAGTTGGCGCAGGCCAAGAGGGCGGTGAGTACAAGGCTTATGTGAGCTGTGACATCGACTTCGACTAGTTGTCGGAGGTATGGGCACAACGAAGAGGGCGTCTGTGAAGGTCTTGTGGGTCCAATATTGCTACAACCATGCGGTATGGCACAACGGGCAATAGGAAACGATAGGATGTGCATACGTATGATCAGTACGGACATAAAGCTGGGCAGGCAGGAGTTCGAAAGCGTCACGATCACGCCGGCAAAGCGAGTACACTCAGGTGGTAGAAGGTAGGCGCTTTGAGAGACAAAGAGGCAGCTGTCATCAGGCTGCGGTGAAAGACTTGCCATTATTGCCTCTGAAATCCATGGTGAGAGACTTGTTTCGAGCGACTGAATATATGCTCGTCAGCCGGTCTGGACTTAGATAGTCGCGAAGGGCTGACCTTATCAACCGGTCTTCATTTCTGAGTCCGGATCCTGTTCTCTTTCATCCCAAATGCCAAGACATGACCGATACATTCATCAGGTCATCACGCGTGCCATGGGCATCCATTCGTGCTGCCTCTGAGCGGCAAGCCTTTTCTCGTCACAAGCACGAAGTCGATCCAGGTTTTCAGTATTCAAAGGAAAGATCTAGAAAGTCGAATTTAGTTCGTGCTGGGAACTGGTTTCGCAATTTTGGGGATCTCATGGTCGCGGCCGAGCTATGCGTGAGATAGTGCCGCAATCGTCGTGAGCGTGTTCGTTGTCAATGACCCCGTCTTTCCCCGGATGTTTGGAGGCTAGGGAGGCGACTTTGAGGATACGCAATTTTGGTGGGACTGTACGCCGGTTGCCTATTAATGTACATGTTGAATCCAACTCCTTCGCACAGCTCTACTCTCAGGCCGCAGCACTGTCCTTTCCATGCTGAGGCTGCCGCTGGGCATCGTGTAGCCCGGAGTAGTATCCAGCCCAGTAGTATGCCATTTTCAGATTTTCCAGAGTGTGGTCTGTAGTACCTGTGGCCGGAACTGTATCACCACCAACCTCCTGTGGCGCAGTCGAAGTGCCGCCATCATCACCGTCTTGGCCTTCAGTGACGTCTAGCTGCCTTGATGCTGACTCCTTTGCCGCTGCTGTTGGATGTTGTTGATTCGTCCCTTGCTCGCCATTGACCTCATTGGCTGTAGTAGGAGTAGTATCGATGGGCGCCTGTTCGTCCATCGCCATGAAGTCGTCCGCGATCTCGCCTTCCTCTTCCGACTCTGCAACCCGGTTGGGGGTCCTGGTCGTGGCGGCTGTGGTAGCATCATCACCGGGCCCGTTGCCGCCTTTCAGCGCAAGAGGCGCCTCCTCCCCCTTAGCCTCCGCCTGCTCCGCCGCGTCCAGCACCGTCTCTATATCTAAGCCTTGCGCTGCAAGGGAGTGGTAGTACTGGTACTCCGCTACCGCCTCGTTCCAGCTGCGTACCAGTGCGGAGTCATCCCAGATCTCTGCATGTGAGAGCCAGCCTGACGCGCCGTCGTGCTGGTCGTTCCTGGAAGAACCGTAAGGTGTTGGTCTCTGAGCCTGGTGATTGTTGTGCTTCGCCTTCTTGTTCTTCGGCATCAGTTATACCTGGAAAGGGCGACTATGACTTGGTATTGTCTAGTGTCTACCGTTCTTCTGCAGACGAAAGTTTGATCCGGGCTGGGTCGATGTGATAGGTATTTGTACGATGACTGGCTTTGGTTCCCGGGTACAGCGTTGTCGTGCTAGGCTCCGCCAGGCTGTGCTGTCATGTCAGAGGCGGCTGAGGCAATCAGATGCAAGTGTGATGGAGAATCCCGATATTTTGAGTAGGAAAAGGACATTACTGCATATTGCGATCCACCAAGGCAGAACCAAGAAAAGGCAACTAAAGTGATTAGGCGGCCACTCTAGTCCACAGCGGTTGCCTGATTCTGAAGTATAGCCTAGTCAAAATATATATTGCCTTAGATTGTCTTTCCGTGTGTGTCAGTATGAACAGCTTACTCCAGCTCAACACTCCTCTACGTCTACTGCAATTGCCGCGGAATTCCACAGTCGAGATGTCACAAGTGACCTCCGCGCCGTCCTGGGTAGGTCACACTGATCATGTCCCGTGCATACGGCCATCGCTAACAAAGGACCCTGCAGCCCGAAACCCGCCCCAACCTCGCAGCCATGCCCACCGAGATCCTCGAAAGAATTATCAACTTCGCAATCCAGGGTTCCCCCTTCTTGACCGTAGCGTACTGGGGTCGTCCAGAGATGCAGACCACCCCGTTCAGATGGTACCCGGAATGGCTACCTAGTCTTCTCTGCGTCTCTAAGCCAATCCGTCAGGTCGCGCGCGTTGTCCTCTCTCGACATGTCGAGCTACCTCTCGACGGATTGTACTGGTTCCCCAGCAATCATGTACCTCATCATGATACATTGCCGCCTGATATCAAGAGAAAGTATCGAAAGCACTTCGAGAAGTTGTTTGGATGGGAATGAGCGGGAAGTCTGACTGCTTGCAAGATGATGGGCAATTGAAGGAATTGATCGCCCAGAGCGTCAGAAGAAGCAGGATCGATCAATGCCGATGAATCGGACCTTTGCCCAAAAATCTGGGGGCGGAGTACAACAAACTCGCTCCTCACCATCAGAGGCCTTATGTGCGTATCTCGGGTTTCTTACCTAGACAGCACGTTGCTACCGAACAAGACCTCATGATAATCAATCCCACCTCAACAAATGCGCATCTCCTCCCCTAGACGGATGCTCCACCTCGACCGCCTCCACAAGCGCCTCATGCTGTTCCGACCTAATCTTGATGTCCACCTTGAACGGTTTGGGATGCTCAACAAAGCCCGGCACAAAATCAACCTTTGGCTCCTGACCTTTGATCGCAGTCACATTGAACGCCGCAAGCGTCCTCACCACCATCATCCACAAATTTGCATCAGCTAGATAACGGCCAGGACAGATCCGCCTACCGTGCCCGAATGCAAGGTCGAAGGGGCTGCCTTCTGCGTCGGGACCCAAGAAGCGCTCTGGTCGAAAGGTGTAGGGATCTTTGTGCCGCCCATCGTGGTGAAGCATGCCGTTAAGATGGGTCAGGATGGTCGAGCCCTTAGGAATCCAGTAACCTTCGTAGTAGTCTTCTTCGGTGGCCGCGCGGGGGACAGAGAGGGCGCCGATGGATTCCCAACGGACGATTTCCTTGAAGTAGGCTTCGACGTAGGGTAAATTTGATCGATCGGAGGCATTCGGCAGGCGACTTGTTCCAACGACGGCGTCGATTTCGGCTTGAGCCTTTCTTTGAGCGTCAGGGTGTATAGCGAGGTCGAGGAAGAGGATCTGGAGCTGGGATTTGGTTGTCTGTGCCGCTGTCAGCGCATGCTGGGTCAGGTTTAAGTAGCATCTTACATCTGTGGCTCCAATGAACAATGAGATTGCACTCCATTTGAGATTCCATTCATCGTCCTCCGAGAGCTTACCGTCGCTTTTCGCGAAAGCGGTCGCCACAAGTGACGGTCGCGCCGTACCGTTCCTGATCTGTTCCTTTGCAAAATTGTATGGGACGTTTGTTGAGTCATCAGTATCCTTCTTCCACTCTCGGCCGATGCGCTTGAATAAGGCACCAGGCATCCATTCGGGAACGTGTTTCAGGGCAGGTATAGTGTCTACGAGCCATCTGCCGGGCCCGACAGCAGCGTTGAAGTGGTCATTCAGGTCGGAGATCGACTTAACCAGTGGATCCTGGCCAACAGGGTCGACCGTGTAGCCGTACAGGGCCTGCGCGCTGACAGCAGCATTCTCATACGAGATGTGCTGTTCGAAGTCGTCTGGACGTTGAAGAAGCTTTAGCAGATATCGGCGTGTTTCGATATCGATTGGTTCCGCCCACCTATCAACGAAGCCAATAGTCCCAATGGCAGCGTGTGCGTATCTTCTAAAAGCTCGATGACGATCATCGTGCTGCAACACCATCCAGCTACCCTCAACTCCCATGACCTCTACGAAGAACGGAAACCTAGGTCGCCCGGAAAATTTGCCAGGACGTTTCTCGAGTAGATCGGCGGCAATTTTCTCGTCGTTGATGATGATAAAAGTGTTGCCAAAGACATTGAGAGTCGAGATGGGACCGTATTTCTCGCAGTGTTGTGTCCAGTGTTTGGTCGCTCGTCCACTGGGTTTAGGCATATCCAACAGGTTGCCGATTATCGGCCATGGTCTAGGTCCTGGCGGCAGCTTTGCGCCATTCTTGGACCGCTGAAATATTTGTTCCCAGGCGTAGTGCAGCAGAATGAGCAGTAAAGCGCCGAGACAGATGCTGCTAGTTGAAAGGTCGATCCCAAGGACCCTCATACTTCATCCAGTGGCCAGGACTGGTTCTAGGACAGCTCGTGCTCGGATTTCGTTTCTATCGCACTCAGGAGGACAGCTCGTTGGAATGCTGGACGATGAGACTGGGGGGCCGGCATTCATCAAATGTAGGCCTTCGTATAGTAGACTCTTGCGAGTAAGCCAAGGTTTGCCTCGTTGTTGGACCTGGTGCGCTTTGTGGGCGGTTGCGAACTCTCGAGGGCAGCTCCGCTAGGACGGATTACGGACTTTCGACTGCACAATCGTGGGCACGGATGTTTATAGCCATATTGAAGGAGCCCTATTTCCCCTCCGCGACAAACATAAGCAGCTCGGCAGGACATCGAATATTCCGAAAGGGGTTGAGGTGCTGATCCATCTGGCGCGATTCCTGTCGCGGTAATAGTAGAGTTCCACCACTGTGGTCGCAGGATCCGTACACCGCAGTAGAGGCAACGTTAGATACTAGACGCCGATGGAGACGTCAGACGGTCATCGTATTGTCTGTTAGTAATAACTCGCAAGGCGTAGATGGCCGGCTGTCCATGACTAGAAAGAGACGCCGCCTGCATCAGGGGTGGTCAGAACGATAAATCGTCTGGACGAGACCAGCGAAAGTTGCATTTTTCAAGCATACTCAATGAAACGCCTTCCACCGAACAGTCAGTACCTTGCAGCCCAGGTAGGCGCATCTGAACAGTTTGTATGAAGCTTTCGCTTGATCTCACAGCTGCAACCATGTGCATCCCTCTAGGAGTAGTGCATCTCAAAGACACAAAGACTGATGTTGAGTCATCCCGTCCTGTACATCCTCATGTCAAGTAGCACAGCCTCCGCGGCTGTGATTGTTCAGATTCGGCGTCTGGATGAATACTGAGCGGACAACGCAGCCCGACATACATATCCGAAATGTCGGCTTAATGTCACCGGATTTAGACCCTTCCACCCTCAGCTTGAAGATTACCTCAGCACAGCAAGCTGGATGATCTTCATCTACGTATCCCAGACGATTTCCATTTGGGCAGTCGGCGCATCAACTACTAGTGCAGGAACCAGTCATCGAAGGCTAAGACGAGCATCGAAATGCAGGTGCTCTGAAGTATCGAGGGGATTGATTGCAAGGTACTTGAGGCTCGTATACTTTCAGCAACTCCCAGAGCGCTGAATCCTCCCCCATCTCGGAAAATATTGACAACTAGAGCTGTACATTGCTTCGCGGGTATCACTGCGACTGATGAATACAAACAACCACCCATATTTTGTGGCGCCTTTGTGATAGTCACATTTGCCCATTGCCCATCCAGAGACACCGAAGAAAATGACGTGATATCATTTCATGCTGGTAACAAAAATCGTGCAAGCGTGTATATGCATCATAGAGGTTGAATGGTTTGCTGGTAGGAGGGATCGAAGCTCTCGGCCGCCTGGGCGAGTGTGTCGAGATCTGAGAAGCCACGGATCAGGCTCGGAGGCATGGGCACATTCCCGGAGCCGAGTGGTGCCAGTCTCGAATCAAGTGCCGACGGCAGAGTGTTATTGATTGTGAGGCTATCGTCCGTGAGCGCTGGATAGATGGAATCTGCCGAAAACACGGTCGGCAGAGGTTGCTGAGGAAGCAACATTGGGTTGGTCTCGGTGAAGAACGCGGTGTCTGGCATCAGAAGTGGCAGCTCAGGGCCGGTCGACTCGATGGAGGTCTGGTCGGAAATGGGCGACCTTTTGAAATTTGAGGAGCTCGACGTGGTCGGATCTGAAGAAGCGGTATCCTCCGAGTCTTCCTTCTTCATCTGCTTACTTCGCTGAACATCTCGCGAGGCCGCGGCCTTAGATCGGCGAGGGTTGTCGCTGCCGCTTCCCGCGTGATTCTTGTGTGTACGCTCGTGCTGTTTCATGTTGTCTTTTCGGGTGAATGCTTTGTTACATATTGGGCAGTGAACTCCCTTCTCTCCAGTATGCTTCTTCCCATGACGGGCAGCATGCCCGGAGGTCGTGAAAGTAGCCGAACAACTATGCGATTGAGCGTATGGACACGGGTATTTGTTCTTCTTTCCCGTGGGTGGCGCCGCTGCTGAAGTGACAGGTGATGTTTTTGCTACAGATGCAGAAGCAGAGTTGTTTGATGAGACGGGCGTGGGTAGTTGTGCAATATCCTGGTGCGTGGGCGCTGGGAGTATCGGGTATTGACTCGGAGCTTGCGGGAGCAGGGCCTTCTGATTGAAGGGATCGGACAAAGAAGGTGCGATCATGAGCTGGCTCTCCATGAACGGCGTGATAGTGGATGGGGAGGGGATGTAGCCGGTCAGATCTTGCCGGAGGACATTGTCGTAGCCAAGGGCATTGGGATCACCGAACTGATACGCAGGCGTAATTGGGGAAGGCGATGAGTCCATGCTACTCTCTGAGGATTTAGACGATGAGCTATCGAAGCGCAAGAGTGGAGGGGTCGATGCTGTGGATGAGAAGGACGATGTGCGTGTATATTGTGCGTAGCGGTAAAGTGAAGGCCTTTCTTGATGAATCGCTTTGGCAGGTGCAGCGGATTTCGGTGAAGATGACTCGCGTTGGCGGATGACGAATGAGGGACAATCGTTGTCGTTCAGAATCGAGAAGACACGTTCCCGAGGATGGTTGCGAACATCCATGGTAGTACCCTCAAAATTGGCGGCCAGCTATGAGTGCTGGCTCTCAATATCAAGGGAGAAATTCAGATGGCTGTGAACGCACAAGAGCACTGAGGCCGATAATGACGCGAGGGAGCTGATCTACTGCACGTGGCACGCTGTTGTGGGCGTCTTCGTAGTGGTGTCGAAACTGTACTTTGTGACTGAGAGGCGTAGAGCAGATGAAGACTATGTTGACAGCAGAGCGGACGACTAGTGAGGAGACGACAGCGAGGAACACGTGGACGATGAGTTTTGTCAACCGCGAAGAGTGTGCTGAAGGTAGTATACAATGAGACTGGACCAAGCTACGGTAAGTAAGTCAGATTCTCAAACTGGGCGCCAGACTGTCGACATCACAACCTGGAAACTGAAGGTTTCTTGTAATTGTTCGCGATCGACGATTCAATTCCGGGGCCCACACTGAAAACTGGGCCCTCTATGAACCCGCAGTCTCCGGCTCTTTGGGAATGGTATTTCCAGCTTTGACCCCTCAACTGCCTGTGCTGTAGGGCTGGATGGTCCATTTCGACTGTGCACGAGTCCAGCGCTTCAGCTGTTATTCCTGCAGGTAAACATCGAGACTGTGCAGCGTTATGATCGTCGTGCCCAAAAGGCGACCATGAAGGTGTGCATTCTTCAGCGACAGCCGCTCAGCCGCCGAGAAATAAATGCTGTGATGATGGTAGGGAAGGGCGATCGAGGATTCACTTATGCATCGTCGATTTTAAGCTGGGTGGACCATTGAGGCGAGCCTAACTACCCCTGCTGGCAACCCTGCGTCTGAGGATACTCCGACATACACTGTAGGCTCATCACGATCGCATGCCTTCGCAGTCTCGCAGATACTCACACTGTTCGAATGTATTGACATAGGTACCTATGCATGAGCTTGCAGTCGCATTGCGTGCCTGTGAATGATTCGCTGTGCCCAGGCCGAGCGATTATGGCACACAGAGGGAACGGCAGTCCCTGAGAACTCGATCCACGACGACTGACATCATAGGGACTCACAGTAGACGACTGCCGCGATTGACCAGCCGACCCATCCTATACCGAGACAGCCACCGACGACAAAGGCTGTCTGCAAGCGAGAAAAAAGTAGAGCTTTTGTGTCCAACAAGTGGGAATGCGCAATCTGCATGCGAGACGTTCATTGTAGAACTGGGAACTTAGTCAGTAGAGAATTGGACCCTGAATCGAATCCCTGGGTGCGATCGAGAACTTAGGTGTCAACGGGCGAGACGGGGCCGCGTCGCGTGCTGGGAACGCCTCGAAGGCGCGGACCCTAAAACGTCAGCCAAGGGCACTCTGCCCCGACCAATAGCAGCACTGTATCGACAACGACAGTACATCGTCCATCGTGACTATTTTTGCTGATAAACCTGTACGCAACAGATGGGAATGGGATGCCACTGTCCACGTCGTTGATGTGGGAACATGTAGACTCTTGCATGAGCAGTGGTCAAGCCAGCTTCGAGACGGTCTCAGATCGTAAACTTCAAAGGTTTGGGAGACAAGACACAAGACTGGCCCGAATGAGATCAACAGGCACGACCTGTGAAATAGCAGATCTTTGCCGTTTGAGGTTGTTTCCAAACATCTGAGAATCCGATACTCGAGATCTCATCGAGCTTGTTTTAGATACAGTCTTGTAGCAGCGAAGTCAACAGTACAGGGACTCTCAACGGCTGCAGGGGCAGCTCGTGGACGTACCTGAATACTGACTTTTGTTGCACAAGCATATCCATATCCGGCAGGACTGCACTTGTACATGCAGGGACGTACTGGAGGGCCAAATGGCTCGTCAAAACCTTCCTTCGGTGTCCCATTCGTGCCAGTAAGAGTACTGCCGTCCAAGCACTGGCATCTCTCGTGCAGGAACACCTGAAGATGAGTGGCAATGGTCGCGCGGATCGGCGAACATCTGCGTTATGTTTGAGAGCTGAACGGGAATCGTGAATTACATGATACATGATGACCGTGCCTCCTGTTCAGGTCACCATGCGCATCACGTAGCTATAGAGACTCTCAAAACGAGAGCAGTTCACATTGTCTCCTCCGTGCACGAGCAGACATCGACGAGTGCGTGATTGCGATGCCGGACCCATATCTGGTGTCGAAGCTGGTGGTTGCTGACTTCTCAAGCTACAAGACACGCGAGGTGTCGGAGTGGGTGTGCAGGCTAGGTCAAATGCACTACAGAGTCGGTGCCTATGGTTGTGAACACGGCGGCGGAATACGCAACCTGAGTGTCTCTTTCGTTCGGGGCGGCGCCATGAAACTGACGGACGGCAATGCCAAGTCGATGCCAAAGATCCCAGAAAGGCGAGGCAGCGACAACTTTGGTGTTCCAAGCCGCAAGATGCCGCCACAAAGAGAGTAGTGGCTGCTCCAACTAAGACAGAGACCAAGGAGCACAGCCACAGTGATGTGCTGGCAGCAGACATGTCAGTGTTCGGCTTCGTCCTACAGTGCAATTCGCCCAGCCAGCGTGGTTGATCCTGACAAGAAATTATTGGAGCCATTACGACGCTGAAAGAGTTCAGTGGCTGGGACGGACCGGTTGATGAGGCAAGAGCCAAAGTCTCCCCCACCGCCTCTTCTGCCTTAGTAACTGCTTCAACATACTGTTCCAGCAAGTATCAGTACATAGCATTGAGCTTCCTGCTCACCAACTGGACACGTGGACTTATTTGCTGCCTTGTGCACGTTGAAACGATTGGACGTTGTTTGCTGCATGATACCCGATTGGAGCCCAGCGAGCCTCCATTGAGAGAATTTGAGCCCGAGGCGACACCCCGCCTCCAGCGCCCAGCACAGCCCGACTGCGACAGCCAGAGTAAGCCTGACTACCTAGCGCCTGCTGCAATCGCAATCCATCAAAACCCTCACGACTGGCGCAACCCAGCCTTCCACTCACTATCGTACTGTGCCGGCTTGCCGCATCAGCGTCGTTGCACCACATCCGGTGTCGACTCTTTCCTGTGGTTCCGGAACTCTACCAGGCCGCATTACACATATCCCATTGTTTGCCCACCGCCTCATTCTCCATCCCCGCCTCTCATGGCTTCCTACGACGACGACCGACGGAGTAGTCGATACAAGAGCGACCGACGCAGCAGAGACAGCTACGACGACATGGCTTACGATACCCGCGACTCAAAGTCCACGACCATGGTGAGACGCAGAGACGATTCAGTCTCGTCAGTAGAGGAAGTCACCAGAGATTTCCCGCCAGGCGAGCGGGGCGCTATCTACCGAGAGACCACTGTGCGCAAATCTGGCCATCGACCTGTGGGTTCTCGGTCCAAGTCTTATGAGAACGACTACGATTATTACGATGATCGTTCTTCATACAGTCGCCGCAGTCGCAGAGGTCATCGGGATGATGATACATATGTTTCAAGGCGGAGTCGGAAATACGACGATCGAGGTGAGTTCCTGAAAGTGGCCATTGCGCGTGACTTTGACTGACCATGCCCAGACGGTCGACGAGGATATGATTCGTACTCCGACTATTCATCTCGCAGTCGCTCACCGCCACGGAAGAAGGACAAAGAGCGTCGCAAATCCACGACAGAGCAGCTCCTCACTACTGTCGGCCTAGGCGGGGTCGCTGGTGCGCTGCTTGGCAAGAAAGACAAGTCGCGTTCGCGCTCCCGATCCCGCGATCGCCGCAGCGACCGCAGTCGCCATCGTGGTCGGTCATCTTCGTCATCCAGAAGCCGTTCCAAGGAGCGAGGTGGCAAAAAGAGTGGCAAGGAACGTGGCGCTGAAGCACTCAAAGCCGCCTTACTTGCCGGCGTCGTCGAAGCTGTTCGGGCTCGCAAAGAGCCAGGTGGCTGGGGCGGCGACAAAGGCAAACGAGTGCTCACTGCTGCTGTCTCCGCTGGTGGTGTAGATGGTATCCTGTCCCACAACCGTGACAAGGATCACTCTACCCGAGACGTCATCGGAGCCGCTGTTGCCGGTCTCGCCACTAATCGCATCGTCAATGGCGCTCGGTCCAAGTCGCGAGGTCCTGCCGACGATCGTGGCCGACGTGATGGAAGTGCCGACCGCGGCCGCAGCCCCTCTCGAGGTGGTATCGGTGACATTGCAGCAGGCGGAACCATCGCAGCCACCGGCAAAAAGATCTGGGACCGTGTGAGGTCTCGCTCTCGCGGTCGTGCCAAGTCTAGAGATTCATCCTATGACAGCTATGACAGCCGCGATGCGGGTCGTCCAAAGCCTGAGCGCAAACGAAGCTCAAGTGTTTCTGCTGCTGTTGCCAAAGGACTGGGTGCCATCGGACTCGGAAGCGCTGCCGACAAGGTCGATCCATCACGCCGTCAACAGCAATCAAGGAACTTTGATGAGCACTACGACGATCGCGACCGTGGAAGAGGCTACTATGATGATGCCTCGAACAATGGCTACAATGGATATAGGGATCCCAGAGATCGAGATCCAAGAGATGTAGGTGCCCTTACCCCTGCCAATGGACCGGGTGCTGTCGGCCCTCGTGCAGTCAGTACTAGTCGAGTGCCCTCTGGCCAGTATAGAGCCGACACGGCGCCCCGGCACACCGGTGATCCTGAAACAGATTCGGATTCTGACCTGGGCTCCAGTTCCGGTGAAGAAGCACAAGTGAAGAAGAGCCGCAAGAAGACCTACATCACCGGCGCTCTTGCAACCGTGGCTACCATTCATGCCGGCCATAGTATCTACACGAGTGTAGAGAAGCGAAATGCTCGTAGGAAAGCTCTCAAGGAAGGCGACATATCTCCAGAAGAGGCACGCAGAGAAAAGAATAGAGCACGTCTGCAAGATGCGGCGAGCGTTGGTATAGCAGCGCTCGGTATCAAGGGCGCGTACAGCGAGTGGAATAGTATGAGAGAAGAGAACAAGGAGGCGTTGGAAAAGAAAGAGGCTGCAGAACGACACAAGCACAAGCGAGACGCCCGGAGGAAGAAAGAACAGCTCATGGCCGCACAAGCGTATCGAGAGGGCGGCTTTCACGGAGACCTGCCGCATTTGGGACCGAGCGATTCGCCATACTACGGAAGCGATGCTGGACACTATGCGCCCTCGCAGCCCCAATCGGCAGGGCCGGTCCACTACACGGACGGCAACCCGTTCTCATCCTACAGCAACATCCCTGCGCAACCGCAGCCGCAGGCCCAGCACCCATCGCAACAGCAGCCACCAAACCCACAGGTGTATGCAACGCCTCCTCCTGGAGCTTCCCACTATGACCATCAGCCCTACCCACCCCAGGCGGCAGGATATCAACACCCGTACGACATCCCACCTCCTCCAATGGGCCCACCTCGTGCCGACACTCATTAAGCCAAAGCCATAACGATTTATGGAACGATCTTGCGCAACTTCACGACTTCTCCCGGCTCCCTGATCAGCTATCTATGGACATCACGACACGGCATAACGATATCCCACGAGCAATAACGAGCACTCTCTATGTTATGGCTAGGAAGCTGGCTACGATCTCATTGGCATACTGGCGTTGGCATTCCATCGATTTCTACGATAGCTCATGACTTTATGATATAGAAATCCAATTCCATACGAATTTGACGAAAGGACGTATGCATTTTCTGATGCTTCGCTGTGCTCTTCACTTATTTGCGATCATGCTCTTCTCTCTGCTTTCACGCATTGATCTTTTCAAAGCTGTTGAATAGCTGGGCAAAGAGACTAAGTCAACCGGTCTGCCAAAAGTCTCGTCTTATATTTGCAGATACTTAAATTCCTTTGCCTTCGTAGACACGCCTCCCGGCTCAGTGTATCGCACATAACTCGTGGTCATCCAGTCTATGGGAACACATCTCGGCCCTTGCGTCTGCTCTACCATGGTCGTACGCTACCGCCCACTCAGCAATCTCCCCAACCACCCGCGCTCGGACGACTTTCTTCTTCGCTCTCTCGATCTCGATCTGTAGTGCCGTCGGTCTCCACGATGCCCTCTGCTCCGACTCCGCCGCCTCCTCCCCCATCTGCGCTCACTGCTGCTCGATCGACGCCCTCCACGCCTACCTGTTCGTTTCCGTCGTCGGCCACGAAAGTCCTCTGATGAGGACGAAGAGTCGTAGAGTCGGCGCTGGGCTGGCGCGTAATGACGAGTTCGGGTTCGAGTCTGATGGTGACGGCGGATGCGTCCTGGCCGATCATCGTCGTCTGCGTATATGATCGGTCGGCGCCTGCGTGCAGAGGACGAATCGCGAGAACGGCGCCGCCGAGTCCTTCCACGGTGCCTGGCGTCTTTTGGAGTGTTGATGATGTTGTGCGTTGCAGTGTTGTCGACAATGACAGAAGGCGAGGGCGAGAATCGGACGTTGGCTGATGAGCTGCTCTTGCTGCGACTTCTGCTTCGGTATCTACAGGGAGTGTTGCTTCGCTTGCGTCGACGGCCGGCGCCATTTACCAGGATGGACCGTAGAGGGCTGCGTCCTCTCTTCTCCCGTTGCCGTCGCTGGTGAATGTAGATCTGCCGTTCTGGACTTTCATTACGTCTCCTGCCTCGTTCTCTAGTGATTGTGACAACACGTCGAGGCGCGATCCTTTCGATGTAGCTCCTACATGATGACGACGATGAGCACGAAGGACACCGTTCGTTGACCCAGGTCCAGATGTTGCTCGAAGATGATGAGGAGAAGGTCGAGACCGAGTCGCTATCACGCAATAGGTCAATAAACACGGAAGAAGGCATTGTGCATGAAGCAGGCGTTTGCTGTTCGGATGTCGACTGACACGACGATAAGTCGACAGAGAATGTCTGGCTATTTGGAGGTCGTGAGGAGGTGGCATTGTGACTCGTACAGGCAGAATCAGGCGTACTCGAATGTAGGACAATGCAAAGTAAGGCGACTGTGCTACATGAGCTTGGAAAGGGTCCTACTGCTCAAAGCCAACTTGGGCCGCGCTTGCCTTGGCCATGCGTACTTGTGTGGCAGGCGGACCGCTCAGAGCAGCACAGCTGGTCAGCGTTCTGCGGTGTTTTGTAAGGTAAGAGCACCCAGACACTCGCAGAGGAGCTGCCTTTCGTGTTGTCCATGTGACTACGGAAGTCACAGCTCAGCAGCTGACTGACAGCAGAAGCTCTGCGCTCGAACATGCTATAGTAACAGGAACAGGAGCGCCTTGGAGACGGAAGATCTTACACGGTTGGCGAGTCCGTAGCCCTGTGACCACAGGCCCAAACAAAGTGCCAAAAAGCAAAAACGTAATTTGAAGACAACAATACACTGGCAGACCCGGGGTCACCAACGGTCAGAAGTGCAAAACGTTTTCGAGAGGACTCACATGTCCTGAGAAGTTGTGAAGGCTCTCGGGCGTGGTAACTATCCCGCCGTATGAAGCAAGCCTGTCTCTCGCACCTCTTCCCAGAGGGAAGAGGCACGGTGTCTTGGATCGTGAATCGAAGACAGGTTTGCTTCGGCGACCGCAAGACCATGACTGACGCTCGCTCCAATTGAGCATTACCATCGCGCATGGCTAGTATGTAGACTCCAGATCGACGTTTAGTGTGGTGGTGTCCAGCGCAACGGTCGCACTGCTTGGTGCTGCACCGTGCTGAAGGCCCCGGAGCTAGATCGTATGTCGTAGCTGTTGAGGTGGCTGGTCGACCACGGACACCTGCTCACAGATGTTCTGTACCTATTGAGAACAACCTTGAAGAATCACTTGGCCCTCGTCATTTCCTTCGTTTCCAGCAAGGCAAACACAGTCGACATCTTCGACAGGCAGTGTGTCGTCAGATTGGTATGCTGATCAGAGCCAGTTTGGAGTGAGCCATCCGGCGTGGCGGTCTCATACGTACTTCAAATGGCGCGTTGCTTGCCAATGCAGGTCAAGCAGCCTTCCTAGTGCTTCCACAGCGATAGAGCTGCGGTGGAGGACATTCGTAGGATGTCTAGTGACCCATCATGGAGACCTTTCCCCATCGTCAACTGCCCTCCCTCTCCACCGTAACACGAGGCAGTCTGCCTCGGTTGCCTTCTCGAGGCCTTGCATCACCTTGCCCAAGCACTCTTCAGAATCGACTAGCAGTCACAGGGTAAAGCACATGAGCACTGAAGTCGCCTCTAGTCGGGAAGCTCTCGCCAGTACTCACACTTCATCAACCCAGAGCAGTGTCCCCTCATGGATCCGCCCCCCTCCCAGCAAAACGTCCCAACACCCCAATCCGCCCATACATCACCACTCCACGACGAAGACTGCGCCTTCTGCCAGATCATAACCGCCTACCCCATCGTCTCTCCCCTAGAATCATCCCAAACACTATCAGAAGCGCTCAACCCAGAAAAGCTTCACCCTCCAGCATTCGTACTACTCTCGACGGAGCACGTAGTAGCATTTCTGGATATCTTCCCTTTGGTCCGAGGCCATGTCCTGTTATGTCCACGGCGACACGCGGAGAAGGTTGGGGACATGACGAGCAGGGAGGGGATGGAGGTGAGTTTGTGCGGTGAATTTTGCTGCTGTTGAAGGGAGTTCTTTTCGAGGCTATGGCATGGTCGATATGCTTCTGAGGCCCAACCGGGCCTGCTTCGTTTGGGACCTGTGCGACGAACCCCCATGATCTGATGCCCTTCTCTACTAGATCGGGCGGATACTGCCCCTGATATCACGAGCGGTAGTCCGAGCTACAATGCCAGATATACCCCATGCCGAGGTCGACTACAACATAGTCCAGAATAATGGGCCAGGTGCTGCTCAGGTCGTACCACATGTGAGTACAGCCATTCAGATCATGGTCCGGCCCAGCGGCTTCATGCCGGGGCCAGCGTTTCCTGTTCAACTGCTAGGCTGTCCCAATCCTAATCTCAGCCATAGACCCACTTCCACATAGTTCCTCGATACCCCTTCGAGAGCACCTACACCCCCTACACGACTCCAAAGAGGAAACCTCCACCCCAAGGCATTCAAGCTACAGCTATCCTCTTCGGTCGCGGCCAGCGGCATTACAGGGACGACGATGATGCGGAGGGACTGATCAAAGTGATGCGGAAGGAGGTTGCAGAGGAGTGGCGCAGGGAATTTGGGGGTGGTAATGTGTCTGTGAGCGATCGCTCGGACGCGGTAGAGGAGGGCCAGTCAGGCCGGACAAGCGGCTCGAGTGAGGCGCAGCAGGAGGGAGCCGGGGCGAGCTCGGCGACCAGAATTTGATGCTGGCAGGTGCTGCGCAGAATAAGGTCGTGCGCGAAGATATGCTACCGGATGAGGGCGGCGGCGGCGGGGGAGGAGGATCAGGGAGACCTGGACGAGGCCGTGGCAATCTATGAGACGGCGATGGTCACGAGCCTGGACTACGGCTATCTGGTTGCTTAACATGTTTCTGCCGCCAGGATATACGGCGAAGAACTTCTGGATACAGGGAGATTTTCTTTTGTGGAAGGAAACATGATCATATGCGGCGTTGTCGAGAGCATGGCAGAAACTATGGACGATGGAGGAGCTCATATAGGTAGAGGTCGCCCCTCCTTGACCAAAGCCCGTCCCCTAGCGTCACCCCTAGGGAGTGACGCGAAGACAGAGGCAAAGGGTTGTCGGGCCCGCATGAGGCCAGCACGATCGACTTCAATAGCAACCGCGAAAACGAGCTGGCATGAGGATACACAGACAAGTCATAGGATAAGAATTCTTCATTCGCTGTCGGTCATCTCTATGATGACGGACTGCAGGACCGAATGGCTACTAGCACAGCCTTTGCAAAGAAGTAACGCCGCTTGCAATGCATGTCCTTTGTCTCATGTGCACAAATGTTGAAAGAAGGGGGAACATAACGCCATGTTCACCATTTTCCTACGTCCCACAAGCCTATCCTTGGATAACGCCATACTGTGCTTGCACAAGACTGCTGTTGGGAATGTCCATAGTAAGAAATTGTTCAAACGTCGTAGATTCTGATGCTGGCCGAGAGCCGAGAATGGGCAGTAATAGGCCTCGGGCACATCCTTTTCTACCGAAACCCGCTCTTTGGACGCCAGTGAGATGCCGAGATGGGTCTGTATGTGCGGATATGTAAGCGAGAGGGTGGTCTGGCCGGCCATAGACGATGTGGAGGGGATCAATTGCTAATGATGTTGTTGCTGATCTATGCAATGTGTCCCATGTCGTCCTTTCGTAGATGCAAATGTTGGACCGTTTCGGTCATACGCTGTAAAGGTTGCACGGGATTGGATCCGACGGTCTCGAGGGAGCCTTCTTGCGTCCGGATGAGGGTGCCCATCGAGTTGGCGATCGCGGTTCCACCTCCTAAGTGGCCTTCTCGTCGAGTGACAAGCTGCTATCGCTGCCGCGCAGGGTCGAGTAGTAGTCCTTAGCCCACTTTCGAGCCATGATGGAGGCTGTGAAGGATTAGCATAGGACTAACAACACGTGAACTCACTTACCCTTCAAAAATTTCTTACTAGCGTACTTCTTGAACAACGCCTCATGTGCCACAGGGGCATGAAGATAGTCAATGAGGAGCTCAAAGACGGGTTGTATCTCTTCCTCAGAGTAGCCAGCAAATTGAGTGAGCGTCGCATCCTGCAAAACATTAGTTGGTGCGAATGTACAGGACGGAAAGACTTACCCATTCGCCGCGATCGAGGATAGTGCGAGCGAGATACATAGCAGCGGCAGCGATGTGGCTCTGGCGGTACTCGAGGAAGCGGTGGTCGACAAGAGAGATCTCCATCAAATATTTGCCGACAGTGCGAGTTTGGATATCGTAGTTATCGGCCTTGGAGATGCGGCGAAGGAAGTTCATGGGATTCGGGTAGCTGAGGTCATACTTGAGTGTGGTCAGAGTGTACCGCTCAGCGCTGAGGACTTCGTCGATGGTGAAGCCATCGTCAGCAACGTGGACGAAGTTGCCGACGTGAGGGGACAGGACCTCTTCGTACTTGGATGCGATGAACATGGCGGTGATGCCAACCAACTGCAATCTGTCGAGTGGGACAACCTTGGAGGACAGGAAGCGATCGACGATGTTGATAGCGAGGAAGAGTGTTTCGGGCAACAGCCTGAAGCGGGTGTGCACCTCGATGAGCCAGTCGACGAGAATGCCACGCATCTTCCACTCGAGGTCTTCCTGGTGATCCATGTAGTTGGGGTTGGGCATGGTGACGAGTTCGAGCTCTTTGTAGTAGTCGAAGATCTCTCGAACATATTCGGCGCACATGCTGGGATCGTCGAGGTCTTCGGCATCCAAGCTGGCAACCAGGTCGACAGCCTCTTGGGTAGCTGCAGTCTCGACCTCAGCTTGTTCCTCGCGAGTACGTTTTCTGGGTGGACCTTGAACTTCTGGGGTAGCGTCCTTGGAGGAGACGTTGGAGGCTTGGGATCGTTTGCGGCTGCCACCAAGAACGCCAGAACGCTGCCGGGCTTCTTGACCTCCGAAGGCTTCGGCTTGACCGTGTTGTCCTTGGCGGCGACTGTTGTGCGAGAAGAATTGGTGCGCGAGAGTTTGGTGACACCAGCTGCAGGTGCCGTCTTTGACTGGAGGGTAGATTTGGCTGCTGCAGCCTTCTTGCCCTCGACAGGCTCAACAACCTTGGACTGATTGGTGGTCATGTCGCCGAGGACTTTTCGTCGAGCGTTGAGTGTGCCATTGTTGGTTGTGGTGGTGGTCTTCTTGACCTGTGTTGTTGTCTTCTTGACTACATTGACATCTTCGGTGAGGGCAGTGGCCTTGGCACGAGCCGCTCGAGTCGTGGTAGACGTGTTGTTCTCGTCGTTCTCATCGTTGAGAATCCGCTGCCGTGTGCGTGTCTGCCATTGCTGTCAGTACAAAGAGCCTGCCATTGACGCGTAGTAGCGCATAACAACAAGGTACTTACCATCGGCATGGTGTGTGGTCGACAGCGATATAGCTGTCAAAGATGTGCTGAGCACTTCTGATGAGGAATGACAAGGTTGAAGATCGAGCTGTGAGGATGCTGTAGGTAGCAAAAGGTCAAATTAGCATGAATGCAAGCAAGAATTCCTCGTAGATTGAGTATGACGCACGGGCTTTCGAGTCGTGTCTGGAGCGACTTACCACCAGAGATCCTGTAGAACAGCTGAATTCGATGGCGACAGAAGACGCGCTTGCTCGACGAGATCGACTGAGCTCTGTTTGCCGTCCAGCAGATCGGTGGAGGACAGGTAGATTGGTGTCGAGGTCGAGAGTTGGGTCGCCAAAACAGCAGGCCTACTACCGCGACTTTTGCTCTCCTCGCGTCTTTTCGGGTGTGATCAGTTTGGCGTGGAAGGTGATGAGTATGAGGTAGCTAACATCTACTCGAGAGTATCGAATAGCAATTGCGAGGTACCGAGGAATACTTTGTTGATGGGACGAGTCTGTAGTGGTTGATGAAGAGACTCTGGAGCTACTCGAGGTTGTTGTCAAACTTGGCGCCGACCCACTCCGAGTCGCGATGGGCGTTTGGTGGGGTGTCGCAAGGATCCCGGTATCGTTCGTGTTGCTCTGCTCAACGATCTTTCCGCGTGCTGATGACTTTGGCAAATGATAGACAAGCTATGAGGTAGAGCTGTAAAGTCTGTCAATTACTCGTGGAAAGAGAACAACGAGGTTCACACGCGAGTGCAGGACCCAGAGAGCTGTTCCAGTGCATCAATCACAGCACCATACAGAGTCAGGCGCGCATCGGGCGGCTTAGCGCGCCTTCAGCTTTTATTTACTTTAAGCTTGTTGACCCAGCAACCACCGCTGAGAAGTACCAGTTGACCACGAGAGTCATGGTGGATTGGAAAGTTCGGCTTTTGTATTGATATTATTGATAGATCACTATTCTCATGCTCGAAGCTATCTCATCTACAACTGATCTGTATTGCACCACGTGCGCCATGCTGGGAAGTCCTCTGAGGATATAGCATGCCTCCGGTGCATCAATGCTTCCTGCTTTTGGGTGCGCTCCCATAATTCGTAATGCTCCTGAAAATGCTAAGCATGCCATGCCATAAGCCAGTATCGTCATGCATCCGCTTCATGCCTGTGTTCGATCGACTTCCTTCGTCGATATCTTCATGCTTCCTTTTCACCCCCACGCTTGAAGTGCTTCCTGTAAGTGCTATGGCGGGGGTATCTTGCTTCTTCCTAAGCGGCTCCTCCTCAAACGGCTTCTGCCAGGCGGCTTGTCCTTAGGTTGCTTCTGCCCAGCCTGCTTCTGCGACGTGTGTTGAGAGCGCTAACCTCGACCACGCTGGAAGACAGGCTTGACACCTCCGTCGACGATCTTGCCTCCAGGCACCTCTCTCTCCCAGATCCTCGAGTCACCGCTAACATTGTGCGCCCATCTGGCCAACAAGGTATTGCTCTCTACTGGCTTGATCGCTGGGCTGACGGTGCCAATTGTGACGTGAGCGACAGCATTAGCGCAAGGCCAAACAATACCGCCCTCAGACGCAGGCAAGATACTGATGACCATCGCCATGACCTGATCATCCCACACCAGCCGCTCAAACCGAAGGCGCGCAAGACCCAGTAGAGGAGCCCGCTTGGCAGGATCGGCGAGGTCAGCCTGGCTGATGGCTTGACCGTACGCATCGCTGTACCACTGCCAGGTCTCAGCACTGACCTTGGCCGTGGCACGATGGATCAAGGTGACATGAAACTCGGTCTGTATGCGTCGCGTCTGCTTGAGCTGATTGAACGTGCGCTTCTCTTCCGGTCCAGCATTGGCAAAGATACTCTCAAGCGTATTCATGACGTCTTTGGGAGCGACAGGGATACTGAAGTACTCGAGCTGGCCGAGCAGTTGCTGAGCAGTGGGGATCTTCACAGCAGGACTTCCATTCTGCTTTGAGAGCGGCTGCTTCTGGACTCGTGGTGATTTGTTGAAGTTGAGGTCATGCTTCTTCTCATTCGAGACCTGGCGACCGAGCGACCAAGTGATGGCATCTTCGATTTCTTCTGTGCTCGGCATGTCGCTGGTGAAGACTTTGGGGTAAGTCTCGTACAGCTTGTTGATGATGGTCTCGAGGTTCTCCAAGGAGGATGCACTAGGATCAAGATCAATCACCTCGTCGAAATTTGCATCCGGATCGCGGGAAGTGTCGCAACCTTCAAAGCGAGCCAGGAAGCCTTCCATGATGGCAATGATGTCGTCTCGACTCTTGCTGCCCACTCGAATGGTTTGATGATTGTCGCCTCGCTCAAAGACTCGCTGCCTCGTGACCTCGCGGATACTATCAAGTCTCATGCTCTTGGGTTCGTGGACATAATGCAGCGCCACAAATTTGGCATCGGGAACGACGTTAGATACATCGTTAATGATCTGGGCTCGTTCGCGACGTTGGTGGTTGTTGCGGTCGGCAATGACGACACGGAAGCCCGCCATGGCATTAGTGGTCAGCAGAGCGAATTTCTGAGGCCGACCACGCGTGCCCTCCACGTTGTCATTCTGGACGTGACCAAAATCGAACAGCTTGACCAGAGCGTTGGCGACTGTCGTCTTGCCGCAGCCGATAGTTGCAATGGGGACTAGAACGATGTTGTTGATGTGCTCGTTCCATTCACCTCCATCTGCTTGTTCTTGTCGAATGATGTCGGAACCCTTCTGACCCTTCTCGGCGAGGAAGTCGTCTCTCATCTTGATAATGCCATGATTTAGATTGTACTGCTTGCCGAGGTTGGGATTTCTTGCAAGTTGTCGACGGGCAAATAGAAGGTACTCTTCTGTGATCTTCTTGTGCTTGCGATACTTTGGAGGCCGGCCAGCAATCATAGCTTTTGTCGCTTCGCGCCACTGTCGGTACATCAGATATGGCTCCTCGAACTTGTACTTGAAGAACCAGTCCGGACCGCCATGCTCGGTTCGACCTCTCGTCTTGCATCGAACAACGAAGCCTTCCGTATCGCGACCGTCCCATGACCCAGTCTCTGCACACTTCTCTAGGAAAGTCTTGACTTCGCTGATATCATCAATCATGAGGTATTTGGCCTTCTTGAATCCCCACTCATCGGCAAACTTGTGTACATCGGCTCCAGACAGGGTAGCAAACTCGGGGAGGTTGAAGTTGAGACCATGTAGATAAAGACCAGACATCTCGGGAGGGTATTCAAGGACATGTTCTTCGAACTCATCGTCACATAGCTCAGCCACTGCTGTGAGATTGCGTGCACGTAAAGCCAACGCTAGCTCTCTGGTTGTCTTGCCGACACTCTCAACGTGCCGCTTCGCCCACTCTTCGCCAACTTGGGCATGACTCCGTTCCACGTCGTGTCGTGTGCCTGTGGAGTGCTTGCTACACACGAGCAAGGTGCCATCCTCAAGACCTGACATGAATATGATGCAGCCATTCTCCTTGACACTAAGCTCGTATGGACCCAGGGTGTTGTTCTCGATGTTCTCCCATTTGGTGGTAGGGACTTCATCGACGTTGAAGAACTTGTCGTAGCCCCGACTAACGATTTCAGTATTACCATTGGAGAGCTTTGTGGTAAAGAGACCTCTAGCATATGTTGGAAGATCGTCCCTCTTGTAATCCCACTCAGCCAGCTTGTAGCTATCGACAGTGATGCCTTTCGTACCAGCAATGGGGTAGGTGGTCTTTCTGCATGAGATTCCTTTGTTCTTGGAGTTAGGTTTGTTCTTGCCGCCTTTCGCCTGATTGAGAGCCTTGCAGAGTTCGGCGATGACCTGTGGATCCTGTTGCAAAGCCATGATGGCAATTGTGGTGAAAAGGAGTGGACTGGCAATGGCGGTAATCGAAGACGTGTGATCCTCAGCGAATGGAGTCTAGTCGGAAGGAACGAATATTGCAATGGTAGTTGCAAAGGATTGATGTTCTTGTTGAACAGCGGAAGTGGCTAAGAAAATATATCTTGCCCTGTTTGCCTAGAAAGAGTCATTGCCTGGCGAATGAGTCACGGCAAACAGTCATAGCATGAGGCAGTTGCGAGCGAAAGATCCACTGTGATGTTCATCCCTACACTCTTCTTTCAAGTGACACGCGCTCAACCAAAATCGAGGCCGGAATATTGGAAGATGTCAAATAGAACCACTTGTCATCCGGCGGAAGATGAGTTTGACAGTTAGTCACCCGGTCTTGGGAAAGGTCAGTTGTCGTCCGGCCGCGCGACTGACTCGCCCGTCTGCGGGGCTCCTCCGCATAAATTTAATTTCTGAACTGCACATGTGCTCAAGTACTGGAAGGCCTCCTCGACGTGGTCAGGCATCGAGCCACACAACGTAGATCTGCCAAAACCTCAACGATGTCTGACCTTAACCCATTCCTTCTCGCCGCCGTGACGCCCGATCCAGACCCTCGCCTCCTACCACTACTGCGATCAGACCCCTCGCTCGCCTCCCAGCAAGACGCTCACGGCTACAGCCTTCTTCACGCCGCCGCATCATACAATCACGTGGCTTTGCTCAAGGTTTTAGTCACAGATCTAAAAGTCGACGTGAACTTGAAGGACGAGGACGGTGAAACCTGCCTCTTCGTAACAGAGACCCTCGACGTCGTCAAATGTCTGGTAGAAGAATTGAATATCGACGTCACGCTTCGAAACGACGATGAGGTCACGGCGGCTGAGAAGTTTGAGGCGGAGGACGAGTATCCCGAGATCTCGGCATACCTGCGCCAGCGAGCCGGAGGAGCTGCAACAGCAAGCAACGGCATCCTGCCTCCACTGCCGCCGAATGTGAACATACAGGTCAACTCGACAGAAGATGTCGGGACGGATCAAGAGCCGGATCCGGAGTTCAGGAGGAGGATAGAAGAACTTGCTGCAAGTGACAACTTCCAGAGTGAGGAGGGCCAGGCAGAGTTGAGAAACCTAATCCAAGATGCGGTGCGAGGCGTTAGCGACGATCGCGACGTGCGGAGACGCGTTGGGTGAGAGTTCATGCACGGACAAGAAGTACTGTGGCGGAACTCTGCCGGTGTCGTCGAGGTGACATGGATGAGCGCCATCAATTGATATGGCTCTATAGACAAGGTCTGCTGGACTGGATCCTAATCGTTCATCCACGCAGTCAGACGACCTCCTCCGACTCTGGCAGCGAATCTAAGGCCAGTACTTCCCATGGGAAAGTAGCTGACCAGATACCATACCAGCGCGACCAGCTGTATGATGGAGAACAGCAGTGTCAAGATGGTTGAGTGAAGCTAGATCAGTCAGCATTTGCGGAGCAAGAGATCGACACAGGACTGGACTTACCCCCACGGCAAAGTATATTGTCATGACGATGCTTCCGACATACACCGCAGTGAAAGGCAGGCGCGGCCCGGACAGAAGATGGGCGAGATAAGCTTGCGGCCCCATGAGCGCTGCCCAAGACGCCAGGAAAAGTATCGAGCCTGCAGACCATCTGTGAATATCGACGCGTCAGCCACACAAATGCTCCAGATCATGCACGCGTTGACAGGCTGGAACAACAAATCAGCGCGTAGATGTTGTCGAGTCTTGCGGCTTGTGTCTTGTGTTGACACATGCTGAAGACGGATATTGACATCATCATGAGGTCTACCCCAGTCACATGGCTATGAAAGCCGGGGTTGGCGTCTGATGGTGTGTACCTTTTGGGATAGGCAAAGCAAGGGAGGAGGGAGAACACTTACAAAGTCGCGAACTTGCGTGGCTTTGCAAACAGAATTGGGAATAGCACGAAGCAGAGTACGAAGCATGCCATCGCCGCAAGGTTCAGCCCGCCGAAGATCAACATCTTATCCCATCGGCTCACTAGCGGTGGCTTGTCAGTACTTGCTGAAATATCATCACAGTGCTGATGAAGCAAATACTCACTAGCAAACCATCCTTCCTCTTCTTCTCTCCGTGTTGGTGCCGGTAGAGGGGCTCCTGGAGCCTCGTGGGTAGGCAGCTGCACATAGCCACCTCGTTTAAATGGATTGATCGAGTTCAGCGTCGACAGGAATGGGGTGGAAGAGTTGGTGTTGGCTGTATATTCTGGCTCCCTCCGCGACCATCCCAGACTGTTCACCGAATCTCTGAAGCTGGTGGACATTGTGATGCGTCAATCCTTAGCCCGCGTGATATGATACACCTCAGCCGATGCCGTCTGTCTCAACGGTCAAGACAATGACGGAGCGCCTGATCCGCAGTCGCCACCACTAATATCCTCGCGTCTGCTTTCTTTGTCCAGAGAATCGGACTGAGCGAATGCCACCGTAGCTCCTCGGTGTTCACCGACAGTCTTCAAGACCTGGGAGGCAGGAAATGCAGTGGCTAGGTGCTGACCGGTCGTGAAGTCTTGCGATATTTCTGTCTCAAACGAGAAGATGCAGTTGAAGTCTCACAGAAGCCTGCTTGTTGAGGACAACGTTTCGAAACTGGATTGGCAGTGAGGTGGACCGTGATATGCTGGGTTGAGGCGTATGCGGCGGCACTACGGGTGCGTGCAGCAGAGACCGTTTGAGATCTGACCTCGATATGGCAGGGTATACGGAGGCTTGACAGGGTCCTCGGGCGCAAGGCGGTGGATGTGCTAGGACAGGAATCGCAAATGCGCTGTCGGCGATAGGAATGCTTGGGTAGTGAACGGTGTGATCAGTGTAGAATGAATTGCTAGCAGCCTGCGAAGTTGCCGCTTGCCTTCTTGAGCTTCTCCACAAAAACACCACACCCTCACCTCGCAATCCCTGCTCGATTCAATGCCTTGTTCTTTGTCAATTCAGGCCTCAGCGACATCTGTTGGACCCTCTAGAACCCTCGCCACATGCACATCATCATGCATTGCATGGCTAGTCTTGAGGGTTTGCATCAAAGCTCTCGCGTCGTCTCGACGGCGCGAACCAGGTAAGACGCCGCAACGCCGTCGATCGCCTTTGTACGGGTTGCACAGCATGGAGAATTTTCAACGACATTCTTTATCTGCATCTGGACCAGCTGCGGACGAACCATCCCCTTACAGCGCAGGCTCATGCAACATCGTCTCGATCGCCTTGAACGCCTTTGATGCAACGATAGCGACTACTGCAGAGGTGAAACACTTTGGTATGTCCAGAAAGTCCACACCGACAAAGAGACCGGTCATCTTGAGGCATCATACGTCAAAGGATGGGTGGCGCATGGCCTGGAGAAGCCTTGTCACCCTCATGTCTATCATGTCCTTCTGATCGTCGCGAGAGGTAGCGGGGGACTACTTGGCCTGTTTCTTGCAGTGTTGCTTCCCCTTATGCTGGTCATGACCCGAAACACGACGTCTTCTTTGTGCTCATAGCCTCGATGATTGGGCCAATGTCCGTGGCAAGACTGAAGAGGGTGTCCTTGGTAGGAACTGGAAGGCCTGCTGCTATTTGAAGGTCATTCGACAGCCTTGCATCTTGCGCTATATATCTCCAGGTAGTCCTCGCCCGGATGACCCGAAGTCTGCAGAAGCGAAGACTTGCAGATCCGTCATTAATCAATTATTGAACTATTCCTCTTACTGCTCTTGTCGGCACTATCTGAGCGTCGAGTTTGTCATCGCAGACAATTCATCGAGTAATCTTTCTCCATCTGTCTCCGAAGCCGAGGACGACTGTGTAAGTTGTTGTCTGTCTGTGCCCCCTTGGCCACCGCGGGGCAGTCCGCGAATGGTACGAAACCGCCAAGGCCTTCCCGTTAGGCGAGGTTTAAGGCGAGATTTATAGGACCGCATCACTGACGCTCCCACCAGCACATCACCACCATTATAGACCCGGCCTTTCATTCCCTCGACACATCTACCCGACGCGGTCTTTGACACGATTGACGTCCAAACACGATAGCACGCTTTTCGTTTCCTGGAACTTGGCTGCCGACATCCCGTATCTGCAGGTGTCCTGCGCGAATCATCGCACACCTGGCCCATTCTGGCCCTGTGTCGGTCAAGTTCGCTGCCTTTCGCAATCGTCCCGACGTGAAGCCGGGCCCCTCGCCTCACATCGACTCGAGTGGCAGTCGTCGCTTTACACAATCATACAACTGTGCTGCTCGGCCCGCTCGATCTCTCACATCACTCCTGTCACCGCCTTCGCCGATTGCTCAGTAGTGGGGCGCCACACCGCTGTCATCGATCGGCATCAGCAACAGGCGCTCGCAGAACCCTGCTCGAGTATAGCAGTGATTGTGCGAGCCACGCTTTTGGGTAGGGCAACATCTAGTACAGTTGACATGGATATGACTCAGTGCTGACACCGTGGCAGTCCCCATCATTTGGCAGCGCCGGCCGGGTGCGCCCGTCGATCTTGTGGTAGAGAGGTACTCAACGACGACACGACTCTCTTGCTGAGGGAACTTTGTAACACTCACAATGTCTGCACCATACATTAAGAGCGAGCCTGACGAGTTTGGCAATGATCCAAACCGATACATGCAGAACCATAACTTCAACAACCATGGCAACTTTGATCAATACTTCAACGATCAACAGGGTGGCAGTATCGATCCCTCGGCCTTGAGTATGTTTGGTGGTAACTCCGGCGGTATGCAGTATGGATCTGGATACAATAACATGTCGAATAGCTACAGCAACATGGGCACCTCTGCTGCCTTCGACGACAGTGAGCTGATGGAAGGCCTGGGCGACCCTAATCAGATGGATGACTACAATGCCATGTCCTCCATGAATCAACAACAGGCGCGCACGAAACATTCCATGCCCATCAATGCAAGCCAGGTCTACTCTAGCACACCCGATGGTGCTCCGATCCAAAGCCCATACCTTGGTCAACCCGACTACAATCACTTTCGTAACCTCAGCTCCATTCCACAACATCTGTCACCCCTTCAGGGCCCTGGCTTCATGTCAGGCTCGCGTCCGGGTATGTCTGCTCACCGCAAGTCGTCAGATCAGAGGAGTCCGATGACACCTCGGACGGCTGCAATGGCAAACCTCCAGATCGGCACGCCCGAATCTGGCAGTCTGGCCAATGGTCGACCAATCCGGTCTGAAAGCGTACAAAACCGCCACATGAAGACTATGTCTGGTCAGTACGATAGCACGCCTGGTAGTCTCAACTCATATCTCGATTCACCCCTTTCATCGCCTGGCAAAGGTCAGCTGCATGCCGGCATTGGGGAGACTATGGGTGGCGCTCATGCATCGTTGCCCACCAAGGTAGAAGGAGGACACTCTAGCAGTGCGCAGGAATCACTTGAGGCTAAGAAGCGCAGGCGGAGGGCCAGCCATAATGCCGTCGAACGTCGTCGTCGTGACAACATCAATGAGCGGATTCAGGACCTTTCGCATCTTGTGCCGATGCACCGCCTTGAGGACGACAAAGTCAAGAAGCAAATGGCTACTGCTGGTCCGCTGTCACCGAGTATGGGACCCACAGGCATCAGTCCACCCAATGCTGCGACATCACTACTCGCTGGTGCTAGTGGACGACGTGCAGCCAGCACGGCTGGTAACATCACCATGGGTTTGCCGATAGAAGATCGGGACAAAGGACCTAACAAAGGTGACATACTTAACGGCTCTGTCAGCTGGACGAGGGACCTCATGTGGGCTTTGCACCAGAAGTACCTACAGGAAGCACAACTTGCAACACTCATCACCCAGCTCGGCGGTGAATGGCCTTTCCCCATGGACGAAGACGATAAGCGAATGCGCTCCGAGGTGATGGAGGCTATGGAGAAGAACGACGTGAAGACCTTCGCCTACACAAGGTTCGACGGCAGCGGACTGAGAGTGCCTCGTTACACCAACCTCACTGGCGATAAGATACCCAGCAATAACTCGATGAGTCCGAACTCGAACTTCGAGATGAGCCCCGGCTTCAATAGTGGAGCAAGTGGGAGTGGCAGCAATGGTCCAGGCCAGACACAGTACTGGAACACGGCTGGTCACGTAGGCATCAGCTTCAAGGAGGAAGACGAAGAGGACATGGACATGTGATCGACGCTCGAGAGATTACGGGTCATGGAGTTGTGACGAACGATGACATTGATGGTGGAAAGTTTTTTGACTACTAAGGAGCCAGGATCACGATGGGATGGGACGGGACGGAACGTTCTTGCAATTTTGTCGATTTGCGTAAACTTGATACCCCTTCGTTTGGCTCGATCTCCTATCATCGGCTGTTTTCAGAAGCATATTATCGGTGGGCACCGGGAGTTGGGGGGAGTGTTGTGGTATGATATTGCTGGTTAGCATCACGCCTTGTTTGACATCCATCTATTGTGATAGCAAACTTCTTCTAGTCTAGCACAGTGGACCTCCCAGCTGTATGGAATCTGTCTGACATTGGCTCACTCTCAATATACTCTTGCCTGTTGCACACTGCCTGTCTCTGTGAGTGTCGTGCCTCTACGACTACTTCTCTATATAGGACTATCCCCTCATCCCAATTCCCCACGCGATCTTCTCCAACGGAGATATGTACTCCTTATACCCGTCGGAAGTGTTCAAAAGAAGAACAATTTAAACAGCCATGACTTTCATTAGCACAGCTTCACAACCTGCCACTTGCACAGCTGCTGCCTCGAGAACACCGCTCAGGACTTGGAGGCCGTTGTTAGACATCCACAATCCCTTCCAACGAGGCCCAGAGCTCTGTTCGGCAGCTCGTCTGACCCCTTTCCGAAGGCACTCCGATCGAGTCAAGGTCGCGATAAAGACAGCTCGATCACCTGCCACAGCCCTCTTTCTCCCATACACGCCCTCAGACACCCGCCAACATGTCAGGCGACAAGCCCCTCCCGTTTCAGTACCAATTCGCCGCCGGCGCAATTGCTGGCGTCTCAGAAGTATGCCCTCTAGCACCCCACCACCACCCTACCTCCAGAACTCCACCTCCCCGTACCCCATGTCCCCACAGAGCATCATACTGACTGTACTCTGCCAGATCCTGATCATGTACCCCCTCGACGTGATCAAGACCCGCGTCCAGCTCCAAGGCGCTAAGCCAGTGCCCGGCCAAGATTACTACACCGGCATGCTCGACTGCTTCCGTAAGATCGTCAAGAACGAAGGCGCCTCCCGCCTGTATCGCGGCATTGGCGCCCCGATCATGATGGAAGCGCCCAAACGTGCCACCAAGTTCGCCGCGAATGACTCCTGGGGCATCTTCTACCGCAACCTCTTCGGCATGGAGAAAGCCAACCAACCCCTCGCGATCCTCACTGGTGCGACCGCTGGTGCAACCGAGAGTTTCGTCGTAGTGCCGTTCGAGTTGATCAAGATTCGGCTACAGGATCGGGCGAGCGCAGGGAAGTACAATGGGATCGTGGACTGCTTCATGAAGATCGTCAAGAACGAGGGACCGTTGGCGCTGTACAATGGGCTGGAGAGTACGCTGTGGAGGCACATTCTGTGGAATGCGGGTTACTTTGGTTGTATTTTCCAGGTCAAGGCTCTGCTGCCGACGCCGACAAAGGGAAACAAGACTCAAGCCATGGTCACAGACTTCACTTCAGGTGCGATCGGTGGCACGGTAGGCACGATCCTCAACACGCCGATGGACGTGGTGAAGAGCCGCATTCAGAACACAACTCGGGTCAAGGGTGTCGCGCCAAAGTACAACTGGGCCTGGCCTGGTCTAGCAACGATGATGAAGGAGGAGGGCTTCGCGGCGCTGTACAAAGGGTTCCTACCAAAGGTGTTGCGACTGGGTCCAGGTGGCGGCGTGCTGCTTGTCGTCTACACCAACGTCATCGAGTGGTTCCGGAGAATGGGTGCGACGCCGGTGGGCTTGTGAGGAGATGCAGGACGATGAGAACCTTGGCCGACTTGAGCTCGTCTGCGTCGTTGACATCACAGCCGCTTGCCCAATTGCCTCGTCGGGAGGGCTCTGTGCATATGAAGGTCTTTGCATATTGAATTGGCGAAATCATGGGTCTAGACAGCTTCTCAGGTCAGTCGCATACCCAGGATAGATACGAGGAGTTCAGCGAGCAATCAAAACGAAATTTCCACAGATGATGGTTGACTTTAAGTTGTGTTGGCGTTCTGCGACCGCCAACACCGCCGTTGCATCCATTCTCTCTCAACATCTACAACTTTTGTCTGACCTCCGCCGGCGCGTCCTCCTGGCCCCTCCACCCGCCCCGCTTATACGCCTCCAACTCCCTCATCTGCCCGTCCACCCTCTTCACAACCTCCAGCCCGTCCAAATCAACCTTATATCTCCTCGAACGATCCACGGCACACACCAAAGCCACATCCGCCAAACTAACCTGATCCCCCACCGACCACTTTCCCGCAGACCGGCGCGCAATGGCATCATATGCCTTCAGCCCTTGAGCAAGAAATGCGACTGCCACTCCTGCTCCCATCCTCCCTGGTCGTGAGCTTTGAGATACTTGACAATCCGCTGGTTCGTGACAGGCTGCGTATCACACGCAATCACACCCCACAACTCCCTGACCTGAGCTCTTGCCAGCGCATCAGTCGGCAGCAGTCGACATGCTGCATCCGGAACAGTCTCCTCGAGATATTCGAGGATAGCGGTGGATTGGGAGATGCGCGCGACTTCGTCACCAGAGGCGGAGTCCGTGACAACGAGCAAGGGCACGAATTCAGAGGGGTTGAGCGCAGCGTAGGAGGGCGCGTTCTGGCCGGAGGTGAGGAGGTCGATGTATTTGTATTGCAGGGGGATGGACTTTAGGTGGCAGGCGATGCGGACGCGGGCGGAGCAGGAGGAGTTGTAGAAGGTGTAGAGGGTGTAGGTGTACTGGGGTTTGGTCGTTGTGGTTGCCATGGTGGATGGCTGCCTGGCGTCGCTTTTCAGGGAACGGGTGCTTTTTGGTGGTGTCGATGGTTCTCTGGCTCTCGATATCCTGCTACAACAAAACGTCTCTGAAATGGAAGCTTGTGGCTCAATGTGTGAGTTCCAGCGGACTCATGCAAACGCTGCGGTGGAATGTGTCAGATGAGATGTATAGAGTCAGGTTGCCTGAAAAGGGCGTCCACGAGCAGGCGGGGACAAATACCCAGTGCGGCAGGTGGAATGGTGCGAGTCGGACAATGCAGGTTTGCTGAGGTTATGTCGATGAGTCTGCGTCCCTTCTATTCGTTTGGTCAGTCAGCACTGGTGAAAGGTGTCTTATAGCACAACCGAAGACAACGGACAGGCTCGTAGAGAGAGGTGCGGAAATCAACGGCAATCGTCCTTTCCCTAACGCCAATGCCGCGGCTCATTCCGCCCATCGTATTTCTTGCGGGGTATGGAGACGCGTCCGATGTAGCGATGACAAGAAGTGAGCCATGTATATGCCCAAGTACCTCAACCTTCGGAAGGGCCTGGCGAGTTCGAAAGAGCTGGCGAGTTTTGGGGGTTGTTGCGAATTGCTTCTATTTCTCTTCCATCACCCAAGGACACGGTCGCCAACGCCAAAGTGGCTAATGAATTACTTATGAAGTCCCGGCACTGCCCTCAGCAGGCCGAGTGTTGACCTCCTTACTCTTCACCACGTTCAGTATATACTCTCCGAGGTCACCTGTACCCTCCAGCTTAGACAGCCGGGCTTCGAAGTGTTGAGCGTCTGCAACGAGTCTGCAATCATGGTCAGTAAAATGATTCAAAGCAGGGAAAGAGCAGAAGTCGAAACATACCTATCTTTGGCAGCCTCGCTCCTCAGCTCAACCTCCGTAAAGCCCTTCTCCCAGCTCTGCTTGTAATTCGCAAAAACAGGGCCCATGATTCCCGCCACGACGCCCTCAGGCAGATGCTTCGTTAGCACCTTCTGCAGCGTCGCCGTCTCCTTGGTTAATGTCTCCATGTATGGTGACACGCTGACGTTTTTGTTCTTGGCGGCCTCCTCCCAGTCGATATTTCTCATAGACTTGACGTGAAGTGCCGCGCGGCCGGACATGATCTCGATGAGCTTCTCGTGTATCGCCATCTGGTGTTCTTGGAGACGACGCTTGACATTCTCGAAGTCCGCGGTCATGGCTTGTGAGGCTTGTGACTGCGGGGGTACTTGACGACGAAAGAATTCGCGGACGTAGGGTGTTAGAGCGATTATGAAGGACAGAGCTTGGGAGGATAGGGCGAGATGTTTCGTGGTGATGTTCTTGAGACCAGCTGAACGGGTGGCGCCGGCACCGAGGATGAGCTGTGACGAGCGGCTATTGAAGAGCTTCAGGGTGTCGAGGAGGCCAGTAGCGATTTCTGGCGTCATGCTTGGTATTCCTGCGGCAAGATGCTCGAATTGCTCAATTGATGCCATCATTGCGGCAGCGGACTCTGGGAGGATGTATTTTTGCTCGTCGAGTGTGGCGAGGCGGACTTTGGTGTCTTTTGCGGTAGCTGTGCCATTGGTGGTGGTGCCGTTTGTGCTAGTCTCTGTGGTTGGCGCTTCCCATACTCTCGTGTCTTGCAGCCATGTTGCTTGGTCGTCTGTGCTTCCGGCTTGAATGAGATCGAGAATGGCATTTTCGTGGTCGCCGAAATCTTTGGCATCCCATTTGTCTGCATCCAGAACTCGAACCACGCTTGCCTTTTGCTGCTCGGCAAATCGAGAGACATATTCTTTTATCTGACTGTCTAGCACCGTCTTCAGTCCTTGTCCAGTCTGTCCGGAGATAGCTTCGCATTCGTCGGTGAATAATTTGTTCAGCGCGAAGTATTTTAGGAAAGCATCCAAAGGGAGCTCAGCATTCTGCTGTGATCTAACACGAACGACTTTGGTGAGTTGGTTTTGGATCAGATCCACGCCTTCGCCGAGTAAGCTAGACAAGTCCAGCGCTTGTTGCATCTCGAGCTGCACATTGCTTGTCGAGCGAGGCCGGCCACCGGGCTGAGGACTCAGCGCTCGGCTCGGATCTGGTGATTTCAGATTGCTCTCTGGTAGATTGCTGGTGATGTCAAGCAAGATCTTTACCTGTACACTTAGTCGCCGCAGTGCTTCGCTTGTGTTCGTGTAGATCTTGGAAAGCATGCTGTACCAATCTTCGGGATCCAATGATCGCAAATTCCGGCCAAGTATAGAAGCCTTTTCTTGTTGCGATCGACTGCGGCCCCCATGAGTCGAGGAGGAAATCGTAGACACCGCATCATCATCATTAGTACTGGGCAGCTGTTTCCGGATCATGGTCTTCATCTCTCGCAAGACAGCTGCTCGGAAGGCTGTTGCTGCAGGTGTCGTATACTTCGCCCGTGCCAGACCTTTCATCTCGGCCTCCAGCTCTGCACGGAGCTCATGATCTATGCTCATGTAGCTTGGGAATGACGACGGTGCTCTGCGCTGGCCGGCTTTAGGTCGAGTGAAGCTGTTGCCCCATCTTTCTAAAGTAGTCGTGGTACTGGTCTTATCAACATGCCGCCGAATATCGCCCAGCAATGATTCCTGGAATTTCGACTCGTACACCTTGCCTATGCGATGCCTGATGTGTCCAAGATCTTCGAAAGCCCCAGCCAGGGCATTGAGACTGCTGAGGTTCCGCCGTGCGTATCTGGTCGTGCTTTCTTCTTCACCGTGCAGGGGCTCCTTGCCCCGAATCAGCCTCTCAACATTGTCCAGATTATCAAACACGGTGTCGACCTCTCCTCGATCGACCATGTCTTCGCACTTGGTGACTGCGCTGACTATGTCTTCGAGCTGCATTATTGACTCTGCCAGCTTCCGTATATTCTGTCGCCTCTGCTTCAAGTTGACGACCTTTAGTCCGTCTATGGCCATCTCTTTGTCGAGTTTGGCCAGGTCCTTCCTTAGCTTCTGTATACGCTCGATTGAGTCCTCTGCTTCTGCATGCAATTCGCGTAACGAGCCCAGGGCCGAAAAGAAGGACTTTGAGGCAGTGGATATGGAGGAGATCAGGTGGACCTCGACTGTGTCCATGTACCATGACAGCTTCTCCTGTAGGATCGCATTCGTTGCCAGTGACTTCCGACCAGAAGGGGCGGCCCTAGGGTCGCTGACCAATTCGGCGTGCTCGGAGACGACGTCGAAGGTTCGTGGGTTCTCGAGGTGGAAGTCCACGTCCGAGTACACACTTGGTATGGTGGACAATGGTGTGACAGCTGTTCGCCTTTGGGCACTGGACCTTCTCTTGGGCGATGGAGCTTCAATCGGCGATAGCATCGAGCTGATTGAGCTAATCGAATTGGTCCTCGAACTGCCTGGCCGCTTAGCTAACGCTGCCTGCCACTCCTCCTCCCGGCTGTCCTTCTTGTCTCTTTGAAACAGCGCGGAGTCTCCATCGCTCTCGCTTTTGGCGCGCTGGAATGCCTCGTAGAGACTGCCGACCTGCGACAGGTAGGGAGAGAATGCTTTTGACTCGATGTGAGGTATGTTGGTCAAAGCAACGGGAGGAATATCGCGCTGCGTCGGGGCTCTATAGCCGCTGGAAGCAGTGCTTCCCATCGCCTGCAGGCCAGTCCTTTGTATCGGATGCTGCAGCAATGTTGAGATGGCATTCTGCCCTAGCTCCGGTATGGGTTTCTTGGAGGAAGTGGTATCCAGGCTTCCTCCTATACTGGCGATAGAACTTGCGGTCGAGCCTCTTCGTACATTGCCCCTTGGCGGGCGCTGTCTCTGCGGAAGATCCATAGATGGGAATGGATAGCCAGTGGAGGGCGACTGTGCCGCCGGCGACACAGCGGCATTGCGCAGGCTGTCCCGGGGCGACGCCATATCTGCAACGATGTGTCCCTTGTTGGGGATGTCATGGAGCCGTTGATCTGGAGGGAATTGTATTAGATGTTCTCGATAGGCTTCTGCAGTTCTTACTGCGTCGTCTAGCTATCAGTGCCATGCTCGATCAGGGTGCTGAAGGGACGTACTTCATTGCATGCGAGCATCTCCATGTGCATCGTGTCGGGGAACTGCCTGTCGCCGACTCGGATGCCAATGCCCAGCGCTGACCGAGCCCGGAGCTAAAAGACCCCAAACTCCAAAGTGGTTGCATATACGCCATACCTAATCGACTCAGCGCGTCGTGCTGGTCGCGACGCGTCTCTCCTCTGTTCACTTTTCCCCCACCACTGCCGCACTTCTACTCGCCTCGACCACAACCGCCCTCTACACCCTCAGCAGCAATGGATACTCAATCGATCTATTCCCTCAGCGTGCTGAGCGCCTCACGCGACCCAGAAATCGAACCAAGAAGCGAATACCAGGCCAAACTGAAAGAGTTCATCCTCGCCTTCCAGATCGATGGCTCATACATATATCGCGACCAGATCCGCGAGAATGTGCTGGTCAAGCGATACTTCTGCGACGTCGACGTTGCCCACTTGATCTCCTATAGCGAAGAACTCGCGCATAAGCTCACTACTGAGCCCGCCAACATCATTCCCCTTTTCGAAGCAGCCCTGAAACAATGCACACAACGCATCGTATACCCTCAGCAGCCAAAAATATTAAACGAACTGCCACACCATCAGCTACTTCTGCACTCTTCGATATCGCTGCTATCTATTCGAGATCTGAACGCCACCAACGTCTCCCATCTAGTCCGCATACCCGGCATCGTCATCGGCGCTTCTGTCCTGTCGTCGAAAGCCACAGTTGTATCGATAGAGTGCAGAAATTGTGGTCATAAGGATCGGGTCACCGTCGATGGAGGTATCTCAGGCGTCACTCTTCCCCGAGTATGCGGCCGGACGAAAGAACTTAACGATGACCCCGCCAACAAATGTCCTTTGGATCCCTACTTTGTGCTACACGAGAAGTCGCAATTCATCGATCAGCAGATCATCAAGCTCCAGGAGGCGCCAGACGCTGTACCTGTCGGTGAGCTGCCTCGCCACATCGTTGTGTCTGCCGATCGCTACCTCACAAATCGCGTGGTGCCGGGGTCAAGATGTACTGTTATGGGAGTTTTTTCCATCTACCAGGCGCAAAAGTCTGGAGGCAAGAAGGACAGCGCTGTGGCAATCAGGAATCCGTATCTCCGTGCTGTTGGCATCACCACAGATATCGACCAAACAATGAAGGGAGTGCAGACATACACTGAAGAGGAGATCCTTCAGTTCGAGGAGATGTCGCGCCTACCAGATCTCTACGATCGCTTTGCCAGATGTATTGCTCCTTCCATCTACGGCAACCCGGACATCAAGAAAGCCATTGCATGTCTGCTCATGGGCGGCTCCAAGAAGGTGCTGCCTGACGGCATGAAACTCAGAGGCGACATCAACGTGTTGCTACTCGGTGATCCCGGTACAGCAAAATCCCAACTCCTCAAGTTCACAGAAAAAGTCTCGCCCATCGCAATCTACACATCCGGCAAAGGTTCATCAGCAGCCGGTCTCACAGCCTCAGTCCAGCGCGACACCCAGACACGCGAGTTCTACCTCGAAGGAGGAGCCATGGTCCTCGCCGATGGAGGTGTAGTTTGTATCGACGAATTCGACAAGATGCGTGACGAAGATCGTGTGGCCATCCACGAAGCCATGGAGCAGCAGACAATCTCGATTGCGAAAGCTGGCATTACCACAATCCTCAACGCACGCACCTCTGTCCTCGCAGCAGCCAATCCAATCTTTGGCCGGTACGACGACCTGAAATCGCCAGGAGAGAACATCGACTTCCAAACCACCATCCTCTCGCGTTTCGACATGATCTTCATCGTCCGCGACGATCACGACCGGGCCCGCGACGAGAAGCTTGCCAAGCATGTAATTAGCATTAACATGGGCAACGCCGGCTCGGCAGAGGAACAAGTCGAGGCTGAGTTCAGCGTCGACCTGATGAAGCGATATATCAGCTATTGCAAATCGTGAGTTGCCTCTTCACCTCGGACCACCTCCCCTCCCCAGAACAATTCACTAACGAACCATCCACAACAGACGCTGCGCCCCCCGCCTCTCCCCCGCTGCCACCGAAAAGCTCTCGTCTCACTTCGTCTCAATCCGCAATCGCGTCGCGCAATCCGAAAAAGCAGCCAACGTCCGCTCCTCCATCCCCATCACCGTCCGCCAACTCGAAGCCATCATCCGCATCACCGAGTCCCTCGCCAAACTCACCCTCTCGCCCGTCGCGGACGAAACGCACGTTGACGAAGCAATCCGCTTGTTCTTGGCCTCGACCATGGACGCCGTCGCGCAGGGCGAGGGCGCTGCTACTGGCGGAATCGGTGGCGGCGTGGGCGGGAATCGCGAGCTGATGGAGGAGGTAGGCAAGGTGGAGGAGGAATTGAGGAAGAGATTGCCCATTGGGTGGAGCACGAGTCTTGGGACGTTGAGAAGGGAGTTTGTTACCGGGAGGGGTTATAGTGAGGCGGCGCTGGCGCGGGCTTTGCATGTGCTGCAACGGAGGGAGACGGTGAGATTACGGAACGGCGGAGCGCAAGTCTATCGGAGTGGTGTCTGAGGGCAGCAGTCTGTCTGTTTTGTCCGCATCATAGCTTGTGACGGCGTACTGGGTTGGCTCTGGGATTGATGTGAGGATGATTGTATGATACATACCGAAAAGGACAGCGAAGACGGCTGCTAGGGCGAAGCTTAGTACGAGGTATATCAATTCTGCCATACCATTCTCGTTGATGCATGGATTTCACTCCTGCGCTTGCTTTGCGACATTCGCCTTGTCTGGCGTTTTCTTCTGCATTCGGCAGGTGCTCCCACCATTCGGGAGAGTCACAACTTCTGACCGTCCATCTGATACGCATCGTTTCTGCAATTGCAAGAATGGGCAGGTCAAAATTTCAAGTTGCCTCGACTTATGACCGTGAGAGCCAGATTTGCGTAAATGGCCGTACGACAGACCGGTTGACACGATTTGACCATGCGGCTGGAGCCCTCGGCGGCGACTCGCCTTCAAGTCTGCTGTTCATCTGGATCTCTTTGCCCACTCGTCCCTCGAGCCTCGCGGCCGCGTTCTTTACATACAACAGATTCAACACGTGGTTCACTCTAGATTTCACCATTGGCTCGTAAACAATGCTTGGTATTGAGCTTGCGCTGCAGGAACAGGAGCCGAAGTCATGATGATCCTTGTCGATCTCCGACCGTTCCGCTCCATCGGGCAGGTCGGACGCTCTTAGCATGATGATTTCGCGCCGTCAAGCGGAAACCTGCATCATCCCACCGAGAACTCTGATGTGACGTTGGTGAGCATCAACGGTGAGTGCGTGAAGTACATAAGTGTTAGGGAACCCGGTTGCTAGCTCTTTCATAAGCGCTTCAGGAGGCGGTTTCGCTCAGAGGACGCTCGTCACTACTATATCCCCAGCACCAGCACCAGCACCAGCACCTGAGGCCCGGACAGCTGTACGAGATACCCATATTCGCCATGCGTCCATCACTGTCCGCTGTCCTGGGGTCCCTCACCCTGGTAGCCAGCGTCCCAGTCTCTCTCCCGATCTCCAACCAACTCCAGAACATCCTCGACAACACCGACAAGTCCCAACTCTACACCTACCCAACCTCCATCACTCAAGACATCGTCCCCAAACGGATCCACTCGCACAATGACTACTGGCGACCTCTCCCCTTCTGGTCCGCCTCAGCGTCGGCGCCATCTCCATCGAAGCCGACGTCTGGCTCTACAACGACACCCTCTACGTCGGCCACGAATCCGCCGCCCTCACACCCCAACGCACCCTTCAGTTCTTGTACATCGACCCCATCATGAGCGTCCTGAACTCGACCAACCCAGTCAACGCCTTCACCACGACCCAAGCCCACCCCAACGGCGTCTTCGATACCAGCTCCGGCCAAACACTCTACCTCTTCATCGACCTCAAGACTTCCGGCCCAGAAACCTGGCCTGTTGTCGTCGACGCTCTCGAGCCCCTCCGCTCGGCGGGCTACCTCACCACCTACAACGGCACCTCGAATGGCATCACCGCAGGCCCGGTGACCGTGATCGGGACAGGCAACACTCCGCAATCCAACTTCACCGACCCCTCTGAACCGCGAGACTATTTCTTCGACGCGAACCTCGCCATGCTCTCCACCACTCAGTCCAACATCACCTCCGACATCTCCCCCATTGCCTCCTGCCAGTTCTCGAGATTCATCGGCGAGATCACCACGGAGGCAAATAGCTCGCTCAGCGGGTTCAACGAGACGCAATTAGAGACGCTGCGCGGACATCTGAGCACAGCGGCAGAGAAGGGTATCAAAGGACGGTATTGGGACACGCCGGGCTGGCCGACGAGTGTGCGGAACGGGGTTTGGGAGGTGTTAGAGAGGGAAGGGGTGGGGTTGTTGAATGCGGATGATTTGGTTGCTGCGGCGGGGTTTAATGGGTGGACTAGTGGAAATTGGTAAGTCAAGAGAGGCTTGGGGAGGGAGCAGGAGACGCATGTGATGAGGAAAGCAGAAGAGTGCATAGCATGGTAAGGCGCAAAACTGCCAATAATTGAAAGAGGTGCTGCTGGCGGTAATGTATGGTGAGCACTTGATATATAAGCAGGAAGCAATTCATAGAAAGTGCGCAAAATGTTTATAATCTGCTCTCCTTCTTCCTGCTCCAGACTCCCTTACCATCAATCTCGAATTCCTTTCCCTTGCTCCAGCCCAGCCAGTCCTTCAGTGTCTTCTCGCCTCCCTCGCCTGGCTTCAAAGTCTTGCCATCATAGACACTCGGCTGGCCCGGGCTCTCAGTCAAGCCAACTATCGGCCTCAGATCATAGCCAGCCTCTTCCATCTCTTCGAGCTCCAGAACAGGAGCACAACATGCATCTGTCTCGTCAAAGATGCCTTCCCACTCCTTCCTCGTCTTCGTCTTAAACCGCTTGAGATATACTTCCCTCTGATACGCCCATGTGCGCTTGTCGGTGCGGTCCAGACCGTTGGGGCAGACGTCCTCGATCGTCAGACCCAATCCTTTGAGCAGAACAGCGAAGAATTGAGGCTCGAGTGCTCCGACGGACATGTATTTGCCGGCATCCTTGCATTCGTATGTGCCGTAGTATGGTGCGCCGCCATCGAGGGTATTTTCACCTTTCGGCGCGGACCACATGGGTGTCTTCTTGAGCATTCGCGGGTAGCTGCCGAGGTAGTTGACGCCGTCGACCATGTTCGCTTCGACGATCTGGCCTTTGCCTGTTGTGCCGCGGTGGAGCAGGGCAAGGAGGACTCCCGTGAAGGCTACATGCCCGCCACCCGCGAAGTCGGCGAGGATGTTGCCTGGTGCGAGCGGCGGGGTGTTGCGGGCGCCTAGTAGTGACAAGATACCTGAGACGGCAAGGTAGTTGATGTCGTGCCCAGCCATGTCTTTGTATTTCCCATCGCGACGGAAGCCGGTCAGGCGGGTGATGATGAGGCGGGGATTGTGTGAATGAAGTGTCGAAGGGCCGAGCCCGAGCTTCTCGAGGACGCCAGGTCGGAAGGGGTCGATCAAGACATCGGCGTCTTTCAGCAGATCGAGGAGTAGGGCATGCGAAGAGGGAGATTTCAGATCCAAGGCAATACTGGACTTGAACTGAGTAAGTAGGTCGCCAGAGACAGCGCCTGGGCGGTCTATACGCAGGACTGAAGCACCGTAGGAAGCGAGCAGTTGACCGCAGAAGGGACCTGTGAGTGTTAGCGAGGTCAAAACCGGAGATCTGGTAAGTATGTATACCTGGCGCGAGCCCGCCGAGCTCAACGACCTTCAAGCCCGCGAGAGGAGGGCCGGACGTCATATCGACCTATGTCAGTAGACGCGTGTGCAGGGTGACAGTCACCGACACCAAGATGAATGGTGTCGAGGAGGGTATGCTCCTACATGCTCATGAGTACAGAAATAGTGCAGTTCCCAACCTCTCTTGCCGGAGACCATGGCCCGAGGCCTCGGTTCATCTCCCCGCCATGAATCAGGCTACCAAACTGGGTGCCCAAGCTCGAGTCATGCTACCTTTCTGAAGTAGACGACTTTGATGCATGTCGCTGCCCAGTAGGCATCAACGGTGGAACCAACGGCTTCTCCTGTCTCTAGAGAAGCTGACATAGCTCAGGGTGATGGACTGGCAGAGGCAGAATGACAATCATGCAACGCGAGACGTGCCACAAGCTGGGGAAAACCACAGTGCACAGCATGATACCGGTTATTCTCTGCGATAGGCTTGAGCGCTAGTGTTGTAGTCTCGATGTCCTTCTCAAGCGCTGCACATCGCACTGGCATTGAACGCTCAAGAAATCGGAAAGGACGGACCGACTATGGCAGGAGCGAGGTCCGTGCTCCTGCTGGCCACCGGAGATCACATGTGTCTTGGCAATCTGAATGACGTCGACCCAGCAACTTGCATACATCCTACTAACATCTTCCACTGTATCCGAATCTCTTAATCTCTTTGTACTTGGAGTTGCCGGACCACGCTGGTGACCTGCATTCTCGTCAAAGTCTATCAAAGTCTATCTACTTGAGTTTGGGGTTGTTTACCCCTCTATTCATCCATCTATTTCATTGTTTATCCTCACTACATTTGAAGCTCTTCCCGATAGCCGGACCGATCACAGTCTGATCATCACATCAGTCGCCAAAATGCCCGCTGAAGTTGAGAGCTCCTCGCCTCCTCATCATGAGCCTCACTCTCATGACAACATTCGGCCTAAAGGTAGAGCCTTCAGTAGCAATCCTTGGACAGTTAACTGACAAGACGCAGGCATTCTGAAGAATCCATCATTCTCTGGTGGCTCCGGTCGAAGTGGTTCACCTGAGAAAGAACCGCCGTCCGGAACGCTGAACCCACAAGAAGAAAAGGATATCCTCACACAGAATACGCTCCAGAATGCAGGCCACCGGCGTTCATCGTCTGCCGCGAGGCGCAGCTCTGCCTCTCGCCGTCACTCTTCAGCCGCCGGACTGTCAGAGGATAATGCAGACCAGATGCGCCTCAAGTGGGACGAAGCCAATCTCTACCTGACCGAGCAAGAGAAGGGTGGCCGCATGAAAATCACTGAACCCAAGACACCTTATCAATTCGGAGATGCCATGGAGGAGGACGAAGAAGATGTGGCTATTGACCCTAGATATGTCAATGTCGACGAGATGGACATCAAGAAGAAGAAACAGGCGCATGAAAGCGAGATCCCTGGCCTGGACATTGGTGAGCCTGAAGACGAAGTCTCTCAAACGGCCGGACTGCAGAACGACCGTGTTCAACGCAGCACCAGTCTCTCGCGCGAAGGAAGCAAAGAGAAGCACGTCAGTGTTGGCGATGAGAGCCAGTTCAACGAGCAAGTCGGAATGCCTACTCGGGAAGAGCAGGAGAAGCACCGTCAGTTTGAGGAGCAGCGGAAGAAGCACTACGAGATGACTAACGTGAAGAGTCTGCTAGGGTATGTTCTTGCCCTAACTGCCAACTCGAATACTGACGTGAAACTTAGCCATCCGGATGATGTGGACGAAGAAGATGAAGAATCTGCGCGAGCTTTGCCCAGCCGAGGAGTCAATGGCTCTCGGTAGCAATCGCGCCACGCCCTTCTTGCTTACGACGCTTTTACGAACGATATCACATGACTCGACCGGTGCGATTTTGTCCACTGCGACTGAGTCTCATTTCCTTATTGTTGGTGAGAGGACAACTTTGGTCTTTGAGTCGTGCAGCCAACGATCAGAATAGCACAGACATGATAGCGAATCGCCGCCAAGGAATACTCTGGTAGCATTGATAACCTCCTGCGTCTCTAAGATTCCAATCAGCCTGCCATGCTGCGTATAAGGTAGGCCTGAAGATTACGTGCAGTTCGATCGAGTCCCCGACCCCGGCCTGCTTGGCATTTCCCCATTCAGCCATTGGTCTGCACTTGCCGGATACAGTTGATGTTGCCGTGCGGCAAGGGCGCGTCAGATCTACGCCGTACCAGTGAGTTGCTAAGAGTCAGCTACGAGTGTCGCAGCAATCAGAGCGTGGGAACTGTTCTCTAGTTCGGGGTCAATTAGCTGGATCCGCTGACATATATCTGGCTCTTGCTCCTCGATTACTTCGGCTCTGAGGAGGGCTTCCAAGTCCAGTCGCTCGACAGAACTCAGCTGATATAACGCGGAACAATTCAGATGTACAACTAAATACGCCTTCGTCAAAAAGTCCTACCCCCTTTTCACCATGGCCCTCCAACCCACGCGCCGAGTCGTGACCGGCCACGATGCCGACGGGGTCGCGACCTTCCTCTCCGACACCTCACTATCCCCAGCCAGTCCTCTTGCCAATGATGGCTCGGCCCCTCCTCCAAGCGTGCCTGGATTCATCAACATCGCCAAGACTCATGGCTTTCCCGACACCAGTGTGGCCCAGGGCGACGTGTTCACGGACTACTATGGCAAACAAATGCCGCTCACTGACGATACCGGCGTGACGTGTCGAATCGTGGACTTCCCACCGCTGCCGGAGGATGCGCCAGATGAAATTAACTTTGTGAGTTGAATAATTCGGTTCTGAGGCGTGGGTGATGCAAAGATGATGTGGGCTAATCAGGACCGGTCGTAGATGCATCGTACCTTGAGCATCGACTTCGGAGTTGTCCTGTCGGGAAGTATCCAGTGTGTGTTGGACAGCGGCGAGGCAAAAGATCTTCACGTTGGAGACGTGGTTGTACAGAGGGGAACAAACCATGTAAGTGGATTCTGTGGTGTGGACAACCTCAGACTTCGATGCACACTCGGACGCCATGAACTTCAGCGCGTCGACAGATACCTCGCTATATGATCACACCTCCAACGTAAGTTGCATACTGCTCGAACATACCATTAACATCTTTACCTCAGGCATGGCGGAACACAACCAGCGAAGTTAGTAAGGTGCTGTTTGTGCTTGTTCCCAGTATACCGATCAAGCATCCGAAGACTGGCGAGATCCTTGCGCCGACTGACGCAGGTCATCTTGAAACGGAGGAAGGCGCAAATGCAGCGATAGAGAAGTTAGGATTGCAGCAGTAGCGGTAGGGCATGATCTCGTACTTCGCACAGAAGGTAGCTTTTGCGAGGTTCCCAAACGTAGAATGTGTGAGATACTTTCAGACAAAAGAAAAGTACTTAAGCGGTCTAATGACGAGCATTAGACCCATTCGTGCAGCTATCGTACATGCCGACGTACAACTTGCAGACTTTCCGTACTCTCGCTAGAGCGTCAGGCTGGTACGAAGCTCCACATGAACTATCATTAGCTATGCCCAAGGGTCGCCAAACATGCACAGAATGTTCTATGAGAAGGCAGAAATGCGATCGCCAGCAACCATGTGGCCGCTGTGTCAGACGTGGTCACGCCGACAAGTGCACGATTGAGTGGGGGCCGGATGGCTACGATCCCAAGAAGCATCGCGTATATCCTCGTCCAGAGGGCAAGACGTCGCAAGATGCCCAGCACAATGCCTCGAATTCAGTGGTGACCAGCCCTCACGATGTGGTGTTCCAAGTGCCAGGACTGACGCCAGGCTCCGCGACATCTCATACAACACCCTCTCAGCATAATATCCTTTCGCCCACATATACTCTGTCAAATGGTCCGGTCCAGCAGGCGCCTCAGCCTGGTACTATCGATTTCCCAGGCCCATATGGTCAGATACAGCTTGGCGACTATGACAGCCGTCTCAAATCTGTACAGATACTCGACGACGGATATATGCGAAACGGGTTGCGTGGGCTCGGAGATGAGGATCTGGTCAGTACTTCTGTGGGGGGACTGAGACCGCGCAGATTGCCTTCATGCAACTCTTACTGCCATCAAGGCGACAGATTCATCAGCTGGTCGAGTATCAGATTGATCAAGTGTCGTGGTACCACGTCTGTTTCCATGGGCCAACGTTCCTTGATGAACTGAATGGTGCGACCACGAAAGGCGGAGTTCTACAAGTCCGAGACACTGATCTGAAATGGATCGCGCTTCTCTTCAGTGTTATGGCTGCAAGTATGTTCAGTGTAAGCGAGAGCCAAGCATTGAGCTGGGGATTCCAGAGCGACGAGAAGCAGAAGCTCACCAGACAGTGGTTCAAGTGTTGCGTGACATCTCTCAATTTGGCCGACTACATGCGGTGTCATCACATCCACAGCGTTCAGGCTATCACTGTCCTGTCCATGACTGCTCATGTGTTGGGCTACAGCACTACACAGTCTACCTTGCTTGGAGCAGCGTACAAGATCGCTCAAGGCTTAGGCTTGCAAAGACTCGGCCTGGAGGACGATGAGATGTCGCTAACGACGCGTACAGGGATGTTGATGGTCCCGGCTCAACGCCAGAAGATTGTACAGCGAGAGACTGGAAGGCGTGTCTGGGCACAGCTGTGCATCCAAGACTGGTTCTCGATCGCATTTAGCGAGATGTACTCGGTCAATCCACTTCATTTCGTGACTCTGAAGCCCAGCAACATCGACGACACTTCCCTGCAGGTGTATCCAGATGAGGTACCAGGCCAGCCTGGCTTCCTAAATTTCTTGTACGACATCGCGAGGCTAATGCCCAACATTCACGACGCAATCTTAGGCTCCAATACACTTTTCACCAAATACGAGCGAGTGTTAGAGGCCGATTCGAAGTTGCGCCAACTCGTGACAGAGAGATGTCCCAAGTTTCTCAACGTGCTAGAGCCTTTGGATCCAACTTGGCCTTCATGGACCCCGTGGGCTCGTCGCAGTGTTCAATTGTGTTATCATCATAAGACTATCATGATCCACCGTCCATTTTTGGCAAGGAGCTTTACAGAGCCGACTTTCAACTTCAGTCGCAGAGCCTGCCTGTCAGCTTCTAAGAACATACTCAAAGAAGCGAAACAAGCCTTCGACGAGGAAGGGCCCGCGCTATGGATTGATCAGGCTTTCATGGTTGCCGCAGGCATTACTCTGGTGCTGGACCTGTTCCATCGTCGGAAAGGAGAGCCAGAGCTTATGGAGCATAAGAAGCTGGTCGAGAGCACAATTAACACGCTGAGCAAGTATGACAGCATGATCGGCGCACGAGGCTGCAGAATGCTAGCATCTTTACTGGCAGAACAATCAAAGGTGTGCACTAGCAACCAGTTGGGCATGAACAATAAACGTGCGGTAGAGGATAATGATCTCGACGGCGCAAACGGCAAACGACAGAAATTCGATGTGCCACGTTTCGTGGAGCGGTTCGTTGGTGACAAGAGCTCTTTCACAGACGGCCTTGGGACGAATTATCCGGCCATGCAGTCAGGTGGACCAGGCGCAGTTGCTCAAAATAATTCGTCGACGCTAGCCAACGGTAACGGCAGGCCTGTTGAGGAGAGCGCCTTCTCTTACGAGACTTTCGAGCAGCTATTCCCACCTCAAGCTGGCATCAGTAATAGCTTCTTATTCGAGGATCTGCTCAATTTCGACATCTGATCGAGCGGGAATGTCCAAATCGGGCGAAGATCGCAAAATGCAATATGTCTCAAACTGGAAAGTCGCGTCAGGAATGCTGGTGCACGAGCGTTCCCGCTTGTCTCAGACGCGTCGCCGCGCCAAGTTTCGTCAACCACCTCGAAATATTCTGGGCCTTGATTGAGAAGACATGAAGGTTCGCCCTTGCGTCCCCTTGGAATACCGATTTCATTGTCTGCTATAGCGATGAAACCTCGAATTCTCCGGGATGGCAAGCTACGCGCATCAGCTGGCAGCTGCCACCCCTCGCGCCGCCCCTCGCCTTGTCGCAATATCTGGGGCGATGGTAAGCTCGATGCACATCCGATTCTCTTCGTAGTCTCTGCTTGTGAGTTCGTTTCTGGATGAGACCAAGGGGAGCAGACGCTACTGCAACACGATAACTCTCGGCTGCAATGGTGTTCACTAAACGCGTACTCAACCGGGGCTTGCTTGCCGTCGGCAGCATCTTGTTGGCGATCACTTCTCTGTCGCTAGTGGGTGCAAGTCTGTGGTTGCTGGCGAGGTTTCGTGCAGGCGTGGCGGCAGTGTCGCTGGCGACAGCTGTCAGTGCTTTCGCAGCTGCGGTAAGTGATATTATCCTCCATCAGATGATCGATGGCTGATACTATACCCCAGGCGTTTGCCGCACTACCTGCCACTGGTCTGGCAACGTATACAGCTTTCAAGTCGATGAAGTGTCGGGACCCTCCTCATCAATGCTTGCCGACTCGACTATCAACGCTGTATCGATGGACGACATACGCTGCGATCTACGTGACCATGATCCCCTGCGGTCTGGGACTTTCATTTGCGCTTTCTGCGACATGCCACTCCGACGAGTCTCCGTGGCATCGGGGACTCTCGTGCGAGCTCATGAAGGTTGTCTGGGCTTTGTCCATGTTCATGCTGTAAGTTGCTTCTAACTCAGCTACCGGCTATGGTCTCATTTACCTAGCATTCTCGTTGTCCTGGTCCTCCTGCCGCTGCGCAGAGCCCTGGTGGCATCTGCACTGCCACCAGTGAAGAAAGAAAGCGACACAGAGTCGACCTCGTCACTCGAGAAACCTGAACAATTCTGGCCACCTCATGTATACGCGAACTTCGATCGACCGGCAACGCGTGAGCAACAGCGGTGGCTGCAGCGACGGAATAGCTTGTCTTCCCAGAAAGCTATTTATCCTTACGCTTTCGAACCTAGACGGTCAGCATCATACACAGGCTATATCACATCACCTGGCAGCCATTACTCGTTTCAGCGGAACACCATGCGATCATTCTCAGACTCACAGCCAACACTGTACGATCCTCATCGGTCGGGTTCGTTCTCAACAAACTCACGGCCTATGACTGCAATTTCTTCTACGGGTAGTATGTACTCCCGTCGATATCGTCAGCCGGACCCGAACTGCCCGGCCATACCTGAGTCGCCGAGCCAAAGCATAGACTTGGCAGCCCCTAAGCCCAAGGCTGTTGATGCAGCGCCGAGCTTGCCGCCTGCTCCGCCTCCAGCTTGGTGTCCTCCCCTATCGCATGCGCCGTTGAGCTCAGATCCGGCCATCAGAGCGCTTACAGGCTCGCCCGCTGGCCAGGTCAAAACGTTGGCATCATCCACAATCAGCAGCTCTTATGCCCCTGGCAATGGCTTCTCGCGTGCTGCGTCTATCATGCCAAGTTTGTCGCGCGCGACCACAACACAAACATCAATCCTCAATATTTCCAGACCTTCCACGGCATCGACCGATACCCGATCGGCGTCCACAGCCAGCACTTCACGCAATAGTAGCCGTAATGTTTCCCCTCCTCCGCCACTACCACCGCTGCCCAGCCCTCCAACTCAGCCGCCGCCAGCTGTGCCTCGTCGCGCACCTGGACACGCGGCAGCACAACCCTCAACACCCACACTTGTTGCGTACGGGCCTGGCATAGCAACCACACGAACCTTGCGGCGGCCGGAGATGATTGGCGTACGGACTGGCAGGTCAAAACCTCTTTGGACTTACAGTGATAGAAGTGCGGTGTCGGTGACGAATTCATCCAGGTCCAATATCAGCACCAAAGCGGCCAAATCACAGAGATACACGCCGAGTAATTACTCGGTGGCGAGCAATCCTTGGACCCCAGGGACCACTGTCGTTGAGCGGCCAGGGACTGCGAAAGGGATGGGAAAGATGATATGACGGTTGAGTCTGTGGTAGAGAGCAGGGAATTGTAACATTACTGGGCAGTGCAAGGTCACTGTATGTACTGACTGACTTCCAATAGCATGGTACAAGGTGCTAAGATAGGGCTAATGAGCAACGAAACTGCAATGACGTTGGTGTCAGGTTGTGTTCAATCCTGACATGGCAACTACGCGCCTGCCTGCCTGGACACACACGCGTTTCCGAACAGACTCACGCATTCTGCTAATGTTCACTCCCCGCCTCATCACTTCCTACTCCCGAACTCATTCATTCTGTCTCCTGGCCCAGGCCTGGACCTGTCGTGAAGCGCTAGGAGGCTTGTGCTCGTTTTTGCTGCATTACAGTCAGTAGGCGCTCTTAAATTGAAGTCCTGGTCATCGTCAGCTAATTCAGGCAGGCCATCACATCGAGAAAGCTGTATCACCCATTGCGCCTGGAGCGGGCGGTTCAAGTCAATCTGTGAGAAGTAGTGAGGCAAGGACTACAAAGACAAGCCGGAGTACCAACGCACCTACCTGAACAATGAAGCTCACGTCGGCTGTCCGCTTCGCTGTAGCAGTCAACACTCTATGCTCCACTGCCGCCTCGATCCTGCCGCTTTCTGCGCCTCCAGCATACGTGCCCTTTGATCGTACCAGAGACTTCACCAGCTCCTTCGCACTCGACGCATGGGCGACTCCGGTGACATTCGAGTACTCGACTCCAGAACCACATGACAAGAACTGGATCGGCATATGGCCAGCTTCAGGCGGCGGTCCAGAGGAAGGCCACCGTGTGGCTGATCATGCGTCTGCTTGGGAGTATGCGGAGGACTCTGCAGGTAGACGATACATCAACGTCGACAATCTCGGTGCAGGAGACTACAGAGCCTACTTCCTAGCCAAAGACATCTATGTCTCTCTTGCTGCACCCTTCAACTTCTACTATCCGGGTTACAAGGCAACTCTGTATTTTCCATCGAACGAGACCAGCTTGCGCAATGCCCGAGAAGGGGAAGCATACCTCGAAAACGTTGGCGGTCTGGTCATTGGCGAAGGCCACTCCATCCACATCAACTTCCAGAAAGCTGGAGGAGATGACTGGATCCAAGTCTGGCCGGATGGATCGATCAGAGGCACGCCCCCGGCTGGATCTGGTGGCAGAATTGCTGTTGCGCAAGTCGAGGGCAAGGCTGCAGATACTGCTCCGGCAAGCATACAGATCAACATCATGGTTCAGAGATCATCTGAGCGTCTGGTGGACTCCATCAATGTCATGACATGGAGCATGTGGGACAGTGGCACTCACTTCTCTCGCTATCACGAAAAGCAGATGCGTTTCATTCTGGGGTCCAATGTCGATCTCATTGCCTTCCAGGACATCGCAGAAGTGCCAATCGACCACCTGGAGAGAATTGCCAATGCACTCGGATGGTGGCGCTGGCGAGGTGACCTGCGGGTTGCGATTATCAGTCGGTATCCGATCGTGGCAGAATTTTCTCAGATCGTCACGGACTACTTCAATCCTGGTGGAGGAGTTCGTGTGAGTCTCAATGGGCTCAATCAGGACGATAAGGTTGCTATCGAGTTCTGGTCGGTGGCTTTGTTTCCGCTTCCGTACGGACCCAACGAATTCTGCAAACGCGACCGTCCCTTGACTCAGCAACAAGTGCTCGCAAACGAGGTTCATTCAGAGCGTATGGTCCAGCTGAAGGCCACTATGGACCGCATCATTCCTCAGATCGACAACTCTTCAGGTTCCACGACCCCTACTATACTTGCAGGAGACTTCAACGCGCCATCGCACTTGGATTGGGTCGACAGTCTGAAGGAGAAGAATTGTGGCGTTGGAGGAGGCTTTCCGTGGCCGTCGTCCATCATTGTGACGGCGGCGGGTATGGACGACTCGCTTCGCGTTGCGAATCCAGATCCGGCCAAGTATCTTGGGACGACGTGGAACATCCGAAAGTTGTCAGATCCGCAGGACCGCATAGACTTCGTCTACGGCTCTAAAGACCTCGAGGTGCTAGCTTCGGTGAATACGGTGGGCGGAGGTGATCCCAAGGCAAGAGATCCGGAGTGGACGAGTGATCATGCTGCGATTGTAAGTCTATCCGCTTTTCGTGAGCCTGAACCATCAGTCAATCAGGGGGCAGTCTCGACTCAACACCTGAGATACTTGTTCTGGATGATGTTTCGGATCATCTTCTAGCCCCGGGCAAGGCGCTGTCATCTTTGAAGCTCTCCTGGCGGCGAGTTCACGATTGTCAAGCCTCAAGTCCATTTCCCCTTCCACTACCTCTTGCCAGATTCCGAATTTCTGGTTCAGGCTGACCAATATCGGCAGTGGACCGCGTACCGGTTGCCAGCAGGGAAAGACTGAGCAGCTAATCAGTTAGGGTCCATGGGCTGGTGGGGCGGATGCAGCAAGTCGATGGACCGGATGCAGAGCATGATGCTTGTGGAAAGCCTTCCAAAGCAGAAGATGTCATGCACCTACAAACACACCAATGTCTCACAGATGTAACGGGGAGGATCCCACCACAACGGGTCACGGACGCACTTGTGGTGCAGCGATTGTGTGGATGTCGCTGTTCAGATCTATCAGCCGTGAACTCATCAAATGTGAATGTCGATGCCGAAAATATAAATCTAGGTCTGCTCAATAACGAGCCAAGGCTTGAGGCATCGATTGTTTACAGATCGCAGCTGCTGTTTCCTTGATATCACGCTCAATCGCACTTTCTCGAGATCGCAGCTTGCTCGACGAGCGATTCTTCTTGGAAGCAGCGACGTGGCACTGTGATCTCGAATCGTAGGCAGACACAACTGCTTCATCTTAGAACCTCCGTGCCTGCTTTGCGCACCGACGTGCTCTTGCCTGACCTGCCATCCTTGCGAACCTCCGCTATTACGCATCGGCACATCGCGATCATGAGGTGAACATCGAGATCTTGCGAGATCCAAGAACAATATTCGAAGCGATGCTCGGCAATCAAGACATTGCCGTTGAACAAATCAAGGCACTCGGACTGCCGTGGAGAAGATCCCAAGCGCCCTTCCCTGGTGCCATGATAATGACAAAACAACGGCGTCGCGTGGCACATCTTGGTCGGTGAAGCTCGTGCACGTCATACATCATGAGCGCCTGTTCTAGTGTGCTACCATACCTGGACGCGTCACCAGCGTCACCATTGTCGTCGCACCTGCGACGAAATGTCGCGGTTTCAAGACGCGTCTGGAATTCGGGTGGTTATTGTGATAAAGTTCGGGCATAACTTTGGTACGACGGTGGCTATCAAACCTAGTCCATGCAGGGACAGCCCCCGAAGCCAACACAAGCTTTAGCTGGAGATCGAGGTTGCGGTTCTGCAGATGAGATACTCGGTTAATCAGGGGTTGGAGCGAATCGGCGGCTCTCGAATCTCGCCAACGGGTTTTATTTGGGATGCTTGTCTTCACTAGCCTCACCCACCACTGGCCACCAGCACTGCACCAAGATAACCAAGCACCAAACGGTCTTCTTCAATTTCACCAACAATGCTGGAGGCGCAATCTCCGACTGGCTTAGCGGCGTCGCCCCGCGCTGTGTGTGCCAGTCACAGGCACCTCCGCTCTGCCAATTCACAAGCAGGTTTGTGTGGCGGAGGTGTGTGCTGGGCTAGTGCTGGCAAAAGCAAACGGCGCAAGCGAAGGCAGGTCAAGGGCAGGGCACGCGACTATGGCGGATCTTCGATATCTGCTGGTACCCCGGCCTGTTGTTGTCGCAAGTCAAATGCCTTGATAAACCATTGCCAACGCGACCTCTCAATGTGCCGTCTTCCTTCGTTAAGCACTGAGATCGATAATGCGCGCAATACTGACAGCCGCGCTGGCGGCCTGCTCTGCGACTGGACTGGCTGCTGACAGGATCGACGGACCCATATTACAACGGCGTGGCATAGTGGGCGATATCGACGAAGCCTATGACTTCGTGATTGTTGGAGGTGGACTGGCTGGGCTTGTGTTGGGTGCGCGACTTAGCGAAGACTCAAACCACACCGTATTGGTGCTGGAATCGGGCGGCAACGGTGACGACTACAGGACGAGGATAGGTACGGCAAGGTCTATTTCATGCGGAGCGGAGGACTAACATTCAAGCAGACACTCCAGCATATTCATATTTCGATTCGTTATGGACGACACCATTGAATTGGGCATACAACACTGTGCCACAAGGCAATGTCAATGATCGTGAAATGTATCTGCCTCGAGGCAAAGTGCTTGGTGGATCTTCTGCTATCAATGGCCTGTACCTCAACCGGCCGGCGAAGGCTGACATTGAGGCGTGGCACGACTTGCTGGACGATATGGACGATGCTGATAACTGGACATGGGACTCATTCTTCGCTTCAATGAAGAAAAGCGAAACATTTTCTGGGCCTAAGGAGGCCATGGCTGCCCAGGGTGCGGTCGCATTCGATGCTGGCTCACATGGCACCAAAGGACCAATTCACGCAAGTTATCCAGGTTACTCTGTCCAATGGAACGGAGTCTGGGCCGATGGCCTCCAGAATCTAGGCGTTCCACCAGCGAAGGACACCTATGGAGGTGAGAACTCTGGCTCATACATCTCCACATCGTCCATTGATCCGGCGACCTGGAAGCGATCGTACAGTCGGTCAGGCTATCTCGACGCGCTTCCGCCCCGCGACAACTACCACATCCTACCTAATGCGCATGTCACACGTTTGATTTTCGATGGCGAGTCAAGCAAGAACAACCTCACCGCCTCCGCTGTAGAGTATTCGCTGGACGGAGGCGCCACCAAACGTTTCGTCACAACGAACATGGAGGTCATCCTCGCGGGCGGCACAATTGGCAGTCCAGCAGTCCTGCTACACAGCGGCGTGGGCCCGAAGGACGTTCTTGGAGCCGCTGGCATTGACGTTCTGTCCGAACTCCCCGGTGTGGGCAACCACATGCAAGATCATCTCCTTGCTACGGTCTCCTTCGAGAACAAAGCCAAAGACGAGACTCCTGGTGCCGTTTGGGTGGACGATGACAATCCGACCAAGAACGACACCCTATGGCTCTCCTTTGTCAACGACGCTGTTGCCTACGTCAATGCGACGCGCATGTTCGGACCCGGGCTCGATGCCTTCGCGAAATCGACCACGGGCGCCTCTGACGCATTCACTATACCAGCAGGCAACAAAGCAGTCCAAGCTGGCTACGATGCCATCGCTAAAACAACCGCCTCGACCATGGTTTCCACCTCCCTTGGCCAGGTCGAGCTCCTCCTCGTGACCTCCGCCCTCGACGGCACAGTCGGCATCACCGCCGCCCTGCAACACCCTTACTCGCATGGCTCGATCACCCTCGCCAACGACGACCCTTTTACATACCCGCTCATCAACCCAAACTACCTCTCCCACCCTTCCGACATCACCATCCTGCGCGAGGGCCTCAAACTCGCTCGCCAACTAGGCAACACTGCCCCCTTTTCCGACACTCTTGGCGACGAAGTCGCGCCTGGCACAGACAAAGTCTCAAGCGACGCCGACTGGGAGGACTGGATGCGCAAGCACGTCGATACAGAGTATCACCCTAGCAGCACGTGCGCTATGCTGCCCCTCGAACTCGGTGGTGTGGTTGATGCGAACTTGAAAGTATACGGACTGGCGAACGTTAGGGTTGCAGACGCGAGTGTGCCGCCTGTGGCGTTCAGCTGTCATTTGATGGGGAGCACGTATGGATTGGCGGAGCGGGCGGCGGACCTTATTAGAAGGATACATAATGTGCCAGAGGAGGAAGAGGACGACAAGCCGAAGCCAAAGCCCAAACCCAAGCCGTCGAGTAGTGCGGGAGGCGATGACGACGATGAGCCACGGCGACGGCAAGTAGCAGTGGGAGTGAAGAGACAGGGCAAGAGAATGGTTCTTCGGCGCTCAAATCTTGGTCAAGTTCGATGCTGGTTGGCTTGGTCATGACTGCCGTAGTCCTGGCTTCAGCATGAGAGCTCGTGCAGCGAGCATGGATGGGATGTCACTAATGAGGAGGCGCATTTGCATGAGCCACGAGCTGTACAGGGAGGGCATCATGGGTTTGGCAGAGCGACACTTGGTCACTGCTCACTTCAGCATGGCGTTCAGGCGACTTGGGATTGTGCTTAGACCGACTATACCCACTTACTTAATGTCTAAATAGACGGAGACTAGCTCTGAGATGTGTGATCGTCTCATATGTGAATAGATCGTGATTAGTGATGGATACCTTGCTCAACATGTACTCCACGCTGTGTCCAAGTAGGAGAGGAGCTGAGTAGTTCTGCCCGTGCGTTCGTGACGCGTCCAGCTACCTGGACCCGTGGAAGCAAATGTGGTGCGCTCCAACACGCTGTGTGTAGCAACGAGACAGGGGTGACACCGGTTGACTGGAAAGTATTTGATATGGCAAGAGCCATAGCCCTTGACGCCACTGTACTTGCCTCGTCCAGTGCATCTATATTCAAGGCTCCAGGCAAGCCGGATGACAAAGTTACGCGTACAGTGCTTCAGAGAAGGTGAAACGAGATGAGAAGACTAACGAGACGGGAGACGGAAGATAGACAGACTTGTCGGAGATGTTCGTGAAATTGCCATCTCTGTGCTATTCTAGAGTGCATTTCCAGATCTCTCCTCAGTTATGCTGTCGCTCAAAGCGACAAAGCTGTCACGCACCCGATAGAAAAAACATGCATGCAACGCTGCCCAGCGAGAACAGCCTGAGTTGAGTTGCCGCCGCGGCAACATGAGAAAGCGATCGTAATCATGCCGAACCAAATTTTGTGCAAAACTCTCGCCTCCATCGTTGAAGTCCTCCATCCAGCTGTGTAAAGAGAAGCGGTCACGGGGTATATCAGCCGGAAGGACCGCACGAACATATTCCCACATCAAACCGCGCGCTCTATCATCGTAGTCCCGTTTCGTTTTCGTTTCTGGGATCGTCGTCTATCAGGTCTTATTTGGCCATGGCAGTGTTGGTGTTAGCTTCATGGCTTCAGCAGCGTGGGCCATGTCGCCGTTACCCTGAGCCTTGCTGTGCTTTGCGACTGGCACTGAGTTTCGAGCGGGGACGCGGACAATGCCACCTGTCACTGGCAAAGCAGACGGGGTGCCCATGAGGAAGGAGTCGACTTGGCGTGCACACTGGCGACCCTCGTTCTAGGAATAAGTTAGTCTCTGCGACTGTGAAGAGTTCTGGCTGGAACTTACGATGCCCCAAACAATCAAGGACTGGCCACGACGGCAATCACCCGCGGCGAAGACACCCTCAATGTTGGTGTTGTATTGGCCCTTGGGAGTGGAAATGTTCGACCGGCCATCAAGCTCAACCTGATCGTTGAACAGACGGGCCTCGGGTCCGAGGAAACCCATCGACAGCATGACCAGGTCAGCAGGGAAGAACGCTTCGCTGCCTTCGACTGGCTTCATATCCCAGCCGCCGCCAGCACGCTGCTACAAGTTAGCTTTGGAAATTCCCGAATACAGCGAGTTGAACATACCTTTGTCCACTCAACACGCTTGGTGTTAATGCCCTTGACTTTACCATCCTCGCCAACGAACTCTGTGGTCATGATGCAGTACTCGCGAGGATCCTTGCCGTAGTGCTGCTTGACCTCGGTATGACCGTAGTCGACACGATAAATACGAGGCCATTGTGGCCATGGATTGTCGTTGGCTCTCTCCGGAGGAGGCTGTGGCAGAAGCTCAAAGTTGGTGACCGACTTGGCACCGTGTCGGACGCTAGTACCGATGCAATCGTTGCCAGTATCACCACCACCAATGACAACGACATGCTTGTCTTTGGCCGAGATGTACTTGCCATCATCAAGCTGGCTGTCCAACAAAGACTTGGTGTTCTGACCAAGGAAGGTCATAGCAAAGTGAATGCCATCCAGATCACGTCCAGGTGACTTGAGGTCACGTGCAACAGTTGCACCGGTAGAAATGATCACTGCGTCGTTGGTTGAACGCAGGGAGTCGAGGGAGACTTCCTCATCGGGCCCAACCAGAGTAGAAGTCTTGAAAATGACGCCCTGTGCAGCCATGAGATCCACACGTCGCTGGACGACACGCTTGTCGAGTTTCATGTTCGGAATGCCATACATGAGGAGGCCTCCGATCCGGTCGGCTCGTTCGTAAACCGTGACGGTGTGACCGGCGTTGTTGAGCTGATCAGCCGCAGCCAGTCCAGCCGGGCCTGATCCGATGATCGCAACTTTCTTGCCCGTACGTTCTTCCTCTGGAATGACGATTGGCTTCATCCAGCCCATCTCGAAGCCCTTGTCGATGATAGCGCATTCGATAGACTTGATGCCGACGGGGTCTTCGTTGATTCCAAGCACGCAAGCACCCTCGCAAGGAGCAGGGCATACACGACCAGTGAACTCAGGGAAGTTGTTAGTCATCAGTAGGCGGTTGAGTGCGTCCTGCCATTGGTTCTGGAAGACTGCGGATTTGTTAGCCTTGTCTTGGGATAGGGGCTGTGCTGAAAAGCGAGATGGGAGAGCAACTTACCCAGTTCGTTCCACTTGGGAATGATATTGGAAATCGGGCAACCGGTGTCGGATTGGCAGAACGGCACACCACAGTCCATGCATCGGGCAGACTGGTACTTGAGCTCGTCCTCGTTTAGCCGTGAGCTCAGTTCAGCCCAATCTTTGGTCCTGGTCTTTGAGTTGCGGTACTTTTCGGAGCGCCGGTTGTATTTCATGAAGCCACGGGTCTTGTCAAGCACCAAAGTCGACTTCTCCTTGGCTTTCTTGGCGTCACCGTTGATGCCTTCCTCAATGTCGAGCATCTCGGCTTTCTTCTGCTTCTCTTCCTTTTCCAGGGCCTTCTCGCGCTGCTGCTGGTGAAGATTGCGAACAGCATTACCGGGCAAAATAGGCAGAGGGTATTCGGCCTTCTTAGCTCCTCGGCCTTGGCGGCACGCTCTGCAAGCACGCGCTTGTAGTCAACTGGGAGCACCTTGATGAATCGAGGTAGGGCTCGGTTGAACTCAAGCAGAATGCGAGCAGCCATCTCAGAACCTGTGTAGTGGTGGTGGTCCTCGATCAATCCACGAAGCCAGGCAACCTCAGCAGGATCCTCAACACCAGATACCTCAACCATCTCCATGTTGATCTTCGATTCGAAGTCCTGGTGCTTGTCGAAGACGTATGCTATACCTCCAGACATGCCGGCAGCAAAGTTGCGACCAGTGCTGCCCAAGATGACGATACGGCCACCAGTCATGTACTCACAACCATGATCGCCAACGCCTTCGACAACGGCGGTGGCACCAGAGTTGCGGACGGCGAAACGTTCGGCAGCGACACCTCGGAAGAAGCATTGGCCGCTTGTAGCTCCGTACAAGCACACGTTGCCGATAAGAACGTTCTCTTCCGCCTTGTAGACAGCGCTTCGTGGTGGGTACACGATAAGCCGACCTCCAGAGAGGCCTTTGCCCACGTAGTCGTTTGAGTCACCCTCGAGCTCAAGTGTGACACCTGGAGCAAGATAGGCGCCGAACGACTGGCCGGCCGAGCCGCGAATGTTTGCGTGGATTGTGTCTTGTGGAAGGCCGGCTTCGCCATACCGCTTGCTAATCTGGTAGGAGAGTGTGGCGCCCAACGCACGGTCTGTGTTGACGATGTCGCACTCTATGCGGCAAGGTAGGCCTCTCTCAAGAGCGAGTTCTGACTCCGAGATGAGCTTGTTGTCCAACCGAGTATGGAGCTTATGGTCCTGTTTGCGGACGTTGTATGTGGCCACGCCTGGACGAATTGAATGAGCAGGGGTCAAGATCAAAGACAGATCGATGTTCTCGGTCTTGGGTGTGCGGAGGTCCTCCCGCATCTTGAGAAGCTCAGCTCGGCCGACCATCTCATTGATGGTTCGAAGCCCGAGCTTGGCCATCACCGCACGGAGCTCGTTAGCAATGTAATAGAAGAAATTGATAACATGCTCCGGAGTGCCGGCAAATTTCTCGCGGAGTAGAGGATCCTGAGTAGCGATGCCAACAGGGCAAGTATTGAGATGACTGCAGACATGATTAGCCTCGTCTCAGCACAGAGGTGGGGGAAGCAACTTACCATTTTCTCATCATAATGCAGCCCATAGCGATCAAAGGTGTTGTCGCGAAGCCCCATTCTTCCGCGCCAAGCAGACATGCAATGGCAACATCTCTGCCAGTCCTAATCTGACCATCTGTCTGGACAATAACGCGACCACGAAGGTCGTTCAGGACTAGCGTCTGATGTGTTTCGGCCAGACCCAGCTCCCATGGTAGACCGGCATACTTGATACCAGTCCATCGAGAAGCGCCTGTGCCGCCATCGTGACCAGAGATCAGGATATGATCAGCTTTGGCCTTGGCCACACCAGCCGCGACGATGCCAACGCCGACTTCGGACACGAGCTTGACGGAGACACGTGCACGTGGGTTGGAGCACTTCAGATCGTAAATCAGCTGCTTGAGATCTTCGATAGAGTAGATATCGTGATGAGGTGGCGGCGAGATGAGACCGACGCCAGGTGTGGAGTGCCGAGTCTTGCCGATGGCCTCGGACACCTTGTGACCAGGGAGCTCACCACCCTCGCCAGGCTTAGCACCTTGAGCCATCTTGATCTGAAGCTCGTCGGCATCGGCCAGGTAGTTAGAGGTGACACCGAAACGACCAGATGCGATCTGCTTGATGGCGGACCGCATGGAGTCTCCGTTCTCCATCTTCAAGCTGCGCTCAGGATCTTCGCCGCCCTCACCTGTGTTAGACTTGCCTCCGAGACGGTTCATGGCTACAGCCAGCGTGGAATGAGATTCCATGGAGATGGAGCCGTAAGACATCGCGCCTGTAACGAAACGTCGCACAATCTCAGTCCATGGCTCGACCTGATCGATGGGGATCTCGGCACGCTGATCGAAATCGAAGTCGAGCATTCCACGAAGTGTGCAATTCTTGATCTGTTCATACTCAGACAGAGAATATGCCTCGTAAGATTTGTCGTTCTTCGTCCTGACAGCATCCTGGATGTTGGCAATGCTGGTCGGGTCATTGATGTGTGCTTCGCCACCATCGCGCCAATGATACTCGCCAGACTCTGCGAGACCAGGAATTTGCCGAATGTGTCGTGAAGGGAAACCCTTCTCGTGGAAGGCGAATGCATCTTGTGCAATGAGCTCGAACGTCATACCCTTGATACGTGTAGCTGTTCCAGCAAAGCATCGGTCAACCACAGAGTCATCGACTCCCAACGCTTCGAAGATTTGCGCGCCCTTGTAGGATTGGAGAGTCGAGATACCCATCTTGCTCATGACTTTCAGAATACCACCGTCGCAAGAAGCCTTGTAGTTGGCAATAATCTTCTCATCTGTGAGCTTCTTTCGAATGAGGCCTTCTCTGTTCAGCTTGAGAATACACTCCATGGCAAGATATGGATTGACGCCATCAGCACCGTAGCCGACAAGAACACACATGTGGTGAACTTCGCGAGCTTCTGCGGATTCGGCAATGAGGGCAACTCGAGATCGCCATCTGTTGCGGACCAAGTGATGGTGAACCATGCCGACGGCGATGAGAGTTGAAACTGGCACTCTGTCCTCCGAGGTAGCACGATCGGACAAAATGATGATTTTATCGCCGTTGCTGATGGCCTCGGAAGCAGCATCACAGATGTCGTCAAGGGCCTGCATATACCCGTCGACGCCCGACCACTTGTCAAAGGTGATGTCAATCGTCTTGACTGTCCACCCCTTATCGAAAGCGCTCATATTCTTGATGGCATTGAAGGTCTCCGTTTCGAGGACAGGCGACGGTAGCATGAGCCGGGCGCACTGAGACTCGTCCATCTCCAGGAGATTGCCTTGAGGGCCAACATAGCATTCGAGGGACATGACTATAGCCTCTCTGATAGGATCGATGGGTGGATTGGTGACCTGAGCGAACATCTGTCTGAAATACTCGTACATCAGGCGTGGCTGCTGAGCCAGACAAGCTAGTGGAGCGTCGTTGCCCATGGAGCCGAGCGCTTCTTTGGAATCGGCCGCCATCGGTCCCAGTAATAGACTGACCTGTTCGAACGAGTAGCCAAAAGCGCGAAGTAGTGGATCTTCCTGAATCCGCGAGTCCGTAAGCTTGAAGCTGAGATCAAGCTCTTTGCTGAGCTTCTCCTGAACAGCAGGCATCTTGTATAGATGCTTGTCGAGCCACTGCTGGAAGTTCTGCCGTCCCGAAACAGTGCTCTTGAGTTCTGCGTCATCAATGATGCGTCCAGCCTCTGTATCGACAAGAAGCATCTTGCCAGGCTGCAATCGGCCTTTCTGAATAACGCGCTCTGGCTCAATGGCAATGGTACCGACTTCGGATGCACAGATGATGCGATCGTCATCCGTCACATAGTATCTGCAAGGCCGCAGACCGTTTCTGTCGAGGTTGGCACCGCAGTAGCGACCATCAGAGAAAGTGAATAGAGCTGGGCCATCCCACGGCTCCATTAGACAAGCTGCGTACTCGTAGAAGGCGGCTTTCTTGGGGTCCATAGCTTGGTTGCCCTGCCACGCTTCCGGAACCATCATCATGACTGCTTCAGGCAGAGAGAGGACTCTGTTCATCACAAGAAGCTCTAAGACGTTGTCGAATGCTGCAGAATCAGAGCCGCCGTCTTCAACGATCGGAAACAGGCGCTCGAGATCTTCACCGAAGAAGTCTGAGCTCAAGATACCCTCACGTGCTCTCTGCCAATTCTTGTTGCCTCGTAAAGTATTGATCTCACCATTGTGAGCGAGCCACCGTAGAGGCTGTGACCGGTCCCAGGAAGGGAATGTGTTGGTAGAGAAGCGGGAGTGCACCAGAGCGAAGTGACCTTCGTAGTCGACGGACACCAGATCGTGGTAGTATTGATAGACCTGGACCGGAGAAAGCTGACCCTTGTAGACAATGTTCCTGTTACTGAGAGAGCAGATGTAGAACCATGGCTTGAATCTTGTGTCGTGGGAGACGGATTTTCTGAGCACGTAGAGCTTTCGCTCGAATTCCGTGGCATCGAATTGCTCAGGATCTGTGATCTCCGGCTTATCGCCTTGACCGTATGCAGAAGCCAGAACGACGAATGGCTGCATGATGGTGGGCTCCCGCGACTTGGCTGCAGGACCCAACAAGGTCGAGTCCCTGGGAACAACTCGCCATCCGAGCGTACGCAGTCCGAGCTCGGTTGCGACCTCTTCGAAGCTGGCCGTCGCATCCTTCAGCATCTCGGTATCGGGCTTGAAGAACAAGTTGCCTGCAGCATACTGTCCTTGGGGAGGGAGCTCGATGCCGACCTCGCGAGCAAAGTTCTTGACGAAGAACCGATGAGGGATCGATGTCATGACACCTGCGCCATCGCCATCTCGTGCATCGGAACCCACCGCACCGCGGTGGGTCATGTTGCAGAGCAGATTGCGGGCATCGCTCACAATCTTGTGGCTAGCAGTGCCTTTGATGTGACTGTATCTGTCAGCAGACGCCGTGAAATTGAGCCAGAGAGAACATACGCAGCAAAGCCGACACCACATGCATCCTTCTCTAAGCTGGGGTCATAAAGACCCTGCTTCTCCGGCAGAGCCTCACCCCAGCCATAGCCCTTCTCGGGCGTATAGGGTGTGTACTCTTGTGGCTGTTCAATCTCTTCAATCTCTTGCTGTTGGGTTTCTTCCACGATCAGGCCCATCCTATCGTCGACAAGCGACGAGTTGTAAGTCGAGCTGATATGTAGGTATTTGACAGGCTCCACCAGAGGAATTGTTATGCCGTGGAGGCGATGAGCTGCTATACCTTATGTGAAGGCCGTAGAAGGGGCAGGTGCTCTCTGAAAGGAGTGCGTGAGCTGTGCAGAGAGCAGTGCGTGGCGAGAGGATGGATAGATGAGGGTGAAAATATTCTACGGGAAAGAAACAAAGACTCGGGCAGCCAAATTAGCAGGAGGAAGGCGGGCGCTGTCTAAAGTGGGGTTGGAAAGAAGCAGAGTACTCCGTTCCAGCCAAATCAGAAGCTGCGGAATTCGGCCATTCAGTATAAGCTACCATTTACACAGGCATGCAAGCTACAAGAGAAGTGAATTTCTTTTCTCCGAGATCACCTGTTGTTCAGAGGCCGGTGACAGAAACTTCGCACACACAATGGACTTTCCTTCACCATAGCGATGCAGCCTCGACATCAGCCAGCGGAAAAGAGGAGGCAATAGTGAGGACGAGGTGAGATCAGCTCGACTTTCTCTGGCTGTACAGCTTTTGGCATCAATGTGAACTCTGAATAGGCGTGCCGAGCAGCGACTCAATACTTATTGCACACAGAAATGGCGACTCTTCCAAGCGAGCGAGCTCTGTGTGTATGCCGTGCATGGAGCTTCTGGCTCGCGCTCGGCCTTCTCCATCGATTCCACCTCGTTTTCGTCGACCTCACCACTCTCGTCTTGCATTTTATACGTCGACAGTATTCAGCGAAATAATGATAGCGTGTGAAGATAAGCAACAGTCAACCAATCAGCATATCTGTTACATCTTACATCCACGAAATAACATCGGTATGCACCACTCTAGGCTTCATAAGGCCTGTGGGTCTGGGCTAAAGTCCAGACGTTTGGGCTCGTGGGGCGTTCGATTTCTTCACATGCAGCTCTAGCTGCGGCTGTCGCCCGAAGCAAAGACGACCGAGGACGCCCCATGGCAGCAATTCAGTACGGCATTCGTCGGTCTTCCAGGGGTGCAAGCGTTGCCATCTGGACGTGCTGTGGTTCTGTCACCACCAGATATTCTGTCAAGTAGGCAGAGCTCGATCTTTGCCGTCGTAGAGCTCTGTGACTGCCTCTGTCACGGTTAAGCTCACAACGATGCCCGAAAGTCTAGATCTGCGCAAACCTACAGTTTGCTTGCAACGCCACGCACCTCATCATCCTGCACAAGCACAGGTGTCAATAATTGCCAACAGGAGACTTGTCGCTAATAGTTGTTCAATCTGCTATTTACCACACAGGAACGTTTGCGACGAGTTCATCCACGGCGCAAGCATTTCATGCACAGACCCTGTAGCTGCACCCCACGGACAGGGATTGCTCGTTATTTTGGCACGAGATCTGACTGTGGAGTTGAGTTGGATCTACTTAGCCGCGCCGCTAGTAAGAGCCGACATCGCAGCTCCCATATCCTTTACCTCATCGCGCATTTTTCAAACAGTAATCCTCGTGTCCTAATAGGCGCTGACACGAACAACGCTGCGGGAGCTTCAGCGATGGCCTGCATGCCGAAGCTAATGGAGCCCTGGGACCCCCTTGGCATCTGGGCAAATTTCCATCTATCCACCGTCTTCCCTCGAACCTGTGACACAGCCGCTCGTATATGTTGGCTGTTGCGCTGCTGACATCCATGCGCGACACACGCAACGTGCGTTGACAGAGCTCGGTACATTCACTCGCCGAGCTTTCGCGTGTTGGAGTCTTGGAGAGTATCGTGCTCGAGAGTAGATATAATTACTCGGTACAAGCACACAAAAATCGTGGGGCGTTTCGGGCTTGGCACGAAGTCCCGATACTAAGTCATATGCTCTGTGCAGCAAGAGCAAGAGCACAAACATCATCCTGTCCTCGAGAGTCTGACCAGGCGTGAGAGAATAGTCCTGAGTGCCACAGTCCATATCGATCGAAAGAGCTGGACGCCAAAGAAGAACCAATTTTGACATCACTCATTTGGTTGTCGGTACCTGCTGCGAGGCTCTGGCAAAGAGAAATGCTGCCCCGCGGTCTGTAATCCACGACGGCCAGCCCCAAGATTACCCTAACCCTAAGAGCACAATTGTTGCGGTAACACTTCGGTTCGCAGCCTAACTCAAGACTTCAAGTTGTCTTTTCATGATCCCCAAACAGACCAACTGCGTCCAAGCATTCGTGAACCTGCTTGCACAGCTTGCTCAAGTAGCAGTAGACGTCCAGAGCGGCGAGGCCGAATTTATGCATACCGTCGCATTGTATGAGAAGCACACCTAATCCACAGAAGCAGTAATACTCACGGTCTGCTGCCGAACTATGGCTCGGCACGAGGATAAACGCTCACCATCACCAATAGGAAGTTCATACTCCTCTTCGAAACGGAGCCGAAAGCACGACGACAGGGACGAGGGTCGGTATGAGAGGAGCAGACGGGACGAGGATCGCTCTTATCGCAGAAGAAGATCTCGCTCGAGAAGCCCTGAGGTGCGCGCAGAATTCACGCAGAGGCTACATCATTCTGACAGGATACAGCGTCGATCAAAAGACTACGATCGCGACAGGGAGAGGGATCGCGACCGCGACCGATACCGCAGGAGAGACAGATCGGTGGACCGAAGGCATGACGATCGTCGACAAGATGACTACTACAGCTCTTCTTCGCGGCGGGATCGATCAAGACGGCGCTCACGTGACCGAGATGACAGACGGCGCAGTCGCGATAGAAGTCGTGACCATCGCTCCCGCAGAGATGAGCCTCGAGACCGCGACAAGGACCGGGATCGCGACCGTGACCGAAGACGCAGAGATGAATCTACTGAGTCGAGGAAACGAAAGCGAGAAGACAGTAGAGAGCGACCGCCGACACGGGACTCTGCTGCGGCATCAAGACACGTACGTCAGACCCCTTCCGGACGTCTTTTCTCTGCTAACAATGTAACGCAGGCCTCAAAGCCATCGACGCCCACAGCAATTTCTGCCGAGGAGCAGAAGGCGGCCCGGCTAGCTAAGTTAGAGCAGTGGAAGCGGAAACAAGCTGAAGAGCAAGCTAAGAAACAGCAAGAACGAGCATCGGGTGGTGCTCGCAGCATCCTCGACGAGATCGACAAGAAAGCTGCGCTGACACCGGCCGCCAGTCCTCCCAAGTCACCGGCGACACCGGCGACACCAACGACTCCCGATGTCCCTTCGCCTGCTCCGACTCCATATCAAGGCAAATTTGATCCGAAAGCCATTGCGAAGAAGGCACAGGCGACGACAGCTGCGTCTAAGGTTCTGGGAGGCGATCCTCCTCTGGTCCCCAAAGTTGCTGCATTGAAGAAGGAACCGCTCAAGCCAAGTCCTGCAGCGACTAATGGCTCCAGTGGCGGCAATCTGAAAGCGTCAGGAAATCTCAGTGGCTTTGGGCTGACATCGAAGCAGGTGATGGACACTGATGTGACGAAGAAAGCCATAGATTTCGGCGATGATGATGACAACAAGAAGAAATTGGAGAAACTGCCTACGTTGCAAGATGCCAATCCAACACCCGATCAATCCGTGAACGGAGGCGAAAATGAAGACGGCGATGATGAAACAGACCTACAAGAGGGTGACGACGAAGAGGCTATGGCAGCTGCTCGAGCCGCAGCAGAAGAACGAAGCAAGGCCGAGCGAGGGGAAGATACTGCCATGGAGGAAGCGCCACCGATGCCCGCAGCTGAGCCCGAGGCGCCTGATGAGGAGGAAGACGTCGACCCTCTTGACGCCTTCATGCAAGATCTGGTACCAACTTCAAGGCCCACCTTCAAGTCGCAGAAAGCGAGCAAGAATAAGCAACAAGAGCCTCAAGCCATGTTCAACGACGACGATGAAGTTGGTGGGCTTACTGCCATGGACGAAGACAACCCAGACAGCATCATGGCAATGGCTGCCGACAAGGTGAAGAAGAAAAAGAAAGATATACCTACTGTCAACCACGGTAAGGTCCACTATGAACCCTTCCGCAGGAACTTTTACTCTGAGCCGATAGAGATGGCCGACATGACAGAAGACGAAGTCGCTGGACTGCGCATGGAGCTTGACAACATAAAAGTGCGCGGTCTCGATGTCCCGAAGCCGGTCCAGAGCTGGGCTCAATGTGGTCTGGGAGTCCAGTCATTGGACGTCATCAAGCACCTCGGCTACGAGGCTCCGGCGAGCATTCAGTCGCAGGCCATTCCGGTCATCATGTCTGGTCGCGATATGATTGGTGTGGCGAAAACAGGTTCAGGCAAAACCGTCGCTTTCTTGCTTCCTATGTTCCGACACATCAAAGACCAGAGAGCGTTGGAGTCTCTCGACGGGCCGATCGGGCTTGTTCTGAGTCCAACGCGCGAGCTAGCAACACAGATCCACAGAGACTGTAAGCCTTTCCTGAAAGCGCTAGGCTTGAGAGCAGTATGCGCATACGGAGGTGCTCCGATCAAGGACCAGATCGCAGACATGAAGAGGGGCGCAGAAATCGTGGTCTGCACGCCAGGACGCATGATTGATCTTCTCGCAGCAAACAGCGGTCGTGTAACCAATCTTAGACGCGTTACATACGTCGTGTTGGATGAGGCTGATCGCATGTTCGACATGGGGTTCGAGCCTCAAGTCATGAAAATCCTGGCGAACATTCGGCCTGACAAGCAGACTGTGCTTTTCTCCGCTACATTCCCGCGACAGATGGAAGCGCTAGCGCGGAAAACTCTTGCAAAGCCGGTCGAGATTGTGGTCGGTGGCCGAAGTGTCGTGGCCCCAGAGATTACACAGATCGTCGAGGTGCGAGCAGAAGAGCAAAAGTTCATTCGCCTGTTGGAGCTCCTTGGCAATCTCTATGCTGAGGACAAGAACGAAGACGATCGCGCATTGATCTTCGTTGATCGACAAGACTCTGCCGATGGCTTGCTCAAGGCGCTGATGAACAGAGGCTATCCATGCATGTCAATCCACGGTGGCAAAGACCAGATCGATCGCGACTCAACTATAGCAGATTTCAAAGCTGGCATTGTCCCAATCCTGATTGCGACATCAGTGGCTGCACGAGGCCTTGACGTCAAGCAACTCAAGCTAGTTGTGAACTACGATGCACCAAACCATCTAGAAGACTACGTCCACCGCGCTGGCCGTACAGGACGAGCAGGCAACACCGGCACAGCAGTCACTTTCCTCACCGAAGAACAAGAACGATACGCAGTCGACATCTCCAAAGCCCTCAAACAGTCCGGCCAGCCCATCCCAGAAGCAGTCCAGAAGCTAGTCGACGCCTTCTCCGACAAGGTCAAAGCCGGCAAAGAGAAAGCCTCCACGGGCGGGTTCGGCGGCAAAGGTCTCGACCGCCTCGATCAACAACGCGACGCCGAAAAGGCGCGCGAACGCAAGACCTACAAGACCGGCGACGACGAAGAAGAGAAGGAGGACAAAGAAGACGGAGCCACCGCGAAAGTCGGCGACGAAATTTTCGCCAAAGCCGCTTCGGGCGTCAAAGCTTTCAACGCAGACGCCCCACCCGCGTCTCCTCCAGCCTCAAGCTCAATTCCCGGTGTTCCCAAGGGCATTGACCTCGACGGCAAGATCATCGTGCACAAGACTGAGCGTCCTGAAGCCGACGCTGGCGGCAAGCCAGGCAATCGCATGGACCGCGTTGCCGCGGCTGTGGCAGGCATCAACCAGAAGCTCTCCAAGGCCGGTGTCATGCGCTCGGGCGTGCCGATCGATAACAAAGGTCCCGACGCAGGCGCCTTCCATGCCACTCTCGAGATCAACGACTTCCCGCAGAAGGCCAGGTGGGCTGTCACGAATCGCACGAATGTGGCGAAGATTCTGGAGAGTACCGGCACGAGTATCACTACCAAGGGTAATTTCTATGCTACGGGCAAGGAGCCGGGCCCGACGGAACAGCCGAAGTTGTATATTCTGGTGGAAGGTGATACCGAGGTGGTGGTGCAGGAAGCTATGCGGGAGCTGATGCGGCTATTGAAGGAAGGCACGATGAGCGCAGCGGAAAATGAGGGGAGGGCTGCTCCGGGCAGGTACTCTGTGGTTTAGCGGCTTCCAAGGCAACATAGATGTCAGACATGGAAGAGATGCTCCATTGCTACACATCTACGAAAAACTACACCTCGTTCTGCTCGGCGTTGTTCGTGGAAAGTGCGCAAATCGGAATCTCGTTGCGAGTTCGCGATTTCTATCAGCAAAGGAAGACCGTGTTCGGTTCATTCTCTGCTTACAAGGCACGTCAACTATTTTTTCGAGTACGAAGATCCTCTGATGAACCACTGTACCCACATGAACTCCCACACCACTCCGAGCCCTCCTCACTACATTCCTCTACTTCCTCATCACACTCCAGCTCCCCTTCGCCAAATCCCAACTCATCATCCCAATCCACAGCCCTCGCCCCAGGCACACACCCCCAATCCACGTTCTCCCTTTCCACCTCCACACAGCGCTCCAGCTCCATCCCCACCAGTATCTTCAAACCTTCCGGCCGCGCATCCACCCAGTCCCAGAACCTGTAGTCGAAGAAGTTGTACACGATTTCAAAGGGTAGGATGCGTAGCTTCGTTGTCCTAGGGCCAGAGAGGGGCTGCGATGCCATGCCATCTTTCTTACCTGCTGCTTCACCACCTGGGGCTTGATACAACCTTGCAAACGGTCTGTACCTCTTTCTTCCCTCAATATCAACTTCAACAAAGGAGTCACCGTCATCCGGCCATTGTCGGCACCCAAGCCCCATCATGAACAGATCGCCCCAACTCGTCGCCGCTTCACTTGCGCCCCCGAGCTGGCCAAGGGTTCAATAAAACCGAAGCCGCCGAAGACGGACGTCTCCCAGGCTTTACCGAGCTCGGACTTACGGTCAGTATTGATGAAGGGTTCGTGTTCGCGTTTCTTCTTGTTCTTCTGTGTGCGGTTGTTGTCATCGATGTCCTTCTCATCCTCCGTGGCAGGAGCAGTCCGACACATCCACACCGCGTGCGCGAGCTCATGTACCAACGTGACCGCAAGGAAGAACAAGACGTAGACTTTGGCATGGTAGCCGATCTTAGGGTAGGTGTCCTGGTGAAGGTAGCGGAGGAAGAGTGGGTTGAGTGTTATGGCTACGTTGGTACCGCGCAGATGAGGAAGAGGCTTGCTGGTGTCGTTAGTAAACACACCAAACCGCTCATTCAGCGATATGTTCCGTGTGTGAATCAGACTGTGGTCCTTACTGGTCATGACGGAACCATGGGCGCTCTCGCCTACGGCGGAGAGGCTGGCAGGCGTGGGAGCTAGCGGCTGAAGGTAGGGCAGGGGATATGGGAGGGTGCTTTGGCCTGTTTGGCGCATATGGAGAGCTATGCTGGAGTGCTGGTAAGAATCTGTGTGTAGTTTATGCAAGCGTGTTTGATATACTCGGTTGACATCTTGGGTGGGCACGCGCTTGCTATGTGCCAGGTGCTTGAATCGTGCTTTGAGCTGCCAAATGAGATGCTTATATGTCGTGTCAGTGCAGCTAGTGCATCAGTTGTCAGTACTCGCTGCTGCTCGGTCAGCCCAGAGCTCCCACTGCCGTCTCTGCTGTCCTTCTGTTTTGGGAAGTGGAAAATATCCGCGCCATAAAATGCAGACTCTCGTGTCAACTTCTCAGGCTGCTCAAAGAGCAAACGATGGAATAGGACCAACGAGTCTCGATTCGAGATAAATCTCGTGGCAAGCTGTAGAGCGTGGTATAGTTGCGGGTACGCAATATGCATGTCGCGGCTCTCACTGACGTAGTCATGATTACCGAAGGGCAGCAACATTGATCGGAAAATTGGATGGACCAAGTCACGGCCTACCCAGTTGGGATATCTGTGGCCTCCACCTACCGTTTCGTTGCCATAGCCAGCGCTGTAGATATGAGGGGGGAGCGGATTTGGTGGCCATACTATGCATGAGAACACACCTGGCTGCATGATGAGGAGGCGGAGATCAGGGTCGTTGTTAAATGTGCGCGCTCTGGAGTCCATGTTTTGCTTCAAAGATTCATGGCTCGTGATAGCGTGAGAAGGGTAAGGGGGCTGCTGCGAAAGGAAAGGGATGTTCAGTACATGGCCGGGCACTCGCCAGCTTGACGATAGACAGCGACGCTTGGGCGGTGGTGGACGGACATGCCTTTGAGGTTCACGCTTACCGAGTGTCTTGCCGTTGTAGACAAGGACTTGGTCGCTTTCGAGTCGATAGACGTTACGTTCGAAGCTCCTTCTAGGCTGGAAAGAATTAGGCTCAGACCTACCTGTTGATTTTGTCTTTGACACGGTACTTTCCCTGGGTGCCGCGTGATTATTGGGTATCGTCCTAGGCGAGACAGGCTCCTCGTGAATAGGGCCGGTCCGTGGTCGATTGAATGGATTCATGCTCAGATGTCGTGAAGATAAGCCAAGAAGAAATGTGCTGAGTCGGGTTGCCGCAGGCTCGAAGACGAGTCGTTACGGCATCGTGATCGTCGAGCTGTAGCTTATGCACAGACATATTTTTGGTCTTTGTTGCGACAAGTCAGTTTTGTCTTCTGGAGAACTGGCGGAGTCGAGGACAAGGCTATTGCTGTCGGACATGCTTGTAAACAAAGAATCGTCGTTCTTGCCATTATGCACAGACCACACGCGAGGCACTGTGCAGCGGCATGTGTGGGGATCGCACCTGACGATATTGAGTATAGACAGGCAAGGCGCGCAGAGTACACCCATCCGAGTATTTGCGAAGCTGCTCTTCCGAGAGGGCGTACCGTGGATGCGAAGATGTGTAATGCTGTACAGTCTACAAGTCTACGAGTAACTCGTCGTGCGAAGATTAGGCTCTGGCAGCCTCAAGCATACTCGTGACACTCCCCAGCTTCTCCCTTGGCTTGCCATGTCGTTCTCCTATGTGCTTCTCCGCAGCATCGATCTTGTGCCATTGATCCCAGTGGACTGGATCGAGCTTCTGGCCTTCACGCATTGCGTCAGCTTTGACGCCTTGCCAGCCAGCTCGGTGAGGCAAGTGTGATATGACTGTACGTTTCCAGTCGTCCACGATTGCTTCCGCCGTTTGAAAAGCGTCCGTCATGGTCGATGCAATCACACCGGTCGGACCGCGCTTTACCCATCCAGCACAGTAGACCGAGGCGTTGGTTTGCGAAGTGGATAGCTGTTTTTCTGTCCCGATGGGAATGGCTCTACCGAACCCGTCATGCTGAATTGTACCGTGGAGAAAGTTGCAGCCGATGGATGCCATGCCGGGAATGGGTTCAGCAGCATATCCAATGCTGCGGAAAAGCGTCGACGCAGACAGAGTTTTGTAGTCGTTCGCAAATGTGACACCTGAGGCGGGAGACTCAGGGTCAGACAAAACCGTCTTCCTGAAGCGGACTCCGTCAAGCTCAGGAGGACTGGATGCAGACGAAAAGGACAAAGATTCTGGCGAAAGAAGAAAATCAAGCGACCAAGACTTCGTGGCATCAGGCTTGTGTGGTGAGCCTTTTTGGAGCAGCTCCATGATGCGCCTCTTCGGCCGCTCCAGTGCTTTGGTGTTGGGAGGGAAAAGATCGGCCGGGATAGGGTCGAAATTGACATCAGGAAGCTGGAGTAATTCTCGAACCTCTTTGATCGTGAAGGCTGCCTGAAGCGGTCCTCGTCGGCCCACGACGTGAACGTGCTTAATTTGACTTTCTGCAAGGGCTCCAATTGCGTAGTCCGTCATATCAGTCTTCTTCAAGTCTTCGATGCTGGCCAGCAGAGTTCGGGCTACATCGAGCGCAACGTTGCCCTGCCCTACCACGACTGCGGTATCACCAGCCTAAGAGCCGGATTGAGGTCACGATACTCTGGCAAGCCGTTGTACCACCCTACAAATGCTCTCGCAGAGTAGATGTGTGGTCGGTCTTCTCCTTCCAGACCAATTTTGCGATCCTTAGAGGCACCGTACGCGAAGACGATCGCATCGTAGTGTTTCGCCAGGAGAGTCAGTGGGAGGTCTTGTCCGAGCTTCACGTTGCCGATGAAGGTGTAATTCGGCGACCGGGCGAGTTCCTCAAAGGTGTCTTGAACATTCTATTGGGATCAGCTCGGACACCATCCCGACGAAACTCGTCTCACCTTGACCTCAGGATGATCGGGTGCTACGCCATATCTCACAAGCCCGAACGGCACAGGCAGCTGCTCGTACATATCAATCACGGTCCCAGGAATCTCTCTGAACGTCTTCTGTGCCGTATAGAATCCAGCCGGGCCAGAGCCGACAATAGCAATCCGTGGCCCACGTTCATGGTGCGCCGCCGCGCCTGCTGGCACATGAAGAGAACGGCCTTTCGAGCCCCATTGCCTGGTATAGCGCAACTTGCTGGGACAACGAAAGCGCGAGACTAGCATTGCAGCAAGACGACGACTCCATTATCATCTGCGCCCCATCGTGCAGCAAAGAATACTAGCAGATTGAGGCATCAGAAATGCTAGCATTGAGCATCGTTCGGAAGAGGAACATGAGAACGCGTCATTTTCGAGGTCGACGATGCCAAGACATTCACTGCCTAGTTTCCATTTGACCTCAATGCCTGGGTAGTTGTCTACAGTCAGGGGCGCATTCGTGTATGCATTCAGTCACTCCTACATAGTCGAAAGGGTAGACTGAGTTGCGACGTTGCGAGAGCCTTGTACACTTATCGGCCGGCAGATCAGTCTCTGATGTTTGTGGCTGAGTGGCTGTGCAGACGCCGATGACAACGATGGGGCTCGTAATCAAAAATCCGACCAACTCATCCGGGCTCCGTTCTTCTTGCCACTAATCCGGGACAAGCAGCAGGTCTGTCGTCGCGAGCCGCGCCTCACATGATTTTGTAATTGATGGCTGCGCGATGTTCTGGCGTATTCAGGGACAGAGTTGCACGAAGTGGTGTTCCAACTTTTGGCCCCCCAGATGTTCAAACAGCTGTAACTCGTTATGTCGGCTCCGACAGCTGCAGGTCGAGGCTGTGTGCATGCTAGTGATGATACAGAGCCAATGGAGTTGCCAGTTCGACGATCAACAAGCCGGTCGCCAAGTGATTTAGATACAAGCGCGAACCATGCTAGTACGAGAGGCCTGATCAGCTGGAAGGTATAAGAGGGCGGTAGCTCGAGGTTTAACGAACATGATGTCGTCTCGTTCTTGCTTGAGGTCCCATAGGTAGGTGCTTTGTGGGCCTTAACACAGAGCAGGATGTCCTACCAAAATCAGCCCTACCAGCAAGGCCAAGGCCAGCAGTACAACCAGAACAACTGGGGCCAGCAGCCACAGCAGCACCAGCAATATGGCCAGCAGTACAATCAGCATGGGTACGGACAGCAGCAGCAACCACAGCAATACGGCCAACAACAGTACAACGCACCACCACATTCACACAGCCCTCAACCACAGCACAATTCGATGTCACACAACACCACCCCAACCAAAGCCGCCGACGCTGGCACCTTTCACGGCGGCAGCTACAAGATCGACCACCGGGACACAAACTCCATCCTGACTATCACCCTACAACCCAATGCCCCTGTGCGCTCCGTGTCCGGCGCTATGATCCATATGTCTGCGTCCGTTGTCTTGACAGGCAAGCTCAAATTCAGCATGAAGAAAATGTTCATTACTGGTGGCGACATGGCTGAGTCGACATACACCGGACCTGGTGTCGTAGCACTGGCACCAACGCTGCCAGGAGATATCTTCACGCTGCCGATTGACGGGTCAGGGAAGTGGAAGGTTGGAAAGGACGCGTGGTTGGGATGCACGCAGGGCGTCACAAGGGAGACGAAGAGTCAGGGGATCGGCAAGGCGCTGTTCTCAGGCGAGGATCTGTTCGTGTACCATGTCATGGGCCAGGGTCTGGCATGGCTGACGAGTTTTGGAGCTGTCGAGCGGTTGGATGTAAGTCCTTGTACTCTTGCGGTTACTGTGCTGTGACTATCGAGTGATGTTGCGACAAGACGTCTATGCTGACTTTCCTCAAACAGCTCCAACCAGGTGAACAGCACATTGTCGATAACGGCCATCTAGTTGCGTGGAACTGTGACTACAAAATCGAACGGGCCGGTGGCGGGAGTATGACATCGATGAAGACTGGCGAAGGTCTAGTCTGTCGCTTCACTGGGCCAGGATCTGTCTACTTCCAGACCAGGAATGAGCAGGAGTTTGCCAATTGGATCCGAATGGTTGCTCCTTCAGGAGGATGAGCGGACTGGGATGGTGAGGCCAGAGTCAAATGTGTATCATTTGTTGAGGGCGGCCAGCAATCATGCATTGTATCAGCAATTCGACTTTTTACCTCACTTTGATGCTCGCCGAACGTTCATATTCGTCGCCACGCTTGGTGACACTCGACGGGTGTCCTTGGCTTCCGCTGTGTTTCCTCGAGAAAGACCGGTAGATGTGTCGTCAGTCCCTGTGATGCTTGCCGCCACCGCCTCTCGCGCGACCAACTCGGCCTCCGCCGCCACCACGACCGCCTCTCCGCCCCTTTCCAATTGGCAGAGCTCTTCCTTTGAGTCGCTCTGGGAGCTCCTGCACCACTTTTCCGTCTTTCCAGAGTGTTCCTAGGCCTTCCTTGACCTCGACCACCTCAAGCCAAAAATCCGTGGTTATCCCAGTGGCCGCCAGGGTCGGCTGTGAGGGAGCCTCTGCGTGCTCGCGCTTCCCCGTTTCTGTCACGTTATCCAATTGTGTGGCATTCCCCTCGGTCACCGCAGACACACCTGTTGTCTGCGTTGGTGACGTAGTGAGACCTTCGGTCAGTATAACGCCATTCTCGCTGCGCCACCATTTCATGCCAGCTTTCAGCGCTCTCTCGAGATCAATATAGATCAGGACCTCTGCGTCGGGACGCATACCACTCTTGACCTTTGCATCCGCCATCATTTTTGCCAACTTCGATTGTTGCCTCGACTTGCCTTGCGCCGCGACGCCGCCATTGCCGTTTGAGGCAGGTTGCGGTGACATCTTCTCCATCATAGCTTCAGCACTTGCAACTTCAGAACCCCTCGCGATCTCGAGAGGAGGGCCACTGCTGAAGTGCACGTGGTTGCGGTTCATGCTCTTGAGGAGCCCTTCAGCGAGGATTGCTTCGTACGCAGCGTAGAATGTGCCGTGGACGACTGTTGGTGGAAGACTAGGGCTGCTGTTGATAGCATTGTTCTCGTTCGCATTCGCATCTTGACTGATGATAGTGGTGGTCTTGACTTTTTCGGGCAACGTGAGTGGCGTTAGAAGCCCTTCCTCATTGACTGCTTTGATGCTGTGGCCTTGATTTGCCCTGATCAGAAATCTCTTTGGCTCTGTGTCCTGTCCCTCATCAAACATTCTCAGTGCTTTGGCTGTGTCCGACTCGACGATGTCTTCCTGGATGGAGTCCTGTTTGCCGGAGTACTTCAAACCAAATCTCGCCTTCTCGCTTTCCCTGACGCCATCCATTATTTCCTGAACTTCCACTCTAGGCTTGAAGCTGCTTAAGCCGCGCCATGCTAAGACATGGTCGACGCGGACCCAGCCATTCTCATCGATTGGGACACGCTCTTGCTCGGCTGCATGTCGTAGGAGGCGGGACAGAGCTTTTGAGACCAGTACCGATCGTGGCGGCGCCATTTCTTGACAGATGATGTGAGGCAACGACGGACTGGAGAGCAGTCAATGCTGATAGAGAGCAATGCTATCTAATGGGGATGTCGTCGAATAGATAGCTGCTAAGACGAGGGTCCTGCCGAACAAGGATGCGAAAAGCGTGTGCGAAGAGAAGATCCTTCAATTCGATCAGGCAATTAGATCACAGCACCTTCCAACGTCAACATGGGCCAGTGTGTGTTGCCTGAAGTTGTAAGCGCCTTATGGACTGTGATGCCGATATCCTTGAAGTTGTGTTTGCCAGACAGAGGTCCTTCTGATATCACTTGAATGCTCTTGGTGAATACTTCCAGTTCGCATCATTCACAGGCAGCAAGCTGCGACTTCACCAAAACGAGTCAGTGCATATACTTCGCAATATGTGAAGCTCGGTAAAGGCCTCCGCGATGTGGGCACAGGTCAAGCTCGGGAAGCCAACCTTGTGACTCAGAGGTGAGGGCAGAGGTTGAGACACGAACACATATATATATTAGCGTGGTTGCCTTGCAGAATTAGAAATCGGCTTGAAAAGGTTTGCCTAGACAGCGCATCGATTGACCTGACGTTAGCCTCTGCACTCTTGACGTGAGCAATGAACAGAATATAAGTCTACTTCAGACTTCGGGTCAACTCAGATCGGTCAACGCAAAGTCAGGACACTGGGACGACCGGATGACATGCGCAAATCAGAGCTCACGACGCCGGTTGACGAGATGCGGGGCCCGCGACAGACCGGTTGACACGCCTCAAAGACCACAAAAGCGACATACAACGCCGTTTGACAGGAACGAGGCCGAACACGTCGCGGTGTATCCTTCCGACGAGCCGCCCGCCAAAGGTCTTGACGTAGCTTATATTACGAGCGAAACGCTTGCTTGAACCATGCGAAGTCATGCGAAGTCATGCGAGCATGAATGTATCGCTTCATCGATCCAAAAATTCCTTTCTAAGACACGTCCAACTCTTCTTCTGCGACATCACACAGTGTCGCAGGTCCGCGTTAAATCTCAGAAATCTCAGTTGTTGCCTATTAAGGTTGTCATGTCATCAGTCAGGCCAGGCTTAAAGACGCATTGAATAAGACATGCAACGGTCCCCAGAGTGAAGCCACTCTACCCAGCTCCCGCCCTGTGCAGTGGGGGTCAAGGGCGCTGATTGCTCGAGACCCTGTGGTCCAAACCAGGAACTGAACTGCAGCAAGAGGCATTTGTTCTTCTCCTCGCAGGTGCACAGAGAGTCTCTGAAGTCCCATGTCATGTCGGTGCCTTCATGTGGAAACCAGTTCTCCCGGAACGAACCTTGAAAGGTGACTGAAGTCTTCCGGATATCGAGTACGTCGTGCATCATTGAAAATACATCGACCCAGTGAGCTGCATTGATTGACATGGCGCTCATGGAAACCTTGTGTAGCGTCGTAGAGAGCCGGTATAGTATGCCTTCGAAGACGGCTGGGTTCAGTAGTGTGCGACTCAAAGTCAGGCTTCGTAAGCTCCTCAATGCCTGATGGTTGATCTTTAGTTGTCGTGGAAGCTGCAGTCTTTCAAGACTATTGGTATAGTATCGACTGACGGACTCGCCGCATCTGTCAAGGTCGATCTCGAGTGACTGGACATTTGGCACGCGTCGGAGGAGCGAAAACAAGCAGTTGTCCAGTCGTGGTTCCGGTCCGAACACATCGGTCGAGTCGAAGATCATCTCCAGGTGCTGAAGTGCAGGGATCTCACAGTGAGTCGTTGCTAGGTTGTTTGTTAGCTTGCCAAAGACGCCAGGGTGGACTCTGAGACCTTCGTTCTCGACTTCGGTCCCCCTCCAATTTTTGATAAATACTCACAGTTGAGCAGGCTGGAGGTCGTGGCGTCCACTGCATAGTCGTCTAAATACTCCAGCGTCATCCAGGGCACCGTCCTTAATGCTAACCTAGCTGGCCTTATTGATCCACTGCTAGCAGCGACCATTGTGGCGTGTATGGCCGCAGCAGCATATCTGGCCGAATGCCACGGCCCCCGATTATTGAGCGCTTCCGCTTCGAAGCCTGGAGTAGCGAGTGTCTCGCGTATAGTCCGAAGCTCGTAGAATGGCTTGCTCAGTGAATATTTAGAACAAGCACCGGCGCAACATTGCACCTCCTCTAGATTGCGAAATTTGGCTATGGCATCAAATAGATTGAACGCGAGTTCCGCGTCACTCATAAGTGCGACCATGGTTTGATTGATCCATGACAACCGGTATTGCTTATATGCGGTCTGCCTTTCTGCTCGGTTCATGCTAGAGATCTTGTTAGCTTGGATCGGGATGTCAATAGGCTGCGATGGACTGCATTGGATGGCAGTATGGAACAGGAGGAAGACACAAAGACATAGGGCGGACTCTGAGACCTTCGTCCTCGACTTCGCTCCGAGTCCAATGCCGGGAGCAATACTCACTTGTTTCGCAAATCTGAAAGCTGTCGACGATACCTAGGCTTATCTGAGACTTTGCAGATGTCTTGATATTCGTAGCAGATCTTATCATTATTCTCGTCATCAGTGTCGCCAGCCTCGTTGTCGCCACTTGCAGCGCGTTCCGTAGCCTCTGGCCCATATGAGCCGATCATGGCCGTCCAAGCCTCCTCGCTGAGGGTGCTGAATATGAAGCTCGCATCGATCGAGAGGCGCTTGACGTACGGACACAGACGTGCATCATTGCTGAGCAACTGGAGGGAAATTATCTTGTCTACCCTTGCATCAAGACAGATGGTCCTGAAGACATATTTATCTGGAATTTGTGCAATGTCCTTACACGTGAGACGCAGACTATGCAGTGAATCGACGTTGTCTTGCGCAAGGTGCGAGCAGATGATATCGAGAATTTCTTGCGGCAAGTAATCGGACGTAAGGAAGGACCTTATGGCGTTGGACATACTGACCGGCAACAGTCTCGATGCGATGGGTGGAAGATGGCTTCGGAAGGTGAGCTGACATTGTCGCAGAGGTGCATGTGCAGCTTGACAGGTACAGAGTTGAGGACAGCTGTAATTCAGATGCTTGACACAAACTGCCCAAGTCCATGCCATCGGCAGCTTCCACATACAGCTGACACAAGCTTCTTCGAGGAACCACGGTCGGAGGCGGCTTGAGCGTCCACACCAACTTTTGATCCTCATGCGGCGCGGAAGGCATCGTTGCTATGGTATAAGGGTAGGAAGTATTGCGTGCGTGCGGATCACTGCAGACATTGATAGCAGACCAGGGCGAAGCACGGAGGGCGCACAGAAACACCAAGATTTGCTTGCTCATCCCAGTATCAACATGCATGAGCCATCGTCAGTCGAGCCTTTCGAGCACCATGAAGCGGTCAGAATGCGTGATTCTTGAATATTGGTCGTGCATGGGGAGCCGAGCTGAAGTCGACATCTTCAAATGCGATGACATACTCGAACGGGCTAGAATCGAGGCGCGAGGGGGGCGTATTGTAACTTCCTCGGGTGTTGCCAGACTTCGATTGTGAAATTGCATTGACTAAAAAGCCGAGAGGAAATGCAAAGCTCGAGTGCTTTTATGTTCTTGGGCGAACGGCTGAAATGGCAAAGCTGTCTCATTTTCGATGGCTGCGATCTTGAGCTCTGACGTATCCTCTACGTGACCTACGTACTATCACCGTAGACATGTGCACATAGCTCTGCTTCGTGTATCTCGGCCTGTCCTCCATCTGGGTATCTCAAATCCCGAACACTGCGGTGCCTGCTGCCACTTTGAGTGCTCTACTTCCTTGCTCTGGGTCAGACTGTGTTCTGCTTCTGCACAGCATCAAGCGGGTGCTTGCAATAGTGGCGCTGACTCGGCTTGCCTCTATCACATCTGTCATGTGGATTTCTGGTGGTTCTGCCGCTGCCTCGGCCATGCATTAATTTCAATCACTGTCAACATCAGGATTGGCGACGAAAAGCTTGACGCCAGCACCCATGCTCATGGTCCGCTCGTCAACGCTTCCCCGTCTGCGCAAGTCCTCTGCGTTTTTGGCGTTTTTGGCTGCTATCAGGGCAGAATTTGGTCCAGCAAGATCACCCAAAGCACCGAACGAGTCTTCGTCGATCGAATCCGCCTTTTCTCGGCTTGCGTAATAGTCTGTCTTGCTTTCCTCTGGTGTAGGATGTGTTTCTTCTGGAATGCGGTCTCGAGCACTTGGAGAGCCTTCACCACTGGGAGGGGTGCTGTTGGAGCTAAATCGTCCAGCATCTGGTCGAGGATAGCCACTCCGATATTGTGTGGAATGCGTACTGCTCTTGCCGCTACCAGACCTTCCGTGTAGCATTGCGTTATCACCGCGCATATAGCCTTGCTCTTCTTCTTCATCGCCAAGCATCTCGTTTGCCGACAGTCGCATCGGTACAGTTGCGCCTGACAGATTGACTGGAACATATGGCGCTTTAGGGACACCGCCGTGTCGTATCTTGCCCACTACGCCACCAGAAGACAGTGTCGACGTTCGACCGCTGGCAGAATTCGCACTACTCTGAACGGCCAGTTGTGCTCGATGTTTTGCAGCTCTCCGTGCAGCTTCGGTCCGAACATCAACGGTTTGTGCCCGATCACACCACACTGTGGCTTTCTGTTTTCGCATAAGAGCAACATATGATGTAGGACTGTTGGTAGCCACCGATCGTCCGGATGTCGACCGTCGGGGCACGTTGGAGTTTATCGAAGCGCCGGTGGGCTGCCGTTGCATATTCATGGTTGACGAGGTGACCGAGGATTGTCTAGAATGACTAGTGTGTGGACTGGGTCGATTACCAACACCACTGACGGGAGGAGAAGGCGAGGAGGACGCAAGAGACGAGGAAGTCCGAGTGTGTCGATGTGTTAGCGGTTGAGTTTGAGGTGATCGAATGCTACTGGTTCTGCGATCCGGTCGGGTGTAGTTGTAGGTATCAGGTGCGGGGGCGCCGTTTGCTGAGGGCTGCACACGCGTGGGCGGTGTGTAATTCAGCGGCGTTGCTCGAGGATATCCTGGGATCGCACTGGTCCCAGTGACCATAAGGACAGACATAGGAAGAATGGATGATAATGGATGAGGCCCGGTTTGAGATCTGAGAGATGATCTCTGCCGCAATATGGCAGAGAACAGGAGCAATTGGGACAAAGCTAAGGCCACATGGGAAGCGTGCAGGCGGCAAGTGGGATTGGAGATCTATCCTTGGAACCCGGCTTTGGCGAGATTGTTATAAGTAATCTTGTTTGTCACCGCTGCGGCGTTCGTTTGTGCGTTCACTTGATGACCGACATTGAGATGGTGACAGTGAGGTTGCTTCGAGGCAATTAAATGTGTCGGTTTGTTGGGCGTTGTGAGCGAATGACTCCAGCCCTATCGTCGATGTGAAGGATTTAGAAACAACGGTCCACACGTTGTCTTGGAATAATGCTCCACCAAAGTCCACCACCTCAGCTTTCGTGTTGCCAACACCTGTGCGATAGATGCGAAAGAAGTTGGGGAGTACTCTGATGATACGGACTCGCAGATGACTTGAGGGTGCAGTGGTCTGATAACTAGCCTGACAAAGATCCGGCAGAAGGTTGCTTAGACAGGCAAGCGGCAATGACGAGGTAGTTGATATGGCGTGCCACTGTAGCAATCCTGGCAACAATGCTACAGTAGGTACGTTGGTACCGCCGAAATGGAGGGAGGAAGGAGTGTTTCGCTTGGGATATGCGTATTCGGCTGCCCGGGACTGTGAGATCAATAATGATTGTCGGTGTCGAATTTAGGCCTGGAGGGCTCCTGAGGGTTGTCTCCAGGCGGTAAAGTATAAACTTCCAAGGTTCGTTGAACACAGCTCAGCCCCAGGTTGCACATGCGGTGCAAGATCTGAGGACAAAAATGGCTGTGGCTGCACAGAATGAAACTGTAACAGACCTCGTCGAGACGTTGACCTTGAGCGAATTTTCCAGAAGGAGGGTTGATGTCTCAATAATGCTACTGCAGATTGTTGCTCGGGTTGTTATTATTATTGACGTTCGAGCTCTTTGTCGTGGTTCGTCTCACTCGAGCATGATCTTGCGAAACTTGAGATGTCAATATTGGTAGTGACAGAGCGGAGCGCAGCACCGGTGCGGATGTCCTCCCTGCACCTTCAAAGCTTCAACGGCTACAAAGTCTCCGCTGATGAACATATTGTGAGGCTTGGTAGGATATTTCATACTTTTCTACAGCTGGCATGACGTTGACGACGCCGTGCAATCGACGATTTGCAAAAGGTCAAAAGATCATCTGCTTTATTTGCCGTAGCCATACATATCCCTGCTTCAGACACCAAGCGAGCTGGATTCCTTGCGCTGATCCTCACACTCCTCCACTTTCTCGGAGTACTCATCGATCATGTCGACATCAAATCTCCTGAATTTCCTGTTTTCAGATCGGCCTCAAGCCCTCCAAGAGCTTGCCTTGGTCAACGTCGGGCTTACTTTCGAAACAAATGCTAGTGCACGCCGCGAACGATACACAACTGCCGTTCATCGGCCACGCCGCAGTGAGACGACAACTTGGTTTTAATTCAAAAGCTCGATAGATCGAAGCGGCGCAGGCTCACGTTGTTCGTGATCGGTACTGAAACATCGAACCTGTGCGACACGAATGCTGTGAGACTTACTGTTTCGTCTGAGTGCCCGGCAATAGTCCAAAACAATTCCCTGTTCAATTGTAAAGAGACTATATTGCTGACGTCCTCGGCATGCGCTCGATTGCAGCGCCTGGCGAGAGATGCATGCTAGAGCCTTTCCCAGTATTGCATGTTCTCATCCGCCTACTGGCTTCGAGTTGGGTCTTGTACAAAGTATGGAGGACTCCACGTACAGTCCGATGAACACGGTCTACTGAATTGCTCACGGATATGGCTGCCATCGTTCAGGTCGCCTGTGCAATCGAGCTTGATGGCGGAGGTAACTTGTAGATTAATGATTAGCCATTCAAAGTCAGAACGACAGAATGCGTGCTCTCACAGTCGCCGCCAGCGCTCGAAGTCCTGATAGCATCCGCGTTGGCGTGGCGGATATGCTTTATATAAGGGCGGGACATTCCTTCCAGGGGGATAGCCCTAGTAGTCGCAAGTGGTGGCGGAAATGCATTCATTGGAACCATGTCGCTCTCCTAACCCCAGGTCTGTCCTCGCGATGCATGACGAGTGCCAGCGCATGGTCAGGCAGGCGTATCATTGGCTGTTCAGCCGCATGCTCATGTATAGCCAGACAACACATGGCGCGAGGGCGCATACAGCGCTGCGCTGTGAATGGTCGGTCGCACTAACAACGGCCGACACCGCCTGTCCGCATTACCTTTGTTCCAAGACTTCGACGTGGCACCAGATAGATGGCCGTACTGCCCGGTTCACTCCAATCGCCAATCGTCATGCTCATGCACATGTGTGACCTCTAGTCTCCCCGGCTTACAGGTCTGATGCCAGCTGATCGGTGTAGCGTTGAGTGCTGGTGCCAGTCGCAGGCCACGCATGGCTGCTGCGCTTCAGCGCTCATTTATTGCCCCAGATAAGCACCAAACCAAGTCGGAGCCTAAGGCCCTCGAGGCTTCGGCTCATCAGACATCCACGCATCCACGAGTCTGTCATTCGTCCTGGAGGCAGTAGTACTGGCTCTATCGGCTCGGAGCGAGTCGCTAGCTGGTGGCAGAGCCCGCAATTTGCCTTTATGTCCAACAGGACGAGCTGCAGACCGCCTATAGACAGACAGCGGCTGGACCGGCTAATGCAGCTCACTGGCCCTGCTTGATGCATTCGTTGGCAGTAACGTTTACTTGCTGTCCGTGACCCTGCAAGTCATGAAGAAATTCGTTCCTGTCTGCACCACTGAGCGCACTGAGGGACGTACAGCCACGAGGTCAACACCTCATCTGTCGCACATGAGGCGTTGTCATCTTACACATCGCTTTTCGAATCTTGCTGAGATATAGACCGCTTCAAGGTCATCATTCAAATTGTTGCGCGTTGTCGGTCGCCGACGCCACCCCGCCTTTTCGTCTTCTTTATCGATATCGAGGGTACACTGTCCTTCTGTTGCATGTAATTCACACTTGGTACTAGCCGGGGCTCGAGACACGCTATTCGCTTCACTGTTGCTCGTCAACTTCGTTATTCACTGTACTTTCTGCTGCTGCTTGCCGATCGACCAGCGCAACTTCCTTCTTGCTCATGCGTTCGCGATCTCCATCACTCGACCAGTGCATGATCCTTTGCAGGGTCTCGCACTCGTTTCTGCGGAACATCGCATGATAAACGGTCCATGCACCTCGACACAAGAGCTACGGGCCCCATCTGGTAGCTCGTCACCTTTCCTGCTGCCACTTCTCGTGGCCAAGGCGATAGCTAACGAGCTCCTCAGTCTCTACAGCACACGAGCCACCTCTGCCAGAAAGCAGTCAACACCATGACCACGGCTCCACCGAGAACATGTCCGAAGCTGGACCTACAGAGACGTCTGCGGTGACGCACGACCAGCCTATGAGCTCGCCGATAAACACAAGCTTGTCGCGTGGCGCGGCAGCGTCATCAGTCGAGATTGCGCCCTCTTCGCAGCATGGGGCGGTACCATTCAGGGCAGGTACACGCAGAGATGCGGCAGTTCAGACGGCGCAGCGGCCGGTGGACTTGAAGATGCACTTCGAAGAGTTTGCAGCCCAATTGCGCCGGCATCGTCACACCGAGCACAAGAGACGAATGCTAGAGCATCGGAAGACACACTTGCACAAGGCAGTCGCCCTGACTGGACGTCTACAGCGGCTGAGCTCGTGGCTACACGATGGTCTGGTGGAGATATCGAAATCCCACAACGCAGTTGATTTCGTCCGAGTGCATCAGCACTTGCTGGAATTGACCGCTAGGTGCTTGGGGCGTTGGCAGTTCGAGATTCGCTCCTATGACCCGCTCACGTCGCCTTCGCAGCACGCCCACAACGTCGCTACCTCGTTCCTATCGCGGATTTCGCCCGTGGCCAGAAATGACTGCCTGGAGTTCATACGAAATGTTCGCAGCAATCCGAGATTCCTCGCCGACCGATTCAAAGCTGTGCATCCGTCGCAGCTGGTAGCGTTGTCTACCGCACCACGATACTCTGACCCGGCTGCGTATCTGTCGAACCTTTCGCCAAATCGAAACCGCCTTTCCCAGAGAAAGCGTTTGACATCGTACGCCAAAAACCTCGAAGACTACGCCAATGCTTTTGAGCGGAAGAATGCCATGGCGTTCTTGCTGCACAATTGCTTCGGCGCCAATTCAGCTGCGGAGGATTCCTTACGCCTCGAGACGTGGTCCTCTATCTGTGCAACACTGTACCTTGACATGGGATTTCCATTCCTATCATTCTTCCACCAGATTCTCTGGGAATTTGCAGGTCTCGGAATATGGCGCGCCAAAGCTCGGCTCGAACTATTCTTGATGGACATCCTCCAGCGAGGCGCCTTTTTACTGGAGCCAGTCACTGACTTCAAAAAAGGAGCTCTGGATGCGTACATTGCAGATACTTTGGCAACGGACACAGCAAAAGAGTTCTTCGACCAAGCAGTCCGGGAGCTGTTCTCCATACTTGCGGACGAGGATGGCGGATTCCCTATGGGTGCATTGCAGCTGGTACGGACGATGCTCTCAAAAATGCCCGACGAGCGCGCCCAGGCAGAAGTACGAGGCTGGGTTATCTCAGAGTGGTTCCTCGATGTGTTCCTGAGGACGGCGATCACCTTTCCGGAGAATCAGAAGATGCTATTACAGTCCTACATCAGCGAGTCAGCCCGGTCAACAGTATTGTCGCATTTTTGGCGCCAAGCGAGCGCTACAGCATTGGCTGCCCTCCAAGAACCCGACAAACCAGATATGGATCAGATGCAGCGGGATATATTTGCGATCACCAACCAGCTCTTTGCCGAGCCTCTCCCACCTCCCAGTCAGCAAGTTCCAGTAGATGACACAGCAGAGTCCTGTGTCATCTCACTCTGCATCACAGATCTCATCCACGTTCTCGAGGCACTCAGCCAGCAATACACGGGTGCCGCAAATCACTTCGAGCCCTTTGTCCATTCCTTGATCACACAATTCAATTCGCAAAAGTACTCACCGAAGCTGGACAGACTGCGTCGTGAGCTACAGCTTTTGGTTGAGCCGGGGCTCTCTTCCGGAACACAGGACATACTTCAGGAGGAATGGCTGAATCTCAATGTCTCGACTACTGGACAATTGACGACCACGGTGACCACAGACGAGGCCGATTTCGGGACACTAGAGTCGACATATCGATACTTCGAGCCTCTCAGTCCTGCAGAGAGGGCGGCTGTGCGTCTCGCACTTGATCAGGGTCGCCATGAGTCCAATTTTGGCGCTGAGCACACTTCTGCAACTGCACCACTGCGAGACCGATTCCTATCAAAAGCTTCCGACGCTCGGAGCACTGCAAATATGGTAGATGCACATTTCTGGTACGGCGCAGTTGACCACCTGGACGATCGACATCACCTGTCAGACACCGCTCAGACCGAGAAGCGTGTACTTCAACGTATGTTTTCGCGCTTACGAGCAGTACCTGTAGGGAAGATGATTGCTTTAGAAGATCGTTTGAGCGTGCTCGAGATTGACTTGGCTGGTCATCAGGCGAAGCTGGAGGATATTGCGAAGCGTTTACAGCATTTGAAAATTAAAATGTGGTACACTTCGGACGTGGTCAACTCTAGTGAGTATGAAAGTGCACGGAACGTTTCTAGAGCACTGAATTACATGTCACTGGCACCGCAAACGGGATCAGATTCGTCGGACATGATGTCTTCCAAAAGTGGCGGCCGGCCAGGTACGAGTGCATCGGCAGCTTCATCGATATTCGAGCAACCCAAACTCGACACCATGAAGATACTCAGAGCTCCTCCCGAGCATGGTGGTCCTAAGAAACTGTCAGATGAACAGATCGAGAAGACGAGAGGCTGGCTGGCTCGCAACAATATAGACAACTTTTGCAAGGGCGAGGAGCGCATTCACCGCTTTTGCATGGAAGTCCGAGCCCTTACTCGTAAGCTCGTGGCGGAGAGTGCCAACGAAAGTCCCGCGTTATGGCACAGCGATCTGTGGGCTCGTGAAAGAAACTGGTTCGATGTTACTGCACCGGTTGCGGCTACGTTTCCTGGCCATTCCGGGCCTCCGAGCATCATGAGCGAATCTCCCTCTTTTGCGGCTTGGTCGAAGCCAGTCTTTGGGAGCCAACCCAGCAGCAGATCGCTGGACAGCGACTATCCTCGAAGAGTGCCATCTATAGGCCATGGATCGACGAGAATTAGCCAGGATGTCCTTGGGAACGATCTCACTTCGTCCTTCATTGGTGGTAGAAGGTCGAATCCAATTAGTACTACCGAGTCTGTACAGACAGGATTTTCTTCGGTCGCATCGCAGCCCAGATCGAGCAGATCGATCACCTCCACTTCAGGTTACTCACAGCCGTCCTCGATCTTCGACTCGGCTTATCAGTCAAGATCACAGACGTCAGCTTCGCAGTCGCGTCCTCCCTCGCTCTTCAGCGAGATGCATGCTCCTAAGCTGGTGGAAACATCTGTGGAAAAGGCACAATTCTTGGAATCGCTTCGTGATAGTCTGACGGTGCTACTTCTCTCCGATCTCGGCAATCCGGTCTGGAGCTCAGGCAGCGAAACGGATGCGTGGCTCACTGCCCATAAAAGGACGACTGGGATATCTCAGCGCCTCGAACGCCGACATATGATGTCCGGTCTCGTGGAGATCAAGAATGGCAGTCAGCAGCCCAGACAGCAACCGAAGCAAGCCCCTCGCCAACGTCGAACGTGGAGCTCTGACGATCACTTTGCTGCGAAGGTTACGTCGGAAGCTGACTCGGTTTCTGCGCCGGCGAATCTGGGGCCGGATAAGTTGCACGAGCTTGATCAGGTCCTCCAGAAGATCAGCCGCCAGGTTGATCCAAATGCCAAACTACGAGCTGTGTATGAATTGCATCAATTAGCGATGATCTTTCTCGGCCAGTGCTCGACAGGAGCCCAACGCGGGGCCGAGAACGCTCCGCGCCGTCAGAGTCTTGGTGCTGGCAGTGCAGCACTAGAGAAGACCAAGATTGCAGCTGACGGCCTCAGCAATCATGTTAGAACAGATGTGGAGATGAGAGGATGGCTCAAAGATGTTTTGCTGTCTTTGCATCCGCAAACGCTCTTCCGAGACTTACAGTACATAGCTGCTTTCGCCAGCTCTGACGCGCTAAATCGAGCGAGCGATGGCGCGGCTCTTGTGCAAATCGGGCTGGCCGCATTGGCCAGCAAGGACGAGATCTGCCGTATCATGGTCGAACTGGCAGATAAAATTGTTACCCGGGATGGCATAAAAAGGCGGAGCTCGACATCGGATAACGAACGGGAGTATCCCCTGACCAAGGCGAGGGACTACTGGATCATTGGTGCGCGTGAGGGCAATGCAGTTGCTCAACGAGAGCTCGCTGGCCTGTATCTGGCACATCCAGAAATGTCAGTGACACCTGCTGTTACGGCACCTTTGGCTTTATCTGGAGATGTGTTTCGCACCGACATGATGTGGCAACGAGAGCAAGAACGGCAAAATGAGGCCGACTTACAGCAGGGAGTCGAAATAGACTCGAGCCAACGGGCTCTGTGTCTTGCCTTACACTGGATGCAACTCGCTGCAAAGGCAGGTGATGTGGTCGCTCAGCAAAGGTTGGAGGAACGAAAGGGGAAGCATGCGGCAATGGGAGCTGCCCTCGCTTGACAGGCTTCACATGTTGCAACAGAATTGCCAATATGGCTTTCGTCCCGTGAAGTCGGCACAGAATGAGTCGTTGGAATTCGAGGGCCCGTCTCGAGCCAGATTATCTGGAAGTCAATGTCTCGCGGTTTCGGATCTATGTCTAGCATATCTACTCGGTGGCTGTCTGTCTATCCATCTCAAAGGTCTCAAAAAGACCTTGCCTGGCGTTGGATAGCGAAAGGCAAATGCAATGTTCTTCAAGTTATAGACGTACGAGACCTTTTTGATGACACTAATTTGGCACAAGATCGCTGCGAGGGCTAGCCGGGCAAAGGCGACGCTGATCTGAATACGGGACCCGGTGGAAGTGATGCGGTGCTGATTGTTCAAGTGCGGCCTGTGAATGATCAAGAGCCTGGATTGAAGACTGAAGACTGCACGTGAAGGCGTGTTAGGCGCGTCGATCTGCCCCACTTCCGCGTCGCGCTTCCCCGGATTACTTTTTAGTGGACGCAAACAACTTCTTCCAGTGTTTTCCATCTTGCGGGTAGCGCCTGATCTTGCGTCGACGAATGGTCACTCAGGAACTGCTGTCCTGCCAGATAGTGTGATCTTGACGGGTGTGTTGCGTAACGATGTCGCTCAATACGCTGTAAGCCAATGCCCTTGACCCCTCATTCCCGCTTTACACTGTTCTTGCGCTGACTACCCAACCAGACTGCTCGACAAGCTGCAGCCATTGCGGCCTACATTGGACCGCGACATCAAAGCCGGCGCCGTCCTTGTTGCTATTTTACATCATAGCAAGACGCCGGAAGATCGCATTGCGCAGTATGACGCGCTGTGGATCAAATGCCCATTGATCAACACCGTGGATAAACTGGTTGCAGCCTACGAGAAGGCCCACAAAGACGCTGGAACCATAGTGCTGATGCAAGAGAACAAGATAGTGCCTGGTAACACGATCGTGTCCTCGCTCGTTCGGGGTTGGCCTTCACTCGTGGCTCTCGAGGCTATCAGTCGCAAGGAAGTCGCAAGAAGAACATCAGCCTCCACAAGCACAGTACGTTCTCCACTTGTCAACATCACCAATCAGGCGCCACGATCAGGATCTCTGCCAACAGAGAAGAAACCAATCGCTGTCGAGGCCTCCGAACCTGTGGACCAGACAACTGGGCGTGGTGTATCGACACCAGCGTTCACGACAACCGCGTCCCCAATCCCCACACAAACAAGTGCTCCTCCGGTTCGATCGAGTCTCACGCCAGAAACGAACGATGACGCATGGCTCAATGATGTCCTTGCAGCCTGGGACGACTTTCTCGCAGAGCAGTTCAGCTACTATGCTTACGTCGCTAGTCGAGGTCTCCGCTGGGAGCTGCCAGATGTCGCCAAAGTCCATGAACAGATCCTCAGCACATGGAAGAGCCTGTCTCGCGGTCAGCTAAGATATTTTCAAGAGCGCAGTGTGAGGATCCGGCCATTCACAAATCCTGTAGAACGTATGTTCAAGGTGCAACGATGAGCTTTCTGGTCATATTACTACAAGCTTTATTTCCAAAAGACTGAAGGCATCAAATCTGATCCGCATGCTACATTTGAAGCGACAAAGGCATTCTTCGACCTAGTCCTCTCGCAGTGGCACGGAGTGAACCACATGAGTGTTCGCGCGGAACACTATCGAGTGGTCGAACCTAGCTATGACACCATTCAGGCGAGAGGTCTGCACATCTTACCACGAAGTTCTCCCGACCAGATCTCGCCGACCGGTGATGGTGGAGTCTTTCAATCCGTACACGAGACACCTGAAAAGCCGCGTGGGACAGATGGACGGTTCATCAGCAAGACGACTTCCAGTCACGAGTCAGGTGCCGACCATTCAAAAAATGTTGTGTCAAGCCCCGCTCAGCCAGAGAAGAGAGATGTGATACAGGAAGAGGACTTCAATGTTGCAGAAGAAGCACTCGGCTCCCAGCAAACCAATCAGGCTCGCCTGAACATGGCAGAGCTATTCGATGGTAGAAGCCCCGAGCAGCTGGAGAAAAGCGTCGATCGTGGCGTTGAGCTTCTCGCTGCAATACAGAAGACCATCGACAGTCAGCCGTCGAAGGAGACAGAACACTGGTTGAAAGCGCTTGAGAATGTACAGAAGCAAGCAACGCGTTCGAAGACAATCGTGGGCGTGGTCGGAGCAACTGGGGCTGGCAAATCCTCCGTGATCAATGCTATGCTCGACGAGGAGCGCCTTGTGCCGACGAATTGTATGCGCGCTTGTACGGCGGTTGTAACAGAGATCTCGTACAACTACGACGGCGACGGGTATCGTGCAGAGGTGGAGTTCATCTCCAAAGAGCAATGGCGAAAGCAACTGGAGGTGCTCTTCCAGGAGCTCCTCGATGCGAGCGGGCATGTCTCCAGAGAATGCGCCAACGAGGAGAGCGAAGCTGGCGTTGCATATGCTCAAATCAAAGCGGTATACCCCCTCTTGACGAAAGAGGAGATGAAGCATTCGTCAGTGGACAAATTGATGAATCATATCAACGTGCGCTGTCTCGGTTCTACGAGAGAAGTCAGCCACAACGACTCGCTTATGTTTTACCGGAAATTACAGAGCTATGTGGACAGCAAAGAGAAGACCGGTGCGAAGAAAGACAACGGACCGGAACAAGAGTACTGGCCATTGCGTGTTGTCAAGATCTACGTCAAGTCCCGTGCTTTATCGACCGGAGCAGTGATCGTCGACCTTCCAGGTGTACACGACAGCAATCAAGCGCGTGCCGCTGTTGCTCAGAACTACCTTCGGAACTGCTCTGCGCTTTGGATCGTCGCACCGATTACACGCGCCGTTGATGACAAAAGCGCGAAGAACTTACTCGGCTCTGCGTTCAAACGTCAGCTGAAGATGGATGGAGGCTTCTCCGACGTCACTTTCATCTGCTCAAAAACCGACGACATCAGCATTTTCGAGGCGACAGATTCTTTGGGCTTAGAAGGGGAGCTAGGTCCGATGTGGAGTCAGAGTGAAGAGCTGCAGCAGAAGAAGAAAGACCTGAAGCTTCAGCTCGATGACCTCAAACAGACCAAATCAGACATGCTCGCAGCAACAGAAGCAGCAGACGAGCTTGTGGAAATTTGGGAGAACTTATCGGAGCGATTGTCTGAAGGTGAGACTGTTTACGAACCCAAGGATATGTCTCAGAAACGCAAGCGGGAGCACGGGCCGGAGCGATCTCGAAAGAAGGCGAAGCGCAGCGGTCACGACTCAGATGACGATTTCATCGACGATGGCTCTGATGATGGCCACAGCGAAGTTGACTCTGCCACAGATTCAGCAGACGTAGAAGAAGAGTCTGGTGTCCCGCTCACAGAAGAAGCCATAACACAGAAGTTGGCAGAGCTTCGTGCGACCAAAAAGGAGGGCCGTCAGGCTCGTGCAAGAATGGACGACCAAATCAAGCAGGCCAAACGAGACATCGATGCCGTCGATAAAGAAATTCGAGCGATAGATGACGTTATATCGGCCAAGTGTATCGCTGGTCGCAACAACTACTCGCGCGAAGCAATCCGACAAGACTATGCGGCTGGCATTCGCGAAATCGATCAAGAGCTCGCCGAGGAAGAGGATGCTGCAAACTTCAACCCGGACGAGGAACAGCGCGATTACGAAGAGGTCGCCAGAGACCTCCCTGTGTTCTGTGTATCCTCACGAGCCTATCAGAAGCTCCAAGGTCGTCTGACCAAAGATCGTAAGCCTCAAGGGTTTCGAGATATCGCAGAGACCGAGATGCCCTTACTTCAAGAACATTGCATTCAACTGACCACCAAGAGCCGTCTGACCTCATGTCGACGATTCCTGACCAGTATGTTCCAGATTCTCAACTCACTGCGTTTGTGGGCGTCCAACGACGGCTCTGGGCGAGTCATGACACAAGGTCAGCTAGCTAGAGAAGAGCAGATCTTGAAAGAGAAGCTCAAGAAGTTGGATAATGTGAGTTGTGCCCCGTTAGTGCTCAGGCCTCCGTGTTCGGATCCCAATACTGACTCACAAGGCAGGCCCTCGACAAGGCAGTCGAAATGCTCGTCGCCGACCTGTTGCATGACATCAAAGACAAGATTTACGATGTGCTGCCAGCCGCAATCCAAGCCGCGAAATCTAAAGCAAACGACGCTGCGGGTCAGTGGTCGGCTCACCGTGATCGGGGCGGGCTTGTCTGGGCTACGTACAAGGCTACTGTGCGACGCGACGGAGTCTTCACAAATGCTCGCGGCCCTCATAACTTCAATGCCGACCTGCTAGATAAGTGGCCGATGAACGCCAGATCGATGAATGCTGACATAGGCTCGCAGAACCGCTCATGCAACGTCTCACAGGACCGTGGGAAACAATCTTCACACGTCGTCTTCCTGGTGCGCTTGGCTCGTTGCCAGGAGCGATCAGCCACATCCTGACCACGTTTCACTCTGACCAGGAGAAACGAGCCATCCGTAACGGCGCCTCTATTGCCAGCTTTCAGATGCTGAAACAGCAGATCCCCGTGTATAAAGAGACGCTTGTGAACATTGTGGGTGATGCACGGACGTTGATCACTGAAAAGCAGCGCGAGGTCAATCGGGACTTCGAGCCACGCCTCACGGATAGTATGAGACCTGCATACGACCTGTGCGTCAGGGAGTCTGGGCCAGGCAGCTTCAGGAGAATGAAGGGTCATATGTCGGGACACATCACGCAAGAGAAGAAGTCGATGTTCAATGATTGCGTCGACCACGTCCGTGGTCTGATCAAGAATCTGTTGAACGAGGTCGAGGATATGCTGCTGACCAAGACCGATGAGATCTACATGGCTGTCGAACGCGAATACACCAGCGTCGTCGTTGGCCAGGACTGCACGAGTGACGGACTGCCTCGAGAACAACGCATCCTGCGGAAAGCTGTTCTGGAGCTTCTTGATGGTGCTGAGATGATCTTCAAGCGAGCTGTCGGCCTTGAGCCGGAGGTTGAGGAAGTCGTCGAAGAGCAGGAGGCCGTGGAAGAAGTCGAGGAGGGCCCAAAAGGCTCGACAATGGAGGATACAGTCGCCGTCAAGGCGGAACCGCGAGAAGACGCCGACATGGCAGCAGCTCAAGTTGGTATGGCTCAGACCCCGGTCGAGACTGCCATCGTCAAGCTTGAAGTCGATGCGGCTGGCCGTGCAGACATTCTGGTGGAGCAATCAAACGCGGAAGAGCTTCAAGTTGGTGTCGCTGAAGCGAACCAGCTTGTTCCGACCACCGAGAACAACGTCGAGATGATCGCAGTGGCAGCGGATGATGGGGTTGTCGTCAAGGACGAAATGTTAGACATTCCCTTCTAGCGAGTAAAGCATTTAGGGCGGGCGCTGTCAGGAAGCGTGGGCGTGGGCACAGGAACAGATTTAACGAACAGAGATACCCCTTCGTAGCACGATGTATTAATACGCGAACAGACTGATAATTCAACAGACAAAAATCGAACTTTCGATATCTCTCGCTCACATGAGTGCCGTTCCTCGGGCCTCCTTGATGCCACGAAGCGCCCCGTCGAACGTTCTCTCCAGACACCTTGCTTTCACACTGCAAGAGAGAGAGAGAGTGGTTCGCGGCTTTGGACGAAGCAGACGCGACCCCAGGCGCCGAAAGCCGGAGAGCTTTGAAATGGCTTCGATGCCGTTGGCTCTCTTCTCCAAAAGCAATCCCCGAGTCTTCCAGTGTGAGCTTTCGAGATTGGCGAAGCTCTCTCGAAAAGCAGTGGCTTGTGGAGAAGACCCTTCTCGGAATCATGATCCTTATATTTTGGAATTCCTGCTGATGATTTAGTCGCTGCTGGAAGCGTCGTCTGGAGCATTGATTACCTTCTGAAAATGCGTAGCTGACCCGAGTCATGAGGAGCTCGAGCTGCATTCAGAGTCTGAGCGCATGCGTAGGAGGACTGCTTACCAGGCCAGCCAGGCTCGTATCTCGGACGAACGTGTCTCGGAGTTGGGGAAGATCAGCCCAGCAATGTCGCCTCCTTCACCAACGACGGAGGGCCACGACTTCATCAATAACTGCCCTCAACTCGAAATTTGATGTCGTCGATCATGAATATGACGCCGTCATCGTCGGTGCAGGAGGTGCTGGCCTTCGTGCCGCCGTGGGTCTCGCTGAAAGTGGGCTCAATACCGCCGTGGTCACCAAACTATTCCCCACAAGGTCGCATACGGTAGCTGCTCAAGGCGGTATCAATGCGGCCCTTGGGAACATGACTGAAGACGACTGGAGATGGCACATGTACGACACTGTCAAAGGATCGGACTGGCTGGGCGACCAAGACGCTATTCACTATATGTGCCGTGAAGCACCCCGAGCTGTACGCGAACTGGAAGAGTACGGCATGCCCTTTAGCCGGACAAACGAAGGCCTCATCTATCAGAGACCGCTTGGAGGTCAGAGCTTGAAGTATGGCGAAGGTGGTCAGGCTTATCGGACAGCTTGTGTGGCTGATCGGACAGGGCACTCAATGTTGCATACCTTGTATGGACAGGCGCTCAAGCATGATTGTCAGTTCTTGATCGAGTGGTTTGCGCTGGATCTTATGATGGATGGTAATGACTGCGTTGGGCTCACTGCTATTGACATGGAGACTGGCACTTTGCATCGTGTATTTGCGAGGAACACCATTCTGGCGACGGGTGGCTACGGTCGAGCTTACTTCTCGGCTACTAGTGCTCATACGTCTACTGGTGATGGTTTGGCTATGGCTGCTAGAGCAGGGCTGCCATTGCAAGACATGGAATTTGTAAGTCAACATGTGCCCCTGCATGTCAGCAAGGATAATTGTCTGGAAGCACCTGTCCGTGCATGTTGAAGAGCTAGACCACTGCGTCTTTCCTTATCAGCTGATACTTATGTGGTGAACAGGTACAATTCCATCCCAGCGGCATCTATGGAGCAGGAGTGCTCATATCAGAGGGTGCCCGTGGGGAGGGTGGCTTTCTCTTAAACGGCAAAGGCGAACGATTTATGGAGCGCTACGCACCAACAGCGAAAGATCTCGCTAGCCGCGACGTAGTAAGCCGCAGTATGAATATGGAGATTCGTGAAGGGAGAGGCGCTGGGCCGTAAGTGAGCAAATCTTTCCTGCAGCTCCCACTAACTGACTGTCAGCGACGCCGACCACATACACCTCCAACTCTCACATCTCCCACCAGAAGTACTACACGAACGACTACCCGGCATCGCCGAAACAGCCAGCATCTTCTCCGGCGTAGACATCACCAAAGAGCCCATTCCAGTGATTCCGACTGTGCATTATTGTATGGGTGGCATCCCTACCAATTGGAAAGGTCAAGTCCTCAACGTTGATCCCAAGACCAACACCGAAACGCCAGTTTCTGGCCTCTATGCTGCGGGCGAAGTCGCCTGTGTCTCTGTGCACGGTGCAAATCGACTTGGAGCCAATTCACTGCTCGACATCGTGGTCTTCGGCCGTGCCGCAGCGGGCCACATCGCCGAAAACAACGAGCCAAACATGCCCATATTTCGACGTGCCGACAGCAAGACCACACCCGACACCGGGATGGGCGGCTTCACCGACCTCCAACATTTCCGCAACAGCGATGGCACACGCCTCACAGCGGAACTGCGCAGCGATATGCAGAAAGCCATGCAGGCCGACGTAGCGGTCTTCCGCAACCACGAATCCCTAGCCACTGGTCTCTCCCACCTCCAGAAGGTTGAGGAGTCCTTCAACAACGACCTCCTCGTCAAGGACAAATCCTTGATTTGGAATTCCGACCTCATTGAAACGTTGGAGATGCGCAATCTGCTCACCTGTGCAGCACAGACTGCTAAGAGCGCTCTCGAGCGTAAGGAGAGTCGAGGGAGTCATGCACGGGAGGACTATAGTGAACGGGATGATACGAAGTTTATGAAGCATTCGCTGAGCTGGCAGCGAGATGTTGGGGAAGACATTGCTGTTGGATACAGGGGTGTGCAATTCCAGACACTGGACGAATCGGAATGCAAGAGCGTGCCGGCGAAGAAGCGTAGTTACTAGAGTACGAAGAGATGTGTACTCTTGATTCTCGTATGACGGGCATTTGAGCTATACTGAAGCACCGTGGACCTTGAGGCTGCAACGCTTGGCGTGGTGAAAGAGTCGATGGAAAGCACCTGCAGGTCTTGCTGCATCGAAAGGACTAAGCAACGTCCGCCATTTCAACAGTGGTCCGGCGCAAAATCGGTGCCCTCAGAAGAGTCTGACCCTGCCGTGAACTTTGCTCTACTGGACCCTGTGTGCCCCTCAGCAACTATGTTATTCAGCGCTCTTAGTCAATCAGCTCTTTCTTCGCTTGAAGTGGACTCAATTCTAGGCATTGATTGGCGAAAAGCTTCGGTAATGCTTGGGTTTGCTCGACGGGCAACACCGTTCGACCACTCAGAGATACCATAACGTCCCCCAGAATTGATACCAACCTCAGATCCGCACTGAGCTGCATCTCCGACTGCCGCTTCCGACCGCCGGATATGTGAGTCCAGAAGATAAAGGAAGCTCTCCTGCAGGTCCAGAGGCAAGACGTTTCATTCTTTGCGTATTCATCTACACGAGGTTGTTACCTGAAGAACACCATGCTGTCTAAGTACTCAGTCTCTGTCCTTGCGGCAGCAGGACTCGCCTCTGCACAAGAAACCGTCCTCGGTGTCTATATCTTTTCCCGCCACGGCGATCGTACTGCAAAATCCACTCCGCCAGCCAATTTGACTGACCTAGGATACAATGAAGTCTACACGAGCGGTACCTACTTCCGCAATCGGTATATCGCGAGTGATGCTTCGTCTCGGATTTTTGGCATGAACAGCGACCTAGTCAAGCAGTCTCAGATTGTTGCATCGGCTCCCACCGACACAGTCCTTCAGAATTCTGCAATGGTATGTTTAGTCTTCATTGGAGCGGTTTTCTGATTAGGAAACTAATAGATCATGTAGGGTTTCTTGCAAGGTCTCTACCCTCCTGTTGGGGAGACACTCGGAAGGAACACCCTGCGCAACGGGACTTCGGTGCAGACACCTCTCAACGGCTACCAGCTCATCCCACTTCAGACAGTCCAGACTGGCACCAACTCTGAGAACGCTGCCTGGCTTCAAGGCTCGACAAATTGTGCAAACGCACAGATCAGCTCCAACGACTACTTCAACTCAGCCGAGTACCTGGAGACTTACAACGCCTCCCAACCACTGTACGACTCGGTAGTCCCTATGGTGAATCGCACTTTCAGTGCATCTCAGACCAACTTCCAGAATGCATACACCATCTGGGACCTCCTCAACGTCGCCTCCATTCACAACTCGTCCACCAATTTCCCCAATGCCGATCTTCTGACACCTGATGTCTTTGACCAGCTCTTCTGGCTGGCCAACAACCACGAGTTCAACCTCGCCTACAACAACAGCGAGCCAATTCGTGCTATCACTGGCGCGATTCTTGCCAATGAGGTCGTCACAGCCCTCAACACGACTATCACCTCCAACGGCAAGAGCAAGCTCAACATTCAATTCGGCGCGTACGCTGGGATGTTGTCTTTCTTTGGCCTCGCCAACCTCACGCAAGCGAGCCCAGACTTCTTTGGTATTCCAGACTACGCCTCTACGCTAACCTGGGAGCTTGTCACGAACGCCACGGTTGAGAATGGCAAATATCCTAGCACAAACGACATCAGTGTGCGATTCCTATTCCATAACGGCACTACCTCGAACACGTCCACACCCACCGAATTCCCTCTGTTCGGCGGCGATGTCTCCCCACTCCCATGGAACGACTTCGTGAATGGCATGAACAAGTTCAGCATTAAGTCTCAGGCAGATTGGTGCACGGCTTGCGGCAACAGCACGGGCGTCTGCGCTTCCAGCTCCGATTCGTCTTCGTCGTCCAATGCTGCAGATAATGATGGCGGAAACGGAGGCAGTGGTATCAGCAACGCTGTAGCAGGTGTCATTGGCGCCATGGTCACCCTGGCAGTTGTTTTGGGTGCTGAGCTGCTCATCATGCTCGTTGCGGGATTGCGAGTCGTGAGAAAGAAGACGCTTAATGCGCTGAGGGGTGGACATGCGATTTCGCCTGTTGGAAGTGAAACTGCACAGAAGGCATGATCAAATCGCTGTTCTGGGGGACATCAGGCTCAGGCCTAGGCGTACATCACGCACAATGCGGACCCGCAGCCCTCTCAGTCGCTGCAGTATCGGTCTACGTATGATCGCGGAAAATGGCGACGACGTGTGAATATTCCATTCCATATCTCACATCAACTCAGCGACTTCTCCAAGCTGAGGAGCGTGTATGTAGAAATCGCCTACCAGGCTACCATAGACTCACCGAAACCACTCCTCTAAGATGGCGTAATCTCCCAGTGCACTGTTGCACCCGTATACACAAGACAACGCTGCTCGAATGGCTCAGTCGCGTTGAACGCGGAATTGAAGGTCTTGCGACTTTCCGGTCGAAGACGCCGTCCTAGCTTCACTTGGGTACGTGGACCTGAGGCATCTTGCAGCCAAAGTCTCTATGGCTCCAGCCGCGAGGCTCAGGTCTGCATGTATCCAAGATTTGGGCTACAGCTAAAAGCTCCCCTCTTGATCTGGTGTCCCCACTAACAAACACCGCGGTCTCTCTGCGCCATGGTGTGGTAGAAGCTGCGTCCTCAGACAGGCGTGGCTTGACAGATGGTGGATCGTGTTGCTGCGCCTGCGGTTTTATGCCATGAGTAGACAGAGTTCATATTGTCCCAGTGCATGAGGCATGACGGCCGGACCGTGACGAGCTTGTCACAGACTAGAACGCCTAGGAAATATGTCGCAGAGGGTTCCCTGGCGGGACTTACGGCAGGGAACACAAGTCGCGGTGCCTTTGCCAAGATGCGCATTAGTTAGCAATGTGACTTCGTCGTCAACTCAGCCGGACTTAGCAGATGGATCAATTAGTGGCAACAGTTGCTTTGTCGGAATGAGAATGATGTCGCTCATGCACTTCCGTATGTAGACGAAGCTGCTCCAGGGGTTGTCCCAGGTATCCACGATGTGGCAAGGTAGGTCGAGTGATGTCCAGCCGACTGCGCCATTCAAACGCGCTTGCAGTGCCAGTGTTGTTTTCCCGAAGCGTCCCTCCTCGGACCCGTCCATCCGATATTCGTCCTTGAGTAGGTGCAGCAGGAGCTGCTTTTCGTCATCGTTGGGGCTGTAGACTTTCGCTCCAGCTTCCAATGCTTTCTGTGGTGCATTGTCCGGAGCATCTACTCCAGGCGCCATGACGACTGTAATCAAGTTGTATTTATCGAAAACGTCCGTGCACATCGCTTGTTGCACGCGTAGATCCTGGTCAGGAGTTGTTGCGCCGCTGCCATCCGCACCGAAGACATCGCCGCCGGTATCTACGATGGCGATCGTCTCAAGAGGCGGTTGGCTGTCCCCTAGTACCGCCTTCAATTGATCCTTGAGCTCAGCTCGGTCCTCCTGTGCGATATCGCTTCGCGACCCGTTCTGATCGAGTACAATGTATACCTGCTCATGCTTACTGGCAGGGATGTGCTCCAAGCCACGTCCCTCTGACGACGTGCCTTCTTGAACTTTGAAGGTGCCGGGAATGATCTTGCCGTTGATCATTACTTGGCCCGCATGATCGTAGACTTCTCTCTTGATACCAAGCTTCGAGCCCTGCTTGCCTTGCGAACCTGTGGCCCATGTTCTCGTCGAGACTAGCACATTCATCTCTTTTCCTTGCTCCCGAAGAAGATGACCGAACGCACTGGCACTTATGATGTCTGATCCACCTCCACCACCGATGCCAGCGTACTCTCTGCAAGGTCCACGTTCTCCTGGTAAGTGTTCAGCAAGGGAGGACAGCCTGTCGAGACAGTCGAAGGACATTTCTGGCACTCGCTGCCACTCAAATCTGTAAGGCCAAGCAGGATCGTCTGAGTTCAGGAGAACGATCTGTCCTTCCACTTTTGCTGCGCTGAAGTTGTCAACGAGAGGGTTCAGGTCAATCTTGGGGTTTTGTTGGAGCGATCCCGCAGCTTGTCGCTGTGTGGCGCTCCTAGCGGCTCCTCTACCCTGACACAAGATGATGTGAGCTTCATCATACACGCGTGCAAGCGTGAAGAGTGCCAGCTCCAATGGAAGGCTGCCCAAAACTTTCGCAAGACGATGCTCGCCCTTGAATCTACACATCCGCCTTTGCGATGCATCAGTCCTTGCAGGAGCAAGCGAATTCACGATCTGCCGTTCCAGCACGGTCCTGACATTGGCCGCAACATTCTTATAAGCTCGCCTTAACTTCGAAGGCTCCTGGTAGAGAAGCTGCTCAAGATGTCGGAGAATCATGTCCTCCTTCGATTCCTCAATCTCATTACCCGGCATGACCGAACCCCGGGTCCATGCCAGGAGCTTCTGGAGGAGATCAATTTTGTCGACGTCGACCTCCTCCAACAACATGTATGAGATTTGGCCTACGAGCGTCTGATCGTGGTGGCTGGTGCCTTCGATTCTGGCGATTTGGCCATCAGATAATATGCCATAAATGAGGGGCAAATTGCGCCGATTGCGATGTGTGCGATTGCCTCAAGCTCCGGGCTGCGCCCATAAACACGCAGCCAACGGTCGTATGAGTCGGACTGGGCAATGCAGACGAACGAGCGACAAGTGTCACGCTCCCTGGGGTCGGCTTCCTGATATGCAGTAACGTCCAAAGTTCCATCCTTCACGAAATGCCAATCAGGACTTTTGGTAGTGTAGGATGATCATTGGTTCGGTACATCCACATGGTCAGCGGGAAGCGAGCGACTAGACCGGATCAGTGATAGACCAAGCCAAAGATCCTCCAGCCTTTGGCAACACCAATTCTTGGTCAAATGACCAGGTTTGGAGTCATTCTTGGCCTAGCTGTCGGCTTCGCGATGTCATTCAGTTGCCACTTTTTTCACAGGCCGAGACGTTTTCTGAGGAGCTTCGCGCCCCGCGAGGGTTTGGGACCTTTGGCATCACAACCACATCATCGACAACGGGCAGAGCCGCTCCCGCCAAAGTCATATACATACCTGAGCACTTTCGTTCGTCCGTTGACTTTTCTTGAAGACGAAATTGATAGTCGCGACGACTCTAGACTCTCGGTTCTGACTGTTTGCCTCCCACCACGAGGATCATGGCACATAGCAACGCCATGCGTCCGCCTCCACCAGAGGCATGGGAGAACATCAAGCCAGAATTCATCAAGTTGTATGTCGATCAAAATGTTCCATTACCAACAGTCATGAAAGAACTCGCCTCACGGGGGTTTGAAGCAAGGTAGGACTTTCCGGTAAGCTGTGGAGTCTTGTGCACTAACGATGTTGTTAGTCCGAAGATGTACAAGAACCGAATAAAGTCATGGGGCATCACCAAATATTTGAAGAAGGAAGAGGCCGAAAAGCTTGCCAAGGCTGAAGGTGCCGAGAGAGATCGTGCCCAAAGATCTATCATTCGCCGAAAGGCTCGAGAGTCGACCAAAGGGAAGCTGCATACCGAAAAGTCCACTGGTTCTGATGAAGAACCTCACTCCGAACTACCCCAAACAACAACGCCACTTAATGTACGACCTCCTCTCGACAATATCCATGTGTCTCAGATTACTTCCAACGGCTTTGTGGCAGAGCCTTCGCCAATTCAGACAGAAACGCCGCGGCCATGGTCGCCACCATCTAGCTTGCCTCGCAGACCTACACTCGATGGAACCATGCCAGTACCAGTCAAGGACCTCCTGGTGACTCTCCGACGTTGGACTCACGAGGCTGTAATTTCTGGTCACTGGGAACGGTCTGCATCAACCCAACACGAGAAAGCCCGACATGTGTCCCGCCATCTTGCATCGGACCTACAGGCTGGCTTAAAGTACATGGAACAGGGCAAGAAGTCGATGGCGTGGATACATTGGAGATCAGCTATCAGACGATTCGAGAATCCTGATCTCTTCAAGACCTGGTATCACGAAACCCCCATCCGGCTGCTTTTTGAAATTGCCCGGATTAAAGAATCAGGCCATCCGCAGTTTGCTGCTCAATTGCTCACGAATACCGGCGGTTGGGCTGCCACTCGCCTGCAACCGGACGACGTCCGCCATGCTCTATACAGTACTTACGGGCAGCTTGAGGTCGATAACATACGCTCTGTTTATGAACAAGCTGCACGATTTATGCTTGATGGTCTCGCCTCACGACTAGAGAAGGATGATCCTTTACTCTTCGAAATCCGCCTCAATCGGGCCTTGGATATGAGTTATTTCGACGAGACCGTGGATCTTTCGGAGTGGCTTCCCCCACTAGAGGAAGTAGATGAAACAATGGGCACGAAGAACTCTTTCTGCGTTTACTACTTGCTCTTGCAAGCGTATCAGCTGGTGGCCCTTGGAGAAACCAACGCTGCGGACAAGAAAGCCTCAGAAGCTCGGCGTCGAATTGATGCGCTGCCAAGCGGTGGTATCGATCAGTACAAACTAGGCATGGCGTATCGCCGACTTGGAAGAATGCAGTACAAACGTCAGCACTGGCAGGATGCCAAACGCAGCTTCAATCAAGCTTGGAAGAATCTAAAGACTGGCAAACACGCTGATGGTCTCATGATTGAAGTACTGCAATGTCAATTGAACTTGGCCTTGCAGACCGATGACGTTGCGGATGTCGACATCTATAGGGACAATCTGGCAAATCTCGAGCACAAAATTCAAGCTCAAGAGGAAAAGGAGATGCAGGACGAAGTGGCTAGAGGTGGTGTTCTGGACGAATACACCGTCAATGGCCATATGGGGATGATTCCCGAGGCTGTCGTCAATAGTGCAGATGTTCCATCGATCACCGTTGACAGCCCGGCTCCATTTCAGAACGGCAAACTCGTTCGGGTTCCGACTTTGACGGAGGAAAGGTGAATAGGGCAGACTCATGAGCTTTTGGCTCGTCACCAACCGCAGCTTTCAGCTGTGATGACAGGCGGCTTCGATCTTCCTCGGTCATGGAGAAATATCTGCCACTTCACTCTGGTCGGCATCACGGATAACTGGGTCCCATTTCTGCGCCCGAGTTCGTGCATTGCTTACGTCCACTCAGGGGCGTGAGAGCTATCGAGGCTGCATGACATTGTACGAATACTTACGACTAATGACCGACACGAAGAAGCGACTACAGCACGCCCCCAAGAAGGAGTACCTTTGGGGCTTCCGAGTTTACTCTTAGCATGCGGAATGGACAGACCAAGCGTCGAGGATTCGGCGCATTACTCCTTTGTTTCACTTCTTCAACCAATAATTCCGACATCTACAGATGCAGAACGTCCATGACGTTGACGCACGCCTTTCTGCGGTGGATCGCAAGCTGCTGAATAACTCAGCAGTCCTCATCTACAGCTGCGTCATATCACTGGCCACGAGAACATACTTGTGACTACAGTAGCCTAACAGCTGTGCGAGGTGAGACCAGGGAATGAGGTCATACCGCCCAAGTATCATGCAGGGCCATTTTACTACTGTTGAGAAAGAGCGTAGGCGTCTTAAGGCGAAAAGTCTACTGTCGTCTTTGTGGATCAATGCCAAAATCTTATATTGCTTTTCTCCCTACTCCATATCCCACGCACGCTAGCAAGTGTACATGGCTCTTTTGCGACGGCTGTCAAGCTGTTTGACACCCGTCAACAGGCCTTCAAGTCATGACTTTGCAAGATGCTCGACATTGCAACAAGATCTACACAGTTTGACAGGCAACTTCCCATGTGGTTGTAGATCGCACGCCTGTTCCCGAGGTGACAGGTACCAAGGGACTGTCACAATCCAAGTCCTTGCTCAACTTAGACGATTTCTACCACGTGGATGACATCTCACGTATGTTTGCCTGAGCTATTTGGAACAGGTATAGAGCGTGTATAGCAGATACTGCTTCAGCCAAGACCGGCCCTTGCAGAGAAGCCATGCACGCTCCCTGCCTTCTGCAAGATGTCCCATTTTCCCACAGCGTCCGGCGACATCGGCGACGAATGGCTTGCTGACACCTCCGCTTGCCGTACTCTCCCTTCTTCGCTTGACAACAATAGGCCGTCTCTTCGCCGAGGACGACGTCTGTGGCTGTCTTCAATGCTGTCAAATGTACCACATTGTACTTTCGCTCCACAAACAAGCGGCAAGGACTGGAGCTCTCTCACTCTGCAAAGGTACAGAAGACACGAGTCAAAGACCCACATGTTCCGCTGTGTTGGAGGAGGCTTCTGCGTTCACAAAGCTATTGTGCGAAATACTTGCCGTGCGATGGAAGTAAAGAGTAAGTCAAGGGTCATGAAGGGTAAAGATCTGCGGCCAGGATGATGCTGGCTCACGTACAGGAGCCGAGTGAACCGGTGCAGACTTTCGATTAACGCCAGGGTCTCCATGACCGAAAGAGGAGGAAAGGCAGCTTGGGGGCTTGCAGTGCATACTGAGTTGAGATGCTGAGGGCCCAAATTGACCCGCAAGCTGGCTTCGCTAACCTCATGCGTCAGTCTGCCAGTGCGGAATACACGCGTACACCTCGTTAGCGCGACGATGTACCTCGGATCTCATTGATCGGCATCCGGCACATGAATAAGTACACTTTGGTCCATGCTGCAGATTGACATCTGTGGCGCCTTTATTGTTCCGCGTTGTGTCAAAGCGGTCACAATCGTCGACCAACGAGACAGTGTACCGAGCATCCGGCACAGAAACTCCCCACCTCGACTTGTGCGGCTCACTGTTGTGATGACCCTGTGGCTTCATATAAGCACAATAAGCTCTTGCCAAGCTCAAGCCCAAGCTTTTGCCCACCAAAGCTTAGCATATGAAAATGGCGTCACAACATACAGAAAACACCACAACTTTTGACGACGGGACAATGTACAGAGGCTCAACATAGCTGACAACATGCAAACAGTATGTCATCTGGCAGCGGAATCGGAGGTGGACAGCGTGCCGTATGTCAGTGGCCTATACTATGCAGGTCAATTGTATACATTCGAAATGTCTATAAAGATCCGCCTCGTGCCCGTCGTTGACAGGACTCTTCCCTCATCAACAACAGCAACCAGCAACCAGCAAAGCCAACAGCCTCCAACAGCAGCTATCTCCTCCGGGAAGCCCAGCTCTACCACCATTTGATCGACAAGTATCCACTGCTCAGCCTCCAAAGATTATCTTCGAAATGGTTCAAATCAAGGCCCTCGTCACCCTCATGCTCGTGGGAACTTCCCTTGCAGCACCTCTCACCCGCCGCCAGCTCGCCGGCGAGGGTGCAGCAGCTGATTCTCTGCTTACCGACACTGACAACGGTGTTGGATATGGTAAGTGGGACCCATGGCCTTCCCATGGGGGCCCCAGAATGCTTCTTCATACTGACAGATGCAGGCACCGAGAACGCTGAGGACAACATCGCCAACACCATCTCTAGCATCACGGGAGACTCAGCGGGCAACACCAGCGGTGGTGGCTCAAGCGGAAGCCCACCTCCTCCACCTCCCCCCAAAGGAGGTCACAAGCGTCAGTTGGACAAGGTATCTGCCGGTCTTCAGGCAATTGGCAACTCTGCTGGCCTCGGCGATGCCACGGCACCTGTCACATCAGCGGGAGAATCAATTGATGGCACACTGACTGGTAAGTGTATCTGCTTGTCGTGAGCCTGAAATATATACTGAATATTCCACAGGTGATGCCGCCAATGCCGGTGCTGAGCTTGGCAGCACTGAAGAGACCACATTGGAGAATGCTGGCAGTTCTGTCCCATAGAGTGGCAAAGCAAGCTCCAACGAAGGGGTTCCAGTTGAAATCATCCTGGCCCTGAATGTTGGACACATTGCTGTTGGGGGTTTTTGTTGGCTTCTCTGCTGGTTGCTACTGAACATCAACATCTACAAAACCGACAAGAACATGGCTGAGTTTTATGTCGATCGAGATTCTGATGCATTATCTGAAGAAAAGTGCAGCGTTGTTATGCGAGAGCACGGAGCTGGACAGGACTAATTGGAATTGGGAATCTAGTAATCGCATGTACGCACAATGAAACGTCTACTACTTGATCTTCATCATCCATAACTTTTTCCACTGGTCATGACACCATGAAGTAGACTAAGAAGCAGGCTCTCATGGGCTATATTCGCCGCTAATGGTGGGAAATTCTCGGGACTTAGTACATGAAACAGGGCACAGCCGTCCAAGTGTCGTTCTTCTGATCTAAAGACATATACATTCGCGACATGCGTTTATGCTGCAGTGCCAACAACACCTCATTCACCCACCCTCACTCGCCGTCCAATCCTAGCCTCCCCAGTATATGTCCACGGACTCGCACTTCCGGTGCGATCTAAGCTCGAATTTGTATTCGTGTTGACCAAACTCGGGCTCAGAGGTATCGTCGCCAGATCGAAGTTCAGATCTGCATCGAAATCTGGGCTCTGGTCAAGAGTTCGAACTTTGCCAAGCTCTGTGCCACCATTAGATAATGCTTGTGATCCATTCGCTTGTGGTGCCGTACCCGAGGTTGCGAAAGCGAGGGGCGGCAGAGTGAATGGGAACGCCTCGCCGTTACTCGGCGGCAAGATCGATGAATGCTGCGGTGGCGTATCTGGTAGGAGTGGTGAAATTGGCGAGACTGGAGAGATCGAGCGGAGGGTATGTGTTGGTGTCGTCAACCCGTGGGCATTTTCTGAGGGCGCAGATCCGGGCGGCGGCGTGGTAATAGCCTGGCCGATGACTGTGGACTGAGGCTGTTCTTCATAGCTGAATGACCTGTACAGCTGTGTGTCTGTGCTCTCCGGGTGAGCTGGCGGTGTCTTCGCATAGTATCGCGAAGGATTCTCCACACGCTGCTGTGGTTGTGGCTGACTTGGGTGTGCATATGCTGCGGGCACGGTCACTGCCGCAAAGCGCTGCATTTCGTGGCTGTCCTCACTTTCCGAGCTCTCGCTCCCGTCCCTTGTATGCAAGTCCTGCTCCGCCACTGCATATGCTCTTTCTCCAAGCGATCTTCCCTTACCCTTGCCTGCGCCTCTGCGGCCACCAGTCAGAAACGCTGCAGCCTTTGCCCGTTTCCCTCCCGTTTCGCCTACCAAAGCTTCATTCAGCGCATCTTGTTCCGGATCGCCGGTCCACTTCGTGAAATCTTTTCCAGAACTGGCGTCGTCGAGGTTCGACTGCCGCCGCAACCGCCGCCACCGCTGTCCGACCCAACACCACCACGCAACAACGACAAGGGCAACTCCGCCGATCACGCCTCCGAGCACAGCACCAATCGTACCTTTACGGCTCCAGCTCGATACCTTGACGGGTTCTACGCCTACAGGAACACTGTCTGAAGCGCACAGCGGCTGCGTCATGACGTATGGCCCGTGAGGTCGTGCGTCATTCAGATAGAACGCAGGTGATGGCTCTGCATCATAGTTTACTGATAGGTAGAGATGGGCGAGGAAAGACGACCCGAGAAGTGGAGGGCCGGATAAACTAGTCGTGGAGTTGGCACTGGAGGAGAGCAATGTTGGTGGAGAGATCGGACTGGCGTTGGACACGTTTCTCAGTTCTTCAGGAGGGATTATGACACGCAGTCCTGACGATAGATTGATTGTCAGACTAAAGTTCGCCGTCTCCGGGAGGTAGAGTGATGGTTCCGAGAAATCATTCTCGCGAACCTCAGGGTCAGTGGAAGTTCGTTTCAGAAATGCGTCGGTGATAGACTGAGGGAAGCTCATGCTGTACTGATCAGTAGTAAGAAAAGCATCAAAAGGTTCTGAGCTTAGTGTCGTGGAGGAATTGTTGTCGCTCAAGTCGTTGAGAACCACGCTCTGGACTTCCACACGAAAGGGTGTCTCCCCAGCACCGGCGTCATAGTCCGTCGTAAGGGTATAGTTGTATGCATCGCCTTCAAGTCGGCCGGAGTCGAATCCCCCAAGTGTCAGCGAGCCATTGATGGCACCGCCAGCGCGAGGATAGGCGGTCCCAACATAGAGCCCAAAGGAGCGCGTGCTGATAGCACCCTGTTCAACTAGACGTGACAAGATGGGTGCATCGGCGCCCAGACCAAGCTGACCAGACGGACCGTACCACGACGACCGATTAGACTTGTAGTCGGTCAATTCAGTCACTGGAAAGTCAGTGATGTTGTGGAGCATGGGTGGTGATGGGTCGAAGTAATGCTCGTATATTCGTAGCGTATCATTGCCCACTATTAGAGCAGTCAGTACTGAACATGTATCGGGAAGAACCAGTGCCGGGTGATTGATATATCGCCCGGTTCATTCATCGATATACATACTCGCCGCTACATCGGCGGGCGCGATGCTGAGGTTCTTGTCTCTGACCTCAAATGAGACGCTTTCAAAACTGGACGGGTCAGCTGAGTCACGCGATTTAAAACCATTCGGGCTTACGTCTGAGAGTCCTCCGTTCTGTATGTCCCATGTGTCTGCTGCATGCACAGATCGCTGCTGTTGCTACCACAGTAGTCCGGTCCGCTGAATGTCGTCTCATTCCGCCGTATGCTAGGCCACAAGCTCTGATTTTGAAAGGGCGTGCCGACGCCAATAAAGAGACCGTACTGTATTCGTGTCTCCGTGTTGTTCACATTCCGATCGTGGAAGTCGACATAAATTGGACTGAGACCATTACACGACTCTTGCGCAGAAGCAAACACTGTGAGGAAAAATGTAGCCAGCAGGATGCTGGCCATGTTATTAGGATGAAACGAAGGTGAACGCCGACATAGACCACAACCAGGCTCGACCAAAGGAAACTATCGAGGCAAAGGTCAACGCATCTGAAGGTTCGGGAGACGACAAAGGAGAGTAACGACGACACTGATGAGCTTGACTAAAATGTGAGAAACGTGTATGAGTGTTTTTACCTGCTGTCAGCCGTCGAAGCTCTGCATATGCAATGCTCTGCAGTGTATTGAGTGCGCTCAGCCACCTCACGAAGATGCCCCACTTCCACATCTGAGAAACCCAGAAACCCGAAGGCAGTTCTGCACAGCGTCTAAATAGCAGCATGCTCCCGTGAGGTATCGTGACTTGCATAATCTTGGGTGTGAAGCGGGTCGAAACACTGCCTGGTGTTGTGAGGCAGTGGTAATCAAGGACGAATCCCTCAGGCCAGCGATTCCCCAAGACTATTGAAACCAGTATAGCGCCAGATGTTTAACCAGATCGAGGGTCACACGGCGGCCGTATGAGGCCGATCGAGTCCCTAAAATAGTATGCTCAGTGCCCAGAAATTCGCCTCACCAATCACTGCCCGATTTTCTTGGGGGCTAGCCCGTATATCGACCCAAGGCGCCCTCATGTATAGCCGGGTCGCACCTCTGCACGAAACGCTTTCGGGTTGTTTCAATCGCGACCTGACGACGTTATGCCGATACTTGTAGTCAGACAAGCAGAGTGGCTGCACAACCCATAGGTGGTGCGCGCAGGCTCACAGCGCACCTTACCTGGACTTTGAGAATACTTTACATTCGGCTGGCCACCCGCCCTGGGTAAGACGCGTTCGTGGTCCGGGAAAAGTTGTGCTCACAATCGGTGCTCAGCACGGAATGGCCAACCTGGGACGGGCGTACTGTTCTACAGTCGCAGGCGTCTCAAGCTGCAGTGGTAGACCATCGCGCAGGTTTTGCTGTGCCACACTGCGGGACATACTACGCAAGGCGGATGTGGCCGTGATTTCAAGTCGCTTTATCGACCTTCGGCTTCTTCTTGACCAGACCAGCCGAAAGTACGTTTACGGTGGGACCTATCGTTGGCGGCTCCGTCGGAGGTGCGGTATCGTCTTGATCTTGTTTGCGCTTCTTCCGAACGCCGAGCAGCATCGTGGGTACTGTCGCTGTGGCTGAAGCACTCGTTTCAGCCGTTGTTGGTGTTGATATGGACCGAGTCCCCACGGTATCGAGACCAAAGTCTGCGGGGCCTGATTTTTCTAGCACGCTCGATACCCACTTCGTCGTGCTTTGCGCAGCGGCGATCTCACCAGTGAAATCGAGACGCAACAAGCCGTCGATAATGTTCTCGTACGTGTCTGCATTCAAGAGAACTTGACCTTGTGTAGAACTTGGCCATTGGACCTCAACACCATGCTCGAGAGCACCCTCATCTGTGGCAACCTCATTTGATTCCAGCCCGGTCGCTTTTTCATCATTCGTCTGTGGCACATTGGAGTTGATTTCACTCGTTTCATGTACTGAGGGCGGCGACGACGGAGGTGGCGAGTCGGTCTGTAGTGCCTGTTCGAGTCGTCCTATTCCCGCTGGTGAATGCTCTTCAACCTCTTGCTGCTGAGATTGCGAGTCTCTTGGCGTTGGTAGTTGTGGCACGCAGAATGACGACGAAGTGCTGGGCGCATGATCCGGCGCCTGGTCAAAGCCCCTCGACGGACGAGAAGGTTCCTGAGGCCGTACGAACACGACCCAAAGAAACCCAACCAGACGTCCAGCGGAACACTCCTGGCGGTATGACATGAACTCCCAGAATTGGTCCAAGGTTTTGATTGTTCGCCATTGGCCGTCAGAACCGACGTGGTCCAGATCTAGGTCCCCGAGAAAGCGTGACTTGGGATCATCTGGTAATCGTGGAATCAGACAACGTACTGGTAGCCTCCTATCAGTTGCTAGTAAGCCAACAGGATAGTCGTTTGTCCATTTCGGGCTGACGACGGGATCTCTGTGACTTGACGGCGGGAAAAACGCCCGAGTTTCGCCTTTCTCTAGTCCAGGTATAAGCAGATGGGCGCTGATTTCTTGCTCTGTGCTTGATTCGTCACTCGCATGCGGTCGCCAAACTGCGTCAGTGATCCGACACCACCACTTAATGAGTTGTCGGTCATCCAGTACATGCTTCCCGGGATTATCAATGCTGCCTGGGAAGAGGTATTGATCCTGCGCCCTCGCAAAGAGTGACAAAGCGACTCTTGACTCCACGAGCCTTGGCTCAAGCAGGAAATCAATAAATGCCTGTACGACGGACTTTATCGGAGAAGGCTGGCCGCGAGGCACCTCCAGTAGCGACGCATAACCGGTCGAATCCGCTTTCGAGACGAAGACAGTAGTGAGTGCAGGGGTGGTGAATATGAGCACCTCCAAAGCGAGGATCGCGAGCTCGTCGCGATCAGCCTGGCGCGGGGTTGCAAGGACAAGAAAGTGACTTTCGCAATAAGTGGTCTGTTCAGGCTGAGAAGGTGCGGCCGAGTATATTGCGTCTGTCTTTGCCGGGGTAGTCGAAATATGGTACGCCCGTGCTTTGGTGCCACGCGGGAGCGCATCAGCCAGGCGGGCACTCAAGCTAGCGGAAGAAGACGACATGACACGGCCACCGAGAGCATAGTGAGCGTGTGCTCAGACACGGTTGCGAAGCTCGGCAGATGCTAAAATGATAGACTGATCATGTGACAGGACTCGGGCAGCGGAGTCGCAAGAACTGCCTCTCTCGTACGAGGAAAACGAATCGACAAAAAGCGATGATGCCAAAAGGATTATTGTTGCGGTGCTCAATCGGACGATACGTATCGTATACGCGCCAAGAGCGCCTTGACTTCCAATAGTGAATGTGTTTGCTGGCTTAACGTGACAGCACCATTCCCCAAAAAGGCGAGTTATGCGACACGGCAACAGAACAAAACGTCGTACGCATACATAAATCTCTCTCGAACCTTTGCTCGTTTCGAGTGATATTGGCTTCAGAGGGAAGCAAGGGCCGCCCTCGCGAGCCAATCGCATACCCATGGATCTCGCATCATGGAGCCGACTTCACTAAGCCGACTGAATAGTCCAAGTGCCACTTTTGATCTCGATATGAGTAGATATGTTACCACATTGATTTCTTGCAGGATTCCGAAGCACCAACATACGATCTTTATTTCTTAAGTTGTTTCAGTTCTTTAGATGACTGAGCTCTAGCATCGCTACGATTGCCGCTTATCCCTCTGACGGGAAACGGTGAACAGCATGGCCCGCCTTGCCAATGCTGCACCAAATATGTATACAGAAGACATTGATCCCAGCTCGAGCCAGCTGATCGGCTTGTACATAAAGACATCTCGGCCCGCATCTAGCAGCCCAGCAGTACGTACACCCACGTTGCCTACTCCGACCAAAGGCAACGACACTACCGTCTCTGAAATCATCGGCAGCCTTGCAAAGCATTTGACGTTTCCATCAGATACTTGTTCAGCGACAATGGACACGACCAGTGATCAGATCTTGCATATGTCGCTTTCAGATTTGGAGCAGATGCGAAGTCGTGTAACCCAACTAGAGTCTTGCGTCCGAGGACTGCTGAAGAGGGTGTACGGTGAGCAGTCTCTGGGTCAGAACCTGGCCTGGCTATACCATACCGACCTCATCTCGGATTCAATGGACGACTCAGAGGATGGGCGATCGACACTGTACTACAGATATCGAAGGCTGATGGAGATTGCCCGTCAGCCAGTGATACCGGGTCTCCTTCCAACACACGACGGTACATCTTTGCTGCAGGAGTATGGCACACAATTGATGATGCTGGAGTCGGATCAGAGTGAGGTATTGTCGATAGCAGGAAATTCGGACTTCGCGTTGCTGCGGTCCCGGCCAGGGAGCGGAAGCAGTAATCGTCACGCCCCATTCAAGATCGACAAAACCTCTAATCGGCCGTATCGATATCACATCAGTCCGTTTGATGCCGAGCCGCGTTCGCCACGCTCTCCCGTATCGCCTGTTGAGTGCAACGCCACCTTAATGGAGTATCAGAAGCAGCTCGGCTTACTGGAAACGGAGAACCGAAGGCGTCTAGGCGAGTCCGACATCTTTGAGTACAACAACTTGAGCTATGATGAGCAACTTGCCGTTCTCAAAGCCAGGAACGAGAAGCGTCTTCGATTGAAGAATTCGAAACATACGGCCGAGAGAACAGCACCCCCCAAGGAAGAGCGTGTCGCGATGAGCGCCAAGAACAGCTCCAGCTCCTTGAGATCAGATCGCTCCGTCATGCTGAATGCCTTGCCTCTTGGCACCTTAGGCATTCGTCCGGACAAGGAGCGGTCGCCGCAGGGTCGAATATCAATCAAAGGCCATTAAAGTACTCGCAATACTGGCCTGCATGAAATCGCCACAGCGATCAGTCGCTCATATCGGCCCAGGAGATGATTTGCAGAAAGAGCGGCACATCCAATTGAAAGCTCCGCAAAGACCCGGCAACTGCATCGCCACGCCATGTCCGAGATAGGAAGTTGCGTTCGATGTCAGAGGATGGTAGACGATCAAGCATCTGTGGCTTTTGATACAGTTGTGCTCTCGCTACCAGAGAACATCCTCCAGGATGTGGCCGCACAATGAGCGCGACGTCGGTATCCTGGAACTGCCAGACTTCGTCTCCGTGATGAACTGGTGCAGAGGCCAGACCAATGTACTCGTTTACACCACCAAAGAAGGATGACGTCCCGGCACTTTGCCAGCCGAACGCGCACAAATCTTGGCTTGAGATGCGGGACAGGTGAGGTTCGAGTGAGGGAGCTTCGCGCTTTGACAGATGGTATATGCCGTCGATGGGATTGCCCACTAGCGTAAGAGGCTCCAGCTGACTCAAAGCCTTCGACCTTGCTCGGACAGCAACCATGAGCTGCTCCTGTTTGACGGAAAGCTCTGGAGTAGCGGCACCCCTGACCCTGACCTCAGCCTTAAGGCCGAGGAGAGGCTGTGCCCCGGTGTCACGAAGAGTAGCATCGTGGTCCGCCATGTCTGACCTGCTGATGCTAAATTGATGCCGTAAGAAGATGGCGAAGCTGATTAGCTTTTGTGGCGAAAGGGATTCCAAACGACACGCGATCCGAAGCACTTCGGCCATCAAGTTGATGATATTTGTGTCATACCCAGCATTAATGTGAGCAGTGATTCGAGGTGTCAGGGACAAGAATGCGAACACAATGTCGTGTCGATCGGAGCATTCCGTTGTACTATAGTCCTGCAACATATTCGTCAGGGTCAGATTCCGCTTACCTGCTCTTCGATGCTCATAGAGACGAACTGGCAGCGATTGCCGCAGGCGAGCCCGAACTGACTGGACATAAGGATCCTGTGGCCACGGGAATCGGTCGTCCAGAGCAAGAGCAAACTCGCCCATGGTTGTGAGGGAACATTCGACCCCAGCAACATGTACTACAACCGTTTTCGCCTGCAAAATCTCTTGCGTCACCCACCTCCGCGTGAAGTATTTTGCCGCATAGAGCTGCTCTAGAGCTTTGTAGTTGTGTTCATTGGTCTTAGCTGGCGGAGGAAGTTGGCGCTCATACAGATTCAACATCTCTGCACCAAGCTCGCCATTCTGGAAGTCGTTGCCCAACCATGCGATCACATAGTTCGCTTTAGCGTAGATTTCACCCATTATCTTGACTTGCTGCATACGTTCATCGATGTCATCTTGGTTCACACACAGCGCGTCGGCCCACAAAAGTCTCGGCTCACCACGTCTCAGGTCCGAGAGCAGGCGGAACAGACTCTCTCGAACTTTGATGACCTGTCCATCGACGTACACGATTTCCGGCGTTGAAGTCTTGCCCCACATGTAACTCACGCATGTGAACAAAGGGCAATCATCGAGGGAGCAAAAGCGGATCTTGCAATGGACCTCCTTAGCGTTGTCTGATGACGGTGCTTGAAGTTCGATGAGCCGAATTTGACGCTCCCGTAATGGCTCATACTGATACAGCGACAGGATCGCTGCAGGCAGCTCTGTCATAACTTAACCCAAGGATCCTTTTTCGACTGCAGGAGGAGCTTGTACTTACTTTTCACATCCTTAACTTGAAATGAAGGGTTGCGCGAACGGCTACGATCCCTGGTCCGAATACCCGAATCTCGCAACGCTACACGCAGCTTGTCCATTGAAAGTTTGAAATCCGAAGTGAAGATCTCATGGCCCCTTGAGTGGCTTGTCGTATGTTAGCATTTCCGAGTACGATGTCATCGACGTTGAAGCCTTTCATATATGATGGAAAGTGACATGAGAGACGGAGAGATGACAGTTGCGAGAGACAGAGGTGGCCGTTTGAGACCTGGCGAAGTGAGCAGGGCTCCGGCGGAGATACGCGGCCCTATTCATTGTGTCTTGAAGCCGTATAGGCAAGTCCGACTGCAGTTGGCACCTTCGACGTATACACTGCAGCTCGCAACGCTATTGCGCGAAGTCACGAGCAGGGGGGCTCAGTAGCGATACAGTGTGGTATTCATTCATCACGAATGGAGGTGCTTCGGTGAAATTAGCATGACAGCTTGGAGTTCAAGAACTCACACCTAACACGAAAAGGCTACCAAGTAGCTTGGCGCCTAGTGCCAAGGCTAGGGCTAGCCTACTGGAACAGCCTGAGGCGCCGCGAACTTGGGCGCTCTTCTTCCCAACGTTCGAGTCTTTACGAATCCTAACAACTTTATCGCACTGTCTTGCAGTCTACAGACACAACGAGGAGCGCATAGCGCCTGCACGATCATCGATCACACTTCATGCTGCTTTATGTGCATGCAACGCTAAGTTCTTGCGATCACCTGTGCTTCTAAACAATGCCTTCGGAGTAGATTTTCACCATGCTTCTGTGACCACCTTCCTTCGTGCTAATAGCTCGCAAAGAGACAGTCCCGAAGAGACAGCCAGGCGATCATCTGTTGACGCGGGCTCAGCCAATGAACCTGACGACAATCAGTCTGCGGACCATAAGCACTCAGACGGAAGGGAAAAGTCCTTGTCACATGAGAGTTCAAGCAGTGTAGCTCAATCACCCTCGCCCGAAGAAGATGCTCCTCCCCTTCCAGACGAGCAAGCTCCACCTCTTCCCGCCGAGCAGGCCCCAGATGATCAGAACGACGACGGATGGGCTCCAGTCTGGGACGATCATGCGCAAGCATACTATTTCTACAATCGCTTCACCAATGCCACACAATGGCAAAATCCTAGAGTTCCTGAGGCATCCCAGTCCGTAACAGCGCCAGCCTCAGAGGGTCCCAGATCCACTGTCGGTGGCTACAACCCTGCGGTCCACGGCGACTACGACCCCAACGCCGATTATGCAAAGGCTGCGCAGACCACCTTTGAAGAGCACGATTCTGCTGCGACGGCGGCAAGCGCAGCTGAGCTATATGCCGCGACTGGATCATTCAATCGCTTTACCGGCAAGTGGCAAAATGCAGACTTTACCCCCGAACGCTTCAGCGACGAGTCCAAGAGCAAGAGACAAATGAATGCATTCTTCGACGTTGATGCTGCAGCCAACAGTCATGATGGACGGAGCCTAAAGGCCGAGCGAGCCAACAAGAAAGTCAGCAAGAAGGAGCTTCAGGCGTTCAAGGATAAACGACGAGAAAAGAAGGAGGAGAAACGAAGAGCATGGCTACGAGATTAGCGACGATGAGCTTACTGATGTTAGCACGGTGTTACGGACATTGGGTTGCTGTGATACATGGGAAGCATGGCACGAGGTCTAGGCTATGAGGATTGCAGTACGAAGTCGTAGGTCTTTTGACTTGTAGAATCACAATCGCATCGTGTGGGGAAACGTTTTCAAGCATCTCTCCGAGTCCATGAAAATAAGACCGATTTCTACTCTTTCAATAACTCCCACCATGCATTCGAGGTAGCGCGGCATTGGTCACCATCACACTTACTCATTCCCTCGACGCGAACATGACATCTCCTGCCCGTGTATATTCATCGAGACGGCCGTTTTGCTCTGTGTGGGCTGAATTAGATCCTCACCCATGCTAGTCGAGGCAGCAGCGTTGCTCTGTCTGGGCTGGTTTGCCTTCATCTTTGTAGTCTGCGGACTGGGCTACGCGCAGCTGTACGATAGCTGCAAAATCTAGTCAGATACAATCACTGACCGCAGCTGCAGATTTATACACTATCGCAAGCCCCCACCACCAGCCAATGTTCTCGAGAAGCCCGTTCGCGACATTCCTCATGTCACAATTATCCGACCCTGCAAAGGCCACGAGCCATACCTGGCGGAATGTCTCTCCTCGAGTTTCCACCAAGTCTACCCACGGACCCGGTTGACGATACACTTCTGCGTTGCATCGCGAGACGATCCCGCCACAGCTGTCATCCAAAGTGTGCTCAAGCAGTATCCTGGATTCGACGCCCGCCTCTTTGTCGAAGATGAAGATCCTGCGCTGCACACAGCCGACGGTCCGAACGTGCTGGGACCGAACCCCAAGATTCGAAATATGAGTCGAGCATATCGCGAGGGCAAGGATGATCTGGTCTGGATCGTTGACTGCAATGTCTGGGTCTCAAGTGGTGCATGTGCACGCATGGTGGACAAGATATGTGGCTACAGCAAGGATGGGCCTTTTACGAAGGCATTCAAACTCGTCCATCATCTCCCAATCTGTGTTGATGTCCATAATGACTATACACATGGGACCAAGTCCCGCAAACTTCTTCGATCTATGAGTCAGGGCCATGATGCGCCTCTGACAGGCTCGATCAGCGTCACAGGCAACTCGCATGGATCGGGAGGGCGGCTGGAGGAGCTCTTTCTTTCCTCCTCGCATGCAAAAATGTATGTGGCCATTTCCACCGTGGCTGTGGCGCCATGTATAGTTGGCAAGTCTAACATGTTCCGGCGTTCACATCTGTACGGTTTGACTGGCGGCATGGGCATCGATTACTTCAGCCACAACATCTGCGAGGATCATCTCATCGGCGACCTTCTCTGGAAGAGCACCATCAACCATTGCCAGCCGTGCAGCACCGACCCTGAAACCGAAAGCGTCTGGCGGAGCTTGGGCAACCACGGACTTGTCAGGGGTGACCTTGCCATCCAGCCGGTAGCTGGTATGAGTGTTACTGGTTACATCGCGAGGCGCGTTCGATGGCTCCGGGTGCGCAAGTTCACAGTTCCTGCAGCTACAGCTGTCGAACCCGGAACGGAGAGCGTTGTGTGTTCCTTGATGGGAGCATGGGGCGTCACTACATCGCCACTCACCAAGGATTTTGCTGGCTCGTCATGGCCCTGGATGTTGACGTGGTGGCTGAGCAGCATGTTTATATGGAGTTGTGTGGATCGCACAGTCTATCTGCTCTTGCACTCAGGCGCAACGGTCGAAGACGACGACAGCGTTCCCACTTTTGCAAAACCGCTTGCGGAACCCTTGAGGGGCAGACGCAGTTGGGCGACGTGGCTATCAGCATGGATCGGCCGTGAGTTCTTAGCATTTACGATCTGGTTCTGGGCTATCTGGGGAGGTGTAAGTGTGACTTGGCGGGAGAGAAGATTCTGGGTAGGGTTCGACATGCGTGTACACGAGATCCCGCATCATGGACATCAGAGATCATCAGTGAATGGGAATGGGCATGCGGCAAAGCATAAGATTGTGTAAAGCTAGACCTTCATAAGCCCTCATCACGAATGCCGTTCTGAAGATCTCGACAGCCCTACGGATACTGCAGCTGACATAACACGGGAATACGAAGTGCAATACCACAGGCTTTTGACCGGTATTACCCACCTGGCAATTTGCCCCTGCCCTTATCGAGGACGGCTATCGGAAGACTGCGTATTTAAGCTGACTGCGCTTGCCCTTCCTGCTCTCTTGTTCAAGCAAGCCCGACGTAGTTGATGCCATCATTCCCTCCGTAACACCACCTCTTTCCTTACTGTTTGCAGCCCTACAGAATAGTATCAGATCGACATTCGATTCTTTGTCAGATCTTCTCAGCTGACAATGCCCGAAAACGCCAGACAGACATGCCGGGCAAGCCAAGCCAGTAAGAGATCTCGCTGCCTCGTAAGGCGGCACGAGCACGCCCGACCCCACCTTCGATTTCACGTCAACCCACGTTCATCGACTTCAAGTTTACACGAGCTGAAATCGAGAATGTACGGAACACGAGGTCCGGCCTCGAAAGATCGCAGATATTGCATCGGCAATGGCTAGAACCCTCGATGCGGCCCGGTGTCAAGCATCACGAAGCTTCTCATTGGGAAGGCTTGCAGCATGCTTGACGAAAGCGGACGTGCTTGATGCCCAGAGCGTGCCCGACTGCAAGCCTGATAGGCTTGACCAGCCCGAATTGATGTTGGGACAGCACAACAGTCCATTGCAGGCCTGTCGTGTGGCCTATGGACATGCTCGTAGTGGCACGTTTGGTCCTGAACAGACTGATGAATCTCATGCAGCCCCCGACCGGCCTAGGATGGTATGCCTGTGCGACTGACTGCAGCACTTCGCAACGATGAGACTGACCTCACGCATCTAATTTTCGCTCGTATGTCTTACGGGCTGACTGCGATCTTGCGGATTTGAAGTCCGGGGTAATGACAAACGCCTTATATAGACTTCTTTGTGCAATACGTGGAGTCAGCTTTCGTGTTGGGCCAGATGCTGTTCTTTTGAGAGGCTGGTCGCAGGGCAAATATTGTGGCGGCCTCGGATTATGAGATCACTCGTGAGTCCACGCGTGTTCTGGGCAGGCGATGAGGGGCATTCGAGATATATGAGAGTGGCTTGCCCTGCTGATCTCGTGTTGGGTACAGTATTCCAGACGCGACTCTTCCAGTACCGTAACAGTAGAATCTCGGGACAGCGCTCCCAGGAACATCTCTCATCCATTCAGCAACAGGTCTTTCCAACAGAACCAACCATGCAGCTCCCAGTCCTCACAACGATGACAGTCCTGTTGACCATCGCCATGGCCAACCCGATCGCCAACCCGTTCCCGGCGCCAGGCCCTCGTCGAGACGAGCTCGCTGAAGTATGCTTCTCCCACTCGCTGCACTTTCTTTCGCATGCGATGCCTGACTGACCGGGTGTACTGACAGCGATCCCAGGTGACCGGAAGAGTCTGCAAGAACAAACACTGCCACAGCTCGATCAACAACAACATATGTCCCAGTCTTGGATGTGGTACACCGGATAAGGAGGGGAAGTCGTGCAGGTGCATTCCAGTCGTTCTCTGAGTGCGACAGGGCGTTGCGAGTCTCAACTATGAGGATTGTTAGGGGCTCTCGTAGGTGTATACGGTCGGCTATATGGCACAGAACCTTGATGCTTGGGGCTCGCTCGTGCCATCAACGTCGGCTTTTGATCCAAGTCGAGGAATGTACCTGTGTTTTGGGACGCAGCCGGGGCTTACTGTCGCTTCAAATGATACGTTGGGGATTCTGAATGGAAGAACTGTTCGCTTGGAACACAACGGGGTCGATCTTGTCTCCACGGCCAAAGAGGACCCTTGAACGTATACCTTGCTGATTTTCTTACTTAGCTCGACGTACATGTTGGGCTTCATAGCTCTTGTGGTTTCGAATGGATCTTCCCGTCATTGGTCTTAGACCCATGTCTTGCTCGAGCGTATATGTGTGGTCCGCGGGCTGGAAACCTTCACCAAAGGACCACGAGGAGCCATGCACGCTGCTTTGCGAGAGCTGTCTTCCCAAATGAACGATGAGCGTCAGAGCTCTGACCCTCCGCTGCAGTCCTTTATTTCGGGAGCCGGCTGTCACCAATTGGCAGCGATGTGTAGTGTATCCGCGACCATGTTGTTGATAGCCCGAGGACCATAGCTGGAGGGCTTCTCGAAACCTGACGACTGGAAGCAGTCTCGCGAGAATGCTTTCGACCGACACAAGACCGTCATGTTTTATCTCGCTGGGCTTGACCATCCTTGAGGGCCTGTTGAAGCAACACTCCTTCTTCACAGGGAGCACTGACCTCGCTTGAAGTGCACCTGAGCCTCTGTCACCAGAACCTCCCCTTCACCAGCTGTTTGTCACAGCAACGCAGCTCCCGGCTGACCTTCCCAATTGACTGAAGCCATCACTGAGACGTAGTGACGCGTTTACTAGCGTGTTTCTGCCTGCGCGACCGCACATTCTCATATTTCAGAACGTCAAGCTGCACCTTCTCTCCATTCTCAGCACCCATACTCCCTTTCCTACCAGAATCGTCTCCAGACTCCTGATTGAGCACTAAGAAACCCTTCAGAACAGCTCAAGAAGCAAGGCAGCAAGATGCGCGTCTTCTTGCTTGCTACTGTGGTCATCAGCGCTTTTGTGTTGAAGGTGCTGGGTGGTCCTATCGGTCTGTCTCATGATGATGGACTCGCCTTGGCTCCTCATCCTCCTGCTGGTGCTGAAGTTGTAAGTCGTTTCCTGTTCCAGAGACAAAGGCATCAGCTGATACAGACGACAGACTCCTGCTCGCTGCAATGGTCGTGGCCAGTGCGTTGAAGTGGATAGCAACGTTTCCTGTGATCTGTAAGTAGCAGCACTTCTCAATACCAAACACTACCAGACAAGCCCCTTCACACATTGGCATGCACAGATAGCATGCTTTATGTCTGAGAGAATCAACGTACTAAAGATAATTCCAGCGACGTTTGTCTGACTTCCGAAGTCCACCAAGTCGTTGGCAAGCCTTGTCAATGCCCGGCTCCTTCCTCTACTGGTACCGCTCCTGAGGCTAGTTCTTCTCCCGTCGTCATTGTAAGTCCGCTCTGGTCCTTACGTCACGACGACAATGACTTACACTTTGTCAGGGATGGTTCTGTAGCAAGGACTTGAAGTGCTCATACAAGGTCGGCAACGCTACTCAGAACGCTGGTGGTCGTCACGAATGCGAGACCGATCTCTGCTTCGACCAGCTGCCTTCGACAAGCCTTGCCACTGTCCTCCTAAGGACATCTTCAAGAACCTGGTCTTTCATACTCCTCCAACTCCGGTCACTGATGTAAGTCCACCCCACCGAATCGACGCAGAAGACTGACCAAGCCTCGAGTCATGGTTTTGCACCGACGATTTCATGTGCACTCATCACCCTGGTAACGCGACTCAGAACGCTGGCGGCATTCACCACTGCAAGAACCCTCGCTGCGTCACTCCTAGTGATGTCGGCGCTCCCTGCGACTGTCACAACGTCTCATCAACTGCCACTACTCTTCCTGGTCCGACCAACAGTTCTATTGTCTACCCCATCTTGCCAGTAAGTTCATTCGGTCTCCGTCTCTCGTACATGCTGACAACGATAGGGCTTCTCGTGCATCGGTCACATCTGCGAGGGTCCACGCGTAACTGGTGGTCACGCCCGTGTCTGCCTCGATAGCCGCTGCCTGCCAAACAACGCCGACAACCAACCTTGCGGCTGCCCCGATGGCGTGGACTACGACCCAGGCCGTACTAGTAGCGTTCGTCCTGGCACAGGGCGTCCTACAGCTTCTCATCCTGGTAGCACTCTGCCTCCAAAGCCGACGATGGGCCCTTCTACGCCGCCGTACCCGCTCCCAAACTGCACCTCATCGCACTCCGCTTCCAGCCACGGAACTGGTAAAGGTCACGGTACTCTGACGCGTGAGACGCCTGTCCCATCGAGCCACGGCACCGGTGTACTGCCTCCTCACGCTCCTTCGACGCGTCACAACACCACAGGCACTCATTCACCCATCACCACTCCTGGTCCGGTCGTCGCTCGCGCTGCTTCTTCGCCTACCAAGACGGTCACCATCACGGTGCCTTGCATCAGTCCCAAGGTCAACCCCAAGCCGCCGTACAACTACATTTGTCCTGGCGACCCGGACTGCAAGCCTGTGCTGAACACCAATCCGCCTGGCGGAGTGATTTGTTCTTGAGCGAACAGCAACGCGAGCGCCGTTTTCTTTCGCCGATTTGATCGGCACCTTAGCGAAATCTGACATGGTCGTAGATACGACCTCAGTGTGAAGTCACTGCAACTTCAAGGCCATCTGACCAGAGAGTCGGATGTGAATCAGATAAGATTCACCGAACAAAGAGTTCCATTCATATCCATCAAAACTTTCATGTCGTGAAGTCCTCCTCGTGGTAAAACTCGTGATATATCCACTGTCCCGTCCTGCATGTGGCTGAGACTATCAGAATTCTGTGGCGATCGGCACGGAGCCCTCCTGTAAAGTGTTCTTGATGCAAAACGCGTCTTCTGTCCCCGTTGCCTCCAAAGTCGCGTACTTCTCAAACATCGCAGCGGGGCGGCCTCCATGAACCTCTATTTGCTATCGATCGTCTGCGGTCGAACTCGCAGGGCGCGGTGCTGCCTGATTCCTGGCCTGCTCGCCGGTACGCCCAAAATTTTTGGTGGTGATAACCCACGTTGCTCTCGGTGTATATTTGGCTCCAGTACCGCTACAAGCACCACCAAATCAACGTCCGCCTTAGAGTGTCTTGTGTCCATTCTCCATGCTCCCAGTCACGCCATTCACGCCGCCCGCCCCATTGTGCGCAGCTATGTCACCTCCATCGACGCTCCCTTCTCCCGATCCATCAGCGCCTCCCATAGCAGCACCGTTCCCCTCTTCCGCACCCTCCCAATGCCCCAACAGCCAATTCACACATTCGCCTGCCTTCTCCCCACCCGCGATCTCAGCCTCGACCAACACACTCCTCTGCACCTTGTTCTTCACGCCCGGATCAGCGCCGGCCTCTACCAGCGCCTTTACGACCTCCAGATGCCCATTTAGCGCAGCCCAGTGTAGAGGAGTATTGCCTGCTTCGTTTTGGGCGTTTATGATCTTGCTTCGTGCTTCTGAGGTGTCGGAGGCGGATATATCGGGCAGCAGCGAAACGAGGTGCTGCGTTATGGGGAGGTGGCCGTTCGCGGCAGCGTAGTGGAGGGGTGTATTTAGTGAGGTAGGGTCGACGGCGGAGAGGAGGATGGTGTGTGCTGGGACGGAATGGGTCGTCGAGAGGCTTGTGAGGAGGGATGTGAGTTCGGAGACGTCGCCCGCGCGAGTGAGATAGAGGAGGTCATCGGTTGCTTCTTCGTCGAGCGACATGGCTTGTGCTGGCGATACAGACATGGATGCCTGTGTGGAAAGCGCTCGACCCAATCTGATCGCTGGTTATATCCTGTTGGCGGCGATGACTTCAATAATTCATCAGTATAGTGCCTCGAGTGCCTGTGATTGAACACGAGGGGCCTTCTCTCGAACCACAAAAAATTTATCCCCAACAATGACGTCCTTTGTCGATCGGCCGGGGCGTCTCGAGGCTTTGCTAATTAGGGGTTGCGCATTGCACTGGCACGTTCTTGACGTCTTTTCTGCTCCTTGGGCGCATCTCTTCACCTAGATCTACTTGGAAAGCATGGTATCTACCGAGTCCATTCGCTGTGTCCATCTGCGCTTCGAAGGAGTGAGTCTCGTGTGATGCATCAGCTATGCTCGCACTTAAGACCAAAATCCTTGGACTCTCTGTAGCACTTAAGACAGAGTCCTTTGGCGCGCTCGAGCCTTCGGTCTATCGACGCCTTCGCCGTTGTTGCGACGTGGGACAGCCATGCCTTACACCTCATCGGCTGTTGTTGATGTTGCGAGCATTTGCTGTCTTCATGACACTCCCCAAGACTCAGCTTGTCCGTGAATAGCTCATTCCATACGTCCTCAAGAGAGGATGCCGAGCTCCTGTAGTAACCGTACTCATCGATTTTCCTACCATTGAACAACTCAAGAGCACGTTGATTGACCAGCTGGAGGGCGTGGTCGCAAGGCATCAGCCCTTGAGCGACCAGATGACCATCGACTTGGTCAAGCATGTCGTCATTGTACGTCAAGTTTGACTTTGTGGTGCTAAGCATCCCGTTGGCAGCAGCCTCGTACATTCCTGCGGTCTCAAGCTTCCGAAGCTGTTCCAAATGCCCTAGAGAAGTGTTAGTTTCCGAGCATTGGACGGTGCCTGGTGTAAAGCGTACTTTCCGTGTTCGCAGGCATGTACTGATACAGTGTCGGCTCGCACCGGAACAACGGATCCTCGAGATATGGAGGGTGGCCAGATAAGGTGCCCGAGTACTCGGAGATGAGCTTTTTAGACGACTTTCTCAGGAGCTCGTGATCTCCAGCAAGGTGAGCGGCGCACACGATGTTGCTCAGAAGCTCTTTCTGATCTTCGAAGCTCATCTCCGGCTCCCATATCGACAAGTCTTTGAGGGGCACCAGAATGTTCTGCAAAACCATGTCGGTGCACAAATACTTTGAGCATACCACAGCCGCCTTGCCGAGCTTCTTTCGCACCATGCGTAGATCGATCGGTTGCAGATGAATCGCCTGGCAGATGATGATGAAAGCCTCCCGATCATCCCCTTCCAGGGTCAGTGAGCCGTTCGTATCCGTCGTAGGCGGCGCGTCTTTGGAGAGGTTGAGCGGATCTCTAAAGAACTCAGAGGCGACGGCCATACAGGCTTTGTGAACTCTGACCGTGCCAATGTCATTGTTGACTCCGACCCTGAGAATCATATCGCCAACCGGGCATCTGATGATGTCGAACAAGGCGTGCTCGGTCTGTGAGGGCTTGGGCTCCGTCATGTTCGCGTCACGGAGTACGTAGTGGCTGTCTGCTATTGTGATGTGCTTAGATTGTGATCGGAATTGGGAAAGGATTAGCAGCTGGGGATGAAGTAAAGACGTGCCTGCTTTCACTGCATATCGCGGATCACGTGCTCAAATAAATGCGGAAGTTGTCAGCTCGGAAGGAAGGCGCCAGGTGAGGGTTTGGATCAATTCGGCCTTCCCAGTAAGTGCTGGCCACCCGTCGCAATTAGACTTCAATTGACTCGACGGCCATTCTTGCATCGATGTGATATTCCCCAGGTTCATCTATCTGTTCTCCGAGTTTTTGGTCCAGAAGTGTGACATTTAGGCCATGGTTCTCAGTCCTGCATATGGATCGAAGCTCTGTGCTCACGCGCCCAGATAACTCGAACTCACGGTTCTGAGGACGGTCTTTTCCAGTTACAGCATCTTGCGGTTGTGGACGTCTTTCCTAAGTTCATGTGGCCCCGAACCTCCCTTCCAACAGGTGTCTGGAAGTGTCTCATCACTACTACCCACAAATTGTTTTTGCTTTTTTGACAGCCTCGATTTCAGTAGAACCGTGCTCTTTAGGTTGAAGACTCTCGCACTTGCCAAGTCCGCTGAACTATTGTAGCCATTAGCCTGCGTGCGAATTATCGTGACTTCTGTTGTCAAGTGCTCCTCGTAGTGCCAAGACTTCGACATTTGTGTTGCCTTATTCTCATGTGAAGAGAGTCGTGTTCCAACTGCGGAGTAAATTTGTCCATTCGACGCTGCGGAAACCTCCCGATCGTTACCACTCACCACAAGCATCCACATTTGTTCGGCCACCAAAAGTACCTCAACAGAGCCCGCCCAAGCAAGTACAGCTCCTGCGCCGTCGTAGAGCTGCAGCCATATCTCCCCGAAAATGGCAACCGCAACACCACAAGGCAATCAACCGGCCGTCCGGTATACCCAGGCTTGCGTCATCATGGGCGATGGAGAGACGCGAAAGATCACACTGGCACAGGACATCCCCTTGACCGAGCTCAAGACCTTGGAACAAGCCAACAAGGTTCTGTGTTCCTATTTCGCTCCATCACTTCGCCACATCGGTTTCGATTCTGTGATTCTGCTCAATGTGCGACTCTATGGCGGCAAACTCGGACCCACAAAGTACGCGACTACCACAATCGAACACGTCTATTCCAGATGGTTCAAGGAGATCAAGGCTCAGCCATCAGCAGCAGCAAAGCTCGAGTTCCACATCGCCAGCAAGATGAAGCTCACACTCTTGATGGAGTCGATGCCGCATGCGATCATGGAGGTCGAGAAATCCAAGTGGCCGCAGTCCTCCACCGGTCATGGTCCTTTGGGCAAACCAGCAGTGCTTCCATACCAAGATCTGAAGCTGTTGAAGAAGAGCAACAGACAGCTGCGCAACAAGAACGTGAGACTCGTGGACGAGGTCGCAGAGCTGAAGGAGAAGGTTGGTGGTCTGGAAAAGGAAAAGGCCGATCTGAAGGAGGAGAACGGTGGCTTGGAGAACAAAGTCGCAGAACTCGAAGAGCGCATCGCAGATCTGCTTCGTGAGAAGGCCTTGAATGCAGACATCAGCAGACGATACGCTGCAGAAATGGAGCGTAAGGTCACGAAGCTCGAGAACAAAATCGAGTCCATGCGCGAGGAGCGAAAGGAATGGAAGAGCGGGTTGTCAGCTGCTTATGAGTCTGAGTCTGATCCGGACATGTATGATGCTGGAGAGCCAGATGAGTACGAGGACGACTTAGAATGAGCGCTGTTGACTCCATGAAGAGGCCTCTGAAGTCTGAGTCCCCGTTGATATCAGCGACGTCTTGGAGGCACATATGTCGACTTACAGGGTCATAGGCGCCTCAGGCTCGACCGGCGGAAAGCTCACCATGGTTGTGGTAGGCACGGCTGCGAATGGACTCGGAGGAGCGTTCGTCTCCAAAGGCGATGACACTTTCTCGATATGGTGCAGTGAGCTTGCGTGTTCATTGCGATGAGCACCTCGAGATGAATACTTGCACATATCATAGGTAGTCTAGCGGTATGTAGGTGCAATAAGTGAGAATGAATGAGGTCGCTTTTAAGTCTGTATGACTACTCCAATCTTTTCAAGCTCTACCAGTCCTGTCCTGCGGATATGATGACCGATTGGCCCGATACTATGGGGACAATCCCACGCCCCAGTCCTCCTCTTGTACTCCTGAACGTCTACACATTACTTCCAATAGCACAACGCGGCTCAGATTCCTGTGGAAGTCTCGGGGCATTCAAGTACATGGTGATCTGCCACGTGTAGCGCCGCAAAATATCTTCCAAGGTGCTTTTGTTCTGGCAGTGGAGCTCTCGAGTACACAAACGAAACGTCCACACCTTGCCTCTTAGGCCAATTGGTGCGAGCGGTCGATTTCTCAATGACGGAGCAGACTTGTAAGGGGGCGTAGAATGGGTAAATATCGATAGGGATGGGGAATCGTTCTCGCTGTGCAACAATGCTGGGCAGCACTGCGGAAGGAGTGTGCTCGCAGAACAAAGGGATCAGCAGGTACGAAGAGGCTCAGCGGTATTCGAAAGGCACATTGCAAGGAAGGCACATTGCTTGTATCTGCTATTTGCAGATCTACCAGTAGTAGGTCTCGAGTCATAAACAGCTCCTCGTACCTGCCTCCACGTTGTTTGCCAAGATTCGACACTACAGCACTACAAACTTTCTTCCCTTTCTCTACTGCTAGTACGTGCAGTTTTCGACCGTGTCTTGCACCACAACTAACAACATACCAAAATCTTGAGTCATACTCGATCCGAGTATGAACCAACCACAGGGAAGCGGCTACGCCGGCTCCTCGAACAATCCACAGCAGTGGCCCATACAGCCGCTGAACGCGCAGCAGGCTCAAATTCCGGCACTCGGTGTTGCGCCACAACAGATGCCACACCCAAATCTTCAGCAGTGGCAGACTCCGTCGTCGTATTCGCAGCCACCTCCAACGATGGGAGGTGGTCTCGCGTCTGAGCAGATGCCTCACCCATATCCGCAACAGTTGCAGACTCAGTATCCGCCGTATTTGCAGCCACTTCCAACGATGGGAGGTGCTTTCGCGTCTCAACAGGTGCCTCAGTCACAATTTCCCCAACAACTACAACCGCAGTGGCAGACTCAACCGCCGCCCTACCCTCAGCCACCTCCAGCCATGGGAGGAGGTGGTTTCGTGGCTCCGCAAATCCAACAGCCACCACAACCACCGCAGTGCCAGACTCAACCTCAAATTCCGTGGCAACCATATTTGTCACAAGAGACACAAGTCGAGCAGAGTATCTATCCCACTACTCAGCCCGCCACTGGCGCGTCTCTTGAGCTCACGTATACACAGACTAACATCAGCAGACTAGCTGCTGGTCACCGTAATCCGAGCATGAACCAGCCACCTTCATATTCAGCTTACGGTCCACAGGTACAGCACCCCCAGCATCAGTATCCAACTCAACAGCAGTACGCGCAACAACATGCGCCTGCAGCCCAGCAGCCTTACTCTGCTCCAACGATGCCGCATCAGCCACGAACTCAGCAGCAGTTACCCACTGCTCCGCCACCCCAGCTGCTGCCTGCGCCTCAGCCGACTCAGCAGCCAACACAGCCGCCGCAATCTCAGGAGGTACATCCGGTGCAAACACAAGCATCTGATGAGCTCCCCTCTCCTACACCCCAGAACGACTCGCCGGCTCTGACGGTGCAGACACAACCCTTCCAGGTCATGTTGTCCGCAGATGAATCTGGTACCATGAGTCCAAATATACCCTTACCAGAGCCATGTTTTGAAGAAATCCAGGAACCTTCTAGCCGCACTTGGTCGAGCGTTGTCGAGCGTGGTCAAGCCATGCACAATCGGCAGCGCGAGTGCCGTGAACAAGCTCGTCCGTCACCTGCTCCACCACGACAGCTCTCACCTCCACCAGCGCCTGCACGCCGGCAGGATGATGTTCTGGACGCACAGCGCGGACGGCGCGTTGTCGTCAACGGGCGAGGAGCCGTTCAGAGCACCAATATAGCTGCTGCTCGACCAACAGCAGTCTCAGCGAGACCTGAGCGTTTGCTCAGCGAGCTGGACGCATCAATGTCAGCGCTGACTCTAGAGCGCGATTCCAGATCCTTCGTTCAGGTTCCGATCAATAACGCACGACCGCGTGGCAAGGGCAATGGTAAGACGAAGAACGGTAGGAATCGTCTCCAGCCCTTCGTGCCGGATCGACCACCAGATCCGCCACCAGGTCTGTCTTGACCTCCCAGACAGTCATCTCCTTTCCTGTTGTTTCTTTCCTTTCGCTATCAGTTTTCTTTGCATCATTCATTTGTGCTTCCCGCTTCTTCGTGCGCTCTAGCATTTGCTGGTTTTACAATACGCACCAAGTCGTATGGTACTAGCAGCCGAGGTTGCTATTTGCCAGCTAATCCTCCTTGACACAGGGTGTGTTCAGCAATACAGGACCCTGCTGCACGCGGCCGTCTCGGTAACGAAACAGCTGGTGATCGGGTCATACTCAAAGGACTCGAGATCTGCTCAAGCTCAAAAACATCGGAAGTTGTTCAGCCTCGGAACGCGTTCGAGAAATGTTCAAGTTCGCCACAATCGAGCACAAGAAGATGTTCTGAAGATCTCTGTCTGGGGCCTAAGTCTTCCAGTGGACGATACCGACGCAGAATCATCACGAGCGCGGCTTGGTGACATTATCAAGCCGGCGGTGATGCACAACATGATTCGACCGAATCACAATGTCATTTTTGAGAGCCTGTCAGCCCAGTAGACGGTTACTGGGGTCAGACAGTGGTTCGGTTCTTTGATAAAGGTCACAATGAAGAAACTTTTCATGAAATTTGTTCATGCTCGCTCGGGGCCGCGTAGGCCCCTCCTTGACTCTTCCTCCAGAAAGCACGTTTTGATCCGCCGGACCTTGCCCTTCGTTGGCGAAGCATTCACCTTTTCGAAAGCACGATGCGTGTCTCGTGGCAGACGTGGAGAGGTAATAATCTCGAGTTTTGAGTGCCACCGTTGTGAAATGGACAGGCAGATCTGGCCAGAGACATCCCTCCAGAAAATGTGTCTTATGTCTAGGATACGTGTTCTCATGCTCAGGCTACTGCTTCTTTTACTGAAGTATTGCTTGACGGCTCGACTTGGGCTGTGGTGAGGCCTGACAGATCAGAACGAACTGCATACCTTGGTAGTCTCAGAGGCCATCTCACGTGGTGCTTCATGAAGGTTCTTCCGCAGTGGACTTCCTTACAGTCAGCATGCGTCTGCTACTGGTTGTACCGCACTATCGATACGGAAGAATCACCCAAGCCGAACAAGAGTATCGGCATGTCTCTAGGCGATCAGCGGGTTGAAAGAAGATATGGCAATTCATTGCCATGGTTATTTTGTGCCTCCGTGAAAGAGCAGCCTGTGCTTGTTTGCAGCTATGGAGCCCCCGGCGCTCGTCGGAGACTCGATGATGCTCTCTAACTTGCTACGTCAGTTGCGACCTCTGCCACAACACCGTCGTCCTCTCATGCTAGTCAAGCCGATGTGCTGTTCCAGCTGGGCTTTCGCTTCCACTGGTCCATGCTTCGCGTTCGACTATATATGCTTCTTGACCGGTCGGAAATGGCTGCTGGGGTGTGCAGCCCCATCCCCTGTGCGGGTTTGTCTCGTCGATCAGAAGAGCACTAGCTCCTTGTAACTCAGCTGTCGCCTGGTTGACCGCCCTCGTCATGCTCACAGTCTGAACGCACGAAGTGGCCATGTGCCTTGTAGCATGCCAGGCAAAGCCCAGGTATTGCATCCCGTTTCTGTTTCACCGCTTTCTGAATGACGCCGTTGAGGTCCAGACGCGTCGCCCACGAGGAACAATTTTGGCAGTTCACTGGATAGCCTTGATGGTAGTATGTGCAGGCACCTCCCTCATCGTAGGCATTCTTTCCGAGGTCTTTGAACAGGATGCAAATTTGCAACAAGCTCTTCTTCTGGGAAAGAGCAACCATTTCCGTAGTGGAAGCGAATGGTAGTTCCAAACAGAAGGTTCCGATGATTTCTCGTGCTCGGGGGCAAAGTGGTTTCGATCCGGGACCAGGCCCAGTGCCAGGAAGCAGCGCCGTGGTTGCCGCCTTCATGACACACTCGAAGATATCGACGGTTTCGGACTTTCGCAAGGCGCTGATACTATCTGCAAGTCGTTAATACCAGCGGCAGTGGGGCAGATGAAATGAGCGCTACCTACCCAGTAATTCAGCAGGGACGATATTGTCCAGTCGCACGTCGTGTTGGAGTACGGCCGCGGATGTGTGTGTCAGAACATATTGTGAGGTTTTCCAGAGAAGATAGTGATCTTCAGCCAGATATGCTACACACAGCAGGTTGCCGAGGCCGGAAGGCGACGGCGTTACGGCGTCAAAACCTGACCATCCGATCGTGCTGACATATTTCCGAGTGGTGACATGCTGCATGACAATCGCAGCGCAGTCGTACTTGTCCGAGATCACTGCCATCTCGACGATCAGAGCCTGGGCAATGGCGGTGTGGACTGGCTGATGGTGAAGGATACGACACATGGTGGTGAAAGCTTCGGCATGGTCCTCTTCAAGGACAAGAGGATCATCCTCGTTTAGCGCTCTAGTCGACTCGCTGAAGGATGGACCGAGCATGACTCGAAACACAGGGGAGGCTATTCTCAGAGCGAACTTATGCACTCGAATCTTTTGTGCGTCAGCGCCGCCACCGACCTTGATGACCATGTCGCCTTTCGGATCCTGGACGATATCGAGAACTGTAGACGACTGCATTTCGGGTTTGGGATCCTGTGCGGCGTCCATATTGTGCAGAGTTGTCGTCTGACCGCGAGGATCTGCGACACAGGAACGACGCAATTGTGCTTTGAGATATTGGACAGCGGAGAGGGACCTGTGGTGTTGCTTTGGCAACTGAAGACTTGACAGAGTCGCGTCTTGGCATGCTACTCGCCATTCAGGTTACTTGATCACCGCCTGTCATCTTTGATAAAGTGCCAAGTCGTGTCGCCCATCAGCTCCCAGGCGCGAGTCACGTCCTCATCAAACGACGACCACCTTGGCAAAGGACAACTCGGCCCACCCTTAACAACGAACTCATCGACTCGAGACTTCAGTCCATTGGACAGGTAAGGCCCCTCGTAACTCGTAGCTGCGTTACAGCTTGCAAAATCGTGTATCGTGTGAGAGTGCCACACTCCTTGATCCTCATCGACGGACCATTCACCAAGTATAGAGACGTGCTCAAGTTTCAGCGCTGGCAGAGCCTGAATGAGGTCGATCATAGAACAGGTCTCCAGTCGACAGTTCGCGAGCGTCAGCGTGCGTAGCTGAGACGCTTCTTGGAGCAATGCCTTGAGGTCCTCCCAAGAACATCTGAATCGATGGAGCTTCAGGTGCTGGATCGAAGGAAGAAACTTGCGGGGAAAGCGATTGAGATTGGTACGATCAAAGATGTCGAAGCTGTACTCGGCTTCTTTGCCGTGTGGAAACTCGAGACGCAATTTGTCCAGCTTCGCCGCACAATCGAGCAACTTGCGAAGGCGCTGGGCGAAGGGATCTCTGCCATTCAAGTATACTGGATCCATGCCACTTCGCGAAAGCCAGTCACTCCAGGGAAACGACGATATCCTTAGGTCAAGGCATCGAAGGCTGGCGAACATCTCAGGCAGTGTCTCGGCAACAAATGTGGTATTGCCATTGAGCAGCTGCCGAGGCACGTCCAGCATGACCATGTCTTGGACATGGAGGCTCGATCGATGCGCGGCTGTCAAAAAATTGGTGAAATGATCGAGGAGATGATGCCGACGGTTCGAGACTCGTCGGCGTGGGTCCGGATCTTCAGGGCGCTCATGTTGATACAAATTCGAATCGAAGCATTCTACATCCTCCAGAGAGACCTTCGGCTCAGCCATACTTATCTTGATCACGACTGAAGGGCAGTGTTGGGCGAGGTCATTCATGTTCCTCAACATCTGCTGGAATGAGCATTGCTTAGCAACGAGCTCGGCTTCCTGGTCGAGGTGCCAGCGGTAGAGGTTATATTGTTGTTGCATACCGGGTCCAAACCGAGCTTGCAGGCCGGCGTGGAAGTCCTTGTACTCATGCGAGTTCGAATCAGGCCAAGTGCCATATTTGAGACGCGTTCTCTCCTCGTAGATCTGAGCCTGCCAGTAACGAAAATCTGCATACTCTAGCAGTATTCCTGACTCGAAAGAAAGAGTCTTTAGCTTTGCAGCGATTGGACTGGCTGCAAGAGCACCCAGTTGATAGAGCCTATGCACACTGGGATACAGACGGAATTCGAAGTCCCGGAAGAGCTCATTTTGGCCTGCGTCGGCGAGCACTTTGTTGCAACAGCGGAAGGACTTCAGATCAGACTTTGGAATCCAGGAGCACAGGTAAATTAGCAGCTCGTTCGGAAGGCGGTCCATTTTGTTGTTTCCCGACGACGAGTCAGGTAGACCTTGACCAATGTCGGTATGTATATTTCACCGGGCAATGATAATGCATCGAAGATAAGCTACCAGGCATCTGCAATAACGACTCGAGGACCGCGCGGCACTTTCATTGCCTGATCCTGGCTGTCGTGACTGGCTGCCTGCGAACAAGGTCACTACGACTCAATGAGTCGATCACCGTGGGAGGGTTCTTCAGATATCAGAGGTCGGAATGCTAGTCCCAGTTTATTCGAGACCGGATGACCATATCCCGATGACGAAACTACGGCGTGCAGGCAAGACTACAAGCCGCAGAGCATTATTTGACCGCAGGCATCTTGCTCGAGCACCGATGATGATCTCATGCCTGCTCACATTCGCACTTCTGGCGCCGAGTAGGCAACAACCTCAGTTCGTCCTGAGAATGTGATGTACCGATCATGGCTGCCTCGAGCAGCCACGCGTCACCATGAGTCCCTCTCCCGCCTACATCAGCACCAGATCAGATGTCGCGGACCACTGCACCGGCGTCGACTAGCCACAGGCCCCAAGCATGAGCCTGCACTGGAACGCAGATCCGAGTCCCGTATCCTAAACCTCATCGATCGTTGGACCGAACGCCTGCCTAGACGGCTTCGAGGTCCACTCCTGGCCCTCCGCTCATATCCAGCGAGCTACCTGGTGTCATTCAAGATCCTACACGAGCTTACTGCTATAGTCTCGCTCCTGGGGTTTGTGGCGTTGTTCCACTACACTCAATGGCTGCCTGTTGCGGTTGTGAAAGGTAGCTACATCAACACCAGTGTGGAGGAGATTGGGAAGTGGTTTCGGAGGAGAGGGTGGATCTCGGAGGGTGAGGAGCAGGAGGTGGAACAACAGGTGAAGGAGGGTAATCTGGAGCAGATGAATAAGGAATGGGATAAGGAGTCGGCGAATCGATTTCTGGTGGAGTTTGCAACAGCATATGCGGTAGTCAAGGTACTGATGCCCGTGCGGCTGCTGCTCAGCGCATTCTGGGCGCCTGGATTCGCGAGACTTGTGTGCGTTCCTGTTGCAGAGTACGGAAGTGCGGCTTGGATGGCGGTGCGATCGCGTTGGCGAGCACCGCCGTAGGATGTCTCACAGCAGGAGAAAGCCCACGGAATAATAAGCGTATGCACACAGCTGTGAATGAAATGCTTCTATTTCATACTTCGTCAAGAAGAGCCGTCATCTATGCGTGCTCGCGTTTGAGCTGTCGACAAGAAAGGTTCCGACTTGTTGTAAAAGGTGAACAGGAACCTTAAGCCTTCTCATAGATCCAGTCGAACTGGGCGGACTTGTAGGACTGGACCTCCTCCTTCGAGAACCAAAGAGCGATCTCCTTCTTGGCGGACTCGACACCATCGGAGCCGTGGCAGACATTGCGGCCGACGTCGATGGCATAGTCACCACGGATGGTACCTGGAGCAGAGGCGAGCGGGTTGGTGGCACCGAGGATGGCTATCTCTGTTAGTCAACGTTTGATCGTGGGGTGGGAAACGTACATCGACCAGTCTTGCAAGCATCACGGCCTTCCCAGACCATGGCAACAATAGGACCGCTGAGCATGTCTGTCGCGATATCAGTGTTTGTTGCGGTCCCAACGTATTGATACACCTACATGTAACAAGGCCCTTGAAGAAAGGCTTGTCAGAGAGGTCTTCGTAGTGCTTCTCGAGATGCTCCTTGGAAGGAGAGACCATCTTGAGAGCGACCAACTTGTAGCCACGCTTCTCGAAGCGCTGAATGATGTCGCCGACGAGGCCGCGCTGGACTCCGTCTGGCTTGACAGCAATGAAGCTGCACACCGTTAGTTGGAGCTGGGCAAGATGCAGTGTTGCGATAGCAGGGCTTACGTTTGTTCGGTGGACATTTTGAAGGACTGTTGACAACTATTGAACTGGTGAAATGGGAGTTGGCAAGCTGCGGTGTGGAAGACTTTGGCTATATGGCCAGAGAGAAATATTTTGTCTTGCTGGCTGTGGTGGGTCGTTGAGGGGCAGATGTCAACCGGTCTGAGTTTGTTCCCCGCTCCGACCCTGACTCTGGGACCCGGAAGGAGTAGGTTAGCCGACTCCGCAGTCCGCATACCTAATGGGCAGGAACAGCGTGTGAGGTATCGAGAGTAGGGGCAGACGTTCCCGTTCTTTTGCCTACTTCAAGTCTCACGTTTGGAAGCCCATCGCTTCCGACGTCGGCTGTGCCCCTTCAGACAGATGGCGAGGTCATCGAGACGGCTGGCTGTGCCAGTCTTCATCCTTCTCCTTGCCCTGTTATTCGTGTTCCCCTCAGGTAAGTGTGCTCAGTTTGGATCGGGTCTCGACTGACAACAGGCAGCCGCAGTGAAGCATCATGACTTTAAGAGGTGTGATCAGTCTGGCTTCTGTGCTCGCAACAGGGCCATAGCCGATGAAATGACCTCTTTGGGCAAGCCAGACACTTCTCCCTACGTTGTCGATGCCGCTTCTCTCAAGCTAAAGAGTGGCCGGCTAGATGGCATGATCCTGAAGACCACCAAGACTGGCGAACAAGTCAAACTGCCGTTGACAATCTCCTTGCTCGAGGGTGGGAAGGCGAGAATCACGGTCGACGAAGAGCGACGCCAGAAGGGCGACATCGAACTACGACACAACAGCGTTGCTCGAAAAGAGAGGTACAACGAGGCGTCGGCTTGGGCCCTGACTGGAGCTGGTCTTCAGCAGCAGAAGTCCGCCAAGTTAGACAGCACCAAAGACAAGAGCGAGATTTCTTGGGGTGAAAATGGGAAGTACAAGCTCGTACTAAACCACAACCCTTTCGGAGCTACGTTCTTCTCTGGAGACGAGAAGCAAGTCGAGCTAAACGGCCGCGGATACATGAATGTCGAGCACTGGAGACCAAAGGTCGAAAAGCCGAAGGGCGATGAGAGCGAAACAGAAAGCAAAGACCTACAACCGCAAGAAGATGAAAGCACCTGGTGGGAGGAGACCTTCGGCGGCAATACTGACTCGAAACCGAAAGGCCCTGAGAGCGTGGCTATGGACATCGTGTTCCCCGGGTATGGCCATATCTTTGGCCTGGCAGAACATGCCGGTCCGCTCTCGTTAAAGGAGACTCGAGGCGGAGACGGCAACTATGACCAGCCATACCGAATGTATAACAGCGATGTGTTCGAATACGAGTTGGACAGCCCGATGACTCTGTACGGAAGCATTCCCTTCGTACAGGCTCACAAGAAGGGCGGGTCAGTCGGCATCTTGTGGCTGAACGGTGCTGAAACATGGGTCGATATTACGAAGAACAAGCACAGCACGCTGGGCATCGGAAGTGGCGTTGTCGACACCCAGACGCATTGGATCTCCGAAAGTGGTCAGCTTGATGTTTTCGTCATGATCGATGCGACTCCCACATCGCTTTCGAAGTCTTACGGTGAGCTTACAGGCTACACTGTTTTGCCAGCAACGTTTGCTATCTCCTACCATCAATGTAGATGGAACTACGTCAGTGACGAAGATGTCAAGGATGTCGACCGAAAGTTTGACAAGTTCAATATCCCTTACGATGTCATCTGGCTCGATCTCGAATACACAGATGATCGAAAGTACTTTACTTTCGAGCCAAACAACTTTCCGGACCCCATCAGCACGGAGAAGCAGCTGGACGAGACAGAGAGAAAGCTGGTTGTCCTAATCGATCCTCACATCAAAAACAAGGACGGCTATTTCGTGGTCGAGGAACTCAAGAGCAAAGATTTGGCTGTCAAGAACAAAGACAACAACATATACGAAGGCTGGTGCTGGCCTGGAAGCTCACATTGGATCGACTGCTTCAATCCAGCCGCGAGGACTTGGTGGAAAACACTCTTTCCCTTCAACCGTTTTAAGGGCACTATGAACAACGTCTGGATCTGGAACGACATGAATGAGCCATCGGTGTTCAATGGTCCAGAGGTGACGATGCCAAGAGACAATATTCATCATGGGAACTGGGAACATCGTGATGTACACAACATCAACGGCATGACCTTCCACAATGCTACTTACCACGCTTTGCTGGAACGCCAGAAGGGCGAAACGCTGCGTCCATTCGTACTTACCCGGGCTTTCTATTCTGGTTCCCAAAGATCAGCCGCCATGTGGACAGGAGACAACCAGGCTGATTGGGGTCATCTCGCCGCGTCCATACCCATGGTCCTCAACCAGGGCGTTTGTGGCTTTCCCTTTGGCGGCGCTGACATTGGCGGCTTCTTCGGCAACCCAAGCAAGGAACTGCAAACTCGCTGGTACCAGGCTGGCGCCTTCTACCCGTTCATGCGTGGCCATGCACACATCGATGCTCGCAGAAGGGAGCCGTACCTGGCCGGAGAACCATATACAGGTATCATGACGCAAGCGATTCGTCTCCGATACTCACTATTGCCTGCTTGGTATACGGCCTTCCATGAAGCGTCGGTTGATGGCTACCCGGTGGTGCGCTCGCAATACTACGTCCATCCAGAAGACGAGAAAGGCTTCGCCATCGATGATCAGATGTATCTTGGCTCCACTGGTCTACTCACTAAGCCGGTTGTCACGGAAGGCGCCGAGAGCGTCGACGTATACCTGTCGGACGATGAGAACTATTTCGATTATTTCGACTACACGATCTATAACGGCGCCGGGAAGACCCACAACGTCCCGGCCCCACTCGAGAAGCTGCCATTGCTGATGCAGGGCGGCCACATCATACCACGAAAAGATCGCCCAAGGAAGAGCTCTGGATTGATGAAGTGGGATCCGTATACGCTGGTAGTTGTGCTTGACAAGAAGGGCGAGGCTCATGGCAGCTTATACGCCGACGATGGAGAGACATTCGACTACGAGCAAGGCGCATACGTCCATCGCAGCTTCAGCTTCGCGGAAGGGAAGCTCAGCAGCGAGGATGTTGGCACCAAAGGCTCAAAGACTTCAGCTTACCACAAGACAGAGAAGGATGTGAAGATCGAGAAGATCATTATTGTGAATGCACCTGCCTCGTGGGAGAGCAAGAGGGAGGTCTCGGTCAGTGGTGCAACGGCTGAGCTGAGCTTCCATGCAGCGAAGGGCAAGGCTGCTGCTTGGGCAGTCGTGAGGAATCCGAACATTGCTATCGGCTCAGATTGGAGTATAGAATTTCAAGCTCCTGGCGAAGAGGTGAGGACAGAGCTATAGAATGTACAATATCTACCGCAGAAGCACATGCCAACGCGTTCACAAGGGATGACAATTGTCTCGTATCTGCCGGCGGTCTCTATTGCTCAAGGCCAGGGCATAACGCCGCTTTCCGTCGGCCACCTGTTGTGTATGATGCCAAGTTGCCAAGCCGTTCCCTATATCAACACCGAGATGCCCTCCAGTGGTGTTCGATTCTCTTACATATCGACCTTGTTAACCTCGACATCCTTGGTTTCCTGCCAGACTGCAGTTCAACATCTGGCTACGATTCTGGGACTATGATGGCGCTGACTGTGTCAAGATTCAGACATATTCTACGGCGCATTGGAAACCCTGGAAGGACCAGAAAGGCCCGGGCCCTCTCCACAGTCCCGAAAAGCATCTACTGTGTACAGTGCATCCAGCCCACGTGCGCTGATTTCGCAAGCGACATATTCGGTGGCAAAGCGCATGGTGTCGAGCCTTTCCCTGAACCAGGTAAGGTCATCATGAGTCTCCAGGGATGCAGTCGCGGTGGCATGGCCCTAAACGGCCACTGTTCGGAACCACTTCCTCATGAGTCGGGCTTCGCCATTCGCAAGCACGTCCAATGATGCACTTGTATTCCTACATGAGGTTCTTCCCAGCGCAAGATCCGGCGCAAGGCACGCAGCAAGCAGCATGATCCAGTCTCTAGCGCGTTGAATGATCAGTCAAGCTTATTGTGCCAAGCCAAAACGTGGTGATCTCTGAGCTTGTCATTGGAGCCGCCTTGTGCTTTACACGCTCCGATTCCAGTCCGCTCCTCTTGGCGACCTAGCTGTTACCAGCAGGTCTTTCACTTGCACCACATCATCTACCACATTGACAAGCACTTCTCCCCCACCTCGCCTACTTTTTGGTAGCGGTGCCTGGAACTCTGGGGGACTTGGCCAGGACTTTAATGCAGGTAACCGTCGAGGCCACGACGTAATTGGGTGCTACGCGATGCAAATACCCATGCAAGAGTTCAAGCTCGCAGAGCTCCGCAGGAACCCAATGACATCTTTCGCAATGAACCGCGGAAGAGGCAAAAAAAGAACCATGCTTCAGAGAGCTACAAAAAGTCAGGCACAGCACCAAGTCGCTCATGCTGACCTCCTCACTGCAGTCTAAGTATCTTGAACCGTAGTCATGGCTCCATTGCGTTCTCTCACCAGTGCCGCGGTCGCGCTCGGCCTACTGACATGCCAGTGTTCTGCCACATTCTTCTATCGCCTCGGCGCGTGTCCTAAGCTGGGTTGCGTTCTGCCACCTGATCAAGCTGACTTCATCCCCGGGTCGTTCTTCGACATCCGACTTGAGGTCCACGCGCCTCAGAACGGCAGTGAGAAGATCGAAGGTTACACAACACCAGACTCGAACTTCACCTTCACTATCCGCAAAGATGGCGACGAGGGCGAAGGCGTGCCTGCGGCAGAGTTCTTCTCCGTGGAAGAGCCGGAGCTCGAGACATGGAACTTCACCTGGTACGAGGATCTGTAAGTGAATTTGCTGCCTGTTTCTGCGCGGGTGCTGATACTCTGACCAGATTCGCGGAAGTGGCCAAGACCCCGTCCCTTGTCAGCGTGGCGTCGAAGGCATACAGGCGGGTTGCGTTGAACGAGACCGGGAATTACATCGCGACGTTGACCTACCAAGACGGTGAGACCACTGTTGCGAACTGGACTGTCAGGGAGATTCCAGCCGAGCGGAAGGCGAAGAACGTCATTCTCGTATGCCTTTCTCTTTGCGCATCTTCACCCATGGGCAAGAGTTTCTGACCTTATACTAGTTCATTGGTGACGGCATGACGACAAACATGATCACGGCGGCGCGCCTCATCGGCCACCACTCCGTCAACGGCGTATACCAGTCGAAGATGGCGATGGACGGCTTTCCAGTTCTTGGACACCAGATGACGCACTCACTCGATTCGTACATTACGGACAGCGCCAACAGCGCCACGTCACTGTACTCGGGTCACAAGAGCAACGTGAATGCCCTCAACGTCTACGCCGACAGCAGCAAAGATCCCTTCGACGACCCCAAGTTCGAGACCGTCCAAGAGATCTTCCACCGCCTTTACAAAGGTGGCATCGGCATCGTGACCACTGCTTTCCTCGCAGACGCCACTCCAGGTGCGGTCACCGCACACACGCGACTACGCGCCGAGTACGAGTACGTGGTCGACTCCTTCCTCCACGGTACGCCCAACTACACCTGGTCCGATTGGGAAGGATGCGACGTCATCTTCGGTGGCGGCGCGGAGCAATTCCTGCCTGGAAAGACCTCATTCCAGGGACAAGACTACTATGAGCTGTTCTCGGAAGCCAACTACACCGTAGTGCACAACCTCACCCAGCTGAACGGCACCGACCCTAGCCAGAAACACCTCGGCGTGTTCTCTGTCTCCAACATGAACGTCTGGCTGGACCGAAATGTGTATAAGGACACCCTGAAGAAATCCAAATCACCCACAGGCGAGACGAACGCCACCGCACCCGACCAGCCTGGCCTGAAAGAGATGACCTTGAAAGCTCTTGAGGTCCTCTCAACCCGCCACCCGGAGGATGGCTTCATCCTGATGTCCGAGGCCGCTAGCATCGACAAGCAGATGCACGTGCTCGACTACGATCGCGCCCTTGGCGATCTCCTCGAGCTGGATGATACCATCAAGGCCACTCTTGCCTGGCTGGAAGAGAACGACTTGCTCGAAGATACCCAAGTCATCGTCACCGCCGATCACGGCCACGCCTTCGATGTCGCTGGTGGCGTCGACACCAAATACCTCAACGAGGCCGAGGGCGACCGCGAGAAGCGCAATGCTGTCGGCACATACGAGCAGTCCGGCCTGACCGGCTACCAAATCGCAAACACTTCTGCGCCGCAGGGCTCCGATCAGAACTTGGTCTACGCCGAAGGCACCAGCTTCCCTGCGAACTGGGATCCAAGAAACACATTGTATGCCGGCACATTCTCGAGCCCGGACCGGAGGGAGAACTATCAGGTTCACAAGAACGGCCCACGCAAGCCTGCGATCAACATCACAGGTTTCGATGAAGAGGTAGGGAGCTTTTCAACTGCACCTTCTCATAAATATCCTTCAATGTTTCGACAGGTGGCTAACAAGATCTTCCAGGACTTCTACGTCAACTACATCGACGCCGTCACCGGCTTCCTCGTCAATGGCACTCTCCCCGTCGACGCCGACCAGGGCGTACACTCGCTCACAGACGTCCCAGTCTTCGCGCGTGGACCATGTCAGGAGCTTTTCAGCGGCGTGTTCAACAATATTGACATCGCTTTCAACATTGCCACTTGCTTGGGCCTCGGCAGGACGCAATGACAAGACTTACCGCTCGCTCGGTTGATGAAAGTAGCTTGAGATGGCATAAGACTCATGAGCTGTGCGATGCTGCAATGATAGACACATGAAGTTTAGTAGTAATGTTTACACATAACACACACGGGTGCTGCCGATACTGTGATGTGAAGCGTGCCTCTGACAACGCTGTACATGTATCCTGTCAGATCTCGAGAGTGGCTCTCGGAATCTGACTTCTGGCTGACCATCGCGTCGAGGTCTGTGACTTAGCTTCAATTCATGCGGCAATCCGAAGGCTTGTTGCCCAGCATTCTCGCAACCGTCCGCCTCCTTCTCACTAACGCTGACGTGCAGCCTCAACTCGGACACAAAATGCCGTCAGACGTACCACCAAAATGCAAAGTTATTCCCCGCTATCCGCCCCGCCCCTTCTCCCAAAGACGCACAACGGGCGCGACCTCACATTGGGTACCATCGGGTCGGGACCACCAAATCGTGGCTCGTGTGGAAACGGAAGCTGGAGGATCTATGCACGTGTGAGGCTGGGAGAACTTAGCTGTGACCTTTGCTAGCTGCCACCGTCCGCCTTCGACGGAGCGAGAGGCTTGCTTTATTCGTGCGAATAGCAATTCGGTTCAGAGCAATGGTGTAGCTACTGCACCTTCCCACTTAGGTGGTTGTGGTGACCCGGTTAGGAGTATCCGGCCCCAGCGTCGCCGGAGAGGCAAGACGACGTCGCTGGGTTGCCTCATCGCTTGCACCTCGCGCCTGCCGCGCCGCGCAGCTGGCCGGGCGACTTTGAGTTGAGCGGAAGAGCGGAAGTCTCGGTGTGCCATTCACAGATTGGAGGTGCGCGGAAGAGCTGAGGCTACCTCGCCACCTCACCGGGAGCTTGTGGTGTGCCATGTCCCATGATGCTTGACACAAGTCGCCGAGTTTGCATGTGCACGAAAACATGGAGAGCGGGCAGAACGTCCGTGTATTCATTCGTGCGCAATCGGCAAGCGCTGACATTGTCGTGGACCAGGACTTCCGTTGGCGGCAACCCACCACAAGCAAGGACCAAGGATCATGTATCGACAACACAGTCGATCGCGCACATCATACCCAAAAGTCCAAAGGACATCCATCCTCGGTCCAGAGAGCCGATCTGCAATGATCTTACTGAGCAGACTACCAGACTCTGCATTCTCTGTGAGATCTCGGCGTCATTGACCAAGCGAATTCACCCCTCCATGCGCAAGCCATGGGCACTTACCTGACAAAGCTCTGCAGCACTGAGTCCTGACGTATGATATGCATGCAAGCGAACGCAGCCTTGCATGAACCCGATGCAGGTGTAACGGACGTCCGCGCGCGGAAGTCGAAGTCTATGATGAGACAATGATCATCGTTCCTGGCGTGGCGACCACTCAGCGTCGATAACGAATTCTGTAACGTCCGCACTGGTGGTATTGTCATTTGTTTCTGTATTTTTCTGCCATGATGTACATCGATCTACATGCGAGGTAGATTTGGTGGATATGTGAGATTTCTGACAGCTGTCTAACCAGATTGACTTGGGTTCGATGATGCGGCGATGTGATGGATGTTGACTTCCGGCTGCATCGAGTTGCCGAAGGTCAAGTCCAGAACGAGTATGCACGATTCCAAATGGCGCAAGACAACTCTGCCCTAGAACCGGCTATGCCAGGGCGGCTCAGCAGGTGGACTTGGGACTCACTTTCGCAACAACGCGACGCCTTCTCGGACAGCCGTGGCCCGTAATGCCAGAGTATCAGCACAGGAGCAATCTCTTGAACCCGTCGTGATCGTGACCAGGACGGCGTCCAAATGGAGGAATTGCGCGCGTGGTGAGTGTCGATCAATGCAAATGCAGAAATTACAACCCAAACGGTGCAAACGCTATCGATTTTACTTTCGGCTGTGTGTGAAGCCGTGAATAGTAAACGCCATAAACTGTGTACCGGGCGTGCAGATCCTTAAGGCAACGGACGAGCGTTCGAGGCAGGCGCCAGATACGGGAAGAGCGATCCTGGCAAAGTCCTTTTTAACGGTGACACAAGGCAAGCACGAGGCAGCAGCACTTCACATAGAGGATGGAGAATTTGATGATATCGCATTCAATGATATCGCATTCAATGAAGCAAGAACAATGAAAAGCCTTCGTCCAAAAACGCGACGAGGCCAAGTATCCTGTTTCTTTTCCCAGAACCCAAATTTTCTTCAACGCCATACCATAGTGAAATGCCCAAGTGCTCTGCCATCAACTGCATGCACGAAACCAACTGATTAGCAGGCAGGTGCCTCAGTATATTCACAACCCACCCCCATAATCAAACATCGAGGAATTGTAGTTGACAGTCGTCCTTCACAGCGGGAAGTCGGCCCACTGGAATTTCGTCTGGTGTGTCAAAAACAAAATCCGTGCAAAAGTCTCCCAGTCTAGTGATTAACTCCCGTGTAGGTCGCGCAAAGCCGTTAAATGGTTATCATAGAAAATCGAAACACGACCGATGATGATGCTCTTAGTTGAGTGAATCGCGAATGTATTGCCCGACGCCCTTGGCCTGTAAATTGTTAGTGATGTTTCTGGATGTCGGGGATATGCAACTTACCACTGGCGGCTTCATCATCGTGAAGTGATTGCCGACGACCTTGACCATCGAGCAGTTCTCGGCTCCAAGAAGCTTGTCCCAACCATTGGGTCCGAAATCATTTCGGTTCTCCAGCAGCCACTTCATGCTCTTCGGGTCATCTGCTTGTGGTGGGGGTTTGGGGTCACCTGGCTTGCCGCACACACCATCAGTCGCCCAGATGAGCAATGTTGGTGGAGCGTTGAAGTCGCGGGTGGACTTCAGCTCTGGTCGGTAAGCGGTAAGCGCCTTGATGCTGTACTCAAAATGAGGCAGCAACCAGTTGGGCGTCTTACCGGTACCAGTACCGAGCAGCCCTATCTCGTCGAAGAAATGGTGAAGACGAGCAGGCAAAGGCTCTAGTCTGATCGGGCAGGGCGAGTCGATCAAGATCAGCTTCTCAACGTAGTACTTCCGGTCGGGATACTGCTTCGAAAGATCAGACAGTTGTCGAGTAACCTCGTAGGCGACGACACCGCCAGCTGACCAGCCTCCGAGGACGTATGGACCGATGGGTTGACGGCGCATGACTTCCTCGAGGTATAGCTTCGACACACCCTCGATACCACATGTGTAGTTGGTAGGGTCCTTCATGAAGGGGCAGTTCAGACCGTACACGGCCAGGTTCTTGCTGTCGATGGCAGGGATGGACACGTAGGAAGTGGCGGAGCCGGATCCGTCGGGGAACAAGAACAGATTCTTGGTGGCGGTCTTTGGGTTTCCTTGCAGCAGGACCGAGGTTGCAGGAGGCATGTTCACAACGACCTCGACGGGAGGGGCTGGGGGCGCAACTGCAACCACCTGAGCCACGACTTCGGCTTTACGCTCGGGAGCAGGAGCGGCCTTGGGTGTGTCAAGGCCAAGGGCCTTGCGAAGGTGGCCCAGCGATGGGTTGTCGGCCAGAATTGATGGATCAAGATCGATCTCATGCTCTTCACGAAGCTTGCCAAGGACCGTCAAAGCCATCAAAGAATCCATGCCCAGATTGCTCAGGTCGGTGGTTTCGGTGATTTCATCGAGGTCCATTTCCATCTCTTGAGCAATGACGACACGGATGGTCTCGATCATATCAGCACCTGAGCCGCCAGTTGCAGGTGATGGGGCCTGGGCCACTGCCTCGACCGCGGCGGACTTCTGGCTCTTGACTGGGAAATCCTCGACTTCAGGAGTGGTAATGCCAGACTCAGCAGACTCGTCGTCGCTCTCAGAGCCAGAGTCGGTTGACTCGGTGGAGCTAGATTCATCTGCGACTTCAACAGGAGCAGGCTCTGGTCCGGACAAGCCAGAAAGATGCTTTCGCAGGGCGCCAACGGAGGCGAAGTCGGTGAACAAGCTGCTCTCGACCTCGAGCTCAAGATCCTCGCGGAACTTGCCAGAGATCGTCAACGACATCAAGCTGTCAACGCCGAGGTCGGCCCACTGGATGTCATCTTGCAGCTCAGAGTGGTCAACGGCGACTTCTTGAGCGATGATATCGAAGGCCTTGGCGCAAAGTCCTCCGGTTGACGCCGGCTTTGGAGCAGCAGCTTTTGGTGCCTTGGAGGCTTTGACGGGCTTCTTCGGCTTCTGCTTGGTGACAGTCTTGACTGCAGCAGGGATATCCACCTTCACGGGGGTACGCTCGACAACTGGAGACGACTTCGCAGCTGGAGCTGGCTTGCTTGCGGCGACAGCGCCAGCGGCCTTCGGCTTTGGCATCATCACGTCCATAAGCTTGCGAGGAATGTTCTGGAAGCGAACACCCCCGCAAACACCGACAACCTCACGCTGAGAGTTGAAGACATAGACATCACCTTCCTCATCTTGCTTCCAGCGCATGGCTGCATCTTGACGTAGGCGGTATAAGTCTGGTCATACTTGAGAGGCTCCAAGAAGCGAAGAGTCTTCCATCCGTGGGAGATATAGCAGGCTTCTTGAGGATTGACGGTCGCATTGACAGTGAAACCCGAGATGTGGCAAGCACTGTCGATGAAGTATGGGCTGAAGAAGAAGTTGCCAAGCTCTGGACCAGCGCGGAACTTGATGGTACTGGTGGCTTCGAACTCGGGGCCGTCGAAGATGACACTCTGCATGCCCTGGAAGGGATCAGAGTAATCAACAAGAGCAGTGAACAGCTTGTAAGCCATAGCACGGCTGCACTTGTCGGCTTCTCCATTTTCCATCTTGTGCTTCAGGAGATCGATGCGTGACTGAACAAGATAGGCAGTACGGGCCCACTCTTCCTTCCATGCTTCCGGGTCCTCGAATGTGACAATGGCATCAGCGTGGGTGACATCCTTCTTGCCATTGTTGCTGGTCACGGTGAAGTGAGCGTTCTTCTTCTTAAGGTCCATCTTGATGGTAGAGGTCATGATCTGATGCTCGGGCTCGTGGATGTTCTTCAGCAGCAGAGGGCTGTTGTTCTCCATGGCGCCAATGTTGATGTGCGCCTTCTCACCGGGCTTGACCAGCTTATAGGCATAGTCGCACAAAGTGTGGCAGATATCAGCGTACAGCGTAGATGGGCAGAGGCCAGAGCCATTGACAAGATGACCAGAGATGAGAGGGAAGAGCTTTGGAGACCCCATGTCAGACTCTGCAACGACGGTGACAGTGTTGCCATCGACAACCTCAGAGACGATGCCTTGAACGGAGTCGGTCAAGTACTTGAGCTTCTTGGCAGGCGCTGCAACAGCGGGTGCAGCAGCTAGAGCAGGGGCGATCGCCTTGGGATAATCGCCCTTGTAGATCAGCCAGTCACCAGTGTATTGCAGCCAGTAGTTCTTCTCATCGAAACCGTAGGTAGGGATGTTGAGGACTCTCAAGCTCTCATTCTCCTTGTGGAAAGCGGTCCAGTTGACGGCTTTTCCTGCTGTGTAGAGGCTGGCCAGGGACGTGGAGATGATCTTCCAGGGATCCTCGTCGCGGCGCATGGTAGGCAAAGCAGAAGCCGACAGGCAAGACTTGACCATGCTAGAGCAAAGAGGATGTGCGCCGACCTCGAGCCAAAGAGAAGTGTCACTTATGGTGGAGGTGGCCATGCCAGCGGACAGACCGCCCACGAAGTCCACAGTCTTGCGGCAGTGACGACTCAGATAGAAAGCATCGAAGACGCCACCAACACTGACAACATCACTGAGGAGCGGCGAGATCACCGGCACTCGTGGAGGCTGGAAGTTGATCGCCTTTGCAAGCTTCTCGAAATCGGCCAAAATGGGGTCGACTTGGGAAGAGTGGAATGCGAACGGCAACTTGAGCTTGGTGCACTTCTGCCCAGCATCAGCCAGTTTCTGAGCGACAGTATCGATGTCGGCCATCGTGCCAGACAGAACGGTGTCAGAGACGCCGTTGATGCAAGCGATTTCGATCTTGCCATTGCTGTTAGCAACGACATCCTGCAGACCAGCGACGGGAGAGCGGACGGCAAGCATTGCGTGGGTGCCAGCGGTGCACTTCTGCTCCAGCAAAGACGCTCGCTTGCCGACCAGGTAGATGGTGTCGGCAACGGAGAGAACGCCAGCAGCTTGAAGGGCAGCATATTCACCCAGCGAATGGCCAATGACGACACTAGGAGTGATGCCCCAAGTTGCCCACAAACGAGTGAGAGCCATTTGGATGCAGCACATGCCAAGTTGAACGACAGATGGAGGCAAGTTCTGGACCTCGACCGAGCCGTCAATCAAGGGCATGATCGAAGGCAGGCCCTGACGGAGAGCAATCTCGTTGAACTCCTCGATGTCACCGCGGAACTGCTTCGAGGTCTCGAACATGCGCTTTCCCATAGCCGTGTATTGTGAGCCCTGACCAGTGAAGGCCATGGCGATTTGAGGTGTAGCCAGAGGAATAGGGTTGTGCGCCTGCTGTTGAACCGTCTTGAGAGCAGTTGATAGCTGAGCGACTGAGGTCACCGGCATGGCAGCGCGGTAGGTGTAATGAGCGCGACGGGCTGTGGTGGTGTATGCAAGATCGGGCAGGCCAGCATTGGGGTTGGTGTTGACCCAGTTCTCAAACTTGGCGAGCGTCTTCTTGAAGGCACCGAGTGACTTGGCCGATACAGTCACGACCTGAGTACCGCGGGCGTCTGAGGTAGGAGTGGAAGGGACCTCAGGACCATCCTCCATCAGCATAGCAGTGTTTCCACCAGCCGCGCTGAAGTTGTTGATGAAGGTGATACGCTTGCCTCCAGCAGGGCGCGGGAATGGTGTCGTCTCCATAGCAATGTTGACGTTGCGCTCCTTGAGATCTGGTGCGAAGTTCTTGTTGATCTGCTTCTTAATACCTGTGTGAGGTGGAATCTTACTCTTTTGAAGCATAAGCAGAACTTTGATCAGAGCGCACACACCAGAGACGGCCTCGCCGTGACCAATGTTGGACTTGACAGCGCCGACGTAGAGTGGCTGGTCTGGTCTTCTCTTGCCCTGTCTCGGAGCGAAGACTGATGAGACAGACTCCATCTCAATGCCGTCGCCAGCCTGTGTGCCAGTTCCGTGCATCTCAACGTAGTTGACATCGTTGCAGGGCACGTTGCATTCTTTGAGCACCTTATCGAACAGGAAAGACTGATTCTCGGCGCAAGGATGAGTGATGGAAACGGCTTCGGCAGAGTGGTTGGTACCGACACCGCGAATAACGCCAAGGATCGGATCCCGGTCGCTCAGCGCATCGTCCATACGCTTGAAGATGACAGAGCAAACACCATCGCCTCGGCAGTAGCCATCAGCATCATTATCCCAGGTCTTGCACGAGCCGGTCCTTGACAAGAAGTGACCGCGAGAAAGACCTGAGAAAATATCTGAGTTGGTGAGAACGTTGGCTCCACCGCAGAAAGCGGTGTCACACTCGCCAGCTCGCAGCGAGGTGATCGCAACGTTCATGGCAGCGAAACTTGACGAGCAAGCAGTATCGACGGAGAAAGATGGTCCGCTGAACTTGAAGAAGTAGTTCAGACGACCAGGGCCGAAGGCGCGTACACCACCCGAGATGAAGTATGTATCAATGTCCTGGGCAGCATTCACTTCACGCCAATCGTCAGAAGTTTGACCATAGAAGGTACCGATCCTATCGTGCTTGGTGGAGGGTGTTCTGCCTGGCACGATACCAGCCATTTCCATGGTTCATAGCCAGTTGAGAGCATCAGACGCTGCATGGGATCCGTCTGCGCAGCCTCACGAGGAGACATGTTAAAGAATCGAGCATCGAACAGACCAGGATTTTCGATGAAGTTTCCGAAAGGTGTGTGTGATGTGTTCTTCTTTTTCGATGTGGGATCGGTGTGTGAGTCGACGGGGAACCTGTCGGGTGGGACGGGCCTGTGCACATCCAGACCCTTTTCCAGCAGCTCCCAGAACTTCTCGTGATCCGCAGCGTCTGGGAAGCGACCAGCGAAGCCGACAATGGCGATATCCGATTCTTTGCGAGACTTCTGCGTGCCTGCTGCTGCAACTTGTGCCCAGGTTGACTGGTCCTCGAGGGTGACCTTTGCAGCTGAAGCTTTCAGCGCAGAGACTACGCTACTGGCCAGATTCGTAGGGCCAACAGCGAAGACCTTGGCCTCATCGAACTTGCCAGTAGCTGTGTACTTGAGCACCCTGTCCCATCTCAGAGGCTCAATGAGGATCTCTTTTAATGATTGCTCAATCAAGTCGAACCCGGTCTTTGCCGGAATCGGCTTGCCAGTCACACTGGAGCAGACAGCGTATCTTGGGACAACCGCACCGAAAATCTCTTTCGTCTGCGGGCGCAATACTTTCTGGATGTCCGAGGCGGAACTGAGGTGAGATGCGTGGTATGGTGCGTAAATCCCCACTGGGGCGTTCTTGTGTGTTCTGAAAAACTCTGAGTTCTCAAAGGCCAAGTTCTTCGTCTCCGGAGGTCCAGAGATCGTGACTGAAGTAGCCGAGGAGCCACCGATCCACAGTCTGTTGGAAGGGGGCGTGTTGTGTTCCTTGTGGAAAGCATCGAGGGCAGATTGAGCCGACTTCTCATCTGCAGCAACAATGGTAGACCACGAAGGAGTCTTTCCCTCACCCTGGATCTGCAATCCAATCCTTCCAACATGTGCGCCAGCGCGGAATGCGAGTCGAACGGCCTCGATAGCCAGGGGTATCAGTGCGGTAAGGGAATCGACCGAAGCAACGGTCGAAGCCGCGAGAAGCCCGGTACAAAGACCGACTATTCTCGCATCGGCATTAGGAGAAATGTATGATACTGAACGCTCTTCAAATGCTCTGCGTTCTGATTAGTCTCTTAACCTTCAAAAACGTGGTTCATGCTCATACCCGATAAAATGGCAAAATTGAGAAATACAAATCAAAACGCTGTCTATTGCGGGATCCTTCAGCTCGCTCCTGTAGTAACGGTCGACGAGTTCTTGGATGGTTGTGAAATTCGGTACGGCTTTCGAGGGATGTGACCTGTGTTTATTTTCAAACTTCACAGCTTCGCCAGCTCTCTCCAGGAAGCTTTGTAGCAGCACATTATCCTTCCTGGTGAAGACCTTACTGAAAAAGGCCCGGGCATCCGCCGTTTGGTCCCCAAACACGTATACTTCCTCCATGCTGACGGATGACGGAGGGTACAACGAGTGTCAGGGTGTTTGTGAAGAACAGATAGAGAAGGGGGTGGAAGTTCCGGCTATCATATAAGGATACGGGCTAGAAAGAGGCCAATTCAAAATAGACCCAGGGCACAGGGAAAGGAGGAGAGGTCGAGGGTGGATCCAGCCAGCACGCTCGAGATCTGCATAGGAAATGAAGGCCCTGGCAAATATCCAAATCTGGAGAGGCTTTGTCTAGGAGCCCCATTGGCAATGTAGCGGGTATGAGGATGGTCCACATCGATCACTGTGTTTTGTAAGGCCATACGTCGATGTATACTTCGGAGACCGAGAGTTTTACAGAAATGCTGGTCATTCTGTATGATCGATACTGGAACAGGCCTCGATAACCAGACTGCGGCGGCTAGCGGACTGTATTCCCTGCATTGATTTCGTTCAGCTCGAGTATTATTTCAAGACCAGGCGAGAAGATTGAGGCTGGGCTGATAGGAGAAACCGATACGAAGGCAAGGCTCAGGGGCGCGGGTAAAAGTGGACCTCTTGTTCGAACTCCGGTAGCGCTAACCCTTGTCCTGGTATCTCTCCTTCTGATACAAATCTCTGACTGCAGCGACCATGACTATAGCTGGCTCGGTATGTCGATTACTGCCACGGACGAGCAGTCGAACGCATCGGTCTTCCACGGACATGTTGGAGTGAGAGTATGAGGTTGTACAGCAGAGCAAACTGCTGGGATGAGGTTGGCAGAGCGATACCAGATATGATTTTGTAAAGACTATCTCGAAGCCAGATTGGGAGTTCCTTCAGATCCACCGTAGATGTCAATCACGTTAAAGCAGGAGCAAAGTTTGACTCCATCTCAGAGTCAAGTTGTAATACACATTGAAGAGGAATTCAAGTCGTCTCCTGCGACATTCCTGCCACGATGCGCTTTCGCCATGACAACACCGCAAGACGACCCTCATCGGTGTGGGCGTATATTGGTTTGTTTTCGCTACTATGCCATATCCTTCCGCTTTGCCTATCTGCAGGTTCTGACGATAGGCACGTCAGTGGGTAGGACGGCAAAGGCGACGCCTTGGTGACACACCTCCAAGCCCAATTTCAAGGTGCGGCGGAGAGCATCAGGGGAGTGGGTAAGTATCCGGAGTTCTTTTTGCCGCCAAACTCGCTTCGGCTAGCCCGCGTACTATAATTAAGACGTTAACAACCTTGCAGGCTGTACTGCCTCGTTTCGTCACCTCGTTTGAAACTGATCATGTTAAAACCCTCTGCTCCGTATCTAGCGAGCTGCTAGTCCATCAAGTACTGATCAGACCACAACGATAATAAGGCAGCCAGGTCAGTGCTTTCCATACGGTCCTCGTTGAAGTCTTCGGCAATTCTGCCTCGTCGAAGTGACCAATCAAGCAACCGTGACGAAGCCAAAGTACGAGGGCCGTTACCGAATCGCGATGCTCGAGTATTCTCGAGGTCTCCTAGTACTTGCAAAGCTCTGAAGCTCGTTGCGAAGAGCTGGTGTCTTCTGAATCACTGCCACCGATGGGTGGCAGGCCATTCGTGTGGCCCTGATGTCCACCTTGCTGTATACAGATGTATACAGGTATATAAAGTACACTTTTTAACGGTCGTGTGGCACACCACATCCTTGAGGTCTATTTGGGAACAAGATGCGTACGCGTTGGAGCTGACAGCCCCATCAGACAGCCACAGCAATGAATTTCACGCAATATCGACACAACAGTGCGCTGCGCTGTGTAGTTCGTTCGGAAGGACGTTGCTCAGTATCATCCTAGCACAAGATCCTGTATATGTCATCGCCTAGGTAGCGGACAGTCTCAGATTTGGAGAGGCATGTCGGACTCCCTGACAGCTTGTGGAGGGCCCTGCGCGGATTGAGTAGCAATGAGTTCTTGCTAGATCGGGGACGATGGTGTGGAATGTGCTACACTGTAGACTGCAGGACTTACTAGCAGCTGCGTTCCACTGTGCTCTGCACAGTTTGTCCAGAAGCCTGTCAGACTTCCACCCGTGGACGGTAGCAGAACTCGCCAAGCATACGGCCTCACAATAATGACGGTTACATAGCAGGTAAGTTATCATCTGCCTGTGGCGGAACTTGTGACCCACCTCGAGCGAAGGAATGCCAAGGCCGTTGCATATCCATGATGAAATTAAATCTTGATATGCCGAAGCGAATTGCACAATTGATAACAAACTGAACTACACTTTCTCCACAGCCCAGGCGTGGCAGACGCGTGCGATCGAAAACACTCAGCTGGAGGTTTCCAAGAAAACATGACGGCCACGAGGTGAGTACTCCGCATCTACAAAACGCATCAACAACTTTTGGAATTCTGTCCCGTCACTGAGACGCATTTCCGTCACCATAAGACCCGAGAGGTCCATACCGCGCGCAGTCCAGTCCGTATGCTTTGTACGCAAGCTCCGTTATCGTAGGTACAATATCGCGCTGCGCTTGATGCAGAAGGAATCCCTTATTACCTAGGTAGGTCGCAATGATGCGATACAGTCTGCCCCCGAGTTCGGGATCGTCTTGCTTCTACGATCAAGCCAAGGAATAGTCCTCACAAAGTTCCGCAAACCGCCCCGCTGGCTTTCGACACCTGTTGCTTGTCGTCAGGGGCGTACTTCCTTCGGACAGCGTGCAAAGGCCTACGAGTCGCACCCGTGTCATACGATGGGACTTGATCATGCTACGGTTACCGCGGCTCAGGCTGTGCTCTCTGCCCAGGCCACAGCGCATCGGAAACCGAGGCTTCGAGATCGCCAAAATGCTTGTCGAGCCAAGCCATCTGAAAATAGCTGGAGGGTTTCCAAATGGGGCCGAGCTAGGATTTTGGTTACCCCAATATCGTTACTGCGTCTGCCATTGTCCGTGTCTGACTACTTACCAGTTCTGAGATGTGCAAAGATGCTCGCAGTCCGTCTGAGTCAGTTGCGCAACTAGAAGGTCACGAACTGCGAGCAGTCCTTCTCTGCGTTCTGCGTGGGACATCGCCCCAAAGAAGGCCCAATCCGAGTTCTCGACAGACCGTCAAGAAAAAGGAGAACCTGTCAAATTTCAACAGAAGCGCGAAGCTTGTGCTCCCTTTTGACAGAACTCGCAATCGAGACCCCAGTTCACGATTCGTTCCGCGTCCTTGTTTTCTTTGCATGGTGAAACTTGCCCCCCTGACCAAATTATACACTTTCATGCGCCTCGCCTTCCCGCAGCGCTGCCAAAGCTGCCATGGCTCATGGACTCATCATGGAGGTATCAGGGGCAGTGGTCGAAGCGATCGGGTGGCTCGTGTCTCACGCTTTGCCTGGCGTATTCTGCCTGGTCTCTGACCGGAACACGAACAGCAAACATGGCAGAGAGCCGACACTTCGGTTGCTTGTCGAACACCTGTTTTTGGATTGTGGTCAATAAACGTGCACCGCCACGGCTTCCCCTCCAGCAAGGACAGGGCGGATGTCTTTCCTGGCATATCCCATGTCACTCTTGAACCCAAAATCTTCCATTACTCTTCTCTGCACAAACTACGTACCTACATTCTCTCTCCTTCATCGCAACGTGTACACATTCTTTCGAACATTTTAACGTGCCCCTCGTTTTCCTTGATTTTTTAGCAGCGACGCGATCTCAGATCTGATACCGACTAAAACGCGGGTGATAGTCCCATCGCAATTTCAATAGTCCCCACACTATCAAGTACCAAGACCAGTGACTATGCCCAAACTGCAGAAGCGGTCAAGTTCGACTCCTCGGACTCCCTCTGCGTCTCTTGATGGTGGCCCGCGATATGAAAGCTTTCCGCAGAACACGAGGCAGCCGATCCCAGTGACGCCTGGAGAAGTAGCGGTGTCATCAGGAGCTCTTATGAGCAACAATCCTTGGGTACAACAGACACCATACTCCAACTTCTCCCCAGTCTCGCCTATCACGCCCATGCAACCGACGATCATGACACAGATGGCGCAGCCTGAGCCCCAGAGACCTACCAGCTCAAGAGCGTCGGCCGACGTTCGAAGACTTGATGGAACTCCCTACCCATCAGGCGAGAAACCGGTCAAGGTTGCGAAGGACATGCACGCAGGAGCGGTTCCTCCAGCTTACCACGGCGCACCAGCAGTGGTGGCTCCAGAGAAAGCTGATGGCTGCTCGAAGCCCAATTGCAACAAATGCGGGAAACGAAAGACGGTAGTGGCTGAACAAACATCACCTCCTTCCACGCGTAACCCACCACACTTCTCGCGCCCAATGTCCCAATCCTCGACTGTTGCGGGGCCGTCGACGCAGCCGATCAAGAAATGCCATAAGTGCGGGAAGAGCAAGAGGCCAGTCATCGCTCCAGCGCTCCCACAGCCAACTTTCGGTGCTCAACACCGATTCTCCTCGCAGTCCACAATCGTCCCATCTTCAGCGCGGCCGCAGCAGCCACAGCTGTCAATTCTGGCGGGTGACAATCTGCCTCGCCCCAGTGTGCCTGTACTGGACATCATCCCACCTAGCGCTTCCACCTACCGACCACGAGACTCGACAATCAGCACCATGAACGACGCCGCACCGCTGATCAAGGGTATCCAGCAACCGAAACCAGAATACAAGCCATTCCGAGCTGGCTCGCTGATTCGGTCTCTGTCAAAGCGCAGCAGCAAATCGAGATCCGGCCCACCCACACCTGGCTCAGACAAGGGCGAGCAGTCGTCCAGCGGTGGCAGCGGCTTCATGGGCTTGATCCGCAAGCAAAGCACGCGCGACTACACCAAATTGGGTGCCGAAGAGCCGCATTCCCGGCCGGCTTCACCATTCTCGTTCATGGAGGCGCCCAACGATGACGCATTCGAGATGCGCCCGATGACCGGCAAGGAGAAAGAATTCAATGTTGATGGTAACGGCAGCGACGGCACGCGATCGCCTTCGATCAAATCCCCGGTAGGAGGCGAAACACTTACAGTTACGCGGCCGGAGGTGTATAGATCGACATCGAGTGCGCGCGAAGGAGATTTGATGCTGGCAATTCCGGAGCAAGGGGGTGACAACAGACCACAGCTTACGCGGTTCAAGAGCTTGAGGAGCGGTGTCTCGAGGGCGGCTAGTACTGTGAGTCGGTCAGGGAGTCTGAAGAGGTTGGGAAGTATCAGTAAGGCTTGGGAGAGAAACGATATGGCGATTGATGCGTACCAAGGAGAAGGGGGGACCATTTCGGCGTACTAAGAGTATATCTTTTCAGTATTAGATGACCTTACGAACTCGGAGTACTGCTGAATTGCAATTTATCACGTCCTCTCGTCTTGCTGGTTTTCTTGAAGTGAGATAGTAGAAGTGAGGTGGTCAAAATTGAAGCGTCTCGGTAGATGGTTTTATGTGATGAGCTTCAGCCAAGCACATGCATGATGACGACCTGGCAAGCCCTGAATCAGGGCCTTATGATTTCCCTCACCATTTCAGGTTGCTGACTTGCCCGATTCGCAACCTCAATTCAACTTGAAACAGCAGTGCACGTCGACAGTTCCAAGTAGGTGAGATCTGAGTAGCAGTCGGAGCTTGCACGGTCCACCAGCCACTGCAGCCCACCTCACTCCAGCATCTCCCCGCCTTTTACCCAACCTGGCCGCATTTGCACTCTACCACGCCGCCCGTCGCCTCGAGAACAAGCGACAGGCCGACGCCAACATGAGCGAACTACAATTCGCCAAACAGTACCTCACCACGCTCGACGCGAAGGCTACGAAGTACCAGCCAGACCATGTCTTCGATCCCAAGACTTTCGAGACGCGAGTACCCGTGAGTGCATGCCTGCTTCCGACTGGGATATGACCTAACCTGCTTCCAGTACACACTGCCCAAGTTCCCACATCCACCATACCCAGAGCCACCCAAGACCTCTACTGCAGCAGAGCCCGCACCAGGCTCAACTCGCACCACCGACACAGAGCAGGCCTCTATCAACCTCACGCTGAAGTCGAGCCGCAACCCGAACATGACCTTGACGCTCTCTTCCCTTTCCTCCAGTACACCAATCTCAGAGATCAAGTCCTCTATACAGAAGCACCTAGGCGGGCCCTCTGTCCTGCCAGACGTGTCCAAGATCAAGATACTACATAACAAGAAGCCTATACCGAGCTCTAAAGTCACATTAGGCGATGCATTTGCGGGTACGGAAACGGAAGGGCAGAGTGATGTGACGCTCAGTGTTATGGTCATGGGCGGAGCACCGGATCCGCCTCCTCAGGGTGCGGCTACAGAGACTCCGTCAGCGGCGCCGGCGACATCGTCCGGTCCAGAGTCTGAGAAGGCTGCTGTAGAGGCCGCTACTGGAGGCTCGCAAACGGATGAGCTCGACGATGGATTTTGGTCGGACCTGGAGTCGTTCCTGGAACAAAGGCTCAAGTCTCCTGGGAAGGCGAAGACTCTAGCAAGAACATTTCGGGCTGCCAGCTCAGCGACATGATTAAGATACCTGCTCGCAGTTGGCTCTGGTTGTGCGCCGACAGGTACGTCAAGTAGTAAGAAGGACCATCCCTCCAGACTAGACCGGCATCTCGACGACTTCAGAAGAAACGACAACAGAGAGCGGAGTACGAGATCCCTCGAATTGCTCCGCAGGATCGAATTGTCCACACAGACATGCTCATGGAAGAAGTCGCATCACCTGGAACGATAGGCTTCAGCTGGCCTCTGTGTTGGACACGTCATCCTCGGGGCAGGGGCGCAAGGGCGAAGCTTCAAGAGTGTTCAACGAGCATCAGATGATGTGTTCGCGATGACCCACATGACTGGATCTTAGGGCACATCATATTACCGACAACAGTCTTTTATCACTGTTCACTCGAGCGAAGTCAGTGCACAAAGGTCTGGGGTGTCGATTCTCGCGTTGGATCAACAGTACACATTACGCAGGCCTGTCTCACATCGTGCAATGTCAATGTGATTTGGGCTCTCGAACCTTGTTTGAAAGGACGCACGTAGTCAGGGATCGCAGAAGGGACAATGAACGAGGGCAAGATGATGTTTCGAATCGATCGAGACCGGTTGACAGGAGACAGAATCTCGCCTTCCGGTCTTGCGAATATATCTCCTCAAGACAACACAAGAAGACACTGATACACTACAAACGTGGTTGTCTCGCTGCCCACAATGCAAAACGCCTTTTCAACAGACCGCGTGCAAGAACGGCCTGCTATAGTCACTAGTTGGCACAGAAGAAATGTTCCTGCTGGCCAATATTCTCCGTTTCTGAAAAAGCTTGGACAAATGCTCAATCTCCTGTGACCTTGAAACGGAGATGTATGCTACTGAATCGTCCAGGTGACAACAAGTATGCGCTGACTCTTTGCCTCTGGACAATCTTCCATCAGATGACATCCCTCGCATCACTGAGCATGTCTCCTAATCTATCACGACACGATCTCCTCGCTCCCTTGTGTGCCATCACTTCCTCCCTTGGCAGCAAAACCATCTCTCCCCGTTCTCAACCACCTCAGATCGCCCCAGCCAGAGCCACAACGTGAATATCTGCCGCGTTGCGTTCCTGCTGACCAACCCATCAACACCAGCGGTCGCACCGTTCATCCTCGCTGCCCTCCCACCCAGCCTCTCTCATCAGCCGCGAATAGCTTCGTCCCGACCTGCCAGCCACTGCAGCGGCGCAGCGTGCCGGAGCCAATCCTCTCGCACGCTCGTTGCTAGTGAGAATCTTTAACGTCTTGTGCGCCTGCTTTGCTGCCGGCAGATCGGGTCCTTTCCTGCGGTTTGGTTCGCTGAGAATGCAGCCCAACCGTGGCGCGTGGCGCCAATCGCGATGAGAAAAGAAACCCCCGTGAGAGTGTACAACGGTGGTAGCGAGATGTTCCTAGCTGATCCTTGGATTTGTACCGCCTGTCAAAGCGGTGGCGCCAAGTACCTCGTAGGAAGCTGAAGCATCTCCAATTCGCTTACAAGCCAACCAACCCAAACGGTTGATGATAGTGTTATGCTTTGGACGCTACACCACTCTACCGACTAAACACCTTGACCGCACCATCTCCAGCCGCACTAACGACCCACCGACCATCGGGACTCCAAGCCACGCTACATACGCCCTCGCCTCGCATAACGCGATGGCTCTGGATCTCTTGTGTACAACTCCTCTTCTCCAGATTCCAGAATCTTAGACTGGCGTCGTGGCCTCCACTGACAAGTTCCCTCCCGTCGTGCGACAGCGACAGCGAAGAGATGGCCGAGGGGTGGGCGAGCATGGTGTATGTGCATTGGCCTGATTTTGGACATCAGTATTCTGATGGGCAGCGTTACACGGGGAGTCCGGGGAAGCAAAACTTACCGCTGTTAGCGTCGAAGAACCGAATGTACTTGTCTTCATAGCCAGCAATTACGACACCTTCAACGCCGCCCTCGCCTCCGGTGGCACCATGCACCACGTCGTCTTCTCCTATACTGCCTCTCCGTCCAGGCGAGACTGAAGCTGTTGTGTCGAAGCCAAGGGCAGATGCAACGACAGTGTTAACACCTGTATCCGGTGTCCCGTCGTAGGTCTCTTGGCTCGCCATGCCGACCATCTCTTCTCCTGTCCTAGTGTCGAAGACCAGAATGCTGGCATCCGTGTAGCTAACCACGAAATGTTGTCCATTCGGACTGAGGGCTGAGATCGAGGTTGGTGCCGGACTCTTGACCCGCTCGATTCTGTGTACAAGTGTGTAGTGGAATGATGTGTTGCTCGCAACGCTAGGCTGCGGGGAGCTGGGGAAGTTCGAGCCCGCGGAGATCGAGTTGGCTCGTCTGCTTCCTCGTGTACCACGGTTAGAGCCAGTGTGTGGCGATGAGAGCTGAGGAGGTTGGCTCACGGCCCAGATCAAGATCGTGCCGTCTGCGCCTCCAGCTGCCAGCAGAACTCGATCGGGACCGCCAAAAGATGAACAACGTTCACCAAGGATCGAGCCCGATGTGCCGGGTAGCACACACAACGCCCAGACAGCATCCTTGTGTCCATCAAGAACAGCTTTGGAGTCGACTCGGCCCCTTTCCCACACGCGAACGGAGCCGTCCTCGCCACCAGAGAAGATCCAGCCATCACCACTTGCTCGTCCTCCGTTGGAAAAGTTAGGTGACGCTGGACATGCGGCGAGTGAGGTGACTGCACCAACATGCCCTCGATGTGTGAAGTGAGCTATTCGGTCCAAGTCCTCGCCCATCGTCACACTGTTGCTTGCGTATGACGCCGGGATATGCCATCGTTTGACACCTCCATCGTCGCTTGCTGTACAGAATTCCGGCTCCTGTGGGCTGCCACCGCCGGTGAAGATGACAGCACGAACGACATCAAGGTGTCCTCGCATCGCAAACCTCACTTTGAATTGAGTGTTGTCTGTTCTCGGATTTGCCGCCAGATCACGGATCTCGTTCTGACCTTCACTCCGTCGTCTTGCTCCTGAGCTCTTTCTTCGAGATCCGGGTCCGCGAGGTGGCGATTTTGAAGGTATCTGGTTGGCACTTGGGAAGACCTCCATGTCTGGACGGTGTGGAGGAGGTTCCGGAATGTCATGCTGAGGTGGACTGTCGTCAAAGTCCCAGCCGTCGATCACATCAACCTTTGGTTCACCAATATCTCGTGGAGAAGGAGCTCCGTCATCCTGCTGAAGTCGGCCATATGAATCATAGCTGTGCGAGACTGACTCAACCTGCTCTTCTGAGGACATTGCCTCGTCGTATTGCGGAGGCCGGCGTAGGTCAGCCGCGGTCATTGGCTGCGGAGAACGATCGAGGGCACTGCGCTGCTGATCTCGAATGGCCAGCTCCGCGTGATTGATCTGCGTATTGGTCCTGGACAACGGTGCTGGTTGATGTGGAGGCATCTCTTGTTGCTGCTCATGTTGTGCAGCATTCTCTCGGACCATTGCCATGTCTCTATCACGGTTGTAGACCTGATTCTGCCGCTTAAGCTGGATGTAGGCATCTTGAAGTTCCTGTTGCGTCGGTTGACCGTATTGAGTCATACTGTTAGCCGGTAACGAATCTGACATCTCGGGTAACTGCTGTGATCCTGGAAGGACGTGGTACGATATCTCGGAACCGCACTTTGCCAGATAGCTCTTAGACTTATCGCGCTCGCGCTCCTGTCGAATGCCCTTGATGAGATGGTTGTCGGCATTGATGTCGGTCTCGAGGCGACTTATGCCTTTTACGACTGGAATCTCTGCTATGGATCAGTTGGGAGCCGAGAGACTGCGGCCAACACGTACCTTTTCCAGCCGCTTTTAGTTCTTCCCTCGCGACATCTCGAGGGTCTCGTGATAGGTCCGTCTCTTCGCCCTTGTTCAGAGCTCTTATCTTCTCTCGCTCTTTACGTAGAGCCATCTCCAGAATCTTGACATGCTTCTCCAGATTCATGCGGATGCCGCGAGCGGTTCTACTCTCGCCCTCGAGTGTGGCTATCCTCTTCTTCATTTCTTCCCGTTCAATCTCCCAGGCATTGCGGTCTCGCTCGTGACGATGCCATTCCGTTTGGAGGAAGCGCATGACCCTATCGAGAGATCAGTACCCTGTTGATGTAACTGGACGCAGTAAGCATACCTTGCAGAGTGTAGGCTTGAACGCCGCCAGGCTCAGCGCCGGGGAGACCATTTCCACCGTTGCCTCCAGCTCCTGACTGCCACGCCATACTGCGCGTCGAGGCGCCAATCGAGCGGCAGTCACGCCGGCTATCTGTCCATCCCCAATCAATAGATATGTGTGAAGTTGTCCGGTCACTGCTTTCTCGACCGCGGACGTAGAATAAGGGTCTCGGTGTTGCACTTTTGCCGGTAGAACCCAATGGTGGATCTGCTTCTGTCCAGTGTTGAGATCAGGCTTGCTGTCTAGATGAGAAGATGAAAGAAATATGTAGCAAGAAAGGACAAGCATGCAAGTTTAGAGAGCGTGTGCTAGCCGACAAGGTCGCGCGTGAGGTGTACGGAGGGTGCAAGTCAAGCAAGCGAGACTGAAGCTAGCGCCGCTGCAGCCAACCGCAGTGTTCCCGGGTATGCCAATGGGAATTTGAAAAGGAGCTCGCCGCTAAATGCCCTACCAGGTAGTGCAGATTTGGAGATCGTGAGGTCCTGTGCTCTGCATTCTACTGCCATCCTCCGTTGCCTCTATGCCAGGTACCAACGCAGGATACACCAAAGGAATTATGAATCATGATGTTGCGTATAGTTACACATGAAATCACATGGGGTATCATTTGGATCGTGGTAATACACGCCGTCGCTAAACCTTAGAACTCGAGCTCCTCGACCTCGAGCCCGCACGACAGGCATGTCTTGACCGGCACGCCCGTCGCAGGATTGTCGACAGCTCTGCCAAACTCATGCACATGCCGCCCATCGCCCATGTCGTCGCCAAATTTGCCCGACTGTCCCCTCTGGCTACGCTTGTGCGCTTCGTACTTGGTGCGCTTCTTGAGTTCGGCCAACTTGTTCTTGAATTTGGTCTCCTTCCGCTTCTTATTGTCCGTCTGCCGCCTCTCAAATTCCGCGTCCAATGCCTCAGCAGAACCCCAACGCTTGTCAGAGAACGCATAATCCTCAATCTGACACCGCAGATACAGAAACATGTTATGCCAGGTGGCTTTGTGAGGGTTTGGTCGTTCAAGATGTGGCAGCAGAGACTCGTCCTTAAGTTCTGAGTCGGTGAGTAGATAGTCTTCCTTGACTTCGGTCTTGGTCAGCAGACTGTACTTGTCCGGCAGTTTGTCTTTGCAGGTCTGGCAGACAGCAAGGCTAAAGATATCGAGCCATTTCCAATCCACCTCACGCGCGCCGCATTCTCGGCATGATGGTGTCGCATCGTCTTGCATTGCACTGATGCCAGGCTCGAATGGCCCAGCCTTCTGGCTCCTCAAAGACTTCATCAATTGTTGCCGCTCCCACTCCTTCTGTGTAAGTCCCGCCGGTTTATTGTCCTTCTCTTGGACATGCATTGCCTTGTTGTGTGGATCGTCCTCGGCTGTCAGAAAGCCGCCCTTGCTGTCAGTCATCTTACTGAAGTCATAGTCAATGTACTTGGCCATTCGTGCCGGACGAATCGAGTCAAGTGGCCTACTGTCCACCACGCGTGCATCCCTGTGTGAGGCTGGCGACTGTTGTGAGAACATTGCATGTGTACGTTTCGTTCCCGCCGACGCCGGTGCCGGCTTTGAGGCGGCTTCCGCCTCGCGCTGTTCCCTCTGGCTTTGGCCTTTAGTCGATTGATCTCCATTCGCCGCACCTGCTCTGGCGTGATGGGTGATCTGGCAGATCCTTGGCCATTGGGCGCCGGCGGCGGCGTCGATGGGCGAGTTGCCATCTTGTGTGCGCGCGTCAATGCGACAGGTTCACTGCGTAGAGGGTGAGATGTGTTCAATGTGGCGATTCCTTGATGTGAAGGCGGCGCATGTAAGGCGGTTCTCATGAGCCACTTGCAGCATTGCTACGGCAGACTTTTGCGACCTAGAGCGTCAGCCTGAGTTTGTCGAAACAATTCGTTCCCGACTTTTCTCACATCCTTCTGAATATCAGCATGATGTGGGAGCGGTGTCTGCGATCTGTATGGGCTGTCGCGGTAGCCGCGGCATCCTCAGCGTCCCAAGCGTCATGTGGTCTCGTCTCGGGCCATCATGAATGGTACTTTTGCCTGATCCGATGCTCACAGACTGCAAGCCGCGAAATCACCAGACATTGCACAAGGCGTCACCCAACAACATAATCGAAGCAGCGCCAGCAGTCCTGGCTAGGACAATATCATGATAACTATCTCCAGCCTCGCGGACTGACAAGACACAGCTGCTCGACAATAAGCCCGATGCAAGTTCTGATGAGCTGAATTTAGTAGCTCAGACTTCCCGCGTCCCGCATCTCGCTTTCCGTTATGGTGGGTGCGGCTGTTCACATACCTTCTCGAACTCTGCCCGCACGACCACCACGTTGCCGCTTCTTTTCCTCTTGCCATGTGCTTCTTGTCTCACACTTTTTTTTCTGGTCTAGACATTTCTTCCTGCGAAGGCATCTGATGTCGCCAGACTTGCTGACCAGACAGGACAATGCCTGTCAATTGACCGACTTCGATGCCAACGCTGACTTTTACGGCTTTGGCATTCGACTGGGAGTCTACCTTCAGTGGTTCTCAAGCTGGATCGCGAACACACTGGACCCTGACAATGCGAGCGAGAACCATGAGGAGAACTCGATCTTCGTCTTGGCAATAGCTATCGCACTCGTCCTGGCCTTCAAAAGCGACGAGCTGAAAGTCTCTGAGGCATATATCCTGATGTTGATCTGTACAGGCTATTTTGCGATTGTGCTCTCCACATGGGGCATACGACTGCACCTTCTCCGACCTGGACCAGTCCATGTTTCTCCTATGTTCTGGCATGGCAACAGGATCGACAATCGTGTTCGCAATACTAGGTTTTCTAAGCTTCCCGGGGGTAATACACTTAATGCCATGGCCAACCATTACCTCGCTCCGCGACAGATGCCGCTGTCTCAGGGTGGCAGCGTCAAGCCCACGGGTCTTTCCTGGGCGGGTGCTGTATGGCGCTCACTCATCGCTCTCTTTGTGTTGTCCCTCAATCTCTTCCTTTGGTTCACTTACGATCCCGATATCGAAGACTCCGACCCCAACTGTCGACCTACCATCTACTTCTTCGGGAGTCAGCATATTACTTCCGGGCTCCGCTACTTCTTCATCGCGGTCCTCATCATTTTCGGAACTATCATCTTGCAGCTTCTGCTTCAAATGCTCTCGGTCGTCTACTTTCTAGTCGTCAAATGCGTCCTGGGTCCGATTTTCGATGTTCTACGCCTGGGCGCTCTCAAGAATTGGCTTCTAGATCTGATCCATCGCCGCCTCCAACTAGCGAACCATCATGGCATTGTGCCCACCCAATCGATTACCTACCTGCACGTTCGCAGCGCTCTGTTCGCCCTATCGGCTCAGAAGCCAGCTCCCGGTCACGCTCCACACGTTCATCCGCATGGGCACCACGATCAAGGATATCGGCATTCTATGGTCCTGGTCTTGGGATGGCATGTTTTCCTGCTCACGCTCATGGCTTTGTTCATCACGTTCATCGAGATGACAATACAGATCAACAACATACAGGGTGCATTCGTCATTAAATCGACTTCACAGCTCATCCCCTTTGTGATCGGTCTTGTGTCGATGGTTAACACGGTTCGGCAGCTGATGCTGGAATGGTACGAAGAAGATCATCCCAACGAGGACAACACCCACTTCGTGTTGTCTGGCAGTATGTCTGATCTGTCTCTGCTGGGAATGGTGATCGGCACTGTGATGAAATTCATGCTTGGTGCTCGAGCGGCCGAAAGAAGGTGCCAGTGTCGGGCTCTGAAAGTCCGCGAGAGATGAGTGATTTGCCGGTCACTGAGAGACCCGAAGGCCATGCAGAGGTCAGCACAGAAGCAGTCAACCATCAAGCATCTTCGTCAGAGCATCTGCAGCATCAACAGCAGGAGCATTTCAAGCATGGTTAGCATTCAATAGATCACGCGGACGAGATGTACTTGAGCTCACGGCGTATGCATGCAGACGTTCTCCTGTAGCTCGTGAATGGACAGCCACGGGTAAACCTGCTGCTACACCTCGAACCAGCACAGGAAAGCCTACTGCGACTCGGTGAGGGCGCCCATGACATTCGAGTGCTGATTATGCCAGAGTGTTGATGATGCCCTCCGCGGACAGCTACGGGCGGGGGTTATGGAGATCGGCGGTATCAACGCCGCAGGCTTGGCGCTGCAGGTACCACGCGACGCCGGAGCAGAGTTCACCGAAGCTGCGGTCCTCCGACAACAATTTCTCAACAGTATTCTGAGCACCGAGTGATCCCAGGCTGACACTTTGCTGGGTTGCTCAATATGTCTGGACCACAGAAGCACTCACGCGAGGCCTTCCTGAAGATCTTTCCGTCCCTAGTCGAGGACATCAAGCAGTCAGCTACACGGTACAATGTGCCACAGAATGCGCTGGACTGGCTCGAGAAGGTGGGCATGTGTACGAGCGTAGATTACTGTTCTAACAAGATCTAGTCGGTCAATGCCAACACTCCGACCGGAAAGCTCAATAGAGGCATGTCGGTACCGGACTCTGTCTCACAACTCCTCGGTCGTCCTCTAAGCGACGACGAATTCCGTTTGTCTGCCACTCTTGGCTGGCTCACAGAACTCCTACAGGCATTCTTCCTCGTCAGCGACGATATCATGGACGGCAGCATCACAAGAAGAGGAGAGCCGTGCTGGTATCGACAGACAGGTGTCGGCATGATTGCGATTAACGATGCGTTCATGCTCGAGTCCTCGATATTCCTGATCCTCAAGAAGCACTTCCGTTCGCACCCAGCATATCTCGACCTAATCGAGTTGTTCCACGAGGTGACATGGCAGACCGAGCTCGGCCAGCTGTGCGATCTCATCACGGCACCAGAAGACAATGTCGACTTGAACAACTTCAGTATGGACAAGTACACTTTCATTGTAATATACAAGACCGCATACTACTCCTTCTACCTACCTGTTGCCCTGGCCCTACACTACCTTCAGCTTGCCACACCGGAGAATCTCAAGCAGGCGCACGATATCCTCATCCCGATGGGTGAGTACTTCCAGATCCAGGACGACTGGTTGGATGCGTTCGGAGACCCCGCAGTCATTGGCAAGATTGGGACAGATATCAAGGACAACAAGTGCGGGTGGTTGATCAACCAAGCCCTACAAATTGTGACGCCTGAGCAGCGACGATTGCTGGACGAGAACTACGGCCAGAAGGACGACGCCAAAGAGGCCAAGGTTAAAGAGCTGTACAACGAGTTGAATTTGAACCAGAGATACAAGGATTATGAAGAGAAGCGCGTTGGGGAGCTGCGGCAATTGATCTCGAAAGTGGACGAGTCGTCAGGACTGAAGCAAGGCGTTTTCGAGACATTTCTCGCCAAAATATACAAGAGAGGAAGCTGAAATGCCTCAGACATAGCCTGAAGGTGCAAATGCACGTGCGTATCGGTCCGACAGCTTTGAGCGGGGGCTTCCTCACGGAGCGGGGCAACTTGAACTTGAAGGCCTGGGGAAAGTTTTAGTTAAGGTAATCCCTAACAAGTTGACGTCGTCCCAAGCTATAGCGTCACCATGCATCGAGAGTACCTTTCACGTCGCTTCCCTCGCTTGAGAAATACAGCATGCTCAAATGTCTTCCTCGATCTTTTGGATCTCTCCCACACATTCACACACGCTCGACACATTCTTGTCATCGTCATCACCTACCCGTCACACTGATCACTATGAGCTTCTGATCTATTGAACTCTGAAAAGAACATTCCCGCCGGTTGCCCTCACCAACGCGGATCTCCACTTCCAGGCGGCATCAGGCCTAATTCATAATAGCTCCCGCCCATTGTTTGAGCGAGACTCAGCGAGCACACTCTGCTCGGCATACCTTTCCTTGAAAAGCTATTGTACTTTCCGTCGCTGGCCGTGTACAAGTAGCTCGCTGTTGGCTTTGCATCAGCACTTGCACAGACACCTCACCGTCAGTGCTTCAAGTCGAAGTGTCGTAACGCACGGACCTGGAAGCGGCACATTCGACCGACGAGAGTGTGGGGAAGAAAGCTAGAAGCTCTCCCTTCCTTACCAAATTCCGCGTCTGTGCAACAGCAGCTCGACGCTCCTACAAAGCCCCGATTCGTCCTTGATCCCTTCAACTTCGACGTCAGAAGCCGCCAAAATGAACGGCGACTCAGGCAAGCGCGATGTCAAGAACCACCTGCTGTTCGAAATAGCTACTGAGGTTGCCAATCGAGGTGCGTACAGAATCGATCTCCATCTGATCTATACTGGCTGACTGATCTCGTTCACAGTGGGTGGGATTTACTCTGTTCTCAAGTCCAAAGCTCCTGTCTCGACTGCAGAATATGGCGATCGCTATGTCCTCATCGGGCCTCTCAACAAAGCTTCGGTAGGTGCTGAGAAGCTATGCGAGGCCACACACTGATCAATCCCAGGCTGCGGTCGAAGTCGAACAAATCGAGCCGCCACAAGGGCACCTTCGCGACACAATAGCTGCCATGCAAGAGAGAGGTATCGAGATAATGTATGGACGTTGGCTGATCGAGGGCGCACCACGAGTTCTTCTCATCAATACCGGTACCGGCTACCGGTGGCTCGACGAGTGGAAAGGTGACCTGTGGACACAGGCTGGTATTCCGTCTCCGGCTAGTGACCACGAGACCAACGAAGCCATCGTGTTTGGCTATCTTGTAGCGTGGTTCTTGGGAGAAGTATGCTGACCCTGTGGTCTTCTGGGCATGTGCTGACATTGTGTAGTTCGTATCGAGAGAACAAACCCGGGCTGTCATCGCCCATTTCCATGAATGGCTCGCAGCTGTTGCGATACCACTGACCAAGAAACGGCAGATGGACCTCACCACTATATTTACCACTCACGCCACGCTCCTCGGCCGCTACTTGTGCGCAGGCTCAGTCGACTTTTACAACAATCTCCAGTATTTCGACGTCGATTCTGAAGCTGGCAAACGTGGTATTTACCACAGATATTGCATCGAGAGAGCTGGCGCTCACAGCTGTGATGTCTTCACAACCGTCTCTCACATTACTGCCTTCGAGAGCGAGCATCTCCTGAAACGCAAGCCCGATGGCGTCCTCCCGAACGGTCTTAACGTCAAGAAGTTCTCCGCTGTTCACGAATTCCAAAACTTGCATTCCGTACAGAAAGAGAAGATCCACGAGTTTGTGCGAGGCCATTTCTACGGCCACTTGGATTTCGACCTCGAGAACACGCTCTACTTCTTCACGGCCGGGCGCTACGAGTATCGCAACAAAGGCGTCGATATGTTCATCGAATCCCTTGCTCGCCTGAACCACAGGCTCAAGACATCTGGTACAAAGACAACCGTCATCGCATTCATGATTATGCCTGCGCAGACTTCTTCACTATCAGTCGAGTCACTTAAGGGTCAGGCCGTCACCAAATCGTTAGCCGATACTGTCGGCAACATCGAGCGTGGTATTGGACGAAGACTCTTCGAGCGCGCTGTACACTGGAAGGAGGGCGACCCCATGCCTGACGAGAAGGAGCTGATAACACCAGCAGACCGAGTTGTCCTCCGAAGGAGACTATTCGCTATGAAACGCTCCGGGTTGCCGCCTATTGTCACACACAACATGGTAAACGACGCCGAAGACCCTGTCTTGAACCAACTTCGGAGGGTTCATCTATTCAATCAATCCTCCGATCGCGTCAAGGTCATCTTCCACCCAGAATTCTTGAACTCCGCCAATCCGGTCTTGTCACTCGACTATGACGATTTCGTGCGCGGTACACATCTCGGCGTGTTCTCATCATACTACGAGCCTGGGGCTATACACCCGCGGAATGTACCGTGATGGGTGTTCCATCGATCACGACGAACCTGTCTGGTTTCGGATGCTATATGGAGGAGCTTATAGAGAACTCGTCCGACTATGGTATCTACATCGTCGACAGACGGACGAAGGGCGTCGACGACTCCGTCAATCAACTGACCGACTTCATGTTCGACTTTGCTCAGAAGTCTCGCCGGCAAAGAATCAACCAGAGGAATAGGACAGAAAGGCTTAGTGATCTTCTCGACTGGAAAAGAATGGGCATGGAGTACGTCAAGGCCCGACAGCTTGCTCTGCGCCGCGCATATCCTGCCTCGTTCCAAGAAGAGGCTGAGTTCGACGATATCATCGGCGGAACAGAACAAAAGATCTCAAGACCACTATCTGTGCCGGGCTCGCCACGGGATCGCAGTGGATGATGACACCTGGTGACTTTGCTTCTCTGCAAGAGGGCATGGAGGGACTGAACACCGAGGATTACATTGCTTGGAAGCTTCCGTAAGTCACTTTCGGTGCTACAGAGGCGTTACTGACCAGCTGCTAGGAGGAAGAAGAGCCCGACGAGTATGCCTTCCCACTTACACTCAAGAAACCAAAGACCGGCGCCGACTCGCCCGCTCCGCTTGTGGGAGGAGCCAATGGGGCGTCGTAGTGAAGCACTCGGGAAGATCGTCGACAATGGCGTGGTAGGGAAGGCAAAATTGAGGAAATCGAGTACGACCAGTCTGCGAAGGTGTGTCTTGCGCCAGTAATTATGCTTTCGGTCGTTCATGTTTGAGGACATTTGGACAAAGCAGCATGATTGGGACGGACAGCATAGGTACCGTTGATCCTACAAATTAATGGCGGCCTCGTTTCATACGATCTTACCATGCAGATACTTCTCCGAAGGCGTTGACCACATTCGTCACATTCGAGCTTACAAGGTGCCCGCGCTGTGCAGTAGACAGGCTTCGAGTCATGAGCGTTACGTCCGTATCATGACTACAGCCATCCAACAGAACAACCGCAGCTAACAATACATCTTTGTGGCCGATGTCGACGGTGCTGTTTGCTAATGAAGGCACGTCATGGCAGCAGCCCTGCACCATGAAGTACTTATTACTTACCGCAGACTACATCGCTTCGCATCAGGCATCGAAAGAATCAAACTCAAGCCCTAGAAAGACCCTTCGCAACGAAGCAAAGAGCCACGAGCAATACTACGAACATCTCAAAGCCTAAGCGTGAAATGCGAACCTCCAATATGCATCTGGCATTGAGCCTCTACTCTTGGCTCCTCCTGCTGCTGATTATCCTACCTGCCCAAATCAACGCCGAACTCACCACGGTTACCTACCCACTCACCACCGTTACTCGCCCACAATTGATCATCACCCACGCGGGCTTTGCTACTACCAGGCCAGCCACTACATTCACCTGGGGACCTACCACTGTTACTGGCAGAGTTATGCCCAGCATTGTCAGCACGAAGTTCTCCACTACCACTTTGCCGGCGACGACGAAAACTTTGCCACCGACCACTTATACCTACCAAGACACCACTCTCTCCAGGGCAGCTACGACATTTGTTCGTTCACGGGCCACCACTATCACCGAGGAACGATTGATCACCGCCCGCGATGTGTACATGAGCGGAGATTCTGACCTGTGGGTGGCGGCGACATTGGTCTATACGTCAGACTTTTGCAAAAAGGGCGGCGCGTATCAGAATTGTGCACGGTCGGCTTATGATCATGTTTTGAGCCAGGAGGTTGGTGGTCCGACAGCGACTGACAGTGCAGCGGACGCGGGTAGTGGAGTAAAAGTTGTGCCTACTACTGTGTCCACCACACCCACAGTTTCAACAGCTCCTGCTGGGTCTCCGACGGGCATCCGCAGCGGGACACAAACAACGCTCAACACGGCGTCGACATCTCCTACTACTATAGCGACCAGTCCCGCCACTGTATCAAGCACTCCTACAACGACATCAACCACGTCTACCACTGTGTCAAGCATTCCCTCTACTCCAGCAAGTTCCGCCACTGCTTCAACTGCCCCCACAACCCCAGCAGAGTCTAGCAATGCGGCTCAGGCGATGACGGCCGTGGCAACTGGTACTGGTACTTTCGCGTTCGAACCAGGCTCAAGCAATGTTACCACGACATACCAGCCAGTGACCTCATTACCCTCAGCACACTGCACCGGCTCGCCTATTGTTCAAGGATGTCTACCTACAAGTCAGTGGAGTGTATTTCCTACTTACATCTCGTCGTTGAAATCATGGTCCTACTACACAATCAGCAATCGCACTCAGACTGCGAATGCAACCGGCAGTGGCTACGTCGTGACCACCTCGACGGCTGAGGGATCTCTAGACACCGCAAGCTCCTCCGCCACTGGCACATCGCCTTCTACGATCGATACCACGAGTGGCGGCACTTCCGCGCCTACCCCGACATCCGTCACGAGCACGACGAGTAGTGCTGTGTGAGTTGATAGTACTGCGTCTGATGATTGAGAATTCGGTCGTCCGTTCTTAACAGAATACCCACTGGCGTTGGCGAGGACTGGAGATCTACGTGAGGGTCTTCATGGCGCAGGACGTGTATTTGGACGAAGGGAGGTTTGCAATTGCGTTCAAAGATTGACTGCTTAGCACTGGTCATTCGAGGGGTCCACAACTGATATAGTATAGTGGCGATCGCTGTTCAGCGCCTGGACTGGTGTTACTAATACCTTTATACATCTCGTAGCAGGGGACCTCATAGATATGCTGAATTTCAGGTACATCTCGCATTATCGCTGCCCCGTACCCTGTCCGCCGAAAGGTCTTCCGAATCGACGACGGTCAAGAGCCAATAAGTAAGCTTTTGTGTTCAATAAGGCTATGCTCGCCTTGACCTGGCTAGAGAAAACCGGCTACAGCCCGTCAAGTCTGTTGTTTTGCTCGGGTTGAAGTGAAGCATCGGCTGTCGTATGGAAGTCGAGGCGGAGCACTCACTAGCGTTTGACATTGTTCGTTGTTGCCGCACTCTGGCAGCGTGATCAGATGTCTCATGAGATACTTATATCCGACTCTCACTGTTCGACCTCGCTCGACTGAAGACACCAGCAAAACCGCGAACCTCCATAGAACCGCCCACCATGAGGACCGTCAACTTGCTCGCCACCCTCCTTACCACACTCACCTTCCTCGCAACCTCTGTCGGAGCACTCTACACCATTTCAAAAGGTGCCTACGCCGACGCCACCTCGCCATCTACCATCAGCACGCCCTCAACCACGTCGTCTACCTCCTCAACATTCTCCCTCCCACCGGGTGTAACAATGCCCCTCCCAGCATGGCCTCCCTCGGCCAATAACCCGCCTCCAGCTCACCCTTCAACAACGAAGACAATCTGCTCCCCGGATCCCACGGCTGGGGCTTTCATTGCGCCTGTGTTTCCGCCGTGGTCGACTCCGACGACTACACTCAACTTTGTGACAACTAGCTGCTGGACTTTGGTTGAGTAGCGGCTGCCTGGTGATGGGTCGAGGTTCTCGGTGAAGGGTTAGGACGAATATGGTGGTAAGGGAGCTATTAGTGGTCTGGCATGGGCAAGGCGTAGTGAGGAAAAACTTCATCGAATATGGTCTTCTTAATCATTCACTGATCGCTCGTTAGGTGAGCATTAGAGAGGACAATCATATTCACTTTTCCTGCAGTGTCTGGAATGCTACTCGGACTTATAAGACCTACCTACCTTTTGTCGACGCGATAAGTGCCTCGTAGGCTGATAGAGGCGTTGGACATCGGAAGCCGAATGGCATGATTGGTAGAGACCTGATGGGTAGCCAGTCAGCCAGTGTCTGTTTTTTCCTTGTCATCCGGTCTCCCGACACTCCGCTGTACCACCTTGTCATCCGGTCTCGGCTGAGGTTGCCTGTCATCCGGCTTGCCAAAGCCCGCACGACACTTTCCCCTACAGGCCAGATCCCGTCTCGTAGGTAGGTATGACAGTGGGCGCCCTCCATGTCCTGAAGTGATGCCGACGGTCCTGTCCGCCTGGTTGCCTCCTTCGCTGACTAAAGTAACATGGTGCAATCTTGGGTGACTCGGCGAATTGCCGTATTGCCGTGGAGAACACGATCCAGCCGCCCATAACCTCCTGAGCTTCATGTTGATCACTATTATTAGTCTTGAACCATTCATTCGCCGAACAACCACTCAGCCCGAGCCCCAAACCCCGACAACATGGCAGCCGCAACGCGAAGCATCCTAGCCTTTGGCGCGACAGGCAACATCGGCAAATTCATCATAAACGAGCTTTCCAAGGCCCACCAAGCCGGCACTTTCTCACGTCTCGCCATCTTCACATCCCAATCCACAGTCGACAACAAGTCCACCATTATCAACGACCTCAAGTCTCGCGGCGTCGAGGTCTTCGTCGGTGACATTGCCAACAAGGACACCCTGAGGTCTGTCATCAGCGGCCAAGCCAAGGCCCTGAATTCCGGCAAATCTGACGCTGCATTCGACACCATAGTCTCTGCCGCCGGTCGCCCTGCCATCCTCAGCCAGATCCCCATCCTCGAGGTTGCGGAACAAGTTGAGACTGTCAAGCGTTTCTACCCATCAGAGTTCGGCACGGACATCGAGCATCCAGTCACCAATGACAAAGAGCCACCGCATCAGCTGAAACTAAAGGTTAGGGCCTATGTCCGGGAGAACATCAAGCGCTTGAGTGTCACCTATCTGGTCACCGGACCCTACCCGGAATTCTGGTTCAGACAAACGCCACCGTACCCATGGACGGGCGGTTTCGATGTCAAAGCCAAGAAGGCCGTGTTACTTTATGACGGAAAGAGCGAGATTGCGTTTACTTCAATGCCAGAGTGAGTCGCATTCGCGTTTACTGTCTTTCTGCGCGAGCTAATTCCTTTCCTCAGCGTGGGCAAGCTATTAGTTGCATCGGTCCTTCACCCGGAAGAATCACACAATCGTGCTCTGAAGGTTTGCTCCTTCACAACTACGCCACTTGACGTGCTCGCCGAGTTTGAGAAGCAGACAGGCGGCGAAAAGTGGCAGGTCGAGTTCACTAATCGGGATACACTTCTGAAGAAGGAGAAGGAAGCGTACGAGGTAGGCATACCGCAGGGGACAGGTCACACACTGCGGAAGATCTGGGCAGATGGAGGGACGATGTACCCGGAAACTGGCCACGATAATGAGAGGATCGGTGTGAAGGAGAAGGATATGGAGAGTCTGGAAACCTTGGTCGCAAGAGCGATCGCGGAGCAGACGGGTAATGAGGGGAAGCTGTGAGTGCTTCAAGACCAGCACTTTTGAGATCTGGTGACTTCTAGTGGTAAGTAAGACTTTCGTTGGCGACTACGTGATCACTGACTGGCTCAGCAGATAGCAATGCCAAGAACTCACTACCAGCACTTCTCAGGCTTGCTACATGTCCCACAAGCACTGCCCCGTGCTTCCCCTAACGGATGGAGCTCGTATGAGACTGATCATCATGGGGACATAGGTTTTATTGACTCAAATGCAGATTCACAGAAGTCGAAATTAAGTCCTCCCGGGAACCATTTCAAAAATTCTGGGGATTTCGCTGGCACGGATGGGGACTGGCTCAGATCGGGATCCCCACACCACTCATGCGCCCTACCTACCTGGCCCCGTCTTCCTAAGATACTTGCGATGCTGGGGAGGCGGAATTGGGCGTTTCGAAATTTAGAACTTGATATGACCATAGACGCGATTGCCAAGACTTCCGGGGATCATCCAGACCTGTCATCACAACACTGCTCATGGGTCGTGCGAAGCATTCCCAGAGACATACGCGTTCTCCTCCGACCTGGTTCTGGGATTGGGACTCTACAGCCGGAGCTTAAGCCATGGTCGACGACGACATACGCAAGGAGTCCTGCGATCAAGGTACCGTTTGCACCGCCTCAGGCGCTGAACAAGCGGCCTCGGTCGCGCGGGATCTAGGTCGCGATGCATCGGCTGTGCCACTCGAATGGCCCGTTTGCTTGGAATCTGGTTTGCGATGTGCCCAAATGCATATCATCGTGCTCGTACTCCCGTACCAGTAACTCCTTGTGCCACTAGTTCACCCTTCTGACAGACGACCAAAATGCAGAGACCCTGCAGGACTACGATGCTGGCCGTACTAACCGGACTTCTGTCTCTTATAGTTGCCGCATACAAGACAGGCCTACCTCCATCTTGGGCCCAGCCAGATTCGAAATCTACAGTCCACCGGACCCGTCGACCACCTCACGGCCATCTGCGCAAGCGTCATGGCATGTACGATGGACACGAATTGCGGACGCCCAACACGATCGTCCATGGAGTGTGTCCGGTGAGGAGATTCGAGGAGCAAAGGGCACCTACGCACCTGCTCTTCAACATCTCCACTACTGCGACATTGGATCTCAGCCCTTTCCTGCCGGAGGCGCTGCATAATGGCAGCACGATCCCGGTGCTGTTGGATGTGTTGTCGGACTGCTCCTGGCTCGCTGCCACGGATATGGTGTGCATTGACCCCGCTGCGCCTGAACTGGCGAATACGTCCAGCACAAGCGATGCGCCAGATAATGATACTACACCATTGGACAATTGCTTGCGCGGACCAGGATACACTTCAGATTATGTCGCAGCGATCCTCAGGGACGTCAATGCAACGGATGGCAGCGGCCAGGAGCAGAAGTGTACGCACTATCTTTCGGGCGACGTGACGGGCTCGGTCAAGAGTGTGGCGCTGCAGCTGGATTCGGCCTTGCAAATTTCTCCCGTAAGTATCGACTCAAATGCGGGCGACGAGCTCGAGAAAGAAATGTCGGCATTGGCTGTCGACATGATCCTCGCCAGGACCTTTTCGGCGCCCTCCCCGTTGGGCTTCATTGACTTCCAGCACTACTATGGTGCAGGTAGCGGTGTGCTTGGGCTTGGGACAGATCAGCTTCAGGCTGGTAATAGGTCGGCCCCGGTGTCCTTTCGAGGCTCAAAGTCGCACGTCCAGTCGAGCAATAGGGACTTCTTGGGAGATATACTGTCTACTCCAGCCTGGCAGGCGGACAACTCGTCTCGAGCCATAGTCGGATTGGCACTGCCCAGAGACGGTGATGTCGGAAGCTTCACTGTTGGGGCGTCGGTGCGCAATACTACGAATGCAAACGATATCGCGGACGGAGGTGTCATCAGCATGCTGCCTGCTGGGTCTGGACCTGCCTTCCGAGCTGTCAACTCCTGGACCCTGAAGGATGATCTCAGGCACTTACAATGGAGCTTCCCAAGCGTGAGCGTAAGTGTCGCCGCGAACGAGACGCAGCCAGTGGCATTGAGAAGGTCTCTCGACTCCGCCAGAAGACTGAAGGTCGCATCCGAGCTCGATGGCGATGAGCTAAAGCATCATCGACGCGATCTCCAAGGCGGCGAGCGGTACTTTATCGATACCGCTTTGCCCGTCATTTGGACCACGGACGCCGTGGCAGCGTTCGTGGCAAATCTGTTCGATCCTCCTGGTTGGATCGATGGGCCAACAGCCAGCGCTATGCAGCAGCCCGGCACATACCGTATCCCTTGCGATGCTACGCCACCATCCTCAGTTGCGATCATGCTTACTGACGGAAAGCGATATGTCTCGGTGCCGATGTATCCAAGCGATTTGATTGTACCCATGCGCCTACGAAACACCGACAACGGCGAATTTACGAACTCATGTATGAGTGCTTTTCAGAGCGGTGACTGGCAGCTTTCTGTTTCGGATGGGACCGGCCCAGTCCGTCGACACAATGGAACCGATGGGGACGTGACATTGAGAAGGCTGGGCTGGCCGTTCCTTCGTAACGTGTTGCTGGACTTCGACTTTGAGAAAGCGGAAGTCGGTGTTTCGGTGCGGAAATGGCCCAACGGCGAAGATGGGGCTAGTAACAAGACAGGCGTGAGCACGACGACTCTTGATGGACCAACGACGTTCACCACCAGTACGACGCCCACCTCGAGCGGTACCAGCAGCAGCAATTTGAACGTCACCGACAGTACTGGGTCATCAAGCTTGTCAGCTAGTTCTGCTGCCACCGTATCCGCGCCAGGTGGTTCCAGAGTGACAACGTCGACGGACGCCTCATCGATGTCCCCGCTGTCTTCCGTGGGGATAACATCCACGACTACATCGGCCACAGCTACAATCATGCCGATCCCACCCATCAGTTTTCCGAGTACAGACTTCACTCACACGACGGTAACAGACACCTCGGCCTCGGTTTCCAGCCAGTCCTCCACCGCCGTCTCGTCCACCTCATTTGTGTCTCCCTCTCCTCCGCCATCCACAGCTTCGTCCGCGACCCCATCAGATCCGTCGACCACTTCTCCGACAACACCCACACCCACAAGCGCACCCACCGAGCAGCCTCTACTTCCACCCTCCTTCCCTCCAACGTCAGACGTCCATACTATTCCCGCTTCCACATTCGACTCCGCGTCTTCAACCACACCTCCAACCCTTGAGCCACCGCACCCACCGCTCTCCTTCCCACCAGCATCATACACCCACACCACAACGCTCACCACCACCTATCACGACCCGTTCTTCACGCCACAGTCACAACCTCAGTCACAGGCCGGTCCTATCGTCGTGCCCGTTGAGCCGTCGTCGGGTGGTCCTGTTGTCGTGCCCCTTCCTCCATCATTCAGTGGAGCTGCAACTGGCGATCTGAGTCCTCCTGCGGGGATGGAACGTACGGCCGAGGCAGGCGGGGGATAGTGACCGATTGCTATACTCGTTGGGCGTGCGACGTACGATGGGCTCACTACCATAGGCCTGGGGCGGCCTTGGCATATTATCTGCACCAAAGGTTCGGTTCGCGATGATCCACGTCCCCTTCACTGGCCCGAGCTTACCCTGGGACAAAAGCGGGGGAGATACGACAAATATTCGGATAATCAGCTTTGAAAGTCGGGGAGGCAGATCAACGGTGAGGGAATCGGATCGTGTGTTTTGAGCCGCTGGAATAAAACGATAGAAGTCCCATCAGGGGGAAGGTGGTTTGCCTGTTTCGGAATGCTCACAGCTGCCGACGATGAAGGACCATTCATTCGCAAGAGCGCCGGGCAAGGGATCTACAAGGCTAGAACATACAGCTGGAGACAGGCGAATGAGTCTTCGAGAAACATCGTATCATTAGCATTCAATGCGCGCATTAGACATGATACATTACTTGACATAAACACCACCCAGACCCCAGCAAGATTATCCTGTTGTACATAGTACCACATACGCCGCGTCAACCTCCTTCCATGCATTCAGGCATTCATGCATCCTGCTTCCATTCAAACATCAACTTCATTACTCACTTCATGCTCGCGTGTTGGTATTCGTGCTATACTTTTGTTGTTTCGCGCAGTGAACATCAGTAGACATCAAGCGTCGCTACCATTGCTCGTGTCCAAGAACGAGCAGGTAGTGGGCCGCTCGCACCGGCGATTGGTGTACCCGATCGAATCTGAGGGGCCCTTCAGCAGGTATCCGTGCTCATGAACGAGGGGTTTGCGTGTGTTGCTCCCGCTAAAAATCCCGTCTTCAAAAGACGTCGTCCGGCCAGTTCCATGAATTCCTGGATCCAGCTGGTACATTGTTCTCCGTATCCTCTTGCTGCGAACGACCTGGAGATGGCATAGCGCGAATGCGCTTCATCGTTCCAGTATCGGCAGGCGGCGAGTACACATTGGTGTTGGTGTTAGTCTTGTTGGTGAGAGCTCCACGCCCAGGTAGTGGTGGGACTGGGGGAATGTCTGCCATCATATGGCTCCTTGTTGACTTTCGTGTGGCGGGAGCTTGGCGATGTTGACCGGGGTTCTTGTCTTCCAATGGCAGGTGGTACATGGAGCGTGACGCAGCCACTTGCAGATTTGCGCGCGACTGAGCTTGTTGCTCACGCAGAAGAGCTCGTAGCTGGTGGTTTTCCTTTTCTAGCTCTCGTCGGCTAGGTCGCTTTCGGTGATCCGTAGTGCGATCTTCTTCACTGATCTCTACTGGATCAGCAGGTAGAGCTGTGCTTGTAGCAGGCCCTCGTCGACGCTTAGTCGCGGGGGTGATTGTGCTGGTCTGAGATGTGCTGCGCTTTTTCTTCAAGGTCCGTTGCGGACCACGAATTGTAGCGTGTGGATCATGGACTGTACCGCCACCGTTGGATTTCTGCTTCTTTGTACCGAATTGCTGCTCATAGGCTTCTTCAGCTTTCCTCTTTCGCTCGTTAAGCGCGTCGAGTTGCTGGACTTTCGCACTATCTGATGAATCTGCGTCACTACCGGATGCGCCGAACAACTTGTGCATGCTCCATGTTGATATGCTCTTGCGCAAGCCCTTTCGCTTGGGTGTCTTGTGATCGGTCACATCGGTCTTCTCTGCCTCAGCCACTGGCTTCAAGCTGCTGGCGAACTTTGACAGTCGTTGTCTGATCGTGGCAGGCGTTGTGCATTGTGGTCGGAAGTCTGACAAGTCTGAGGAGCTAAGCGAGTCTGTAGAAGGTCGGGCGGCTCTCGGCGTAGCGTCAGAGTCCTCAGAAGCTAGGTCGAGACTGAGTCGGTCACCATGCTCGTCCCACGTAGATGATACCCCAACTGATCTAGTATTCATGCTGCCTTCCAAGAATTTCGAAGGGCGGACTGGAGTCTTGCCGGACTTCGTCTCCTCAACATCGCGTGTCTGAGGTCTACCTCGACTCGTCTTGGGGCGTTGGATCTGGGCATTGTCGTTTGAAGTGCGGGCAAACGGCACCAGCTTTTGCTGATCTAGTGAGTCAGATGAATCGTTTGAGGCAGGTATCAAGATGAAGTCATCGTCGTTGTGTTGTGTGTAGTCTTGACCTTTGCTTCCTTCCCATGCCGCACGCTCCTCAAGCACGAAATCTGGTGCAGTCGATGGCTTTGCCGGCAAGGGCTTGCGGGTCACGGCTGCTTGGCGCAATCGTGACGAACGACGCTGTGTGGGTTTGGTGGGCGACAGACTGGAAGTGCGCTCCGGGTATTGTGCAGACGACTGAGGCGAGACAATGTCATTATGGCTGCCGAGGTTTCGTACGCGGGACTGGAAGAGTTGTCTCGGAGAAAGAGGTGCGGCTGAGGAATGCTGCGGATCTGTGCGTGGTGACTTGTTCGAATGTGTCGCCGCCAGCAACGCGGCCAACTCGTTGCGATTCATCGCGGCCGCTCAGCTATAATCGACCCGAGCGCATGTCTCTAGCGAGGTTGTAGGCGAATGGCAATGCAGCAATGGGTTTGAAGTCAAGGATGTATCCAATGAACGTTTGTTTGGATTTCTTCGAATTGGGAAGCCGTTGCCAAGGCCTAACGGCAGTTGGGGAAATGAACAGGTTACCCAAGCGTTCAATTGAATCGTCCTTACCTCCTGCTGCCTGCAAGTTCCCGACATTCTGGCATAGTTACAGACACTGTCCTACAATGAGGAAATGAGCAACAAAGCTCTCCCGGACCATTCTGCGATGCGACGCGGTCGAGATAGGTGCAATGCACCGCGAACGCAGACCCCCACTTGTTCGATCTGCCTCATCACGCAATACGGAAGAGATATCCATCGCATCAAGACCTACTGACATCATAGCATCGTCCTTCACGTAGGTTGTGTCTGAGCAACGACAGAAGAGTAGGTCGATCTGTTCTGAGTGCAGACGTTGACGAGACTTGTCAATTCAAAGACGGGCAGTAGACGAAATGTCCGAAGGCCAGAACCCTCGATCTACAGCGTTGAGCACCACCGTCTCCGGTGTCGCCGCCACAGCGCTACGCTGGAGCCCGACGGCTTGGGCCAAATCATGGATCTTGGTAAGTCTCAATCTGCTTTGGCATCAGTGTCGATTGCAACACGTCAGAGGCCTGTGACTCGAAGCGGCACCAAGGATCTCTGAGTTGGCACCTTGAACAGCCAACGGACAAAAGGCCATTGCGGCAGACAGACCCATGACCTCGAGTCTATGACCACTCGCCTTCATCATCATCCTCCTGGAACCAAACTAACCTCCCGGAACAGTACATCGGCACCCTCCTACACGTTCGCCCCACCATCCTCCCACACCTCGCCCCCCTCCACAACATTGGCGAACATCTCCACGCTGTCCATATCTACACGACCCCCGCCCGCCAGGCAAAACCCGCTCCGTGGAGGCCCACCACTACTGCTCCCACCTCTCCAAAGACTTCCGGCAATGCCTCATCTACGACTCCAACGCCCGCAACGCTCGCCTTATCGGTGTTGAGTACATGATTCCCTACGAGCGCTTCGTCAAACTTCCCGCCGAGGAGAAGAAGTACTGGCACAGCCACGTCCACGAGGTCGAGAGCGGGATGCTGGTGCTGCCATACCCGGAGGGTCATGGTCGGGAGGAGTGGGATCGATTGGAGACGCAGGCGTTGGATGAGGTGAGGGGGTGGTATGGGAAGATTTGGCATTTTTGGGAGGTCGATAGGGAAGGCGAGGCGGGAGGTTTTCCCTGGGGCGAGCCGGTTCTGATGGGGAGTCTGACGGATAAGAGGCAGGCGGATGTGGATCAGTTGATGGACGGGAGGGATCGGGAGTTTGGGGTGAGTACGAAGGGGAAGAGGGAGATGAGGGAGAAAGAGTATGGTGATTTTAGGAAGATTGAGGTTGCGGAGGGTGCGGATTCGTGGTGGAAGGAGGCGGAAGATGGAGGGAGAGGTGTTTACGCTACGCAGTAAGAGATTCTCAGGGAGAGAGGTGCAGAATCTGTCGGCCAGGGCCACCCCAGCTGAGCTGGTCCCGCCCAGCGTGCGTAGGCTCAGTCGGCCGATTGATACGAATCGAGCAGAGCTTCAACAGTCGACGAAGGTCTATGATGTCGTAGCGGCGCTCATCGTGACTACCGACCAGGCTGCGCGCCCTTCTTCTTCTTCTTTGTTTTGTCATCGACCTGGACCCACTCCGTATGGACGCCTCGCTTGACCAGCTCTGATCTGACAATATCGGTCTGGTCTCCCTGCACAGTGATCTCCATCGTACCAGGCTTGCCGCCCATGAGCTGGCCAATAGAAGCAGAACCTGCGCACTTTTTCTGTAGCTCGGGCGCTAAGGTCTGTGGGTTGAGACCAAATGTCTCGAAACCGGAGATTCGTGTCACTGTCTTCGTGCCTGTCCGTTTCTCGATCGTGATGAGAACACTAGGTGGCGGGTACGGCTTCGGCTTGATATTGTGTGCCGAGAGTGTAGCGGCGGGATCTGCAGGATTGTACTCCTTGGACGCTGGAGGCTGTAGTAGAACCCAATGCGGAGCCATGAGTATTGTGTCGTCGGAGATCCGACGGGAGAGGACATCGCGGCCTATCTCGCCAGCAGCAAGTATGGCATTGTCTTCTGAGGAGGAACCGTTGAGGATGGTGTTGGCGATGAAAGGATTCAACTTGATATGTCGTTTTGAGGATGTACCTTGTGACAGCTCAGGATTGGCAGTTATGTAAGTCTTCAGTGTCTGCGAGACCTGTGCGCCGGAGTAGAAGCCATGTTTGGACGGGAAGAGATCTGGATAGAGCTTTGGTGATGGACGGAACAGCGTTACAAGCCGGACGTCGGAAGCGTGTGTGCCATTACTGGTCTTACTGTCGTTGGGTGGTTTCGCAGCTGCCGTTTTGGGAGTCGGCAGGGAGTATGGCGTGAAGACAAGCACTTGTTGATCGTCGAAGTCGATATCATATATCCTTGTCTCGCCGCTTGATCTTTGGTTTTGATCAGGACCTCCTTATCCAGCGCCTTCAAGAATTTCTTCACGTTCTTCCACGATGTGTTCTTGATAGTGTAGTGAGGCGAGTCGTACCGCAAGAATGGCTTGATCATTTTGTCGATAACACCGGCCTGTCCAATTGGAAAGTCGATACCATACCTGGGAGGTGGACTCCCTGATTTCTTCGCACTTACCACAGAGAATAGGAATGCTTCTTTGAATGCTGCGTCAACCTCGGGTGTCGTTGGCACATGCTCTGTGTCGCCATTAGGCTGCTGTGTCTCATTTTCTGTGTGCTCTTCCTCTAGAGGGGCCACGAGCGAGACTCCGCCCTCTTCCTGGGCAGCGTCCTCCTCATCATCGTCAAGATCAGCGTCCTCAATGCCTGTGGCCAGCCTCGAGGCCAAGCCTGACCAGCCTTCGATCGCCGTCGGGGCAGCGCGGCCTCCGACACCACTTTGGCTCCAAGTCCACAGTTCGTCTCCCTTCCAGTGTATGCCCTCGACCGCGGCGCCTTTCATACCTTGCACTCGACCTAATGCACTGACATCTATTTTGCACGTTCCAACCCAAACTGGTACCGTATCATTCTGCATCCCAGCAACGGCAACCACAGCGCCAGGACTGGCTCTTTCAGGCCATGGTGGACCACCGAACAGGCCAGGAGTCATCAGGTCTGCACCCGTCTGCAACTTCTCGATCACGAAGTCTGGTGTGTGCAATAATGGGACTAAACCAGGGTTCTGCCACAGTGTGTAGACCGTAGGATATAATCTCACCTCTTTCCCATACTGTATCCAGAGGATTCGTTCTTCGAGGCCGGGGTGTGATCCTACGTATACTGTTCCCGACACCAACGTGGCTGTCGCTCCGGCAAGTGTTGTGAAGCGTGCGCTTTGTAGATTGTCTGGCAGGAGTGACGAACGTATCGAAGACAACGTCGGCGCTGGTGAAGCATCACTCGCATTCTCTTGCTCCTGGTCAGAGGGTACGATGACCTGATAATCCGCGATTATTTGGTCGGCCAACTTGCGACGATCTGAGGACCGGAGAGGCGACAGATTCTTGATCTGAGGCTTCTTCTTGAACATTTTGATCTGCCTAGAGGATCGAGAATTGCTTTTGGATGAAGTCCAAGCCTGCAGCGGTAGTAAATATTACAACGCGAAACCTGGTCCAGCTCAGGATAGCACGTCGGCGCCACAGCAGGATCGCACATGCGAACTCGTGTCGAATATCGTAATTGGAGACAACTACTCGACCCCCGCACGGGAATAAGTCTGCTAAGTCCAGTATGGCTCAACTTCACGTTCGCACGGACACGGAGTCATATCACGTCGAGGTGTAGTTCCGACCACTGCATCAGGCCTAGAATCTTCAGAGGCCGGATTCTTGGTTCATGGCACCACGCATCCATGGGATAGGGTATCCCACCGCCGTGGATCTGGACCACCTCAAGGGGCTTCTACAGCTTGAATGACTCGGTGTTGGCTTCTGTGACGGCATCATCTGGCAAGTCATGACTCACATGGCTTGGGTGCACGCGGCGGCGTTGCGTGCGACCGGCCGCTCGATCTCTGCTGAATGACGGCCAAAAGCGTTCGACAAACTCCCTCGAGACAAAGGCTGCACTCTGAGGCACACTTCGCCTTAGTTCTCGGCGATTCGTCACTGCGAATGCAGCGACCGGGTGACGCAATGTCTTCGACTTCCTTGCACATCGTAAATGCCGACTACGAATCAATCCCTTCGTGATCTCCTGCATATCGCCAGCGCCTTGCAGCAGGCAACGATCGGTGGTAAGTGGGATGCGAGACTACCCTTCTTACGACTTGGCACTTTCCCATTCGAGTCGCGCCGAACAACAACATCTGGTAGTATGTGTCTGGAAACTTTGTCTCGAGCATTGGGTTTCAGCAAAGCGCCGGTGTAACCGCTGGCCTTATCATCGCGCAAGCATCATCCCAACCAACATCACGACTTGCCTTAGGCTCTCATTCATACGTATCTGGCGCCTTTGTCAGTGCCAGCAAGCGTCCTGACCTGGACAGCTTACCACCAGGACCCGTCTCAACAAAGTCGATGCAAGTACATGCGCCTCAAATCGCACAAGATAGATATTGAATGCACGCGGTGTCTACTGGCGTGCATTTTCTGGTTATGTGATCAAGGCGCCTGTGCGTACTCCGTGCCAGGGCTCTGCAGACCTGCAGCCCTACACACTGTGGACGTCGTGGCCTCATAACTCTTCCCATGCCAATCGAAGGGTCAACAGCGCATCCCTAGGAAGCAAGTTGGGCGCGCATCACTGATCGGCGTGGCGGGGACAATTAGACTTCGAGCAGATTCTCGGTACTTCTCAGCCTTGAATTCCAGAAAGGATGCCTCCCTGCGGCCTGCTGTGCCTGTCATTGAAAACTTAAGTATGCCACCAGTATGAGTAGCCAAATGGGCCATGAGTCTCCACCTCTCCAGTTTGTCAGCTCTTCAGCTGATCGGAGTACTTTTGTATTGGTGTGGATGAAGCTGAAAAGATATTGCCATTTGACTTTACCAGAGCAGAGCCTCAACCTCGACAGGCACCGGACACTCGTTCCGCGATTCAGGCTATATGATGTGCTTGAACCTTCGTGATCTTGTAGCTGCTGGCAACATGGAAGATTCCAGCTGGAGGCAAGGTGGAGAACGTCAGTGACACATTTGGTTTGGGAATGCGGTGACTAATGACAAGTCCACATTCGACAGTACTTGCTGCAGATATTAATGATGGTGACCTACCTAGGCTGTTAACCATGCAGTCACTGGTCGCATCATCAAGTAGGCGCGGCTGCAGTGTGGCCACCAGATACGATCCTGGGTTGCACTGAAGGGCACTTCAGTGAGATGCAGGCCCGAAAGTAGTAATTGTGGCCAATGATGGGTGAAGTCGATTTGCGCTTCGTACTGGTTTCTGCATTGACGAGCTACACGGGACTTTCCTATCATCTGAATTGGCAACGGCGAAAGGCTAAAGTTGCAACGGGTTTTGGGAGAAGGTGTGTGTTATTGAAGGTGATCCAGAACTTTGACGATGGGATTTCAATCACAACTGCCGGATCCCAGGCTGGTCGTTAGGGTGGTGCATGACGCCCATTCCAGGTCCGACGTCCATGTATGTGTCTCAACGGAGGATTCAGATCTTAAATCGACAAAAGCAATCCCTGACGGCCATGTGCGTGTTCCGGTCGCAAACAATATTGTCGGACTGAAGATGCATGCAGGCCGGAATTCGTGTTCTGGAAGAGATTGATGTTATAGAGGGCTTGTACCGACAAGCTGATTGGAGCGAGGGTTGTCGCACAGACTCCGGACGTTTTTTTTTGGGCGGCGGATCGGTCGCCCGAAGCGAGCTGATGGGCACCGGGATGCTGATGTCGCTTGCGGGCTGCCCAACCACTTTGGAACATGACACGAAACTTTGAAGAGATCGATGATCAGAAACTTTCCATCGATTGTCGGATTTCCAAACAGTTCGAGACACTTTGTGTCGTTGTTAGAGAAACCTATAGCCCGCAGAAGCGATCATATGGTTCCTGCATTGGTCTCTCGTGGCCGGCGTCTGATCAATGAATGGTATTTGAGCACCAAAGCGGCCTAACGATGCAAGTCTGCAACCGAAGAGCCCTTTCTGGTAGACGAGATGAGCGATCAACTGGCGTGAGATACGAGGAAATACGCATCATCGCACCCTAGAGTGTGGAGGTCGCACTGAGGAGGTGGCCCGCACCTGAATCGTGCAAGACGCTACTGACTCAAGCTGTATTGATGCAACAAATCATCGATTGCAGACATGACGCTGTCATCCATTGGACTGTCAGTTTTCGAGCTTATATTGGTGCGACTGACTTATGGCTGACTCTTGCATACCGTTCAACGGTCGAACGCTCACATGAGCAATGGTCCATGTAAGGAGGCCTCTATAAGCACTAATCAACCTTTGCCATGTGCCCACGACAAGCTCGGCAGCACGATACTAGGTTATGGCTGCTCGACCTAAAGAATCTTCAACCTGGACAAGAATTGTCATCCCGGATGACCTGCAGTGGCACACAAGAGGAAGGGTATATGCATGTTACGACCGCGGAGAGCGGAAGAATTGACAGATGATAGGTAGTACTGCATTGCTCGAAGAAGATGGTGTGCTGTCTTCAGAAAAAGATGCTGTGATACCAAGCACAGAGCAGATCTGTCTTTCCCTTGGGATTGCCAGTCTTGCGGCAGATCGAAACAAGTAGTCCCAGTATTGAGGATTCTCGGAGGCATTTTACGTTTCGACAGGGGATTGAAGGTCCATTCCACGGCGTTGGTTCCTGTTCGGTTTACGCACGGTGAGATTCTGGAATTGTTTATTCTCGGATTCGCTCTGTCAGAGTTCCAGGACTGTATGCGAGAGTCAGCACTCTACCCAGTACTTCGGGTTCACCGAACTGGTGCTCACACCATCTTATAATCACGAACGTCAGATGTAGGAAAGACCTTTGTGCTGATGGTCGTGCATGACTCGTGCCTAAGTACCATGTTCAGACCCAGGAATCTGGCTGGTGGGGAGTGGCTTGGGCTAAGCTCTGAATGGACTTAGCAAGCCTGGAAAGCTCCCTGAAAATCTCTGGGCGTCCCGAGCGCTATGGCCTGTCAGAGACAAGGCACCGGGGAGGCGTTTCTAAGCCTGTGAGCGCTCTGAATCCACCCGGTTGGACTTGAACTCTCTCTTCTCTCCCGTCCCACAGAGTTTCCTGACCTCCACCTCCATCATCTTCCCTTCTCGTCGTCGTCTCTCTTGCATCTGAATATTTTGCCACAGACGCAGCATATATCTGTGTGTTGTCCGTGACCTGTTCAATCGTATCATCGCCTCTACTGCCGGACGTCTCAGGGAGCGATCGGATTGCAACGTCAACCTGAACTCTACCTCAATCTCCGCACAGCTGTGACGAAGTGTTACCAGTCTCCCGGGTCTCTCTCACCAACCACCAGCGTTCGACAACAGACATCGACCTTCTACTTGTCAGCCTCCAAGAAGTTGATGCAGACTACCTCAGGCATAAATCTTGCTCGCAATTGAGTTGCGCTGGCACCAAAACATAGCGACCAACAGACGCCAGCGTCACATCAGTAGGAACAGAGAGGGGTTCAAGCAACGGTCCAGTACCGCAGTTCTCGAGGCCAAAGTACGCGTTTTGTCCCAGGTCAGTGTTGCCCCTACGTTATATGCACGCTCGCTCGCACTTTCCAACCGTCTGGTACTGTACTTGCCGGCTCACGGGCATTATTTCTGTCTAAACCCCTTCTATACACCACTTGCATATTCCATTGCTGCACGCTGCATTTTGCAAGCTCTTATCATCACTCCCTCGCATATCTTATGTCGCCCAAGACGAATATCGCCGCTATGGACGAGGGCCCGTCCCCTGGTCCGAGTCCAAGAAGCCATGGTCTCCCCAATCCAATGTGGAAAGACGCAGAACAGCAGGGCGAGGCGGACAGAGGCCGGCCTCAACCATCACGTCAAATTCAATGCGCTGAAGATCATCATCTGCCTGATACAAGCTCTGCAGACCGGAACAATCGTCCTAACGAGCATGACCACAGATCCTCGACCCATCAGCGTCTTCCACCAATCACCGTGCTTGTCAATCCTAGTCCGAGGCATCTTGTCCCAATCGCACCTCGACCGACTGTCAGCCAGGATCAGCTGCTTCAATTAGCGGGACTCCCCGAAGATTACGACGCCGGCCTGTTGCACTATACAAAATTCTGCAAGAGAAGTACATCATGGAAAAGCCTGCCAACGAGACCTTGGTGGCTTATGATCGGGAAACCATTGGAGGACGTCGACTGGGATACAGGCTCGATGTGATTCAAGAGCCAAAGAAAGCCCGCGCGTGCGGCAATGGCCCAAGATGTGAGTCCGCAAACTCTACGCGGTTTACGACATACTAATAGCCTATAGCCGCCTCCGACCGTCGACCAGTCGACCCTCCTCCTGTGATTGCACTCAACATCGCAGACCTTGCAACTGACGAGGACATCACCATGTCGTATGACGCGGGATTCATGTTGTATGCTTCACTTGAAGCCGCTCGCCCCCATTGCCAACGGCAAAATGGCCCCCGTCTCTGCCAACCTGCCTGTTCTGAGCGGCGTCTGCGTTGCGAGTGCCGCTTATCTTGATAAGCCATCGAAGGCGGCCTATTTCATTTTCCCAGATCTCAGTGTGAGACACGAGGGCTGGTACCGTCTCAAGTTCTCGCTTTTCGAGCAAGTTAAGAACCCGCTCGATGCCGACCGCGGTAGGGAATTCGTCGACGACCGCGCGTCCACTGGACCGCTTCCACACGAGGCCATGGCCAACCGCATGGAAGTCGTCTCGAAGCCCTTCCAAGTCTTCAGTGCCAAGAAGTTTCCTGGTCTGGACCAAAGCACAGAAACATCGCAGGTTCTGGCCTCTCAAGGTTGCCGTGTTCGCATAAGGCGCGAGATCAGGCAGCGTAAACGTACCAGTGATGACCATGTCAAACCCGAGCCAAGGAATCAGACTCCAGAATTCACCTTCCCCGGACATAGCCGGGCAACGAGCAGGAATAGCAATCGTGGCCCCCAAAGCCCACATGATCTTATGCGGCGACCATCGAATGAGAGCATGTATCAGGCGCAGCAGGTGCAGGGTCGGGTTCCTTCTCTGGCCACTACTATGGGCAGCATTTCGCACGCAAGTCCGATAACGCCTACAACACCTCACATGCACTCCATGCCACCTCCATATCGTGGTTATGAGCAATCGGCTCCGCCGCCTGCTCCATATCAGTCTCAGTATCCCAACTATCTTTCGCAGGGTTCAGCAAGTGTGAAGTACGAGCAGCTTCCTTCACCAGCCCGTAACAGCTTCCAGGAGACAGGCCCAACACTAGCGCCCATACAGACTCATGCACCAGTCCCGCCTTCGCCGGCGTCAAGACACCTCTACCATCTTCCCGAACCCACCGCGACGAAGCGGACCTCAAGCAAGTCATTCAACGATGACTACGCTATGAAGCGGGGCACTCGACCAGATCAGCCACATCAACCAGTATCATACTCCAACAACGATATAATCGAGGCTGATAACGGGGAGGAGGATCCAAGCGACCGGGAACCTCTGGAGTACAATCGTGCCAACGGTACAAGGGGCATGAGGATAGCGAATCTCCTGCTGTAGCGTGTTATTGGCTTCACCATATGATTTTCTGCGATGGCGCTTAGGCGTCCTCAGCATTTATGTCCCCTTCATCAATGCGCGGCGAATTGGTTGAGTCGTTGTCTTGACGCCGGTGCTTGTCCCGCGCGACGACTTTGAGAAAGGCTGCGACCAAAGGGCGGTTGCCAATGCGATGGTCAATAGGCAACGGGACACAGGAGAAACATCTTGAAAGAGAAGGTTTTTGATAGTAGCGAAGCTGGACAAAACAGTACACCATTTTCAGTACATCAGTAGGAGCACCCAAACAAAAGGGATTTTCATTTGAAGCTGTTGGCCGCGTACAGATCTTCCCTCCGCATACCTGAGAGTGTATTGACGATCGCCTGATCCGGACACTGGACTCGCGCCGTCGTTTGATGAGGACCGATCATAGCTGACATTGTTGTAGACTGCCAGTTGGAGATCAGACGAATGTCTGCGCGGTATGGTCACAGCTCCATTGTGATGCGCTTCAAATCAAAGGTCATCGGTCTGTACACAAGGGGTCTTGAACAATGCCACGTTCGTTCTTTGTCCATGCTGGTGCAAGATAGGTTAACAAGGAATTGCGGAGACGATGAGATGGTCACTTCTTTCGGTCCCGAAATTCCAACAAGCATTTTTTGATCTCAAGAGAAACACAGTCCATTTCATCATGATAATACACGACCTAGCAACCGCCTTGACAGTATTACTCCAGGCCACACACGCGAGCGCACATCCTTCTGGAAACTTATTTTCACAGAATGATATGAGTTGCGACGTACGGAATTTGACTTCAAGAGCAGTAGCTGATTTGAAATCTTGTGTCATCGAGCTGTCCTCGAAATCATGCAAGAACTTTCAGTCGAGTCCGCAAGATACCGTCACCATGGGCGGTGGCAGCGACGGGGGCAGAGATATCCCGTCACAAATCCCTAAGGGCTTCGTCCCTGCGGCCAACTGCAGGGCGCCGACTAGCCCCAGCGGTGGACTGAAGTACCAGTTGTTCAAGGTGAGAGATGCCTCCTGCGCTGCCAACGGACGCGGCATGTACGATATGGCAAGCTCATCACTCCAGTGTCCCCTACCGGTCCTCTTCGAATCGCATGCTGACAATGTTCTAGGGAGTAGTCGCTGTCGCAGAAACCAACTGTAACGATCCCGCGTATACCTGGAGAAGTCAAGGCCACATGTACGCCCTTGACGTAGGTGTCTGCCAGGAGAAGGAACTTCCCTTCGGTGGCTTCCTAGGCATGCAGCTTCAATACATACCCAACCCATATGCTCCGAAATCCCAGAGTGACACGCCCGCAGACAAGAAGACTGCGTCTCTTCAGTCGACGACGACCGCCACGCCGACTGTCGCACCTACCACATCACCCATTCCTTCGTTGTGTTTGAAAACCTACACAGTCAAGCAAGGAGATTCGGGCTGGGCGATTGCTCAAGCCCATGACATTACTCTGACTTCGGTGTTGATTCTCAATCCTGGCGTCGCTTGGGACAAGCTCCAGATTGGTTCTGTCATTAAGCTTCCTTCTGTAGCGAAAGGTTCTGATCTGGCAGGTTGTGCTTAGCTGGAAGCAGTGTTTGCTCCAACACAGCCCGGCATGACAAGGTAGGGCTTGAAGGCAGCGCAAGGCGTAGCTTTAGTTAGTATTTGGTTGCGTACTTGTTGCCCATGAGTGAATGATGTAACGAATTTTCATACTTGGATCCGATTACGTCTAATGCGATCGAGCTTTGGACGAAGATGGTGGCTTTTATGAATTAACAGCGGTCTGTCTGTCTGGTTTGCTCAATGTATAGCAATTAAAAGACGTGCTGGATGCCCCGAAATGAAGTCTTCCGGGCTGAGAGACATGAATATGCTCAGGGTGACCTGTACCCGAAGGGAAAGAAAGGTCTCCAGTGATCGCTGAGAACTTGAAGTTTCGGGCAGCACGTGACTTTGGTACCTCGACCTTAATTTCAACCACAATTTGACCGCAGGTCTACCATAGGGTTGGTACTGTATTTGGGTATGGATGTGATGAGCAATACCAGTATCGCTATGCAAGTCGTCCATGTCATGGCCAGGCTCCTCCAACGACGAGGCTTTTGAGTCCAAGCCCAGCCCGCCGCTGAGCGAAAAGGGCGGAGGTATGCTACCCTAGGCTGTGCTGATCTATTCTGCTCCGACATCACTAAATCTCCTCATCACCTCCCGCACCGTCCTCCTCTTGTTTCCTCGACGTAGTCCTGTTTCGCATCTCATAGCTCTCGCCTCCCATTCCTTGAGCAGCAGGCATTGCCAACGCCGCCCTGCCCGTCTCCGAACTCTCCAGGAACTCTCGCAGACGCTTCTTGCCCTCCTCGAGTGCCTGCGCCGAGGCGGCGTTCGCCATGTTGAGCATAGGGCCCCAGAGGTTGAGCTGATATGTGACGTAGGCGCCTGCACCGAGCAGGATGAGGAAGACGAAGTAGAGAGGGTTGCGGAGGACTGTGGATCGCATGTTAGAATTGGTCTCATGCAGATGGATTGTGGGAGTCGAGTGAGGTTGAGAGTGGAGAAAGAACTTACCAGCAACGATCTCATTCCACCCCAGCGCAAGAAGCAGACCATAAAAGTACAATGGGACCTGCGTCATGCCTCCAATCGCGCTGCGCTTAGCCTCAACATAGACGCCATCGGCGGCCTTCTTGAAGCGTACGGTTAGATCTTGGCGTTTGGCTTCGTTGAGGATCGTTGTTTCCTCTTCCAGGCTCTTGCCTTCTTCTTCGTCGACGCCTCCTATAGGCGTAAGGTCTTCTTCGTCCGCGGCAGTTGCTGCAGCTGGCTGGTGGCCTATCCATTTGTCTAGTGGTGGAGGACTGCCTGTTTCCGAGTGTCTGAATTTTGACAGCAGGGGTATCAGCTGCAGTGTGCTCTCACGGGCTTTTGTGTACAAGCCCTCAATGTCGTCTGTTGGCCGCCATATCCGTGGGACACCTTCTTCGTCGTAGCGGAATTTATCTTCGAAGTTCTCGCGCAGCTTCAAGAGGAGGTTGCCCTCCATCATCTCTTCATCAACTTTAGCGCGAAGCACGCCCCACGCTTTTCTGCGCAGACGCCAGATGCCAACTTCGACTTCCTCTGGGCTCGCATCGAAAGATTGAGCGCGAGCAGCGAATCGGGTTTCTGCCTCTTGAACTGTTTTGGTGAAGAGCACCCATATCCGGTCCCAAATGCCTTTCTCAACAGGCTGCGCGCCCTTCTCTGGAGCTCCGGTTCCGCCTCGACCAGATCCAAGCGCATTGAACTCCAGTCCGACACTGTCGGTCAACTTGCTTCGTACCCATCTCTCGACTCGTGTTGCCAGTCGACGCATTTCGTCTTTTCTGAGTTGTGCCGACACTTTGTCCAGCTCTTTCTGGTATAGTGTAAGTTCTTGGGTGTATGTAGACCAGGAAAGCCCAGCAATGGCGGAGGCCTTGGCAGCAGAATCGAATTTCTGTAGAGCAACTTTCTTCTGTGTCTTCACAATCTCGGCAAAGTCGTACGAGGCCCCCTTCTTCTGACCGGCCTTCACCTCGGAACTGACAGCATTGCTGAAGCCTTCTACTCCGAGCTTATGTGCTGCTGTGAGTTGGCCGGTAAATAGCGCCTTCAGTCGGGCGTCCATCTTCGTTTCTAATTCCGTCCTCTTCCGCTGGTAGACTCCCTTGTGATATCGCCCAGCCTCAGTTTCGAAGGCTGTGACGGCATCGGATCTCGCCGTTGTCATCACTTTGCCCAGATCCGCCAGTAAAGTAAACTCTCCAGTTCTAGCCGTGTTTGCTTGTGCGGTTTCCAGTGGCAGAACTAGAGCATCGAAGGCGACCATGACTTCACGCGAAATTTCATCGCACCGGAACTGCGCAAGAAGCTCTTGTTGTGTTGGCAGGTCCAGATCCTTGTTCTCAACGATCTGGTCCCACACGCCCTCTGCGTAGTGGGAGAACCCGTCGGCCGGGATCCTTCGGTGGTACTCGGGTAGGAAGACGCCGTTCTCAAACTCGCTCTTTAGTGGATCTCTTCGTGCGTCGCGGTGTCCATCTCGGAAACGGGTGGCCATTTTCTCAACTTCTCGGGTGAATTGCTCTGGCTGATACAGCTTGTGCGGTAAAGCGGTGAACGCGAAATCGAAGTAATCATCGATGCTACTGTTCTCGAGACCCTTTGGCTTCGACAGGCTCTGCCAGATCTTGGCCATGTCCTGCATCAGCGTGTTTCGGAGGTTCTGTAGAGGCGTCGTGCCCAGGAAATCGCGGACGACGAAGTAAAGCAGACTTCTGGATGTCGACTTCTTGTCCTTCAAGAAGAGTTGCAGATTGACTTCGAAGACTGTCTTGAGCAAGCCCATGTTCGCTCCCTGGTATAGTCCGACCTGATGTTCCCAGATGTTGACCATCAGAACCTCACTTGTTGCAAGCGCAAATAACGAACTCTTTCTTTCGAAGTCCTGGTCCTCTCCTCGCTCACGACCGTCTGTACCCTCCACATCCATCACGAGAATATTGTCGGACATCTTGCCCGTGGTGGACTTGTTCTTAGAAAGCCAGATGCCCTTTGTCGTCTGCTTCCGCTCCGCCTCGTGCATAACACCGAAGTCGGTCTTGAACAGCGCATTGAGGAGCGTCGACTTGCCGGTAGACTGGGAGCCGAAGACGGATATGACATGGTAGTTGAAGCCGGAGTGGGCGACTTTAGTAAACTGTAGGTATTTGGCTAGATCAGAACTAGATCTGTCAGTCTTACCGTCGCTGACGGGGCCTGTATGCGTACTTGAACTCTTTCTCTTCATCAATGACCTGTACGCCGTGCTCGAAATTTGCCGTGCCATTCTGGCCGACAGAGGCAAAGTGACCGTTTACAGGCATATTGGTGGGAGCGGTGAGCGCACGATTGACTCCTGGTGGACGAGTGCCATTACCAGATGTCACCGGAGACAAAGGCGGCGCCAAAGTTGAGGACGCCATGACGACGGATTTTCGTATGATCCCTGCTGACAAGCACGAGCTCAAACGGCTCGTCACCTGAGCACAGAGCCAGCGAACAGGGTGAAGGCGGGAGTGTGATGTGGTGTGGTCAATGTTCGCTGCTGCGAGTGGCTGCGGAAGCGATCTCAACGGTCTAGGCGTGGCTGGCCCCTATTGGCGCTGCGGCATGTGCCACAGTCCCACCGTGGGGTGAACGGCCGCCTCGTTTCGTGAAGTGAGAGTTTCGACGATTTCATTTTATCTTCCATAGCACACATCTTCCGGTCATACAGACCGCAACAAGTTCCGTGAGCTGGGTGGCATCGCACAAGCGTACTGACAGCCAGGTACAAGTCTCAATTGCGAACTTAATCTAGGGTGTGGTCCCGCGTCGTGGGAAGACTCTTGCCTCCGTGCTTGGAGAAGGATTACAGTCCTTCTGACATTGGGAGGATCTATCTCATACACTGTCTATCTATTCGACAAGCGAAGCTCGGGCACTGTTTGAATTGTGCGTTGCATGCCAGGCTCCGTTTGCGACTCAAAGTTGTCTCGAGTGATATACAACAAGCAAGCGTTACAAGCACTCTTCCTCTGGACGTTGCTCGATTCGCAGACAGAGGCTGAAACGGACCGCAGCTTCCTGATCATAGCAGAAGGCAGGAGTCGCTCGTGACAAACGATCATGGGCCGCGGAAGGCACGAGAGCCGGGGAATCACGCACACGAACGAGGGAGGTCCAGCGAACAGAACGTGTCTAGCAATCTTGCCAGGTGCTGAGTGTGTCCCGACGATCAGCAGACTCTTCATCGCGACACAGGAGATGCGAAACCTTTGGAGCATTTCATTGCTTTCAGAAATTGTTGAATAGCCCATTTCGCTGCTGTACAGATGCCCATGCCCCGATCTCAGCCGTGGTCGAGCACACTCGGTAAATGATGCTAGCAGGAACTTCCGCGCTATGACGACGCATAGTCCTTCCCTGTGATGGTACCGTCCTTCAAGATGCCGACATCCTTTTCTCCTGACCGCAACACGTTCCGTCTGTCAGCCATATACTGATAGTCTCTGAGATGTACTGGTGTTTGGCCTTTGGGCGTATCTGGGATAGTCTTCTCGAGTCCCTGCAGATCGTCAGTACCAGCGCCATGCATCGCACCACCTTCAAACCTACAATCTTGTTGAAGACACATCGATTGAGGACCCTCTCTGGCCTCCGGCACTGAAATAGGGAATGGTTGTAGTTCTCCAGGCAAGACCAATGTGCGCGAAACTCCTCCAAGCAGTGTTTGTTGATATCTGACAGCCTATTCATTCGATCAGTCGCACATATCGCATTTTCTGCGTCCGTATGCTTACACGCTCGCGGCGCACCGAGTAACCTTGCGACCTTCCTTCAAGCAGTCCAACTCTCCTCTGCCATATGACTCGGTCTTGCATTGCATGTAGTCGTCGTTGTAGGCCCGACACCTGGCACCTATGAAGTATGCCGCGCTCAGCAGAGGCGCTGATGTGCTTCCGATTTCCGCGACCTTTGGTATGTCATCGGGCATGGGGGTTGTGTCGATGAGTACATCCTTGTTGAACCTATACCTCTCGTCAGTGCGAGTCGGGCCATTCCATAGCTTCGACAGCATACCTAGCCTCGCGATTCGCCATCTTGAGCGGGTTTGCGGCGAGTCCGTGCTCGCTCAACGAAGTCGTGAGGTAGAGAGGCAGATGGAACTTGACGTTGAAGCTCCGGAACGCCAAGCATTGAAGATGCGGAGGGAAAGATCGCCAAACCGAAGCGCGTGTTTGCCTTTGTACTTTTCTACATCTTCATGCAGGCGCGTTCTGGCAGTTCCTGTTGTTCTCTTCTTGCCCTGAGCATCTTCCTAAGAGCGTCGCATTACTAGGAATGTCCATCTGAAGTATTCATACACCAAAAGTCACGCGCCGGGCCTCACAGCAATGTCTCTCTTTGGCAACACATCAACAAACACCGCCGCTAAACCACTTTTTCAGCTGAACACATCCACACAATCGACGGGCGGTGGCGGAGGCCTCTTTGGTGCAAGTCAAGCGAAACCGAACCCCTTTGGACTGAGTACAACCCAGAACCAGACACAAGGCTCTTCGATATTTGGCACGTCGCAACCAGCGCAGAACAACACCCAAGCGACGAAACCCGGAACGTTTACTTTCGGCGCCAGCCAGCAACAAAATGATGCAAATCAGCAACCACAGCGACCCCTAGACCAAACACTCCGCTTTGGCAATGCCTCAATAAACAGTCAGCAAGCGGCGCAGTCGCTATGGGAAGAAGGACGAGGACTGGGCGTCTATCGCTCAATACCCGCGCAGATGGAGATCATCAAAGACAAGTGGGACGCTGCAACCGTGCAATCGCCGCTGCGTACATATCTCTATCAGCATGTTGGTGACGAGAAGGAGGCTCTACAGTATCGCCCAGATCCCAACTACGAAGATGAGAACAAATGGGAAGAAGCTGTGGCGAAGAGACCTGGACCTACGTGGGTGCCACTTTTGGTGAGAGGGTTCAAAGAGATGGGACTGAAAGCTCAGCGACAGGTGGAAACGATTGGAAAGTGTAACATGCTACTGCGCGAAATCAACACGTCTCTCGAACTTCAGATCGATACACATAATCAGAAAGTTGCGGCGAGGTTAGCCGAGTGCAAGCGAAGACAGCAAGCTACAAGCAAGCGCACACTGGCGTTAGCGGCGAAGGTACAGATTTTGCGGAACAAGGGCTACGTTATGGACAATGCCGAAGAAGAGCTCAGATCACGACTAGACAAGCTCGAGCGTGATGTTCTGGATCCTGGCCTCGATGCCAGAGAGCAAGAGATCTGGGCTCGAATGCTCGGCATCCGGGAAAGAGCAAAGCGATTGAAGGCCGAGATGGACAAGATCACACCAGAGGCGGCCAACGAAGAACCAGTGCTGGACGAGAACACCGTCAAGCAGGCGAAAGAGGTATGCCTTTTCTTCCTAATTTCAATCACACTACTGACTCAACCTGCAGATTCTCGAAGCTTATGAGACACAGCTTAGACATTTGCACAAAGAGCTACAATTGGTTCAACAGGAGTATGGTGATTGGGAGAAGCTTTCGAAAGGCAAGGACGCCGATCTGTTACGGCGGAGGTGAAGCCATTCGTGGAAGAGAAAAGTAATGTGCATTTCCTGCCCAGAAGGGCGTGATCATGGTTTGGGTATCATGAAAGATGTTGGTCTACTGGAGGCCCAGGGCGATTGAAGATATTGTACAACAGGCGGCGCGACGGGCCTGGGCGGCGACTCGAGATGAGGAGTTTGGTGAGGGCTCTTAGAAGAGATTTCGTGCCCAGTCAACAACATGAGGCGCTGCGGATGGTGTTAGCCTTGCCACACATCTTCAAGGCTTCAAATCCTGGGAGCTCGAGACACACCGAACCATAGCGCTGCGCATGCGGCACCAAATATCTGAACGTTGCCAATTGCAACACGGTTGGCTTCCTGAAGCTCGGCTTCGCTCACTTGCTCCGGTGCTGCTTCGCATTAGTAGGTGACTGCAATGCATCAGGATGCCTTCACGTACGTCCGCCAAACATGATTGCTTCTTGAGAGTGACGAAGATTCTAGTACTGAAGAATCGCGGTCGTGGTCGTCGATCTGTGTAAGGTATCTTCGGGGAGTATTCGAAGAACTTCGCAGTTCCGAGTCGTCACAACAGAAACCGGGTTCGCTACACCTTCCCTTTCTGGACAAAGACGGCGACTACCTCTGGCTTTCACTTATGGATAAAGCAATTGCAACCACTCACTCACCAACGCAGTGACAGGAAATTCGATCGCCTTAGTTGTCCCGCTCGCTGCTCAATACCGGAGACCGTGGTTAGTTATAGGGAAACTGCTAGCACAACCGTCACAATGTCCGAGTACGATGACCCAAACATGCCCCCTCCGGACGCCATGGGCGACGACAGACCATCCGACAATGAAGACCAGCTCAACGACGTGAGCCCAGAATTTGATGATCCAGAGCCCGCTCCGGCACCAGCAGATGATGACGATGACGACGAATCCCTCCTCTCAGAAGTAGACGAAGCACAATTCGCCGACTTCGACCCTTCGGCCGTTCAGGTTGCACCAGATTACGACAGTCTCAAGACAATCAAAGCGTCAAGACGACAGCGAGCGCCCGGTGAGGAAGCGCCACAGAGGAGCAAGGAAGGCAGGAGAGAAAAGGTCAAGAAGAACAAGCGGCGGCAAGCAGATAGCGATGATGGCTTCAGTGGAGGCGAAGAGATCGATGGCAAGCGGCCACGAAAATCAAAGTCTGGAACCAACGGCGAGCGAAAGCCGCGGGCTCCGAGAGAGGAAATCGACGAGAGCACACTCACACCAGAGGAGCGGAGACGAAGAGCGCTCGACCGAGCCATGGACGCTGCAATCAAGAAGACCAGCACTCGACGGCTGAAGCGAGGCGAGATTGTGAGTATTGAGATTCGATGGTATGGAAGCCGCTAACATTCTGCAGGATCTGGAGGCAATGGCGGACACAGAAATCGCTGAAATACGCGAGCGCATGAACGAGGCTGCCAGATTGGATCAGGATCTTGTCGAGCGCGGTCAGCCCGCGTCCCATAAGCTTTCCATGCTCAACCAAGTCGTTGCTCTCCTCAGTCGCACCACACTACGAGCTGGCATCCTCGATCCCGACACCAACATACTTGAATCCGTCCGCTTTTTCCTGGAGCCCCTGTCGGACGGGTCTTTGCCAGCCTACAACATTCAGCGCGAATTGTTCACCGTACTCAACGACCTGCCGATGACGAAAGACGCCCTCATCGCTTCCGGAATTGGCAAGGTGATTTTCTTCTACAAGAAATCAAAGCGAGCGGAACCGGCCATTAAGCGAATGGCAACGAAGCTGATGGAGGAGTGGTCCCGGCCTCTGCTGCAGAGGAGTGACAACTTCCAGAAGAAGCAGTTCCAGACCGTCAGTTTCGATGCGAGTCGTTTGGAGGAGCTCAAAGCGGTGCCGTCCGTCCAGAAGAAGGCTACCAATATGGTGGGTCCTGGAAAGAAGGACACGAATCGTGCACGGCCGATCATGGGTACGGCAAGCTACACCATCGTGCCGCAGGTGCATCATGTGCAGAGTCGGACGAGATGAGGAAACGCTGGAGTCGCGCTTCAGCTATTGGGATCGGTCACGGTAAGCATTGCAGAGGAGTTTCGGACGTTTTGCAGCATTATAGGAGTTGGTGGTCGGCAGTTGCCTGTCTCATGAACGCCTCTGGCGTAGCCACGCGCTGAGTTGCTCTGTGGGTTACGAGACAAGACATGGCACCGATGTGGTTCAAAATGGACGCGATGTCGGAAAAGTAGCTCGAGGCTCTTCGTGCACACACCGCACGCAGAGCAAGTTTTCGATGCTGGCGTTGACAGAGGTGGTCTGCGGGAAGTCGTTACCGCTGCTGTCAAAGAGCATATCTGAAAGGTATATTTCGAAGGAAGCATACCAGATACTCTGCATTTCCAGATGGACAGCTGCAGGGACTTCAGAATATACCTCAAAGCGAGTAGCACGACCTCCCTTTCCCTGTCTAGGTCCGCATCGGGCACGCTCATCGATTACATGGTTACGGTGGTGTGATGTCCTTGTGAAGACAGGAATTCTTCGGGGCATGTGCGACCGTCCGTTGGCACCTGCTGTGGACAATCTAGCGGTCAACTGCACCTTGAAAGCAGGTGCCACCATGGCTGCCAAAGTTCTTCTTCAGGTTTCCTGTCGTGCTTGCACAATATCACTGCCATCTCTATCACCATCAATCTCGACTTATTCTCGGACGCAGCGGCGCCACCCTTTGACGCACTGTGTGGGGACGAACAAGTAGCCTTTCGTACCTGGAATCCCGCATTAGGGAACAGCGCTTGCTGACGATAGGCGTGATTAAGTAATGTCGTTGCCCCTGGTGCCCCAGTACCTTCTCCTTCAGTGGTCAAGTATCGCTGACATTTCAGATCCACTAGACGAGCGGCCGAGGACTAATCAATCGCAACGGACAAAAGGTTCACTAGACGACACTTATACATCTTCAACCCATCAACCCTAAACAATTGAGTGTGCTCTAAGAAAGTTCAGAAGCATTTTGATCGAGGCAGCAGAAGTTGGAGAAAAGCACTGATCTTCAAGCAAAATCGCATCCTGACATCACCGGTGAACTTCGAGCACAAGTCCGCGGCAAGAGGTACCGGATAACATATGCGATATCGTCGATTCGTGCTGTGACGATATACGGCTGGGAGAGCAAGCGAGCTTCTTCCGTCTTGCAATCCTCTCCGCTCGAGCGTGCGAGCGTCACAACATTCCTTATTTCATCAAGCTCCGGCGGTCGAACACAGCTCATTGTCCTCTGCACCAGCGTTGCAACCTCGACGTTCAGCGAGCGCGCACGAGCACAGCTATAAGCTCGCTGATCACACCACACCACTAGCCACTTCCTCTTCCTCACGAACCGCCTCTACAGACCTCAAAACCTCAACTTCACATATCCACCACAATGAAGATCCTCACCAAAGAGGAAGAAGCAGAGCACTACCGCGAAACCCTCAAAGGCGGCTCCCTCGGCGGCGTTCTCGGCCTAGGCGTCGGCTTCGCAGGCGTCGCGCTCGCCTCCCAACGCTACCACTTCATCCGCACCCTCACCCTACCCCTCAAAGCCTTCCTCGTAACCTCCTCCGGCACTTTCGCCGGGATTGTCACCGCCGACCACTTCTCTCGCGCTTATGAGTTCAAACGAAACCCCAAGAACGTCGAATATGCGGAGCGGAACCGGGAATTGCATGCTGAGCAGGAGGCGGGAAAGACGTTTGCTGAGAGGGGGCTGGAGTGGGCGAGAGCTGAGAGGTATAAGATTGTGGGCGGGAGCTGGATTTTGAGTATGGTCACGGCGTTTGCGATTGTTAATCGCGATAAGTACCTCACGGGGGCGCAGAAGATCGTGCAAGCTAGGGTGTACGCGCAGTTTTTGACGTTGGGTGTGTTGGTGGCCTCGGCGGCGTTTGAGATTTCGGATCAGAGGAAGCAGCAAGGACGGTATGAGACGGTCAAATACGTCGACCCCAACGATCCCGAGCATAAGAGGGTGCTGGAGAAGCAGGTTGAGGTTGGTGGAAAGGGAAGTGGGAGTGCGTATGGAGGTCAGAGGGAGGACAGACAAGGGAGGGATCTGTGGAAGGATATGGTGGAGTCGGAAGAGGAGAGGATCAAGGCGCGGGAAAAGGATGAGAAGCGATTGAGAGGGAATGGACATGAGAAGCATAAGAAGGGTGGGAAGAAGGAGGAAAAGGAGGACAAGAAGAAGGATGACGAGAGTGAGGACGAGGACGAGGGAAAGGATGACAAAAAGGACGATAAGAAAGATGCGAAGAAGGATAGCAAAAAGGACGACAAGAAGGATGATAAGAAGGAGGAGAAGAAGGACGACAAAAAGAAGTGAACGATATCGTCAGTGGAGGTCGACAGCGAAGGGTGATGGGAGGCCAAGCGGGCTCCTGACACATCCACATTGCATGGTTTGTGCAGCGTCGCCGACATTTGGGCATGTTTGGTCCCCGAGAGGTATGTAATGCAGGCGTTGCAGCGAATTTGTGCAAGATCGAATGCCCCTTTCTTGTTGAATACCATATCTGCTGCTGTCACCTGCTTCGTGAAGGACGTCTACATCGGCGGTACTCGATTAGAAGAAGGGTGACCGTCACAACAGTGGCCGGACAGATCCACGAGGGGCGTACAGACATTAAACGAAGCCGGTTGACACGTAGATATTATATATGCGCTCAGGCCAGGGACGAGGTCGAGGTGGTTTCGAATGTATATTCCACCTCTTTCTCGACAGTCCTTTTCCCTTGAACCAAAGTCCAACTTAGGTCACCGTCGCCGCAAATGACGCTGGAAATACGGCTCCTTCATCTCGCTGCACTATTTTCTTGCTTCCGTTGCGCCAATACTTGGCCAACAGCCACACTTGTGGCCAGAGTTGTACCTGACAAAGTCTAGTCAACCGGTCTCAGCTAGCTAGCACTACTAGTCAACCGGCGACAGATAAGACCAGTTGGATTCTAGTCAGCCGGTCTGGTGCTCCGCGAAGCAGGATGCACCTTCTGACCTGGAAGGTGGCATTTCTTGGACGACATTGGACTCACTAGCATTGAGCTCCACCGCCAATACATGTCTTGCTAGACTGGCTGGGAGCCTGATAGCGTGGACCAGTCGATTCGACATGTTGCAGACATGGTGGTACGGAAAGCCATTGAGTTGAAAGACACTGCTTGAGCGAGAACAATAAAGAGGAGGCTGACGAGCGAGAAGTGCAGTTGTCATTGTATGTCATTGTTGGTACATTTTCCTAAGGCCTAATGCGTGGTCGACAAAATCGACCACTGTCGTCCCTGAAGTAGCATTTCCACGCGCGGGCTCACTCAACTAGGAATCCGTCCCACTTCTGCTTCGCTACGAAATCTTTGAAGGGGGTGAGCGAGACGGTCTTGATGTTCAGCTATCATCGGACATGTTAGCACCGGGTTCCCTCAAACAAATAAGAAGGCAACAACACCGGAGCATGTCTCAGCATCTGTTTCGTGGGAAGACCACATGATTGTGGCTACAGCACAAGCGAGCAGTCCACGAGGAAGACATACCTCATCAAGCCCGACAGTAGGCGTGTCACCACAATAACCAAATTCATCATAGAAATGATACATTCTCTCGAACTCCACGCCAAAGCTTCCGTACTTCGCTTCATAGTCGCGGTCGGCAGCTTGCTGGTACTTGATCTCAACGCCGATCTGCTTAGACAGCACGGCACAGATCTCTGGGAAGGTGAGACGCTGTGAGACAGCTAGGACGGGTGTCTTCGGAGAGGGCTTGCGGGAGATCAGAGGCGCAACAAAGGCTCCAAAGTCGGCTTCGGAGGCTAAAAGCGCGAGCTGCGTCGAGGGCAGCTGAGGCGTGCTGAGAATATAGTGCGGCGAATCGGACGAGGAGGTCTGCTGAGAGAACAGTATATTAGTCGCCTTCTGGTAACAATACATGACCGGGCAAGGGTAGTGCAGCAAGAAGCTACCTGCAGAGACTGGAAATGGTGAGATTCGAGCACGGCGGCGTTTACCTTGCGAGGTCGTAAGTATGCATTAAGCTCGAATCTGATGAAGTTCTCCATGTAGTATGTCGCCCATATTTCTGTTGTGATGTCGCCCAGAGTCTTCTGGCCGCTGGCCTGGGATGCCGAAGCGTGGATCTGTTGTGCTAGCTGGACTTTGCCATCGTAGTGAGGCATGTTGGCAAACTTGCCGCTACTGACAGCCTCGGGACTGGGAAGGGACGAGAAGATGAAGTGTTTGAGAGTGTCGAGAGTCCGTTCTGCAGCGCTTATAATGTTCTTTCCACGGCGAACCTCATCGTCTAGTGCTGCCTTCCAAGGATCTGCGTGTCCTGTGGAGAAGTATTTGGCCCAGGGTTCCAGAAGTCGGTGACGACGAAGATGATGGTGGCAGACTTTGTTCGGGCTCGCGATTAGCTCAAGTTGCAGGATGTAGCCCCATGGGAGGGTTGCCTTGCTCACCTTGAATGCAATAGCCAGTGATTGTTCATCGTCCACGTCGGCCTGGACCACCTCGATGCCTTGATCGCGCAAAGCTTGGCGGATGAAGACGACGTGCTACTAGTGAGGGCTCGTATGGAAAGGTCTGGATGCTGCTGTCGAACGTATCTGATGACTGAAGAGCCTTGCGTTCCTGTGGCTCCGAGGACGGCGAATAGTCCTGACATTGTGAAGGGCGTTGTGATAGTGTGTCAGGTCGTATGGTAGTATACTGCTGGCAACAACGGTGACCGACATCATGATGGCTCTGCTATATATGCGATCCAGCTTCCGCGAGACTTCTTTTCGATCGCCCTGGTTTAGTATGTCGGCACCAGCATACCACTTGGCAGCCTCTCGACCGATATGTGACCGTCGCTTTTGTGGGTCTCCGCACCTGCATTAGTTTGGGGAAAGCAAGCGTGATTTTGTTGATTTTGTAAGCAGTGATCTTGGCGCCTTCTGATGTAAAGGCGACCATTTCGCGCAATGATCCCGCATTCCGAAGTAAAGTTGACTACTTGGAAGAGTCCTAGTCGATAAAACTCGCGAAGACCCCTGTATTGAGGAGCAATGGCGTCCGTACCGAGTCGCCGGACAGCCTGCGTGCGTTGCGTTAAAGGCAAACGACGATGCGATGCGCAGAAACCCAAATGCAGCCGTTGTACTCGAGTGGGTCTTTCCTGCATCTATGTCCGCACTGCTGGTGATCAGTCGAACCCTGACTCGGTTGCGGGCGCCGTTATTGTGCACAACTGGCCTGCTAGCATAAGCGCCGCTGAAAGGGCCGGATCGATCTCCAGTAGATTGACGGCACGATTTACCACTCCGCGAACTATCACACAGACGGTGTATCTGCCCAGAAGCCTGGTCACATATTGTTCTCGGAGACTCTCGGAATGCGCTTTCGATATCGTCCGGAGCGGTCGAACATTGTTCGTGAGATCGGAACGACCGCCAGACGAGCTTTCAGGTGCCCTGGGTGTAGCTTCGTCTGCGATTTCAACTTACCATTCCAGAGACGCCACCCAAGATGACAGGAGCACAGTCATCGACAAGTATCGGCACCTACTATCAGCAGCTCCATATTCAGATTTCCAGTCAGAATTAGAGCACACTCAAGCACTGTTGTTGTTGCACATCGTCCAGCTGTTTGGCCCCGATCAAGCTCTTATGGCGGAGGCAAGACAAGGGATCGACAAGCTTCGCCTGAGAATTCTGCGTTTACAGAGGCAAGCCGAACCGAGCCCGACGGGAAACGATGTTGATCGGTCATACTCGGAATGGATACGTGTCGAGAGTGTGCGTCGTACCATTCTTGTTTCCACATTTGCAGAGTCAATCTTCCTTGCCGCAACAGAGGGTGTGTGCACAACGGTCGGATTTGTAAGTTTCCGCACGTGCATCAGTGCAAGAGATTCTTGATCCAGGCTGACCGAGTGATTGCAGATGGCGCTGCTGCCAATTACTGTCTCGGGAGCGCTGTGGGCGGCTAAAGATGAACAAGCGTGGCGAGAAGCTCGCACGACGACTGGCTTAGAGGTGATGCAGTATGGGGATGCTGTCGAGTTATGGAGGCGCAGAGGATCTGACGACATGCTGGAAGAGCTACAACAGATCCTCGTTGCTGCATGTATGGCCGCTGTGACGAGGTAGACCGGAACTGTTCGTCGATTCCTGAGGGGGGGAGAAGGCACTGGCGACCAGTGGCATTGAAAATGGCGTTAAGGCATTGCATACATAGTTGGACTGGAGCCACCGGGCACTGGTAGCGGCGCGGTGCAGGAGTTCGTGTCATATCGTCGTTGATGGCGGCATGTGGACTGCTGGGGCTTTTTAGACCCGAGACCAGCTTGAGTGTTGGTTCATTTCCTAGACGTCGTCGTCGTTACCAACAGCTCCGGAGTGCTTTGTGACAAATGTCGCTACATAAGTTAGCAGAAAATGCCACGCCGATTTCAACAATGATTAACGGCTACGGGCACGGCGGCACGATTATAGCTGCTGTACCTAGGCAATGACGAGGGTGGACCGGATCCAAAGACTAGTGATGAGCGCAATCCAAGCCGATGACTCGATGGTGTGGTCGCTCAATTGCATGATGTGACTGCCTCGAGTCCTCAATGACTCAATGAGTATTTGCAACAGGTCGAGAATTTGGGAAGGGGCACCTGCTAATACGGATCGCTCATCGCTGACCACAGTATCAGGCTCAGAGGCAGTCTGTAAAGCCACAAACAGAGCACATGCCGCCTAGCATAGCAGACTGATGAAATTAATGCTAAATCGATGGTCCATTCTAGCTCAAAGACAGGTGGGAAGGACGAAGAAACATGTGCTGAGATTTCGAGGTGCAGTTTAAGCGTGCCTCGGCATTTGATGACGCCCAGACGCGACTTTTCTAGAAATGTAATCAGAACGCGCGAAAACGTAGCCCATGAGAGTCGCTTATGATGATTATATCTAGGTACTTATCAGTCTTCAACAAGTTGCAAGTACCTAGGTAGCGAGACTGCCCATCAGGCAACCTGTCAGAATCATCAGTGTCGTCGAATATATTCTATAACCATGATTGTAACAGTCATTGTGCTGCGATAGCATCAATCTCTAGCAGCCTATCCATCAATCCATCCTGTTCAATCATTTCCGGCGACCACGACACCGTACGTATGGCGGCAGACACTATTCAGCGCCTGCGGGCATCACTGCCTGCTCGGTCCGCAATCCTCACCTGGCGGACGTTCTTCTTCATCCTCGCCTTCTTGAACCTCAAATCGCTGCCTTTAGCGTGGCACTACCGCCTCCTCCGACGATTCTGGGCTAACATCACCCGCGTGCCCGATGTGCGTCGCGCCATACAAAAGCACGCCAATGCAAGCTCCTCTGCTTCTGCACCAGCAACAACTCACCCACTCTTCACTTTTCACACCCACACCTCCTTCTCGCCTCTGTATGAAACAGACTACAACATCCACAAGTCCAACAGCACCTACTTCTCCGACCTCGACGAGTCCCGTATGGGTCTCTGCACACGCATCCTCATCCCAGGACTCTGGAGTAAAGATCGGTCGCTCGAGCAGCAAGGCATAAAGGGAAAGATAGGGGTGTATCTGGGCGCTGTGCATTGCACGTTCCATCGAGAAATCAAGCCATACCAATCCTTTGAAGTCCGGAGTCGAGTGTTGGGCTGGGATCGGAAGTGGTTGGTCATTGTGAGCTTCTTCGTCTTGCCCGCGAAAGGAAGAAGGAGGAGGTGCTTCTGGCTAGTGCGCTGTCCAAGTACGTGATCAAAAAAGGAAGGTTCACGGTCAGTCCGGAGCACTCTCTGAGAGTCGCGGGCTGGCTGCCGCCAAAGCCTGAGCAGACGGTGGATGAGTCAGGAGTGCTTGTGCCACAGCCGCCGAGCGTCACGGAAACGGGCACTGAAGGAACGCCGCTGGAGAGTAGTCAACCTGTGACGAGCGCGAGCGCAAGTGCGGTTGTGGCGGCAGACGAGGTCAAGGAGAAGCTGGAGAAGGTATTGTCGAGGGGTCAGGAGCCGGCGAGCGACCCGATCATCTCAGCGGCAAGGACTCCAGAAGAGCCAAGTCCCGGAGGATGGGATTGGCAGCGCATTGAGCAAGAGCGTCTACGTGGGTTGAAGCTGGCAGAAGCGTGGCTTGCGCTGGACGGGAATCTGAAGGATGAGCATGCGCATTCGTCAAGCATAATATGATCTGCTTTGGACGTGAGCAGTGCCATTTGTGCGTGCTTCACCGGGAGTCTTTGCGCATCGTGCAATCAAGGGCATACACTTCCACAACGACGATTTTGCTTGCCAGAACTAGTAGTACCAAGGACTGAGCCTCGCAATGGCCATCCCGCTCGGCTGCCACGACTCAGCTCGACATGGCATGTGCTGCGAGCGCCACACATTATGGCATCATCCTTGCTGTACTGGCTGTTCACGACAGCAGCGTCATTCTGGCGACGTTGGCAATGCGCGTTGTTGGTCTGCGCCGGACACAATGTTGTTGAGACCGCGGACCACTTGCGCCATTGCGTGAGAAATGTCTGCGCCACCTGCTGCGATGTACCGATACTCTGGGCTGCGATTCCGAGAGATTGCATTAGCCGTAGCATTTCTGGCTGGGTCTCGTTCACGGCCACGGCGGGACGGAGTCGTGAGAGCAGGCACAACACTCGTGCTCGTCGCCTGTCGCTGACCTTCGACAGTGATTTAGCAAGGACTGTTCAACAACTTCGATGTCTGCCGAGAAACAGTATGAGATCAACCCACAAGCCAAGACGTGTTTCAAAGTCCTCCCAGCCCCAGCTTTCGACAATATTGGAGTGACGGTCCGGCTCCAGCTGCTTTCCTTCTGTAAATCACATTATTGGCACCCGAGAGCTAGGCGAATGGAACCATCTCCGTGGATGTCACTTTCGATAGCTTCGGATCACGTTTCTCCTTACCTCTTAGTTTACGAGGATGGCTTGCTCTGCCATTCGATCCATACCAGGGTCTGCGAGGCTTTTTGAGCTCATAGCTACTTGCGCGAGACATCGTGCAACTCCGCAATCGAAATGGGAATCCTCGATTCCTACGTGGTCGACGACCTCACTCCAAGGCTATGAAGCGGTCTGCTGCGGAGAACGGGGCAACGCTGGCACGGCTGGTCACCGGCCGACAGGGCTAGGACTTAGCATACCGCGCAAAGCCACTTCTTGTGGCGGTGTCCTGTTCTCGGGAGGCTAGGTGCAATGTGATAGTGTAGGTTTGCGCTGTGGAATGCGCAGCCCCGGCGCCCTTGGGGACGGGGATACCGCCAGGTCGCAGAGCTGGAAGCTCAACTGATTGACAAACAGAAAAGGTCTTGGTCGGGTTGAAACGTCCCGTGTCGCAGGACTTACTGTCTTCGCCCCAATCAAATTGGTCTAGAGCCACGAGGCTGCCGATCAGCGAGAGGCTAGATGCCAAAAGTCCACAGCTGGAATTTGCGAAGCTTGATGCCTGTACTGCGGCTGGATCATGCTGCGCACCCCGCTTGCCATCTCGCACGACGCACCATGAATGCAACGTCGGCTCTTGCGTGCTCTTGAGACCTTTGGGCGTGCACAGAGCAACAATGCGCCGCGTACACCAGCATTTGACCGAGTAAGGGGCTGTGAAACATTGGAACATTCTCGATGACAGTCGCTATAGCAAACGTGGCGACATGGCTCAACCACTGGGATTCCAGAAGCGTATGATGACCTGTGATGTCTATACTGCATCGAGCTTCCGTAGACAGTGATTCGACCAGGCGCAGAAAGCCTAACGGTGTAGGCGCAGCCGCAGTAGCAAACAGCAGGCTCGCATCTGCAAGCTGTCAGGTACCCGGCATGACACAGACCATGATCCTTGGCGGTAGTGGGAAGGCAGGCCCCTGAGCGAGCGTTCTAATGCAGGTACAGCCGCTTGGAAAATATCAAGCTCTCGCAATTGTGTGCATGAACGAGATCGCAAGGCAACGAGGGGCTACAGTTACGCTGGAGTTCAGGAATGTCGGCCTCCTTTTCAGAGGTAGGCGCTGCCAATAGGAAAGAGCGGTCAAGGTAGAATTTAAGGCGGGTCCCCGGACCGTAACTACGTCCTTTGACATGACTGGCTGGGGAAGCTCCGATCCCGAAACAGTGACTGTCGCAGAACTTCAACGACATCCCAGCTGTTCTCCTTCTTTTCGATGAGCCATCCCCTTCGTAAGGCATACTAGTCAAGCATGCCACTGCCAGCCGATCGCCGAATGTGGATCACAATGGATCTCGCCCTTTACCCACATTTATGCGGTTAAGCGATGCATGCTATTGTCACTTGAAGGAGCTTCACGGAGCCAATGGATTCTATATAGTACAGTCGACCTGCCGGCGGAATGCCACGAAATGCCTCCTCCTTCATCACCAACGTTCATTCTTTCGTTTGCTTGCTTAAGTGCTTGCGCCCAAGGGCCAGTCCCTCCTTTCTGCTCACATTCATTTCCACAGTCCTGCTTGAGGCAGACAAATTCCATTCCCTCGAAAACCATCTGATCACCGCGATCACTCACCACTACGATCATTACGCAATCGCAAGGTTACCCAACCGCGACGACACATTCATTCTGAACAAACTGTGATAGAAAGCCGTTCGCCGTCTTTCCGTCAACGATAAAGGTGTGTGCACAAGCCTTTCAATTCTCCTCATCTCCATTGTTTCATAAGTCTATTGTTCAACGACGAGACGAGGCACCTCGACAAGTTTTCTGGCATCACCTAGCAACGGGCGGCTCTTTGTCACAGGTGACTTTGTGGTCACAGGCATTGAGTTGTTCGTTTGTTACGGCCATTGTGCTCTTTGTCACCTTCGTCACCCACTTTCTTTCTTCTCCGGTTTCTACGGTTTCAAATAAGCACAGACCCTGCTGGCTTCTTCCACAGCACTCTATATCGAAATCTACGCAATTTCCAGGCGCAAAGACTGACCTCAGAAAACCATATTCAGAATCTTTCGGCAGGTCCAAAAGATCTTTTCAATCGTCACACCCAAAAACACAACAAACACATCCACGATGTCATTCACCCTCAACTTCCAGCGCATCTTCGTGGTGCTGCTGGCATTCTTCACGCTCGGTCAATCTCACATGATCATGCGCACCCCCAAGCCATTTGGCAGCCCTGACAGTTCTCCTCTCGATCCATCTGGCTCCAACTTCCCCTGTAAAGGTGGCTCGGGCTACGACTTCTCGAACCCAACTGTCATGCCTATCGGCTCGAGCCAGACTCTGTCATTCACTGGTAGCGCTGTTCATGGAGGTGGATCGTGCCAAGTTGCTCTTACGACAGATCTTGCGCCCACAGCCAGCACCAAGTGGATGGTTATCAAATCAATTGAAGGCGGTTGTCCAGCCTCGATAGCTGGTAACTTCCCTGCTGATCCCGAAGGCACTAGTGCTTCCACTTTCCAGGTCCAGATCCCTGATCTTCCCACCGGAAAGTATGTTTGGGCTTGGTCATGGCTGAACAAGGTCGGCAACCGGGAGTTCTACATGAACTGTGCCCCGGTCGAGATCACAGCTGGTCAACAGAAGCGTTATGCTCCGCTCGGTGCGGTGCTGGCTCCTCGCGCAGACTCATATCCCGACCTCTTTGTCGCCAACATTGCGAGCAAGAACAAGTGCGTCACGAAGGAAGGCTTCGACTACCTCTACCCTGCTCCGGGGCCCAATGTGCAGAAGATCGGCGAAGGGCCTTTCGACCACTAGTGTGCGATGAAGACTTCTCGAACGGCGCTCCTGTTGGGCAACCCACCTCTGGTGATTCACCATCTGCCGCACCGAGCGGCAGTTCTAGCACGCCCTCTGGCAGCCCGACCACTCCTTCAGATAGTCCTCAAGGTTCTGGCAGCAACGGCGACCCCGGCCAGAACACTCCCGGCACTCAAACTGGCGTTCCTGGCTCATTCGCCTCGGGCTCAGCCCCTTTGCCCTCTGGCGTCAACTCCGTTCCTGGTGGCAGCTCAAGCCCCGCGACTGGCAGCACTCCTCCTACCAACAGCTCCCCACCGACCGACAGCGCTCCTCCCGCAGGCGGCTCCAGTCCCAGCAACCCAGCTCCGGCACCTGCTGCTTCTTCAAGCACGTCTGGAACTCCGGCCACGCCTCCTACTAGCGGCTCATCTGGCGCGGTGGCTGGCAGCCAAGCACCCGGCAGTGCCTGTTCGAACGAAGGCGTATGGTCCTGCAGCTCAGATGGCAGTTCGTTCCAGCGTTGTGCGTCCGGTCAGTGGTCCCAGACCATGAAGATGGCTGGCGGCATGTCATGCACACCTGGTGAGTCGGCAACTTTGTCGATGAGCCGTGTGGCAGCTGGTGGAGTTCGCAGATAGGCGCTATGTTGGACGATGATGGTCTGCATTTTCACTTGCACATAAGGGTATCGAGGACGACCTCCCCACACTGACACGACTTTGCACGCATCTTCTTCTGATCTGGGATGTGCCATCTACACACCCACGAAAGCATTTTCATATCACGAACCAGACGATCTTCATGACTTGAGGAGTTTAGGCCGAGAGATAGTTGGATGCGAAGATGGCGGAGAGATGCCAGAATGATAGAATAGCAGTCGACGGCTAGGTCGAGGACTGGCCTGGGTCGTGCTGCGACAGCTCATAGCATGACAATGAACAAAAGATTGAACAGATTTGCATCTTTGAAGCTTTCGCCCTTTTCCCCTTCGACACAACTAGTGCCTGCGAATGATGTTTGCTCTTGACGCGCCCGTTGACCCCTGAAGTCAACGATCTGCTGAATGACGATGACGAGCGCGCATTTCATGCAGAAGCCGCCTCGGTTGGCGTTCATATCATGTAGCGCTCGTCCGGACTGGCGCATAGCCCACATCGCAATCGCGGTTCAGCTTTAGCGGAAGGAATATATCCGCTTGCGTCGCTGGTCGCTAAGCCCGTTCTCGGGTGCGGAGGCCCTTGAGAGCCAGGAACAGAGACAGGTCGAGCATCAGGGAGCGCATCCAAGAATACGATAGCAATGATTCACTGACCAGAAAATCGCCCTCCTTCGGAGACATCTCCAACCTCAGCTCGCATGATAGTCTGTTGGCTGGGCCTTCACCTTGCTGCCAGTGTCCTTCATCATTTGCTCCTTCCAGCATCCATGCCTGCACCATCCTGTACTCCCCTGAGCCCACGTCCATTACTTGATCCATATCCGACTACAAAAAGCGTTTGAACCAATCGAGGACCTGCTGTACCGAGTCCTCCAAGCACTTCTTCTCCTCCGGATCGTCTGGATTGCCTCGAACCGCAAATCCATGCCTGCCTGGTTTGTACACCTTATGTTCGATCTCCGGCAGCTTCAACCCCTCTGCCTGATTCTTCTTGTGCTCCTCCTGGATCTGGTCTCGCCACTTGATCGGCGTGTTGGTATCTTCAAGACCCCAGCCCACACTCATCGGAACGACTGGCTTGCTTGCGTCGGCTGGAAGTGCAAGATTTGAGGGATGCAGAGCGACGACCGCATCCACCAATGGGATCTTGCCACTGTCCTTGTTGCTTGGGTCAGAAGGGATCATAGCGCCTTCAAGGCCAGCTCGAAGCGCATATCTACCACCCCAGCAGAAGCCGACCATGCCGATCTTGCGATCCTTGGGCGTGGCGCGTCTCAGCGACGTAAGGAAGTTGTTGCAGATGGCGCTCATCTCCTCGAATTTGTGGCGGGTCATCCACATGATGAACGAAGGCGCGAACGCGAGCAGACCGGTGTAGAGGCTGAGTTTAGACTGTTTGGATTGATCGACTGGGATGAGCAGATCGACTTGGCGGAGCGGCACGGGCTCGCCTTTGAAGAAATCGGGCATGTAGACGAGGTACTCTCCTGACTTGGCGTAGGCGTCGGCGATGAGTTTGTTGTTGACCAATTGGTGTGAGAAGACGTCTGGGTACATGACGATTGTTGCACGTGGGTTAGTGCGGTTGCCGACGATGTATGTTTGCAGGCCATGGAGCTCTTCGATTGTGCCTTGGGGTGATCCGCGATGAATTGTTCCCTATCACGAGAAGATTAGTGTCTGACTGGGAAGGTGTCGGTGAGAAACACACTTTGATACAGTCCGTACACTCTGCGTTAGCCATTATGTTGCGTGCTATCAGTACCGACAGAAGATGCTCGGGAGTTCACCTCAAATCAGATGCTACCGGTGCTCGCAGTGATGATAGAGGAAATTTGGTCAACCTTTACCTTGGACACCGCTCTGGCGACCTTATATACACGGCAGAGGTGGGCTTCATGATAGCGTGCACGCGGCGTTCGTCTGTAGGGGGCCGAACTTCCGGTGGTAAGATACTAGAATACTCATCAACGCGGACACGGCATAGGGTAAATAACGGGGCAACTCTCCACCGTTCGGCTCAACTGCAACCTAAGTGTTGCCGGCTGAGCCCACATGATTGGCTGACTTAATCGAGGTCTAGCCCGCTGTTCAGAAGACACTTTTGTACGTCTTAGACATCGCCGTATCAGGACTGCAGGCTGGCTGGCAGGCACCAAAAGCGATCAGCGAGTTCTAGGTTGGGTGTTTTGGCGTTGCGTTGAGCCTAGCACATGCCACTGTGGCCACCTGACTGGATACCGCCTGCGCCATCTTTGCAATCAGCAAGTGTCGAGCGAGCTTCATGGCTTTGGCTCGACTGACGTTGCGCCAGGGGCATAGCGCAGGCTGGACGCGATAATCGCCTGTGCGACGGTCATCACCGTTAGGTAGCTGGGAAAGCGCAGGCGTTGAAGTGCTCCAAACCTGCCCAGGGTACAAGACGTGGAGTGCAGCTCAATTTCACTGTAGTCCGCCGTAGTCTCATTACATAAGCTCGAACTCTTGGCGAAGCCCACTGCACGAAAATGCGCTTTCGACTGCGGTCTTAAACACCAACAACCGCACCACGCTTCACATCAATCGTAAACTTACCTCCACAACCGTCAAGATGTCTTCAAGACCGACAGTCGGCATCATTGGCGGCGATGGCAAGTCCAACGGCAAGACACACACCCTGCCCGCCGTCTTTGGCGTCGCCATCCGCCCAGATATTGTGCAGACTGTACACACCGGCATGGCGAAGAACAAGAGACAGCCATACGCTGTGAGCGAGAAGGCCGGCGAGCAGACCTCTGCTGAGTCGTGGGGTACCGGTACGCGGGAATTGGAAGCGAGCTATCGAGCAATTGCTAATTGTCACAGGTCGCGCTGTTGCACGTATTCCTCGTGTCTCTGGAGGTGGTACTCACCGCGCTGGTCAAGCTGCGTTCGGTAACCAGTGCCGCTCGGGTCGCATGTTCGCTCCTACCAAGGTCTGGAGGAAGTGGCACCAGAAGATCAACCAGAACCAGAAGTGAGTTTACAGTTCGTCAGAAATGATTTTGAAACTAACATTTTCCAGGCGCTTCGCTACTGCTTCTGCGATCGCTGCCAGCGCAGTTCCCGCTCTCCTTCTCGCCCGTGGCCACCGCATCAACACCGTCTCCGAAGTTCCCCTCGTCATCTCCTCAACAGTCTTCGAGGGTGCTGCGCTTGTCAAGACAAAGCTTGCCGCTGAGCTGCTGAAGGCTGTCGGCGCAGGTCCAGATATCGTCAAGGTCCAAAAGTCACGAAAGCTGCGTGCTGGTAAGGGCAAACTCCGAGGCCGCCGTCACCGTCAGAGACGTGGTCCTCTGGTCGTCTACAACCCCGAGACCGACGGCACCCACCTCGTCAAGGCTTTCCGCAACATCCCTGGTGTCGAGACTTCATCTGTCTTCGCCCTCAACCTCCTTCAGCTCGCTCCCGGTGGCCACCTCGGTCGATTTGTCATCTGGACCTCGAACGCATTCGCTGCTCTGGACGACATCTACGGCTCAACTACTGAGGCCTCAGCGCTCAAGAAAGACTTCCTCCTTCCCCAGAATCTAGTCTCCAACCCCGATATTACACGTCTCATCAACAGCACCGAGATTCAGTCTGTGCTCAAGGAGCCCAGAGGCTACGCCACCACCAAGCGCACTGGTGTGCAGAAGAAGAATCCTCTCCGCAACCGACAGGTCATGCTGCGTCTCAATCCTTATGCTGCTCAGTTTTCGAAGGACAAGCTTGGTCAGCAGAAGCTGAAGGATGAGGGCAAGCCGAAGGCTCTTGCTGAGGTGTTCACCGAGACCATTCACACCAACTAGATGCGTTGTTAGCGTAGTATGAGTTCAGACGAACCGGCACCTCGACAATTCATCGTCCGAAGGCGAAGTTGAGCAGATGCCTCCGGAGTGGCGTTCTAGCTGTGCTCGCAACATGAGCAGGTAGTCATGATCAATTCTTGCCCAACTTTCACACCCACTCAGATCCTGGTCCAGTGACATTGAAATGCTTTGCTTAGCTAATCCGGGCCGAATTGGTCATTTCTCGGTACCGGGCTGGTAGCGTTTCTTTTAGGTACAGTATACTGCTGCGACACCCACCATCCCACATCAACTCAAATTGACGTGGCTGCGGGGAAATATATGGGATGCATCCTCATGACACACCTCGCACCACGGGCCGCCCCTCGCAAGCCTCCCACTATGGGAGTCGATGTACCCGAGGTACGTTTCGGCCACGGCTCATAACAAGTGTAGGCTCTACCGAGAACTTCAGTCTTCCTATCCAGGACCATTCGAGGCTAAGTTTCGATTCGAAACAAACGAGCAACTAGTATAGCTTCTCCAGATTGCTCAGCACGATAGGTAGAGGTTCAACAAGTATAATATGAGCGACGCCCTCAACAAAGCAGCACGCCGTCTGTCTAACCTTGCCAGCAGCATCACGGGACTCAATCTCAACAACATGGCCGGACCAGACATCCCATTTAACCCTGATGCCACCACCTTCCCACGGCGGAAAGACCTCCCTACCATCCCTGGCGCCCCGACCGACTCTGCCTGGGTATGGGGACCGAACGACAACCTCGGCCGTCTGAATCTCCTCACCCCTTCACGCGTTGCCGCTGCAGCAAAGGAGTGCATCAAGACCGGCGAAATGGCCCGCCTGGATCTACCGCTCGACGTCCCCGCCCAGCCAGCCTTCTCCCGCTGCAAGTTCAGCCACACCATCAAGCCCATTCACGAAGGCGTAGCCTATGATGATGAGTACCAACTCAACACGCAGTCCGGCACACAATGGGACGGCTTCCGCCACGTTGCCCACATACCGACAGCGACCTTCTACAACGGCGGCAAATACACCGACTTCCGTGCCGCAAAGGAAGGCGAAGCTACACCGGAGGACAACCTGAAGAACAGCATCCACCACTGGTCCGAGCATGGCTTCTCCGGCCGCGCCATCCTGCTCGACTACCGCACCTACGCCACCTCAAAAGGCATCAAGTACGACACTTCGACCTCCCACGCCATCACTCTCTCAGAACTCCGCGCCTGCGGCGAAGCCCAAGGCATCAACATCCTCCCACAATCCCAAGGCGGCGACATCCGACCTGGCGACATCCTCTTCCTCCGCACTGGCTGGACGGAAGACTACTACGCCCGCTCCGCCAGCGAGAACGAGAAATTTGCCCTTCGTGAGGGCAATGACCAGCACCTTGTCGGCGTAGAGCAGTCGGAAGAAATGATCGACTGGCTGCACGATTGCTGGTTTGCGGCGGTGGGCGGGGATCATCCGGCATGGGAGCGGTGGCCGACGCCGGAGAAGTACTTGTTGCATGAGTATCTGCTGGCGTTGTGGGGTGTGCCGATCGGGGAAATGTTGGATCTGGAGAAGGCGAGTCAGATCTGTAGGAAGGAGGGGAGGTGGTCGTTCTTCTTTGTGAGCAGTCCGGCGAATTGTAAGGGTGGGGTTGGAAGTCATGTCAACGGGACTGGTATTTGGTGAGTGAGAGGGGGAAGGTAGGAGGCAGGCGCGACCTGTATCTGGTGTACAGCGCGGCTCGTGTACGCTACAGAACCTTTTCAATGACAATATGGTTCCCGCATCATCTTCCAGAAGTTGTCGATGTACTTGCCCGGCCAGCAAAGCTCGTGCCAGCGAATGGTGGTGGTAAAATGATCGAGAAGAGTTCCTTCGTGATTCAACTTTGCTCGAGCCTGGAATGCTTTGTCAACCGGTCTGCTTTGGAAGCATTAGCTCCATTGCCGCCCTCCTATCATAATTACTCTCTAACATGAAAGATGCTAATGTCGTCAACCGGCGCATGCTCGAGATCTGCTTCTTGGGACTTCATTGCTTTCGTATTGCAGGTACCCACGACCGGGCAAAGGTACGTATAGTCATTACTTTGCCTTCACGCTACTGTTGTATGCTGCATGCAAGTGGCTGCCACCAATGTCAACTCGGTCCTGACGACGATCCTCTTTATGAAGCAGTCCCATAAGTTGTCAACTTCGGTGCACCCTCTGATGGAGGATCTGAGAACTTCGTCTGGACGAACACCTTCTGCATGCCCTCTTCTCTGGCATCATATCGCTTGTACACTTCCTCAAGCTCTTCCAGCAGTACTCGGTGGCTGACCATCTTCAATGGTTCGATCGAGCCGTCTTGGATCTTCTTGAGCAGCTCTTCCCAGTACAGATGTACCGGTGCTTGGCCATTACCGATGAGACGGATACCTCGCTCCATGAGCGAGCCAATGTTGAAATGGTTCATCTAAGTGTAATTGTCAATACAGACTCGAGATCGAGACGAAGGGAATGCTTACGAAGCCAACATATACACCCGTGATACCGACACGACCAAAGTTCTTGACACTAGTGATCATCTCGTTGATAATCTCAGACGTATCTGTCTCGGCACCGAGTAGGATCTCGAAGTAGTGTGCCCATCCCTCTGTGATACTGATCAGCATATGACATGAAATCAAGAACGACAATTTGCTTACTCGCATACTCTCCTGCAACGCATTCAAGCGCCACATCTGGCCCACCGTGCTCCATCTTCTTCAGCTGGCTCGTGACGCTCTCGCCCTTCGGCAGATTGGTGAAGTCCAGTGTTTCTGTCTTTGGGATCTTCTTCTTGACGTAGTCTAGTCGCCATGCGCCAGCACCGCCATCGATTAGGATGACTCTGCTCGCACCGCACATAAATGAGAAGTCGACACACATCTGACCAATCGGTCCCGCGCCCCAGACGGCGACAACATCTCCCTTCTTGACGCCCGTATCCACCACACAGTTCCAGCTCGTGCTCAGCACGTCACTCAGGTACAGTGCCTTCTCGTCCGGCACTCCATCGGGGATGGGCAGGAGGTTCACATCGCCGTACGCAACTCTCACATACTCCGCTTGGCCACCAGCATACCCGCCTGTGAAATGTGAATAGCCCAGCATACCCGCCGTCCTCCCTCCATACATCGCGTTCTCGATGGTGTTGTCATTCGTCTTTTCGCACTGACTGCTCCATTTCTTTTGACAGTACATACACGATCCACATGCAATCTGGAAACTGCACACCACTCGCTGGCCTGGCTTCACTTTCTTGATGCCGGGACCGACTGAGTCAATGACACCACAGAACTCATGACCGAGGATGTCGCCCTTCTGCAACTCAATCACAGAACCATGTAGCAAATGCAGATCAGATCCGCAGACGGTGGACCCAGTGACCTTCACAATCACATCCGTGTCCTCGATGCGTGCGGGCTTGAAGGTCTCGATAACTTTGACACTGTTTTTGCCGTTCCAGATTAAGGCCTTCATCTTTTCACCACTAGGATCGGCATATTTGCCAGGGTCTTGGGAGGGATTGGTGAGATTCTGCTCTGTCGTGGCATCGCCGGTATGGCCGACGAGCTTCTCGACGAGAGCGGCGGCTTGAGAGAGCGCCATGTTGCAGCAATACTATGTCCTGAACGACAACGAGATATGCGCGGGGTCTGATGAATGGTATTTACCTTCGATACTTACAGAATGAGGGGCGGCCGTGCATTTTCTATTTTGCGGCTCCTTCCCCCGGCGGGCGCATTGTAACCACTATGACGCCGTACGCGTTCGCTTAGACGCGCCGGACTATCATCATGAGGTCATGATGAATGGACACGGTGTATTTTTCCGGCAGATGCATAACTCCGGCAGATGCGATTCTCGTAGGATGACATGGGAGTTCTCGAATTTGTCGTGGGTGGAAAACGTCGTCGCACCGGAAAAGCCAAGCGGCCAATCATCGAGCTTGTCGCCGGAACGAAATTCGTCTCACTGGGGAGACTCATCCTACGACGTCGGAGCGTCTGTGCAGGTAGGCCTCGTTGTTCATCGACACACCAGCTCGACAGTGAACGGTGGGCTTGATGGACGTCGCTTTTGTCTTCCGTGGCACCTTTGTACCTGTTTGAGGTTGACCCTGTCCCACCGGGACGCGTGGGGAACAGGTGGAAAACCCGCAAAGCCTAGTTTTAAGTTCCCGGCGCCGCATTTGACGGCTACACATGTTCCCGGGCACAGCGCTGACCTTCTAGTCTCTCCGCGTTCTCTCAGGCTCTCACAGCCTGAGCTCCATGCTAGTCGCGGCACGAGAGCTTCTGCATCTGCGTAATTGGGAGGGTCGGACAGTGCGTAGGCAGCTATATGAGACTCCGGCTCCGTCTATGTGCAGTGGCAGATATATCTCGTTGCCGCTGACCGCTCACGCTGATGACAATGAGCTTCGACTGCCCATTTCGGGTCTATGCGAAGCTTCTGGATCTAAAGCCGATCAGCAACGAAACGACGAATCCGCGAGTCTGTCGACGAGGCTCAAGTCCATTCAGACCTGACAGACGCGTCGATGTTACACGGAGCACTGGGCGCTGTCCAGAACAATGGGCCTCGTTCCCAGGTGCTGGTTTGCCCACTCGTTCGTTGTGTTTGATGTGGTTTGGTGTCTCTTTGTGCTTGACGGTGCTACTAATTGGTCCAACAACGCTTACTGAGCTGCTTCCTGCACTACTAATGAGAGCCTAGACAAGGACTCTAGAGGAAGGTCAAGGTATTTGTACCTATATAAATACACGCAAAGCGCTTATATGAGGTAGCTGTTGAAGAGAACGAGAGCGGAAGGACGAGGATTCCCTACACCACGAGTGTTTCGAAATGCTATCTTCGAGTCCCAGCCAGAAAGGCAACAACCGCATCTCGGATGCTATGCGTCAGCTGCCAGCGATGACGGCTATCGTCCCTGATCTCATGCCCTTGCTGACCTTGACAGCGTTGCTTCAGCCCAAGGTCAGAGAAGATGGAGGCTAGTCCAAGCCGCACTGAGGCTTGAGAAGGGCCGACGAGCGGCTCGGAGTCATCGATACCTGTGTCGAAACCCAGAGAGGTATTCATCACCTGATGCTGAGGTCTTCACCTGCACCCAATTCAGCTGGCCCAGGCAACGTGGCCAAGAGCATCAGGCTCGCGTGAGTTGCCTGAAAAGGCGGACTGGGGCTTTCACCAGTCCGCAAAGAGTCTTAGTGGGTCAACGCGTGACTCAAGCAGCAGTAATCTGTCCATTCCGCACTTTCAACACACAAGGACGTTCCTACCATCACAAGCATCGCTCAGACAGAACACCCTTCACAAACGTCTCCCAAGAAAGCAACAATAGCAAGATGTCTGACCAGAACTCTTTCTCTCTCCCATCGCGATCGAAGCGAGCCCTCGACACAGAAGAGTCCTCGTCATTTGTCGCTGCTTCGTCGGGCGAAGCTAGTTCGCCTGCTGTTTCAACCCTTGCGAAGGTCGACGACGAGGCACCTGGGACCGCGAAGCGACCGCGAGTTCAACCTGCTTCCCCTTCTGCCCCCACAACTCCTCCCCGTGGCGGACGTACTTCCATGGGCCCACCCTCATCACCAGTGTCGACTCCACCGCATGGTAGTGGATCACGCAACGTCTCAAAGGGCTCGGCCGCCGCTACTTCATCTCCAGGCACTCGTGGTTCTCCGCGAACGTCAGCGGTCTCCTTCGAAGAAGACACCTATCCATTGTTCAACCCCGATAGGTCGGTCGAGAAGCCATCGCCTGGCAGGAAGATTCTACCAGCAATTGCTCCGAGCAAGAAAGCATCACCGAAGTCTCCCGCAGTCGCGACTCGTCCCATGCCTACTGCCAGCGAGCCCTCCTCCCCTTCTGCGGCTATCAAGCAAGGTCGCACAGGCGTGCCTGGCAATGCTGGAGCCGGAGGTCAACAGCGCGAGGATCGAGACGATGCCGCTGCCAGTGAGGACCCTTTTGTCGAGAAATGATAGGCCTTTGTGCTGGGTCTCACGTGCTGGAAGTCAGTGGATAGAGTTGGCACACTACGTTAGCAACCTCAGCGTATGCCACAACAGGCATAAGAAACGCAAAGAACAGAGATGCTCCACAGCAACCAGAATCTCCGTCTAAACGAGAGAATTGTGTTCACTCAAATTCACAATCTCTTACTGTTGAACTTCAGCTTTGCCTTCTCCAGAATTATTCTTAGCACACCACCGCTTTCGACCAAAATTACGTCCGGCTTTCTGTTGCGACCGCATTCCCGTCGAACGAATCTCGGCGCGAACTCACATCGAAGATGGCCAACCCGCACAATAATCTTGTGATGCGGCTTAGGCAAGATCGCAACGAGGTTTTGGGTGACAACGCTGCGCAAATGATTCTTCCCTGCCGTACTGCCAGCACCAGCACCACAGCCGCCACCAGCACCGGTACCGCCACACACACCGCGACCGCCACCATCGATTCTGCCCCTGCCGAGAACACAGCCGCTACCGCCGCCATCCCCATCCCGACCGATGATCAGTCGCTGGACGAGCAGGAACAGCGCTGGTACCATGCTCTTTGCGCCTATGTCAACGGCGACAGCACCAAAACATAAGTGACAATCGACATGAAAAACGAGGACAAGAGCGAGGCTCAAATGGTCGATACCAAGCGATCTGGGCGCATACTACGCGTCATGGCAGGAAAGCTGTAGCACTACTTAGCCTCAATCAAGCAAAATGAGTCACTGGTCTTTCCAATCTCTTCCAGAGCCCCTTTGCGTCAGTGATCTCGATGTCCACCTTTTCGTTGTAGAAGCACCTCAAGTTCACCACTCCAACACTTTCGCTTGTCGGCCGTGTGTAGTACCACACCAAGTCCTTGAACACTTTCCCACCTGGTAGGACTATGTCGTGATACTGTGCCTCTCCTTTGTACGGACACAACGATCTTGTATCACTAGGACGTAGAAACGCAGCGTTGATAGAGCTCAAGGGAATATAGTACCGAGTAGGCAAGGACGTCTCAAGAAGGTGTACCGAAGTTGTGGACTCAGCGAGGACTGTGCCGTCAAGCGAGATTCGGATGGGTCTGTTGGACTGTAGAGTGTCGATACGCTTGAAGGGATCCTTCGGATGTACGAAGATCGGCGTGTCTTCCTCAAACCACTGGTCTGCTGCCGCGAATGCTACTTTGACGTAGCCTCTTAGAGCCTCCGCTGGGCCTTTCAGACTCTCGGAAAAGCACACAATCTCTGTAAGCGTCTTCGCCCGTCCAGGGAGCTCCCCGTCAGGCGTCACGGTCAAGCTGCACTGGCGGCCCACCACGAGGCCCTGTGAATCCTTCAGCACCTCGCCTTCCTGTAGGTCAACCTTGAAGCCCTCAGTCTTGACGTTGAAAGCCTCCCTTGGTAGATAGAACTGAGGATAGTACTCATGCTCCCAGACATGCAGAGCACAGTCCGTGTCTGCGACGAAGGCGCCGTTGAATGAAAATCGCACGCGGCGTGGCGTTGGTAGCACCTTCCTCGGCCCGTGCTTGGCCAGGAATAAGGCGAGGTCTTTGACGTCCGCTGGGATATTCTTGTTCGCCATTGTGCTGGTTTGCGGCTGGCCGATGGTTCTCCTGGTCATTGTGGATGGATGAAGGTCATGCACGGTCTATCTGTACTTCGAAAAAGAACATGGAAAGATGCTAGGGATTACTTTATCATGCAGTCCATCGCCGACCAATGGAAAGTAGTGGGGAAGGATCGAGAAATGGTGTCATTCTATGAATCTTAATGCTGACTACCGATTCAGAGCAACGATCGACTACCTGAGCAAATTCTCGACATGCTTGATGACTGCAAGCTGTTCGCTGGTAACAGTCAGTTTCTGAATAGCAGCAGTGTATATTCGAAGAAAGGTAGGTGCAATGACCCACTTGAGCAGTTGTCCGAGAGAGAAGGGTCTTATCTCTTGGCATATCAAACAGGTGCACAATCCGGGCAAAGATCTGTGACAACACCTACGTGTTTACAGTCAGAAGACATTTAGACCAAGGTCATATTCGCTATGCAGCAGTCACATCGCCTTCCATTAACCACAGATCAGATTGACGCCGCTTTCCAGACATGTCTCAAGGTTCAAGATGAGGCAACAACTCACCACAACAAACGTCCCTTCGCCGCCGTGCTGCTTGGACCAGACAACACTTCAATACTGCTCTCGCATTTCTCAATATCGCATTATCAGCACGCCGAAAGTGAACTCGCGCGTCTCGCAGCCATCCACTATGCAGAGGAGTTCTTGGGAAAGTGCACGCTTGTCTCGACTTGGGAACCCTGCGCAATGTGCACGGGCACTACCTACTGGGTTGGGGTCGGTCGTATCTTGTATGCGGCCAGTGAGGGGAGTCTAGGCCGGCTGACGGGCGACGACAATGGGGAGAATATGACTATGGCATTGCCTTGTCGGACGGTGGTGGATGCTGGGCAGAAGGACATCGAGGTCATTGGACCAGTAGCGAAGTGGGAAGAGGAGGTGCTGCGGCACAGCGATGCGTGGTGGAAAGCTCACACGACGTCCTGAGGACTGTCACCGGGCACACAGCGGCATCTACAATTGAACACCCTTGGTCCAGCTCGAGCCTTATGTGATGTTAGGCACGGAGGCGCACGTTGCATTTTGCTATATTCCTACAATAACTTGAGGATATCTGCAACTTTGCTGCTTTCGATACCATCAACCGCCTTCACGATCTCTCCAGCCCGAGCGTCATCGTATACCTTGGTGACCAGCCCATGGAACTTTTCTCTGACCTGGGCCGGGCTGAACGGATGCTGCTCTTCGCCAAGAGGCCATTCCATCATCTTGTGTATCTTCTTACCATCTTCCATTTCGATATCGATGATTGTGCCCCATACAGGACATTCCGGGTCTTCGATGTGGCTGATACGACCACACAGCTCCCGAACGCGCTTGTCGTTAAATTTGTCATCATCGTACGCTGCGAAGCCGATGCCTGCGCCGTGGAACCATGTCACAGCGAGCTGGTAGTAGTTGCTGAATTGAGCATCGACAAGATTCTGAGGTGACAGCTTGCCGGGGACTGGCGTTCCAACAATGCCGTAACCTGCCTTTCCAAGTCGGACCTCCATCTTCTTTGGCATGTTGTCTCGGCCGAGTTCCTTTGCTACATTATTGACGATCTCAATGCCAGTATGCGTGTATCGACAGGCGCTGAATGGTTTCAGAGCAGTGAGTGGGAACTCCCAGTGCGAACCCAGAGCTTCGGTCAGACCATGAGTGTCTGACGACTCGCTGAAGGCATGCAGCAGACCGACTTTGCCCTCGAAGATGCGCGTGGCGCCAGTCACGCCCTGCTCAGCCAGTGCAACGCACAACATGGCATCGTGTGCGGCGAAACCTGGATGTAAGCGCTTGTTCCAGCTGCCGTTGTGCAGGAATTGCATTGAGCCAGACGCCTTCGAGCCAGCCAAGCCAAGGGCATCGACTACGACCTGACGAGGAAGGCCGCGAAGCTTGCAAATGGCGCCAATTGATCCAAAGATACCTGTGGTTGCTGTGTTGTGAAAGCCGCGTGTATACGAACCGGCGCCTAGGGCGCGAGAGAGCCGACAGACTATCTCATAGCCTACCGCAATGGCTAATAGGACATCCTGGCCAGATGCTCCTGTGACTTGAGCTTGAGCAAGAGTTGCAGGAATCACTGATGCACCAGGATGGACAGTTCCTGGCGCGTATGTATCATCGAAATCGTAGGAGTGAGCGAAAGCACCGTTCAGCAGAGCGGCGTATTGAGGAGCAAAATTGTGCCCTTTAGTGTAGACCGTACAAGAGCCAGTTGTGCCAGCACTGAATGCCTGTATGCCCTTGAAGATGGGAGCGCTCGAGTCAGAGCCAAGAGCAGCGCCAGCAGCAACGCCGATGTGATCAATGATTAGGTCCTTTAACTTTGAGATGGCTTTTTCTGGGAGTGCTTCATATTTGGCGTCGACAATGAAGTCGACGTAGGCGTCAGTGATGTGCTCGTCGCCCACGCCGTTGGTAGTGCCATTGGTCTTGATTGCAGTTGACATGATTGAAGTGCAGTATATATGCTTCTGTGGAGGAGAGAATGCTTGGTATCTATACTAGCTCAAGTGATGCTTACTGCTTTGATATACGATGAGGAACTCGGAGATCACGACCACAGTTACCGAGTTAGACGGTCCGTGATGATGTTGGCACGCGAGCGCGGTGCCCTTGGCTGTGGTCCTTTTCACAACCCAGAGTAGTCACTGCCTCGGATATCTGAGTACCAAAGCCGATCGGAGCGATGGTATGGAGAAAAACAATGCGAGCAGTGGCACGTTTCATGGACGTCGTGGGGTCAGATTTGGGGAAGGTCGAAGAAGGGAACCGCCGACTCTTATCCTTTTCTCTTCCAGCAGCCATTCACGAGCCACTTTGCCGCCAATGACACCTCAGTGGGATCCCAGAGCATGACGATTGGGCTGCCCATCACTTGTGGACAAGCCACTGCCAACAAGTAGCATGGTTTCAGTATGTTCTACCCCGCAAAAATCGGGAGCGCGTTCAACTCGGCTTTCGTGGTCGTCGAAGTCCGATCGGGCACGGGTATAACATAATTCAACATCAGATGTGCTCGTCGACGACATCAGTATCGACTTACCGGTAATCAGCTCGCGGGTAGCCTATCAATCGCCCTCACTTACGCTGCCAAGCAAGGAACAAACCATGATTGCACCAGTAGACACCCCACAAGCCTGGAAGGCCAAAGATGTTGAACAGAACTCATCTTGGATCCAGCGCCTTACGCCCGAGGAAGCGCAAGGATTCAATCAGGCCCTAGACCATGCCAAAACGACGGGCAAGGACCTGCTGGACATGGAGCAGTCAGACTTTCCACTCCCAGATGCGTCTCGAGCAGCAATAGAAAGGGCTATCGATGCCACCCAGGGACGATGGGGTATGGTCCTAGTGAAAGGTTTTCCGACAGATGATTGGAGTGAGGCAGACATGCGGATTGCGTACTGGGGAATGAGCCTATACATGGGCGTTGGACGAGCGCAAAACAAGGCCAGTGAGATCATCAATAACGTTCGCGACACAGGAGGCAGCTACTACGTGAAGGGTGGGCGAGGATACAATACCAATGTCCAGCTTGATTTCCACCAGGACTACTCAGACGTTGGTCAGTGCCTCGTTCTCGCATCACCTCGATCCGGAGAAAGGTCAAGTCGGGGCTTTTGCTAACGCTAGACAACAGTCGCACTTCTATGCCGCCGTACAGCAAAATCCGGCGGAACATCCAAGGTAGTGTCCTCGATTGCAATGCGCGAAGCAATGCAGGAGAAGCATCCTGAGCTCGTGCCTGTTCTCTCGGATAACAACTTCTTCCACAGCTTTCAGGGTGCTCAGGATCCGTCACAGCCAGCATACTACCGCTGTCCGATCTTTGGTGATGTCACCTCGTATCCCGTGCATCGTACAAACCGCAAAGATACAACAGCCGCGCAGAGAGACTTTCCAGAGGTGCCGAGAATGACGGAGGAGCAGACCAGGGCCATGGATAGTACGTGCCTCTCTGGCAAAGCAATATGCCCCTGTACTGACGTGCCTTCTGCAGTTCTCGACAGGTTGATGCCTTCAGACGAGTACTGCTATTCGATGGAGCTAGAGCGAGGTGATCTTCAATTGCTGAACAACTTCGTCATATGGCATTCGCGGACGTCCTTTGAAGACTTCGAGGAACCAGACCAGAAACGTCATTTGATGCGGTTGTGGATGGCGACGCCCAACAGTCCAGAGTTACCTAAGGAGTTCTCCGAGTTCTATGGGGATACCCGAGCCGGCGCAGTGCGAGGCGGCTTGAGAGGGGGATTCATCTCGCAGCAATTTACCGATTATGAGAAAAGGCAGGCAGAAAAGATGGGCATGCCATACGAGCCTTTCAAGGTGATGGTAAGCCAGGAGGAGATGGCAGATATCGTAGCAAAAGGCTGAAAGAAAATACGTGGTCAAGTTCGAGCTGTATACCATTAACTGCAGCCGCCGCTGCCACTAGACCAGGCGGCAATAATACAGCTTAGTGGGAAAGAAGTGACTTACATCGCATATCTCAGTGCGCCTTATCACAGTCTAATGCTGCGCTTGCTGTTCCAATGGCCTAGGTGACCTTACCTCTTGTGCTTTCTGCCAGTTTGAGTGCCAGAACAACAATCTCGCGTCTCACAGTGAAGCACGTGGAGATGTAGTCTGTCCGTGCAGTATTTGGGAATCACACGACACAAGAGGATCCATGGCAGTGGAAGCAAGGACACGAGCTCCTCGTGGATCAACACCAGCTCTGACCCGGAGAAGTCCTCTTTGCTTCATCCCAATGCGCTCAGACTCGTCGCCGCTACAACCATTCTCGTCGCCGCTATAGTCGTAGTCCTCGGCCTTTTAAGCCTAATCCCTGCGGAGCTGGAGCTGATGAAGCCGGCGGTGTGATAGGCGGCGTACCGCCCAGACCGTTGTGTATCTTGCCCTTGTTTGCCTAAGAGTACGCTACATAAGCTCTGGCGTTGTGCCAAAGGAGAAACTGTGAATTGACCTCGATCCTCGTAGCCTCGACTGTGTCTTGGGATCGCAGTGTCGCAGACTCCGCGCGATCCTCTTCTCGCGTGCCGCGGAATCTGGAAAAGGTCTTCACCGTGCTGTCGTCGCGCTGGGTCCCAGTTTTCGGTAGTGGTAGATCGGCAGGTGAGCAAATATCCATGTTTAATGTCACTTCCGACAATGAGACCGTGAGCCTACCTGTCCGGTGTCTCAATCCATTCAGTCGATCTATGGGAGAAGCCATACATGATGTACAGTATTCAAGACGCCTAGCATGCCATCTCAGAGGCTCGAAACCCGAAGCACATCCACGTAGTATGCAGCATCTCATCGCGTCCATCACGGACATCCAAGAGATATCAAACACACAACCGCCACAATCTCCGTCCCGTGCCATTTAGTTGTCGGGCATCATCCAAGCCAGTCCAAGTGTCGCCCAGTCCTCGTCGCCGCTTAGCTTTCCCTCGAGCCACATATCCGCCCACTTCTCGATCTTGCGCAGGGCACGATCGACCACCTGACGCTGAGCCTCTAGCTTTTGTGCTTCTTCCGCCGCTTTGTAGGCCTGAACCAGGTTGTGTAGATCTGCGGGTTCCATTCCGCTGAGTATCGGTCTGGCAGAGCTATGATGCCGTGGAGCGACTGCGCGAGTGTGCTGGACCTGCGAGTATGAAAGACTTCTGTTGCTCTTCAACTTCGCGAAGGAGCGATTGCCGCGGTGGCTGCCTTCGGCGTAGGACAGACTTCTGGTGTTCTTCAGGCCTCTGATGTTGTTCTTTGCGGGACCATGGTAATCGCCTGATGTGGACGAGGTCAGCTTCATGCGCTTGAGAGGTCTTATCTCACCATCTTCTTCACTACTGCTATCGTTGTCTTTCGCTGCGACTGAGGTTGGATTCTGGACGGGTTTGGGGTTGTTGACAGCCTGCGGATGGGGACGATGTGCTGCGGTCCGGGACCAGCGACCGCTGCCTGTGTGTGTCGCGCGCTGCCGCTTCGACATGATTGATGGGCTCTGCTCTCGATGTCAATTCAGGTCAGATGGTAGTGGCCTGTAAAAGCAGATCGGAAAGGCACCTAAGAGACAACAGGTGCAGCAAGCACACGTTAAGAGATTGAGGTCTAAATGGCTTGAAGGTGGAGGGGAGAAGAAGCTGAGTGAAGTGGTTGACTGGGTAACAATGTTGGACCATGGTGACATTGTGACTGCACTTGATCAGACAGAGGCTGCAGAATTGCTGTGAAGAAAGGCAGTAGCATTTCAATTGAGTCAATGCATCTGATACACCTCCATTCGCAGGCAGGCACCTAGACGGTCGGGCACGGGAAGTTGGGAGGTTCCTAGTTGCCGGCCCAAGTATCAATATCAATAGGTGCTCCCGGGCTTTAGCCAGCACTAAATTTCATCCAACTGCCCTTCCAAACTATCATTCGGTTGCGAGATCTCATGCCTGCCACCTGCGATGGGATACCCTACATTGACCTTTGCCCAGATCAATACCCCTAAAAGCATTGATCTTCCGCCAGAGGAGCCTGTTCCATATTGCAGCCATCCTTGAAATTCAATACCTGCTTCCGACACCAGATCCCCCGCCCGGCTTTGCTTCGGGAGCGCCAAACCCTCCCTCGCCCCCTCAACCCCCAACCCCCAATCAGGTCGCCCAGGAAATCATGCCCAAATTGGTCTCCGAGGCTGACTCCCTATTTCCGCAGTCCAGGTCATCCCGCTCAGGATTCCCACCCCTGTGTTATTTGTGGCGGAACTCAGTCGGTGGTCGTTTGTTAAACAACTGTAGTATCTCAGCATGTGCCAGTCCTCTGCCCGGCCTTTAATCATCGGACTGCCGCAAGCTTACCGCATATTCCGACATGGCCTGTTGTTCAGCTTATAGCAATGCAAACGCGATTTTGCAATGCCCTTAAGCGTATGCCCAATCGCCACCCTGATCGAAATTCCTGCTCAGGCAACAGCCTTGTGGGAGATACCGTTGAACTCAGCATGCCCGTTTTCGAGCACATTTGACTCATTGTCGGCGAGAGTTGGCTCTAACGTAATGTAGTACTTGCTAGAAGTGCTCTTTCACCAGGGTATTTCAGCTCAAGGTATTCAGAGCCACTGTCCGACCGGATCATGCCGTGACAATTGGACGTTCAGCCTCTAGTCTTCCCCTTTTGAGCCCAATCTGGTCCATTGCTCGCGCCAGACTTTGGTTTGTTGTGGTTCAATTATCATCGAGGTGCTTAAAGCAGCGAACTCTATACATAATGCTGTGCTTGCATTCGACGGTGGACAATTTTGGCTTTGGCTCAGGCGTCTTTCCTATAAAGAGCCCCCTCGCTGCTAGTACCTTCGAGGTAGGCGTAGTCCTTGTGCGAGATTTTCGCTCGCTCAATCGGACTGGCAGATATTTGTCAGTCCTTAAACATATCCAACAATCGATCGAAGCTGTGAGTAGACCCCTCGCAGGCGGCCTTGGTCTGACTCACTGACAACATTGGATTCTTCCAAATTGCTCCCGGGTTTGGAGTTTGGCATCAAGATGCCCAAAGTCGCGAAGCAGCGGGGCAATAGCCCCAAGACAGCCAAAGTGGAAGGAAAGCGCCAGCGGAACGTCGAGGCCGTGCCGCGGAACGACTATGAGAGATTCCTGTATCGACTCAAGAAATTCATGATCGATATGCTGCCGGAAGTCCCCGAGCGGGAGAATATCCTGCTCCCTCAGCTGGATGCGGCAACCGACAGCTTCCTCATTGTCGCCCTCAAAAGGAAGGCTCCAGAAATAGGTCTCAAGGCGGACGATGTGCGAAGCCTGCTCAAAAAGATGCTTATAGCGGCTGCCCTGGTGCTGGAGAGGAACGAGCGCATTGCGCAGAGGCCCCAGCCCCGCCCGAAGTGGCACGCTTTCAAGAGGACCACGGCCCAAAAGTCATCCCAGACGGACGCCAACAAACTCAGCAAGCTGTTCGAGTACCTGCATGAAGGCGATGTTGATGGGGTCTCTTTCGGAAGATGGTTCCCCCCGTTGAATGCAACAATAGGGCCGGATGGCCGTCTCCGCCTGGGCACGGAGGCTGATAAATGGTATAAGCGACTCGGAACTTCAGAGCAGCGCCAACGACTTTACGACATGCTCGACTCGATCGAAGTGCCGCAAGTCGAGGAGAAAAGGTCGGAGTTGGACGCGGCCGAAGGATTGCTCCTCTTGGGAGATAATGCCGCTGTTCACAAGCCGGAACGTATGGCCGATGCCAGCGCGAATGGCCCGTACCATGTGAGCCCTCCGAACACGCCAAAAAAGGCCTCCGGATGGATTGCCAACAACGCAAGTACGACCGATGCGAGACAGAGTCGTTATGCTGACCTGGCCAAGTCATCTTCCAACGGGTCGCGGAGCAACGCCCGCCGTGGTCTTCCGGCGATCGGGAGCGCTCCGAACACTGGAAAAAGAAAAATCTCCATTCCTGTATGTATGACCGATACGAGACAAGCAAGTGTTCATGCTGATATGACCCAGGACCTCCTCAACCCGGAGTCGAGCGATAGCAGCCGTACTATGAAGGCGACTGGCAGCACCGCCAGCAACACTCCCAGTAGCACTCCCGGCACATCTCCCGGCAGCACTCCTGACGCCGATCGCAGGCGCCAGCTTCAGGATGACTTCGAAAGAAGCGCTGCTGAAGTGCGACAACTGCTAGACGACCGACTTCTCGCACTCGTTGGAGAAGTTCATCGAGACGCAACGGGCGGAAGGGTATGTATGACCCATGCAAGGTACTGAGCGCCTATACTGACCTGACCAAGCATCCCGTCAACGAGCGGTCGACCGACAACAGCCATGAGTCTGCCGCAACTGGTCGCACTTCCGGCGAAAACTGGAGACAACTGTCAGGTGATGTCATCTACCCCGGACTGGGTGGCATGAGATTCGAACGCGGCGTGTGAGCCTGATGTGGAAAGTTCAATCGATGGGACCCTCCCGGTGTGGCGGACTGGGCAGGATGGCAGGGAGAGGTAGTCAGAGGACTCCCAGGTGGGCGCAAGCTCCGAGAAAACGGGTGTTTTGCGGAATTGAATATTCGTTCAGTGAGTTGATGGGATGGCGGCTATGCCAAAGGCGTGACACCGTTACTGTGTGAGAATCATTATCAGACAGTCATCAGCAACACTTTGATTGAAGGAGAAAAGATATCGATGACCCAGTCAGCGGCCTCCCTGAGCCAATTTCCATGTTCATTTTGTTGTCACGAAATGACGCTCATGTGACGCTCCAGTGACGCTCATCTCAAGTCTGCCGATTTGTTAGCAAAACAGCCCCAGACCTTCAGCGCCCTCCCTGGCTGGGTGAACCACGATAACTATGCCAACCAAGTGAAGCTCAAGTGACGCTCAGCCCATCTGTATCCCTAGCAGTTTTGGACCGTCAGCACCCTCCCTGGCCCGATTTTCGCGCCAGAATTTTATTCTACGATCCCTGACTCGGCCTCGCCTGCAGCTCCGGTAGATATGCACTTCCCGCTAACGCGAGGTTCATACTCGTCATCTGAACGTGGTAGACCGGACTGCTTTTTGTCGGGAAGGCGCTGATCTGATCAGCGGTGACGACAGCCTCCTTTCTGCCCTTCTTTGCGCCCGTACTCTGTAGCATGGTCGGTCCAGATCCGTCGCCTGCCTTACCTGCCTCGCCTGGCTTTGCTGCGGCTGGCTCCTTAGGAGGACCGTGCACATCCCATACTCGCACAGTATTGTCAGCTCCGCCAGAGAGCAAGATCGTTGATTCATTGTTCCACGAGAGAGACCAGATCCCGCCTTTGCCATGACCGCGCATTTGCTTCATTCGTTTGCCTGTGGCGAGATCCCAAAGGATGATGCTTCCGTTGTCGTCTGCAGAAGCAAGCAACTTGCCATCAGGACTGCATGCGACTGCAGTGATTGGTGTAGTGTGACTGGTGAACATTCGCACTGCGTTTCCTGTCGTAACCGCCCACATTCGGATGGTTCGATCTGTGGAAGCCGTGAAGACATATGCGGAGTTCGGATGATACGCAACGACTTCGACGTCTTTGTCATGCCCGGCGAGGATACGGACAGGGTGGACTTTGTCGGTCGTCCAGATTCGACCAAGCTTATCGAGACCGCCAGATACGAAGTAATGGCTCTGAGGACTCCAGTCCAGCGACCATACAGGGCCAGTATGGCCTTGATACTTCACGACTGCTTGGAATGTGTCCAAGGACCAGAGGAGGATGTTTCCGTCACCACCGCCCGACAGCAACCACTTGACACCAGTGCCCGTCGAGCTTTCGTCGTAGGGACCGACGGCCGGTGCAAAGCGTACCGCGTATACAGGAGCGCCATGCCCTATCAGACGCTGTGACGCTTGCGCTTGACCATTCGACTGCGGGCCAAGTGCTGAACCATCCAGAGTCCAAACTCTGATATATGACTCAGCCATCCCTGTAGCTGCCAGCTTGAGGTCGCTTGAGAAGTCCATGCAGTTGATGCTGTCTGCGGAGTTGTGGAAGGTGTACATGCAGACGCTCACGCCAGGTCCAATTCCGCCTGTCCGGCCCTCGACCTTTAGACGATCGCGAGACTCTCGAATTTTGGTGACCTCCATGTGAACGTCGCGGGAGGTGGACACCGGAAAGGGTATTTCTGTGCGTGTTGGGCCATCCTCGTCTTCTTCCTGCTTGATATTGATCTTCTCGTGAGTCTCAACCAATGTCGATTGACCTGGCGCGGGTGGCATTTTGCTGTCAATCTCCTCCAGATCGGCGCGCACATCTTCTTCCGTGTCCTTGTCCATCTGGAGCTTGCCCAATTTGAGAGTCGCCAGAGTATTGCCCACGTTGGCCTGATCTGTGATGATAGCGTTGCCAGATTTGTGACCAGGTATACCCTCGTCGTCTGGAGGGAGGTTCGAATCATCCTGTGCCCGGAGAATAACAGACGCGAAGCTGTATCGATCGTCTGTTGCGCGATCCGATACCCTCAGGTCAATGTTCGTCTCTAGTATTTTGATGAGTAGAGCGTACTGCTCTCTCGGCAGGGACTCGAAGAAGGTGAGGCAGTACATATTGGCTGGATTGGAAAGGTTTACACGATACTTGTTGCTCAGATACCGCTTCGCCTCGCCGTCGGCCTTTAAATGCTCGGGAAGAGTCGCAGACTTGAGTAGTTGAATATCGTGCTCATGTTGAGTGCGAAACGGCTCGACGAATTTCTTCCAGAAGTTTTCGGCGATGACAGAGTTTGTTTGCTCGACGAGTGCAAGGTACATGTAGATGAAAAATGGCCACGAAAGACGCTCGACCTCGGGCTTGTACATGTCCAGAGCATCATCCGTCCAGGCCTGCAGCTTGATGTAGACGTCCAGGTATTTCTGCGCCAGGTGCTGGACAGCATTTGGATTCGGCCTGCTCTCCTCCATTTTCGGAATCTCCTGATTCGCAGACTCAGCTCGGAGGACAGCTTCTGTTCGATGATACCCTTTCTTGGCGAGGTAGTCGATCACTATTTGGTTTAGGTTCTGCTGCGACAATTGTGGTGCGCCGCCGGCCGGAGGATTGACAGGCTGGGCGGGCGCTGAGCCGATTCCGTTGACGGCAGGTGTGGTTGAGGAAGACGCGACGGAGCCATTTGGAATGGCAGACGCGCGCGGGCCCGGACTAGGCAGTGGCGCGGCCATTTTGACCTCATGAGCCGCCGGACGGTGCGTCAACAATTGAGTCTTGTGGTAGTCTTGTCGTCCAGGGCGGCCTCTGGTGGAATTGTGTCGATCCCGCTGATTGTAGACCCAAAGTGATAAATAGTCTGGAGGCAGGTGTAGTGAAGTGCTCAGCCGGTCGGAGTGACTTGCCAAGAAAGTCACGTGCAAGACTATGTTTCGCGACCGTGCCTGCACTGGGAAGACTGGGACTTTATTTGTTTGCACCTCGCACCCCACGGAAGGCCGCCTCGGAGAGGCTCCAATTTGTGCACACCATCTCACATTCGTGACCCATTTCAACGCATATCATGACACACGCCTGCGATGGCATCGAGTGATGAGGAGTCCGTGAAGGACGATACGAGCCCCGAAAAGCAAGTCACGTTCACAGCAGCCCAGAGAATAGCAGAACTCAACGATATAGACCAGTTTCTAGCAACGCTACTGGGTGCAGCCGCTGAAGCGGTGGGTATCCTGGCAAATACTGGCATCGGGAGCACCACCTCGTCCACACCCGAAGATCAAGAGAACCGTTTCCAGGAAGCCTCGAGGACATACTTTGCGACTTTGTCGTCGATAGAGGTAGGCCTGAAGCGGCAGGTGTACGCTTTGGAAGAAGCAGGACTCATACAGCCTGGAGAGGAGCGCGACACGAGGAAAGGAAGAGTGGTCACGAAACGACATGAGGAGGTCACCGGCGGGCTGTTTGACTCGAGTTGGTTGAATGCCATGGCTGACAACGGCGTGCAGCAGCGCTATAAGCGACAGCTACTCGACGAGGCTAAGGACTTTCTTTCTGACGAGAAGGCGGGCTCTGGCGCGACAAAGGATTCAGGCTGACGACGCAAGGGCGCTTCGTTCCGGTTCATGGCGAGATCCTGAGTCAGCGCACATGGGTCACCTACGCTTCAGTCTCAGTGGGAACGCCCCATACAGGCACAATCTGTGCTCGTGCAAGTCTTTAGCGGCTCCGATAAGCTCACTTGATGTGTGAGTCCGTCGTGTCGCCATCCTGTTCTCGTTTGTCGAGTTTGACAGGTTCATGGTGCCGGCAGTACACTTGTGGCTACGCGTATCTAGGGCATCACACACTCGACGCCGACGATTCATGAATCGACTGGATTGCGGCGGCGACTCGGTACAGCTTAAGCAAACAGGTGCAGAAGACAAGGCGCGAAATATCGGTGCAAGGCTGGCGGGCTCGGCTGACACATGTCGGTGGCCGCAACAGACAATCCTACAAATGGCTTCATTTAGCTGCGAGTGATCGAAAGATCTTATGGACGTCATTCTGCCCGTGACCAGGGGCGACTTTCGGATGGAGACGCAGAAACCTCCAGAACATGCATGATCTGAAAGCAAGCTAGGGGCGTAGAGTAGAGCCTTCCTGGCGGTATTCAGAGCACATTGCCGAGCTGGTCGCTGCAACGCCACCGATACGCTCGCTAGGACTTGTCTATCTTAGTGATCTGATTAGCCACCTTCCTTGAAGTCATGTAGGTTGCCTCGTCCAAGTGCGCTAAATTCTTGGCAACGCGCCACATTGCCTTGCCTGACCACAGCATGTGCCTTTGCTACCTACCTAGTGGGTTCGACATGCGAATCATCAAGATGCATGGCTCAAACGGATCATGGACGATGCGCAAGTGGAATTCTGCTGACCACTAGGCCTTTGAGATGGCTTGAGATGTGCAGCGCCCACTCCCTGAAAGCCAAAACCCCGTAGTCCTGGTCGGCAGCTCGAGAGGGCGTGAGACAGGCGCCACGATCGATGCAATGGCAGCCAATGGCGGTCCCGACCGTCCCCCGACGCAACAGGTCCTGCTGAAAGCAGACGAGGTGGATAGTGGAACCACAATCGTCAGCCCGGGTCGTCAGCAACCTTTGAGCGCCTTGGCTCTGACGGACACCTCAACGCTTGGGACAACATTCAAACCTCGTGCACCTCCCAGGCCATGTCTGCGCCGGATGGATCTGCACCGCCACCTCCGCCGCCGTCGCAGCCCCCTCCCGCACCACCTCCCGGCCCGCCGGAAGTCACTGACTCATTAAGCCTGCCACAATTACGGCAGCTGGTCAGTCAGTTCCCGAAAAGCGAACAGAGAGCGTATGCATTTCAGTACAGCGAGACCGATAATTATGAGACAGAGATTGATGAATGGTTTCAGTACACTGAAGCGGACCAGGAACGCGACCAACTTCTAGCATCTCGCGAGGCGTTCGAAACTCTGTGGAAAGCATATTGCGAAAGCCAGCTCGAACAGGACGATATATCTTGGATTGCAGTGAGCGACGAATCTCGTCTCGAATTCTTGAATGGTATAGTTGCGGAAGTTAGCAGTCCTTTCATTGAGCAGCGAATCGAAGCTTTGGGTTGCGTCTACTACGTACTCACCGGGGCCTGGACGGTCACATCTGGGCTCGATGACTCAACATCAACGTTAGACAACGGCAGCGCGGAGGAGAGGTCGAAGAAGCCGAATTCAGTACAGCTCGAGTGGATGCACCGAGGCGCAGATTTGATGGTCAAAGATCGCTTGGTCTCGCCACTCTATGCAGCACTCTTGACAGCCACAAAACTAGCACCTGCTGGGACCGAAGTTTCAGGACACCAAAAAGACCACGCGTCAGGCGCCCTTGACGAAAGTGAGCAACGGGAGTTGTCATTATGTCTGTCATGCTTCTATCTGCTCACTGAATCAGCTAGAGCTCGTAGGGAGGATCCGGAAGCCTCCACCATCAGACAATCTCTACAGAACCTGAGTCCCAGCATCCTGGTCTTCTTGGTCAGCACTATCTCGCGACTCAGATGGGATGAATCGTACAACATCCCTCTCATTCATGCCATACAGCTGTTGTGGAAACTTCTCCTCCTTCTCTTTGGAGATGTACAGCACGATCTGGAAGCCATCAAAGGTGTCCTACAGCCGCGTGTTGACCCATTCTCGGCCGATGCATCTCATCCAAAGCTGACAGCATCGCCGTTGGACTACCATATGTTCAGGCAAGAGATCACTTCGAAGTACCCAGCCTACAATCCACCCCTGCCGCTTATACCGTTGGAAAACGAGCAACGCACTATATTGCCCGTGGTTGCACAAAACACCAACAGAGCTGATGATGTGCCCAATCCCGCTTCTTTCCCTGGGACTGGCACTTCCAGCTCGATCTTCCACCAGCCGGTCCACATTGCGACACCGGCTCCGTCACCACCTCCCTCACCCATTGGCCCGGGAGGGAAAACGGGAAAGAAGCAGAACTATCAGACGAACCAGAACTTCCCGTTCCTGTATCCACCACTGGACACCTCGAGTAACGATCTTGGCGGCAGAGGCTCGACGGAACTCCAAGACCTGATGGTCGGCAAGAAGTGGGATGGCAGTGATGTGCCAACCTCCATCATCGAGGCAGGCGAGCTATTCGCAAGTCGCATGCGAGTGACACGTGGTATGCGTCAACTCTGGAAGCAGCGCGATCTGTTCATGAAGTATGATCGGGGCTGGAAGAGTGACGAGCATACTGACGTTGAAGAGATCAGCAAACAAGTTGCAGAGGAGCAAGCTAAAGAGATGGAGGGCCTAGACGACCCAGATCTGCGATCGAGGATGGATGCCGTCGAACATTTCTTTCACCACTCACTGGCAGACATGCAGTCTTTCGTCATTGTGCTGATGAAAGCAATGCTGTCCAATGTGCAAGACATTGCAGTGCGAAACGGCAACTTCGCAGATCCACACCAATCTGCAGGCTTGAATCGCACAAAGTCCAACTCGAATGTTGGCGCAGGTCAGACATTGCCTATGCCACCACCACCTCCGAAACCGGCCGAGCTTTCGTTAGAAGAGCTGGACAACATACGCTCGCGTGAGATCAGTCAGAAGGCGATTGCAGGAGTGGTGTTTTCGCTGCTAAAGTGGCTCAAGGTCTCGCATGTCCTCAAGTTCGAGTATCTGACACAGCTGCTACTGGACTCAAACTACGTCCAACTCACACTGAAGTACTTCGCGCACCAGAATCTGGAAGACCTAGTCGCCTTCCGCTACGATCGAGACGATCTCTCCTTCTTCCGCTACTGCCACCTTCACTCAGATCATCCACCGCTCTCGCCGACGTCTCCAGGCCGTCATTCCGACAGCGGTTCCGTAGACGACGCGATTCCACCACCAATCCAACGCCGTCGTCAACAGATCAGTACGCCGCCGGATCTAGACGCGTCTCAGACTCGATACCAACCAACTCCGACGACCAGTCTTCACAGCCTGCGCAGGATCCATCATCTCATCCCACAGTCGACGAGCTCGGTCATCCCCTGCAGCCGCTGCCTACCACGCCACTGCCAACTTTCTCATCTCGGCAGTTTCAAACGTCGATTCACCTCCTCCGCACCCTGCAGAAGCTCACTCGTGGCAAGTCGCACCGTGTCCTGCTCCTTGTGCAGTTCAAATCCTCGCAGATTCTTCGCCGTGTCCTACGTGTGCCAGATTCGACTCTGCGGCTATACGTGTTGAAGCTGTTCAAGAGCCAGGTACCATATTGCCCGAAGAAATGGCGTCAGAGTAATATGCGCGTCATCACGGCAATATACTTACATTGTCGGCCGGAGCTGCGGGATGAATGGTTGGCGGGTATGCATGAAAGCGCCGTGGACGGGGAGCTAGAGGAAGCGGTGCCGTTGGAGTGGGCGTTGAGGGGGTTGACGTTTTGGTGGATGAGGAGGTGGTATAGGGACGTTATGGCGTTAAAGGAGGGGAAGAAGGGCAGGAAAGGGAAGGGCGAGAAGGGGACTGGCGATGGTGTCCAGCGAGAGACGGGTGAGGAAGACATTCTCGCAGAAGAGGATAGCGATGATACAGACGACGAGGACGAGGACGGTATGAAGGCTATGGCAGGAGGCCAAGAGATTGAAGAGGAAGAGCGTGGTTTCTTCCAGCGTGAACTTGATGCTATGGGATGGGGTCTGGCAGGCTTGAACCTGGTGGGTAACGGAATCGGTGATGAGGTCGCCTTCGGTGAGGAGGCTCCTGGGGTAGGCAGTGGGGGTGGTGCTGCCAACGGCGCAGACAACCATGTATGGGCAAATGCGGCAAGTCTGGAGCAGTGGCAGAATGAGAGATGATGTGACATTGGGCAACAGAAAGCATAGCGTCATGTGAACCCACGAAGTGCCATAGGAGTCGAAACATTATTGATTCTTTTGACTGAGTAGAAGATGTTTCGCCTATCCAAATCGATCGATCGCATGACACAGGTGACGTCTGCCTGTAGCCTCCAAGATACATGCGGCGACTGCTGCAGGCCAGTGGTGACATGCTGTTTCTTGCTCCAAACGCCCTTTTTGAAACATTCTAGCAGCTCATTCCTTCGTCGACCACATCATCGTGTATCTCATTCAGCCGCACTCAAGCACCATCGCCCCAGATCCCTACAACGCCCATCGCAAAGCCCACCAACCCAATCGCGCTCCTCACATTCTGCGTCCTAACCTCCCTCGCCATCTCCGCCTCAACCTTCTCCCCATTTACCTCACTGCTCTCCACCTCCACATACCCGCTTTCCCGACCATTTCTCTTCAGCCCAAACCTCGTCCAGCCGTTATACCAGTATTCGACACCTTGCCCTCCGATGAAGCTCACCATGGCGGTCCATAGGAGGTAGGGGTGCTTGCCGCGCGGCGATGCGAGGGCGTAGCAGGTGGTGAGGGCGAGTGATGAGACGGAGGCGAGGGTGAGGATGCGGCGCGTGGCGCGCTCTTGGATGGTCTCGAGGGCGCGGGCGGCGCGGGCAGCGGAGGGGAGGAGGGCGAGGGAGGGGAGTGTTATTGTTGAGAGCGAGTATGAGACGCCCTGGTTCGAAAGTCAGTATTGGCAGTCGGAAGGTCGTTAGGGTGTTGCAGGAGACAAGGGGAGCTGAGAAGCTGAGGAGCTTACAGTGAGGAGACCTAGTGATATGGTGCCCACAAATTTGAGCGTGCTCATCGGACAGACCATCTTGTCTGGCTTCTGATATGTGTACTTGCGGACTCGCTTAGAACAGCTTGACCGCAGTCCAAAGGTCAAGAGGTGGGGTGGCAGCCGTCAAGGGCGGCGGCGATGTCTTTATGATCAGCTCAGGCGAGTGTACAGCGAGCTTGACCAGCTTGCCAAACGTCAAGCTAGCTGTTTGACCACTCCGTGAACGATTCGTTTGCTGTCTTCCAGGTACATTGAAGGCCGCCACTTCGCTTGGAGGAAAGACGAATGATGCAGTGCCCGCTCATCCAGGAACCTTTCCGCATCTGGAATCCATGTCATCCGGTCTGGGTATTATTGTCTTCAGATACCAACACAACTTTCGAACTGCAACCCAATTAGTACACCGCTACTTTCGCTTCATCATCGACGTCAAATGGAGCTAGCATGTACGATGGATTCCAGAGATCATCTCACCAGACTCCTACGCCACTGAAGGATCCCTCGAATTCGGCACCATGTTAAGGGTGCATCGCAGCCGCGACGCAATCGCCGACTGATTTACATTCAGCATCGCGGACAGTGATAGCGCTGCACAATCTCACAGGGTCAAACAGAGGCCGCATCGAGGTCAGAGAGCACAGCCTGTGCTAATGCCTATGAGGTGTCTGCGATTTGTGACCTGTCTTATGTTCTTTGTCCCTCCTGTCTTTCCATGATCTTGATCTATTTTCTCCCTTTACGCAAAGTGCTTGTTACAGATGTCGGCGCGCCATCGACGCCTGCCTATCGGAATACCTTCTCGCGCCATCATCGTGTTGACGATACACTCGACCACCTGGATGATCTACACTGTCTATAGTTTGAGCGTCATGTCCGGCATGGACGACGCCCTCTCGTTCCTTCCGAAGTATCTTCCTAGGTAAGAAGCATAATTCTAGCAGCCACGTCGACTACAGCCGCGTCGGTTCCTTCCCATCACACGCCTGCCTCGCCTCAGAAGGGGAAGTACATACTGAGGAAGCCACGTTGGACCTTCGACTCAATAAATGCGACTTGTGCACAGTCCAGAAAATGAAGCTCTGCTTCTTCCTTCTGGATGGATTTTTCTGGACTG